TGGAAGCCCGAGCCGTCGCCGTACAAGCCAACCGAGTGGAAGCCCGAGCCGTACAAGCCTGAGCCGTCGCCTTACAAGCCTACCGAGTACAAGCCTTCGCCTTACCAACCCGTGGAGACCAAGCCGGCAACTTACCCCACCGAGTCCAAGCCGTCGCCCTACTCCCCTGTGACCCCCACCACCATCGTCCCAGTGCCAGCTTCCCCTACCGCTCCTCCAGCGTACAGCTCTCCCACCTGGGGAACCACCTACAACGCGACCACTCCGACTGTGAGCCCCGTCATCCCCTCTACTGGCGGTGCTTCGAAGCTCGGCGGGGGTATTGTTGGCATCGCAGTCGCTGCCATCGCCTGCTTGGCCTTCTTTTAATCGCCCACAATCACGAACCATTGGCGGTCTTGCTGCAGCAGCGACCTGCCGCAGTAACGTACGGGGTGGGATGGGATAGACGGAACTAGAGGAACCTATACAATCCTAGAGATGGATATCGCAATAATGGTAGTGTTGAACGTTTTTACATAAGGTAGACTTATCTATCATGGTCTTTGAAGAATCAACAACCCTCCTTTGATTGAATGAACTATCTTCCTGTTATTAGCTGTTGTTGCGAAGCTATCCCAGCCTTGCGCCAGGACCTCTTGTGCCAAGCCCTGCGACAGCTTCGACCCAGCTTGCATCACTTCATCGAATTCCAACATCATCTGAACCATCGATGTACAGCATGTTCCAAGACTCGCGCCAGTCTAATGGGAATCCCGCGCTTTGCGTATCGCATGCGCGAATATGGGACCGTCAAAATCATTGGCACGCAGGGACGCGAGGATGAGAGTCCAAAGCGGCGCGCTCTCGCCATCATCGACGGACCATCGCTCGCCCACGCACTCTTCCACACGCTGAGATGCGATGAGCAATCCACCGAGAGCATCGCGACGATTTGTAGTTATTCCGCTTTAGGAATTGCCGCGATTGACTGGCTGGACAACTTATGGAGCTACGGCTTCGAAGTGTGAGAGCTGACGGCCCTCTAATAGTCGCACCCTATCCGACTCGGTTCGCTGATACTGGAACAGATCTGGAATCTACTTCGACGGAGCATTACCCGCCCATAAAGAGAAGGTCCGCATTGCGCGCCTACAGCATGGCATCGACAAGCTAGTCACTTTCAAACATCTCCACGATGCCATCCAACGCGCCTCTCGAAAGTCGAACAGCGGCAATAGGCGCGATGAAAATCAGCGGAGTCTTGAAATCGCACGGAAGGATCTCGCTCCGCCGCCGTTTCTTGTCTTTGCAGTCGTGGAAGCGCTCGCCAACAGCAACTACGCCGACCGCACGTGGGTTGTCCCTGGTGAAGCGGATCCTTTCTGCGTTGCGGCTGCTAGCAAGATCAATTCGAATGATGCTCAAAGGGACGTATATCTATTTACAAACGACTCCGACTTGATCGTGTACCCTTGTGGTGAGAGAACGAAAGTCGTCATGATTGACTCCATGGTCGAGCGCGAAGACGAGACTGGGAAGGTCCTTGAGGCTCGAGAGTTTTGGCCATCGGGGCTGGCAAAGGTGCGTACGTCCTGGATGCGGAGTTTCAGCTGGATTGCGTGACCAATACTGTGTCTTAGATGTCTCGTGAGCCGATGCTGGACCTGGTACGACCTGCGTACGCAATGCTGCGGCGACACGTGACGTTCAAAGCCGCTCTAGATGGCTCACGAGAGCCGATTGAGAACCTGGAGTACGCACAGTTTGCCGAGACATATTCTATCAAAGTCGCCTCTCGTCTTCTTGAGGAACTGCAAGCTCATCGCCAACCTGGTGTCAGTGGTGGGCTTCTATATTCAAGAGTGTCGGAATTTGTCCATCTGGCCAGATACGAGCAGCAACGCCTGACTGAGAACGCAGCAACATTGCGCACATCCAAGGAAGGTAGTCAGGGAAATGGAGACGACTCAAGCCTAGGCAACCCGTCACCGCGCCTTGTGATGTATCTCCCAAGCCTTTTCGAGGATCCTTCCCGAGGCAGCGCGTGGAGAGTCGGCATCCCATTCCGCACCGTCGCCGCTTCCATGGTGAGCAGCTACCATGCGCTCAACGTCGAAGTCGTGGAGTGTCGAAGAGCGGGGCTCAATGTATCGACCCAACCCCTCAAGCACCTTTCCACAGCCGACACGCAGCAGAGCCTCGAGGCCTGGAAGAAATCCATTGGCAGAGAACTTACCCGTACAACGAACCTGGGTGTCACTCGACGCTGGAGGTTTGTGGTCATGCAACTCACGCTAGCAGATATGGCGAGCGAAAACGTCGCACTGCCCACAACCGACGAGATCACATCTGTTCTGGCCTGCAAACCGGCGACCACGTGGAGGCTGGTGCACTTGCACGCACAGCTTGAAGCTGAGTACTACTCCATACAAGTCTTGAAGCAGATCATCTGCGTCACTTCCGCGGACACAACAGGCTTAGAGGGGACTCGCGAGCTGGGCAAGCAGCTTCACGCCTTGCCGGGAATCGCTGCATTTTTTGAACCGCCGTCCGAGGAGGAGTCGAACATCGAACTCACGGTGTGGAGGGCTATGGTGGAGGGCTACTTGCGTGAAGCAGGTCTCGTTGACGAACGAGCTGTAGCGGCGCAGCAGGAGATCACGCACAAGCCACTGCCCTCGACGAAGAAGAGTTTGAAGCGGAAGGGGAACATGTTTGATATTTTGTCTGAAGTGGATTAGATGTCCGCCCTAGAGCTGGAAGAAAGAGAGGAAAAGATACCCCGGACAGTGCGTTGCCGCGATCAAGGGGATATGTTTATTCATGGCTTCTCTGTGTCATGCAATGGAGTATCGTCATCATCTCATCGTGCGTGTCTAGTCACAACGCTTCAGAAAACACATGCAATGCACGCTGGATAATTCCTTCAGGCAATCTTGCTACTCAGCCTCCGACTCTCCCTCTGTCGCAGCACCTTCTTCTCCTCCCTCCGCCGCTTCTTCCAGCCGCGATTCAAATCGCCGCGATTTTCGTAGAACCATTTGCGAAAAGCACTCTCTCCCTCTCTGTGTTGTGCACCTTCCTCCCCATCGTTCGGCTGCTCAGGCTCTGCTTCGTTCTGCATGTCCACATCGTCGTCCTCATCTGAGCGGTCGTCTGAAGGGAAGCTAAAATGTCGTCCAAGAGCAGCGGTGTCCGGCGTCGGCGCCGCAGAACGGATGCTGCGCCATTCGAGATCACGCCTCGTGTGCGGAGTTTGGGGCGGCATGTCGACTTCTCCGCCTTCGTCGTCGTCTTCCTCATTTGCTGCAGTCGAGACGTCAAAGAGGCTGAAAGAAGTATCGATGGGCTTTGGCCTCGGTTTCGCATCGTCGCTTGTTTTGGACGCAGGTCTTTTGAAGAGGGCTTCAAGGGGATGGACTTCTTTTGTTCCTTCGGTGGATGCATCGATGATCATGCATGTGTCGCTGGCCACTGGTTCGTCTGGTGGCAATGAGTCCGCCACATCCCTCGTATCCTGACTTTGGACCGCCGAAACGCGAGGTTCGCTTTCTCGTTTGGACTTTCGTCGCCGAGCAGGAGGCTCCGGGTCGACGACATCGCCATCCTCAGCTACCCAGCCCTTTCCATCTTCGTAGCTCATCGGTACATGCGCACCAGCAGCGGTATCAGCATCGTGGACCTCAGGTTTGTAGCTCTTGGAGAACTCTTCGACAACGACCTTTTTCTTCGACTTCTTCTCATCTTTGCTTTTCCTCGCCTTCTTCTTATCTTTTGTCTGCATGTCCAGTGGCGAAGCATTTGGTGGGACGGCGGTCTTGAACAGTAGACTCTTGCTTTCCAGATCTCCGTCCGACCCACTGGGCTTGCGCCTGGATTTTCTCGATGATTTCTCCATCCAGCCTCGCTTGATATGTCGACCATCTTCTAATTCATGTCCCGGAAGCACGTCTTGTTCCGCTCGCTTCCTGACTTTCTTAACGCGAGGCGTAGTGCTCTCCCCATCGTCTTCTTCCACCTCTGCATCCGAACCGCGCTTCTTCTCAGCCTTGGCCGCTTCCACTCGCACTTTCGATCCTCTCAACGTAGACCCGTTCAATTTCTTCCTCAACTTCTCGGCTTCCATGGCGGGCAGCTCGACGTAGCCGAAGCCGCGATCGGGAAAGGTCTGTACGGTGTGAAAGGAGATGTTGTCGGCCTGCGCCTTGACGGAGGGTGCTAGAATCTTGTCCAGTAGCTCGGAGTTGAAAGGCGTGATGTGCAGTCGCACACGCTCGACGGCGTCAGGCGTGTCAAGAGCGAGGCCGGGCATAGTCTTACGCGGGCATTTTGCAGGTCGACGGGGGGGCTCATGGGATTTAAAGACCCATCAAGGCCACAGAAATAGCAGCAGGTTGTTGGGCGTTAAATTCGGCGGCATCTTCAGACATTTGCAGCCGGCGCTTCGAGGTGGAGAGTGGGGCTCAGATCGGCGGCCCGGTCCGTTGCACTCTTTCCGCTTTCGGTAGCGGCTCTTGGACCGTGAGGCCTCACGCCTGTCGAGATGTGTAGAGAGTATCGAATGCTCCGTCTTACCCGCGACGATCGATGACACCCCGCCCCTCGACAATGCAATAACAATGGCAGGACGGAACCGGCAGCTCGTCTGCCTCCTCTTCTTCCTCTCGCTCTTCTCCCTCTCCCTCGCCGCCTGTAAGCGACACCTACGCGCATAGCCCTGAACATCTACGAGCATGCTAACCACTCCCCGTCTTCCGCAGCACCCACCCTCTTCTGCAAATGCACCTGCTTCACCAACTCCACCATCATCCCCTTGACGCAACAATCCCCCAACAGCGACGCCACCACTCCCACCACCCGCAGCTGCAACGATTGCACCAAGCGATTCTGCCTCGACTACAACCTCCCCATCTGCGCGTCCGCCACCGAGGATGATGTGCTCACCAAGTGCTTCCAGCGGGATAGCACGAAAGACGAGGCGATTGTGTTGATCTTCATCTTCGCGACGCTAGGCCTACTGGCTTGGGCGGCCGTGAAACCCTGGGTGGTGAAGTGGAGGGCGGGGAATGGACGGGCGCGGGCGAGCTATCTACCTGTTCCCGGCCCTGGATGAGGCATGACGACCTTCGGCGAAATCTGGGTATGGCGCAACTGGGGTGGCTTTGGGTATATGTGTATAAATGGGCGACAAGCTTGGGAGGTAGACTTGGTTACGATTTGTATTCTGGTGTATCAACATCACCCTCGAGCTACGTGCTCACAGCTGTTCGATGCTCGACTTCCAGAGCCTGCATGTTGGAGAGTGTTAGGGTGAGGTTGGTCTTGAAGTGACTGTCCGTCTCCATCACAAGAAGAGAGCCAGCGCAAGGCACGCGGCCATGCTCACAGCCACCCTGCACAATAGTTTTGTACTCTCCTGGTCGAGTGTAGTTGTCTCGCCGGAGCCGAGCATGACAGTCGTTGACTGCAACGCTGGAGTACTCGCGGTAGTCTGTGTAGGCGCTGCAGTGGTGATGTGATGTGTCGACTTGATACTGTCGAACATAGAACTGCGCAAGCTGCTCAACGCGGCAGACCCAAGAGATGTAGGGCCGAGCGCGGGAGGCAGACTCAACAGCGTCGATGTCGTAAGTGAATCTGGCGTGGTAGAGGCGGATGGCATTGACGTGTCGTTGCAATTCGTGGAAGAGACAGAGGTGTTGACCGTTGCCACGGGATCTGTGTGCGTGCCCTGGCCGGAGATGACGATGGTGGAGGTCCAGGCTTGGCTGCTCGTGTTGACCGTGGTCACAATGGCGAGCACGGTGGTGCTATCAATGATGGTAACGATGGGTATGCCAGCTGGGGAGGTGGTTGAAGTCGATCCGGTGAGGGTGAGCGTCGTTGTTCCCTGCAGACGTCAATGGAAGGCTCTGTTTGGTAGCAGGAAGCAAAACTTACAGCCGGTGCAGCGGTAACAGTCTCATGTTTGGTGATCGTGGAGGGGCCCGCGGCGATGGATGCCGTGGCGAGCGCCGAAGCAGCGTACACGAGTGGCACGACCAGCGCAGAGAGCAGCATTGCGGTGGATCGGTGCACGGAAGGCGGTGGACGAAGGAATACAATGTGAGATGCTGAAGGTAACAGGGCAAGGAAGTGAGGATCGAGGAACGTCAGGAGGAGGAGGAATGTTTTTATTGAGTCCTGCGACAACAGAAACACTGCGAAATGAAATGCATGTCATGCACAAACCTTAATTCAATAATTTCTGAAAAAGGAAGGCACGCGATCGGAGGGTCCAACTTCGAGTCACGAGCTGACGAGCACGGACGGCAAGGCCATATCTCTCATCTCTGCTAGTCACGATACAAGTCCTCCAGATACTCCACCATCCGTCTTTGCAAGCCTAGTAGTTGCGTCTGGCTGACCAGTGGACTCCATTTTGGTCGCTCCCCCTTTTCCGCTGTCGAGCCGCGATCGTCCAGTATCAGGCTTTGATCCGTGCCGAAGAAGGGCACACCCAGCCCTTTCAATTCGGCAGTCATTGTGAAGTTCATGTGAAGCTGAGCGTCATATATCTTCCTGTCGAATCTCGCGAGCTCGGCCTCGGTGTCAGTAGGAGTGGTGTCATTGGGATTTGCCGGGCTGCCGCCGTTCGAAAGGGATCGCAGGATCGATTGAGCCTCCTGGGAAGATTTTGCGCGGTTCGCCTGGGCTTGCTTCAGGGCCTGTCTCTCGGCATACCACCGCATCTCGTTCCGGCGTTGGTCTTCCATCATCTGCGCTTCGTGTCAATGCGTTCTATATGGCGGTCGAGATGACAGAGAACATGTCGCCTACCTTTCGAATACTCGCAGCAAACTGTGCATTTTGCGCAGCAATCTTTGTCACGCATCTCAGGCCATCTTGCCATGTCGTGATGGTGGCGGGATCTATGACGGGCTTTGGCGAGGCAGTGGAGCGAGTCTGTGGCTTGAATCGGGGATCTGAGCCTTCCAGATCACGAGAATCGCGTGCAGATTGCTTCGCTTCATGCTCGTTTGATACGGAGCCTACGCTTGGGGGGTTGAGTGCATCATCTTTGTTGACCACCGAGTCGGTAGCATGACTGGCAGCAGCAGGAGCGAAACGAGCAAGGTTGGCCAGAATGGTTTGTAAATCTGGCGTTGAATTAGTATCGCCCATTTCAGTCTTCCGCTGCCAACAATGTGTGTGCGTGAGTGGTGATGTACAATAAGAAAAGAGGAGAGCGGATTGCACGAGTGAGGTGAAGTGTCGGGGACGGCAGCGCCAAGCCCGATGGGGATCAGCGCCGCGGGAATGTCGAAGCATCATGCCAAAAAGTCGAGCACCTCACGTTGCAGCTTCTTCGCCATCCCGATCAACCCACGCAAACAACATGCATGCGACATAGAACAGCACAAGGATTCCAACAATGGCACGATCGCCTTCCGACGCCACGCGTTTCACGGCAACAGGCCCCTACGCCGCCGAATCCTCGAGCTTCACATCAACCGCACCAGCTGCAGCATCATCATCCTCATCATCCCTCGGCTCTCGAATACCGCTGACCGGCCCCGCGCCCCCAAATGAAACGCCACAGCAAAAGATCGCGCGACTGCGCGCCGCAGCCACGGCGGCGAGAGTAGGCCAGGAAAGCCAGTACGACAAAGTGGTCCGCATAGGCCGAGTCGTGGCGGATCGAGCACACCGATACACCGCGCTGGGCCTGATAGGCCTGACGGTACTCAGCGCCATGGTGGCTACGGCTGGTGTCACAGATATGCTGGTGCACAATCGGCGACGCCGGAACGAGTGGTTTGCGGAGAAGCATGCAAAGACCAAGAGCGATTTGAAAGAGGCATTTGCGGCCATGGATCACGGTACTGCTACAGACGACCAGATGCTGTTGATCAATCGAGAGCGTGCGGCCGCTGAGGCTGCAGAGGCGAGGAGAAACAGGCCGGGGGTGTTTAAGAGGGCAAAGAGTTGGCTGTTCAGCGGACTTTCATCTGAGGAGCAGAAAGGGGGAAAGCTTGGAGCTGGAGCGGCGGATACGCTCGCCATGTCACATGCCATTAAAGAGGAGTTGCTGGATGACCGGCCGAATGGAGGCGTGTTGAATGCCGTTGAACGAAGATTAGACGAGAAGCGAAGGTCTGGCGAACAGGTGGAAGAGGTATTTCGGCCACGAGGCGGTCCGCTAGACCAAGAGGCGCAGAGAGCAGCGAATGCGGCCGCAGATCTGACCAAGAGCTGGTCGAATTGGGTATTCGGAGGCAGCAAATAAGTGGCGTGGGCCGCTAAATGTACCATACTCGGTCCTCCACGCAACGTCGTGTCTACATCTCGCCGATAATGACGAGGCCAACGGCTCTTCATGTTGTGGAACGACACCCTTACCATTGTTTCGACTACTTTCATGGTGACATATGGGCGTCGGAGAATAAGCGTAACGCCTGCCACGGGCGACGGGCCAACGTGCGGGAAGCTTGGTAGCGATGAAGTGCTCACGTATGCGTTCATCATCAGCACCAGCCAACGGAACAATCAACATTGTCAAGTGATGATGTCGCAATTGAATAAGAGCGTTCGCTTTCTTGATTTTCTTCCACCCATCAAACATCCCCATCAATCAATCAATCAATCAATCAGGCAATCAATCAATCACAGCCCGCCGCCCACCCGGAAACGCCCGGCGCTACTGCGGTGCTTGAGCTGCAGGTACAGCAGGCTGCATCACCCTCCACTGCATCACCTCCTTTCAACTGCATGACCCCTACATCCAGCTGCATCCATTCAAGCAGCCCACCACCACGCCCTCGCGCCTCGTCATCGTTTCGTTTGCATGCTTAACGCCCTCGCGCATCCACCTGCGTCGCCTCCTCTCCGCCGACACTGCATCTAGGCCCGACGGTTCGCCCGACACATTGCACCGCTCCGCTTCTGCAACGCCAATCGTTTCACCTTTTGCGCAAGGCAGCCCGCGGCAGCAGCCCTTCCGTCTCCGCATTCCACGGCGCACGCAGGTGGTGTCAAACTGCGGGGAACAGGCAGCGATGCCTCGACCTACTTCAAAGCCCCTCACGACTACTACAACCTCCTCCTCCAAACCCTTCCTCCTCACCGTCCGCCCCGTCAACATCTCCCTCACAGACGGCACCAATATCCCCCCACCCCCAGACTCGCCGCCAGCATCACCAGCAAAGCAGGTACGCGGCCCGCTGAACTCGCATCCCAGCACCCCCGAGCGCAGGATCCCCGGCGCATACCCCGAATCCGACGTCGACGAGTACGATTCACCAACGAAACCCACCCCCCCGAAACCCACACACAACACGATGTCCGCGCCCACAACTCCGGAAGTACAAAACAAGCCCAAGGGCATGCGACGCCTGCTCAGTCTCAACAACCTGCGCTCCTCGTTCAGCAGCTCCCGCACTTCTCTCGCCCTGCCTCGGCCGTCGACGGACAATCGCCCCTCCACGAGTCGCGGCTTGCACCGCCCCTTCACCCCGAGTGTCTCCTCAACCACTGCGCCATCGGAAGACGGACAGCAAAGTCTTCGCATGCGGAGGTCGGGCTGGTTCAAGCGGAAGAGTAGTATGTTCTCGCTCAATGGGGCCGCTGAGGAAGATGGGTTGGAGGATGGAAGAGCGGGGAAGAAGTTGAAGAGCTCATACTCAGTACCGTTATTACCTGACATCAAAGAGCTGGACGGCGGTGATCTGGGCTGGGATTCGACTAAATTCTCACGGGGCTTGTGACGGACGGCTTTTTGGATTTTATGACGGCGCCGGACGTGATCTGCGCGGATCTTGAGCAGGCCTTTGATTTGTGTTGGAGTCATTGAGTGGCAAGCTGGCAGGCGCAATAGATGATTGTGCGTTCCCAACGAAAGCCGTACGGCCGGTTGGAGCTTGTTGTATGTGTAGATATTAGCCTTTTGAAAATGATACCCTCTCGCTTTCACAATCATGCCTGACTCTTGTCTTAGACGCTGACATCGCCTCCAAATCCCACCGGTCTTCTCCGTGGCTCGCCCTCCTTGGGCGGCGTGTGAGGCAGGATGGCCATGACCTGATACAGCCTGCCCATGCCCTGCGGCCCCCGATCCACCAGCCTCTTCCACCCACTCTCCACCCTCTTGACCAACTCCGTCACTTCACCCTTCTTCCCACCAGCGCTCCTCTCCTTCTCCAACGCCCGCTTGATGAGCTGTGCAGCACGCTCCTCGATCCCCATTGCAGTCAAGAAGGCCGCTTGCGACGCCGGGCCGTGCACTTCGACGCCGGGCGAGGACTCGATGGCCGTCTCGGCGAGGGCGAGGAAGTCGACGTCGGCGCTCAGGTCGACGATGCCGGGGGATGAGAAGGGGGAGACACGGGCGTGGGCCTGGATGCCGCGGAGGGTGTTGGCGGGGATGGTGTCCGGGGGGCCGTAGTCGATGATGAGCGCGGCCCCCGAGGGCTCGGGTTTGATTAGAGGCTCCTCTGCTGTTGATGTTGCTGCTTTCCGCCCTGGCAGGGCGTTGGATTTGGAGGTCGAGGGTGGCGCTGGATTCGAGCCGCCTAATCTGATGGCGAGATCACGCACGTACGACTGACTTTCGGGGCTGATTTCGATGGTGGCGTCTTGAATGTCTCTGATCCGCTGGTACCGCGGCGAGATCTCTGGGAGGTACATGGAATGCGGCGTGGCGGTTCTGGACAACGAAAGCTCGAATTCCTCTTCTCCCTCCTTCAAGCGATGGGGTGGTTTCGGGGAGACGAGCATCTCTCGCCATTGACTCGATGGAGCGCTCCTTTGCCGAGCCTCGATCGGCCCAGTCGGGGTTTGGATGGTGTTTGGAGCTTGATTGGGGTGAGCCTGGAAGATGTGGATGGGGAGGGCGTCGAAGAATTCGTGTGCGACGATGAAAGGCATCTTGTCCGCTTCCTTTGGCACCAATCGCAAGTCCTCCGCCCAGATGATGCGGAGATGTGGGGAGTGTTTGCTGGTGCTCTCGTGCCCCAACTCGGTCTCTCGAAGTGCATTGTCGCCGCAAAGAAGCTTATGCTGGGCTTGTCGCAGACTCGCGCTCGCTTCCACCAAGTACACGGCCTCGATGGCTTTCGCCAGTGGCGGGAAGTTGTGAATGGTCTAGAGCTTGGTTAGACAACTTGATCTCGTTCGTCATCTCTTAGCAGGCGGGATACCTACTCGTAATACATCATCCATAAGAGTGCCTCTCCCCGGACCCATCTCCATCAAATAGACGCCCTCGCTCTTTCGCCCTTGCGCAATCCATTCCGCCACAATCCAGATGCCCACCAGCTCCCCAAAGACCTGGCTGATTTCGGGAGACGTAACAAAGTCGCCCTTGGCCCCGAACTGGTCGCGATCGAGGGGAGCAGTGGAGGTGTAGTATCCGCCCAGGTCGGAGGTGAGGCATTGGCGCATATACGAGGCTACCGGGATCGGGCCAGTGGTCTGCCTCTCTCTCAGTATTCAGGATTATGCCGTATATCTCCTTTCAAGTGCGTACCGTGATTGCTTCAGCCAGTTGTTTGGCCAGAGGTGTCGACCACTGATGCCCGGCATCTGAAGACAACCACCTTGCGCCGGCCACCCGGCACTGACTCAATGGTCGTCCATGCACACTGCGAGAAAGCTGCCGTGCCGTGTGGGCCAGGCTTCTTCTCATTATCTCGCACCGAGGTCGTAAGGACAAGAAGGTTAAGGTGTTGCCATTGTGTTTGAGTAGAAGTTTGAAGCGCGTTTGGGAAGTGTCGTCACCGAAATTCGAAAGTTTACCCGCGACACATCGCGTCCGACTTCAACCTCATCAGACACAGCATGCCTTCAAGGTGGGCAGACACGGAAGAAGACGCGGTAGAAGAGGAGAGGAGAAGGGAAGAGAAAGAGGCGAAGAAGAGGGCAAAGGCGGAAAAGCAGCGGCAGGCAGAGGAGGAGGCGCAGAGGGTGAAGGCAGCACAACGCAATGGCATAGAAGGCGAGCGCGATGGCGATGGGAGGGCAGCCAAGCGCCGCAGACTCTCCCCGGACACGGCGACAGATACACCCCCGGTCGAAAACGAGGCAAGCAGGCTCTTGCGCTTCCACACGCCTTCCTGGCAGCCCTGCCGGTCCATCGAGAGATTCCATCTCCTCAACCACATCGAAGAGGGCAGCTACGGCTTTGTTTCGCGCGCGAGGGAAGAATCGACCGGGGAGATTGTGGCGGTGAAGAAGCTCAAGATCGATCCCGTGCGAGACGGAGGCTTTCCCGTGACCGCGTTGCGGGAGATCCAGTGTCTCAACGCCGCCCATCATCGGCACATCGTCAACCTCCGCGAAGTCGTCACGGGCGAGCGCGGGCAGGGGAAGCGAGATGTCTACCTCGTCATGGAGTTTCTCGAGCACGACCTCCAAACCTTGCAGGATGAAATGGACGAGCCCTTCATGCCGTCGGAGATCAAGACTCTGATGCTGCAGCTCGCCAGCGCCGTCGAGTTCCTGCATGACCACTGGATCCTCCATCGCGACCTCAAAACATCTAACATTCTCATGAACAACCGAGGCGAGATCAAGCTGGCGGACTTTGGCATGGCACGCTTTTGTGGTGATCCGCCGCCGAACAACCTCACCCAACTCGTCGTCACGCTCTGGTATCGCTCGCCCGAGCTCCTCCTCGGGACCAAGACGTACGATGCGGCGATAGACATGTGGAGTCTGGGATGCATCTTTGGCGAATTGCTGAGCAAGAAGCCGCTGCTACAAGGCAAGAACGAAGTGGACCAGTTGAGCAAGGTGAGTGAGACATGCGGCTAGCGCATTGGCTGGGAAGGATCAGATGCCATTGCCATGCCTCCTTTCATTGACGATGCGAGAATAGATCTTCGAACTCTGCGGCATTCCCTCTAGCGATGCGTGGCCTGAGTTCCGCAGTCTGCCCAATGCCCGAACGCTACGTTTGCCATCGCAGTCCATCAAGGCGGCACAGGGCAGCATTGTACGCTCCAAGTTCCCCATCCTCACCAATGCTGGTGCAAGTCTCCTCGACAATTTGCTCTCCCTCAACCCCGCGCATCGACCCAGCGCCAAAGAGGTGCTAGAGGACGCATATTTCCGAGAGAATCCACGCCCCAAGCCGACGGCCATGTTTCCCACTTTCCCATCCAAGGCGGGCCAGGAGAAGCGGCGCAGGAAGCAGACTCCCAACGCGCCGGTCAGAGGCGAGGCGCCGAACTTGGGGGAGATTGATTATAGTTCCATCTTCAAGGGGAGGGAGTTGGAGGAGAAGGGCGGCGGGTTTGCCTTGAAGGTTGGGTAATCTCACCTCCCCACGGCACGACTTTCGATCAGGCTTTAGAGAAGACGGTATAGATCACCGGAGGCTGGTGCTTCCGCAAGGCTGTAGGCCAATTTACTGTTGTGTCATCCCTGGGCGATTGATGCAAGAGGATAGCAGAGATATTCAGTAGCAAGCTTATATGATGAGCCTTGCTATAAGGCGTCTGTGCAGCTACTATCAACCGTAGAACAGATTCTGGGAGGATGTGCGGCGATGGTTGTAGGCGCATGTGATGTGTGTGGCTGAGGTGAGGTGAGAATGGCTCGGAGCGGGAGGGAAAGTGGCGCGGGCTTTTGCAGAAAATGGTCTGCGACAATTGCTGAGCCACATATGGGAGATTCTTATTGTCCATGCTTCCATTCAATCACCGACTATCCAGCACTTCACGACATCATCTCAACATGCGCAAATAACCTACTGACAGTCGCCTTGATTCGTGACCTGCGATGCGCCCGCGGATGCCTGTGAACACACCCCGGTGACCTAACGCCATCTCCACCACACCTATCTGACCACTCCCACGCAATAATCAACCATGTCTCGCGGAGGCCGAGGTGGTGGCCGCTTCTATGGCGGCCGCCCACGCGCCGGGCCCACGATGCCCTTCGAAGTCGACCCAGAACTACTCGAAGCCGTCGACCAAGCCGAAGACGAAGAACGCTCGAGCGACGAGGACCGCGCGAAAGATCTCTTCCCGGTTCGCACGCACTGTCCCCTTTCCCACTCACGAACGCCCTACAATCTCTAACAGCCGGCAGGACGTGCTTAGCCCCATTCCCTCCGCCCCCATCACTGCCCGCGAACACCGCGCTGTAGTGCTGCAAAGGGAAATCCAAGCCAGACGCCACGCCGGCCCTTTCTGGACGGGTACGATGGAGCAGTGGGCGGAAATCGACACGCACTCCGGCGGCCAGGTGAATGCGTTTGACGGCGGAGTCGTGGCGACGTATGGGCGGAAACGCGTCCGCAAACCCTTTACTTTGCCTAGTTTGAAAAAGGTCAAGGTTTGCTGTGAGTTACTACGCACCCAGTCCTTTCCGCTGGTGTTCTTTAGCTCTGACTGCGAGAGCTAGATGCCGATTTATTACCCAAGGAGTTGAAGGATGTCGCCACGGACAACAGCCCAGACGGAGCCAACGCTTTGAAGAAGAAGAGACTCGCGCGAAAGTCCGCTGCAGATAGATTGGCCAGACTAGACGAAGAGGACCCGGCAAATCTCGGGCTCAACGATCGCGGCGCGGCAAGTGACGAGGAGAACGAAAAGGGCGAAGACGACGAGGACGATCCGGAGCGCGAGCCGGAGGATGACGACTTCACCGAGGACGAAGAGGACGACGACGATTACAACGCCGAGAAGTACTTTAACGATGGAGACGGCGACTTTGACGAGCCCGTGGGTGGAGGCGGAGGAGGGGACGACTACGGGGGAGACGATGCGTACTGAAGTCGGAGAGTTGTTTGCGCCACACCGGCCAATGCTACGTTTAGGAATGCGTTTTCAAGCAAGTCATATCGCCCCCACTACACTCGTCAGGCCGATGTCTAGGCAGAAAGATGGAACGCCGCGCTACGCCGTTTGCCCCATCTCACCGCATCTCACATAACGCCGGCGATCGAAGACACATGCTGCCCATCGTCATACTAGTACGTCCGAGCTAGGTTCCTCAAGTACCAGTCTACCAGCCTTCTGCCCACCTTGGCCTCCGAAACGTGAATCAGATCGGCTTGCATGGCGTAGTCCAGGTCGCTCGAATTCACCACGTCTCCTTCCAGCAAGCCGCCCTCGCTGTGCCGCATCTGCCTCGATCGTTGCTTGTTGACCAGCAGCCAGCTGCGCAGCGTTTCCGCGTCGACCTCCAGGAAGCCGGCCAGCTTCTTCAGGTCCATGGTCGTGTAGAGTTTGAGGTAGCTCCGCACCGTCGGCGAGAACATGTTGTTCTTCACTTCCTCCATGAAGATGGCGAGGTGGTGCTCGACAGGGTCGACGTTGAGCTGGGGGTTGTCGAAGTCGGGAGCGGTGGGTGAAATGAACTTGGGGCAAGCGGCGCGGAAGAGCTCCTCAAAGATGGGGAGGGCCTCGGGGCCGCCACGTTGCATGCGCGTGAGCTGCTCGCCGTACTTCTCTCGCAAGGCCGTGTGGATGGTATCGTCGAGACGCTGGGGGTAAAAGGCGACGCAGATGGCCACGAGTGCGTACATCTGGTCGTTCTTCTTGGTGATGCTGTCGAATTGCGCATTCTTTTGGAAGTTCTTTGTCCGGCTGACGTAGATGAGGATATGGTTGAAGGCGCGCAGGGCGTCGGCGTAGCGGTGCATCATCATGTAGCTGAAGCCGACGTAGTAGTAGGTGGTGAAGTTGGCAGCCATCACTCGAGCAAACATGGCCCGCTTGTTCAACTCAATGTCGTCGAGCGTCTTCAACGCCAAGCTGAAATCTCCCAGCAGACAATGCACTCGAAGCAGTCCGATGATGGAGAAGTAGCCGAGCATCTGATACAGATTTCTGCTGCCATACTCGCCGGCATAGAGCGCAGAATCCTCGCCGCGCTTCTTTGCCGCGAGTTGCTCGCTGATCTGAGAGCGCTGGATGAGGGAGTAGAGGACGTTGAGGACCGAGTAGCAGCCCCAGGTGTTGGGGTTTTCGCGCAGAATGGAAATGTCGTCTTCCTTGTCCGCGGGCTGCGTGTGGGCAAGGCGCTGTCGGTAGGCGCAGAAGGAGTTGAACTGGTAGATGAACTCGTCTATCACGTCCCATGCCCAGTAGTACTATACAAATCATCAGCAGGTGGCACGAGGATGGTTGTAACCCGAAAGACCCACCGAAGGAACTTCTATGTCCACCGGCCCTTCACTGTTGAGGATGTAATGGAAGAGGGCACAGTAGCTGTCGTAACTTTGGATCTTCAGTTCGATGGATGCGCCGTATTCCAGAGGTTGCGCAGCAGCGACCAGCTGGGCGTGTAGGTCTTGAGGGCCGCCTCCTGCCGAGCCTGTTCTGTCGAGATCGTAGTCCCCCCCATCTTCGTAGCTGACCTGCTCCTGGTAGTCATTCGCCAGAGCCTCCTCTTCTACATCCGAATCATCGTCGATGGTGCGCTCGGGCGCGTTCTGCTGATATTTGGGCGCTTGTCGTACCGACATCGTGGTGGAAATGTGTGGCAGGAGAGACAGGCGTGGCCAGGGCAGATGCGCTGAAGTCTTCCTCTGCCACCGCTCACACTTCCTTGTGCGAAATTTAAAGTGGGGCGAACTCTTGGCCCAGGCGGAAGTGTCCGTGGTCTAACCATTTCAGGACTTTGGCGACCTCTCCTCAGCCGTGTAGCATTCCCCCACTTCATCACCTCGACTCTGCCCGACCTTGTATTGCGAGAGAGCAAGACGTGGCGCTTCGAAAGATACATACAATCAAAATCCCTCACTTGCCATTTCCTATCTCGGAGCACTCAGCCAAGCAATCTCGTCGACTCCCTTAGCAACCATGTCTCCTACTCACCGCATAGCGGTGATCCAAATGCACCCCAAGCCCATGGCACTGGAGAAGAACTTCGAAAAAGCAGCCGACTACATCCGTGCAGCAGCTCGGCAGCACGCCCACCTCGCCGTGCTACCCGAGTACCATCTGCTCAACTGGATTCCGCACGATCCGAAGTTCAAGCAAGCTTGCGGCCAATGGCGAACGTACCTGCAGAAATACCAGGATCTGGCCAAGGAATGCAACATTTGTATTGTCCCGGGTACCATTATCGAGCTGCACGAAGAGGCCGTGGAGGATGAGCGACTCCTCAATGTCGCTTATTTCATCGACAACAAGGGCGAGATCTTGGGCAGATATGTCAAGAAGAACCTCTGGGGTAACATTGAGAGAGACCATCTCACCTCATCCACTCACGATCCACATGAAGTCTTTGATACGCCTCTCGGCAAGGTTGGCCTGCTGATTTGCTGGGATCTGGCTTTCCCCGAGGCTTTCCGTGAGCTGATCGACAACGGGGCGAAGATCATCATCATCCCTACTTTCTGGACGCTGAGCGACTGTTCGAAGGATGGTTTGGCAATTAATCCACTGTCGGAGGGTTTGTTCCTGGACTCGATTCTAACGGCGAGATGTTTCGAGAATACTTGCGGTAGGGCACTCTATCGTGCGCATCCGCCTGACTCGATCGCTAATCAATCATACAGCTGTCGTATTTGCCAACGCTGGCGGTCCCGCCGGCAAGGGCTATGCGGGTCTTTCCCAAATCTGTGTTCCCTACGCTGGAGCCCTGACAAGACTCGGAAGCCATGCTGAAGGTATGGCTGTCGCCGATGTTGACATGAACATACTTGAGATCGCCGAACAGAACTATCAAGTGAGAACGGATTTGGCGAGGAGTGACTGGCATTACATGTATCGACATACGAATAATGCGGATGATGGAAGCAAGTCTGATGCGAAGCTATGAAGAAATGTATACGTTTACTTCACCAGCTCATTGCGGACATTCCTCCTGATCCTTGCTCAACAAGAGTCCCCTGCCCTCTCTGTCTCGTTCCACCCTCTTCTCGATCCGCGAGACCCAAGTCGACTGACGATCGGATTTGATGTAGTTGCGAGCCTGCCACCTCAGCTCGGGCGAGATCTCTTCGCTTCGGTAGAGGTGTTCCTCGTCCCGAGTGACTCCAGGCTCCACGACCTTCGAGCATGTGGAGGAATGGGCCTTGGCTTTAGCCTGAGCGATCTCCGCTGACTGGTTCCTCTGCAGGTTGAGCTCCTCACGAAACTTTGACCTGTACGACTGCATGTTGATCGTTGATGTTCGCCGTGCTGGGGTCGCCGGTAATTGCTTTGTGTTGTACTGCTCGACTTCGTGCTCAGGAGGTGCGGGGAACCCGTGCTGCGATGACCTCTTGACGATGCTGAGATAGCTGTCGTGCTTGGCTGTCGATCGCCTGTGAGCGTCGTCGAGAGCAGAGCTCACCTCCTCCGCCCAGATCCGGTCCTCGGACAGAGGAGAGACCAAGGCCTGACTGTCGTAGACGGGGGTAAACGTTGGAGTCGCAGCATTCTGGCCGACTGTTGCATTCCACGGCCAGCTTTCGGAACGTGCAGCCCGCAGATCGTGCAAGTCGCCGCCAGCTTGAACAGACCACGCTTCAACAGACCACGCTTCCGAATCGACTGTTTCTTGATCAGCCGCCGCTTGAGTGGGGTGCATGACTTGTGGAACAGTAGTGGCAGGTTTCAGCATACCTTTGAGACAGCCCTCGGTGTTTCGGCGCATGCGCTTGAAGAGACCAGCGTTGACAGTAACGCTGCCGTCCATGTGGTGGACTTGATCGCGGGGATATGTCGATGTTGTCTCACAACCAAGGTCTTGCAGCTTCTAGGCGGTGTGTAACGAGACACAAGAACAGGAAGAAGAAGGATGGCAGCCTTCTTGATGGGTGAGACCCAAATGTAACGGCCGCAGTAGTCACATATATAGTGAAGTGCAGACGGTGAAGGCATCTGGACAACACAAAGAGCCAACAAAGCCATTGTGAAGGACAATGCGTGGAGTGAACTGGAACCTGATGTGCCCTTTGTCGTCGGACGTAGGACAAAGACCCCGCGCGCCTTTTGTGAAGAGTAGACGCTCGAAATAGTGGTCAAAGGAACAGGTCGAAAAGCTGATGGAGTTGCTTTCACCCTCATGTGACTGGTGCCGTCAACACTTTATGACATCCTGGAGACTCGATTAGCGGGTTGTGGGTAGCTGCATTAGAACTCGTTGCGTCGGATAGACACGTATAGAACGATTCGACTCCATATGGCTGTGTATAGTTATTCTGACAAGCTTGAGCGGAGGAATGAGACAGCAAAAAGATGAGAAGCCGTAGATAGGAAGCTGTGCTTGATTGTCTCACATGCAAATGTTTCCAGTGAACCAGGCACGCCTGCCACGCAATCACACCCTAGCGGCCCGCATATAGCCCACAAGTCCACTGCAGTAATCCGCGAGCCTCTGCACCCTTCTTCGCTCTGCCTGTAGTGCTCGTGACCACTCTGCAACCGCATCTCTCAAAGCCTCACTGCCTAAGACGATGTCGCCATGGACACGAAGAAAGACGGCCATCCACGCTTGACCCAGCTCAAAGTCGCGTTTCTGCTGAAGCAGCCACGTCAAAGACTGAACAAACGTCACCATGTCTCGGCCTTCCACCGTCATTGTTCGGATCTCAATGTCGGCCGCGGCAGGACTGAGCGATTGGAGATGCGCCAGGAATCGTGCGTAGTCTTGTTCGTCATGGATATTGCGCAGCAGCTCGCCGAATGTACTCTTGATGCCCTGAGCATGCAGCCTGGAGATACGGCTTCGTTCTTGTTCCATTGTCATCGCATCGGCTTCCTGCAAGAGCAAGGCGTTACTATCAGATTGACGGTCTTGCGCCGATGGCAAGAAGAATGGGGCCTTCTCCGGCTTTTTCGGCGGTTCGACTGGCTTGTTTCGTTGCCGAATAAGGTCCATGTGCAACAAGTTCTGCCATCTGGAGCGCGGCACAAGCGAAAGTGAGAGCAGGTTTGAAGATAGCTCGTCCAGTTCGATTTCCGGTAGCCCGTTGACAAGATCCGCGTCATCGTCCTCAATCTCGGCTTGAGCTGCCACGAGACTCTCACCGCCCTCGCCGCTCGAAGTCGGAGCTTGAGTGTCTCCGGCAACGATTTGTGACAACTCCTTCTCACCCAAACGTCGAGCGGGGACGTGCATGAAAAGCGAACGATTGCTCCACACGTCCACGCCGACGCTGCCTGCAGTCGCGGTAGCCAGGAATTCGCCGGTGGGCGAAAATGCAAGGCTGGTACATTCCGTGCGTGTCTTGAAAGCATCGATAAGATGGCCCGCGGGCAAGTCCCAAAGAAGAACGAGAGAGCCAATGCTAGCCGCGATCCAGTGTCCATCGAATGAAAAGGCCATGTCGTTGATCGTCAGACCATTCAGCTCTGGAATAGCAGGCCGAGAAGGGAAGAGCTCACGGATGAGCCTGAATGTCGTTACATCTACGACGCGAACAGCGCCATCAGAACAAGCGAGAGCAGCCAGATTTGAACTGCGATGGAAACGCATGCTCGTGATGCCGGTCGAGACGGTCCAATTGATTTCGTGGATCAGCAGGCCGGATCTGAAGTCCCAGAATTTGACCTTGCCGTCTGCACCCGCGGACATGACCGTTTTGTTGAGGTTGTCGATCGCCAGGCCCACCACGGCACTGGCATGTCTCCCTTGACCGCGGAGGAATTTCTTCTTCCCATCATCTTCTTCAACCAAACCATGTTTCTCCACGTCGAGCTTCAACTGCTTAGCTTGTAGTGGCGTCAAGCGCGCAGGAAAGCGTTGACGATGTATTCCTGACTGCATGTTAAAGACGTCGATGGCCCCCTTCTCCGATCCAATGAGACCAAAGGTACCGCACGGCGACATGGCTACCGCAGTCACATTATCCCCGTCGCCTGTTTGAAATGCCCATCGGCCCGCGCGCTTGCGGCCCCAGAACCAGGTTCGAGCCTTTTTGTCATTTTCATGGGCAGTGATGACACTTTCCCAGCCGGTTGTCCCACTGACTTCCGCACTGACCTGTTTGCCTTTTGCTCCTTGCCAGATGGGATGTTTGCCGGGAACAGCACCAATTCCACCATCGCGATTCAGACTGCAAGCCACAGCAACCACCGGTGGACACTTCAAAGCTTCGAGGCTGTCACGATTGCTACCGGAGAGAAGGCCCTGCTTCTTCGCCTTGCTTTGTACGGCGCCCTGACTTAGCTCTGTACTCTGGCCATCCCGACGCAGGGACCATCCCCATAGACTCCGGTCTTTGCTTCCGGAGATCAGCCATTTGCCTGTGTCGTCGGAACCATCTGAAGCGAACGGAAGGAAGTGCAGCTTTGTGATGGGTGCACCGTGTCCACTTCTGGAGTGAAGAATTCTCGGGACTGGGCTGAAGGGGGTTTCATCGAAGATCCAGGTTTTGAGACTGTTGTCGAGCCCGCTGCTCACGAGCACAGCTTGCCCAGAGAGGAACTCCACTCTGCTGACGCCGCCGGGGGAGGATGTCGTTGGCTGCGCGTGTGCCGCGCGCAAGACTCCGGCTTTCTTTCCACCCTCATTGAGATCCCAGAGTGTGACATCGCCGGAATGCACAGACGAGGTAGCCATGACACCAGGGATTCGACCGTCATCGCCGGCGCCCATTCCGTCAGTACGGAAGGAGATTGAAGTCACGGCAAGGGCGGCGGGAGTTGAGAGCTGGATGACGGTTTGGTCGGTGCGGACATCGTGAATGCGCAGCTGACCGTTTTCATAGGCAAGAGCCACAAGAGAGAGTGCGGGGGTTGGCTCAATGGCGGTGACAGCTCCAAATGATGTTGACGGAGGAAGGATGGTGTAGATTAATTTTCCACTCGAGACGTTCCACAGCTCTGCGCTGCCATCCTGCCTACCGACCAAGACCTTGTTCAACAAAGTTGGCACGTTGGCGATGCAGGCGGTGAATGGCACCGGGGAGATGCCCTTTAGGATGGTGTAGAGCGCGTATGTCTCGGAGTTCCAGACCAGCATTTGGGACTGGCAGACGCCGACCATCCACGATCCAAGGACACAAAAGGACTGGACATTCTCGGTCCAGCTCGGGGGAGACTCCAATTCTGCTTCCCGCCGTCCGCGCTTGAACACCCACACACCTCTCTGGGATTTGACCGTGTCGCCGCCCCATGCAGCAAAGACTTTGTCCTTCCGTGCGGCGCTGGCGGTGATGGTCTCAGGCGTCTGCGGGCGGGTGATGAAGACGAGGTTCAGACCTTTGCGAAGGTCATACGTCTGGAGGCTCCGGCCCACGGAGGTGGTAAGTTGAAAGGTGGTTTTGCCGAGAGGGACGCTGGTGAATGGGACAGCGGTTGGAGAAACCAGACCGACCGTCCGGTAGGGAGCAAAAACACGGGATGCGCCAGGCACGCTCCTCCCTTTTGCGGCCCCGTTGACGAGTTTTTGCCGCTTGACGAGGCGTCCTCCTTCCGCATCGTCCTTCTGCATCGCTGCTACCGATGAGGACTGCACGTGGGGGTGGAAGAATGCAATCACTGCATGTTTCTTTGCCGCACGCTTGAAACTTTTTTGGGTGTGAAGTCTTATCTTATCTTCGGCATTGATCATCTTATCTTATCGCTGGGTATGTTGACGTCCGCACGCCGTACTTTACGTCACGATCGGTGTTGCATGTGAACATTGAACTTGGTGCATGTCCTCGAGAGACTCGCGAAGAGCTCGTCCCATCTTGCTTCTCATATCTCCTTGCTTTGGTCTTGGGTGGTTCTTGTCTTGTACATTTATCCTTCTCATGTCGCTTTCCCAGACAGAGATCCAGGCTGTCGCGCTCCCGATCGCCCGACATGCTCGCTAGTGCGGATGCCTCACTGTCCCGCTCCACTTCCAACGATTCTGCCCGCTCTGCCGCGCACCAGCTCTCCAATGCCACTCCGGCCTCTCGCAAAGGCACGAATGTCGAAGCGGAACCCACAAGCGGCATCACCGACCTCGCCAGCATCTCCATGCCCCCACCAGCCCTCCCTCGCTCTCGAAGCCCGACCGCCGCCAATCTACAGCCGTCGTCCGGTCGAGTCGCGGATGAGGCGACTACGAGAAGATCAGATCCCGGCATCACAACCAGCATGTCATCCACTTCAATGAACATTCCGGGCAAGAGCGCTTCAGGCTCGGTCACAGGGGGAAGCAATTCCCCAGACGGCTCGCGAGCTCAGCCCTCACCCATCGCAGATCCGCCTGCCTATCTCAATCCCACCCTGCCCGACAGCAACAACAACAAAGCGCCTGCCGTCACCCAGCACACAGTCGTCACGGCGTCCGGCCAGAACGGCGCTCTATCGCCCACCCTGAACGGCTCGCTTCGAGAGCCTCCGTCGGCCAATACTTCCCACATCACCATGTCTGCATCGACGCCACATTTGTCAAGAGAAGGCCGTACAGTTCGAGGTCGTACTCCCGCCTCCTCCTCCCGCCGCGTGTCCAACAGTGGTCCAAACAGTACCTCCGCATCCACAGAGCGATCGACAGCGAATGAGCGCAATCCCAACAAAATCGGCACACTGGGCATTTGTGCCTTGGACTCGAAGGCCAGGAGCAAACCCTCGCGTAATATTCTGAATCGGCTGGTGGGCAAGGACAACGACTTCGACGTCATTATCTTCGGAGACAAGGTTATCCTGGACGAAGATGTGGAGAACTGGCCGGTATGCGACTTCCTGATCAGCTTCTTCAGCGACGGCTTTCCACTAGACAAGGCCATCGCATACGCCAAGCTGCGGAGGCCCTTCTGCGTCAACGACCTTCCCATGCAGACCGTGCTTTGGGATCGTAGGATCTGTCTTCGCATACTCGACAAACTTGGCGTGCCCAGTCCCCAGCGGCTTGTCGTGAGTCGGGACGGAGGACCGGTATTGGCCTCTGCAGATATCGCGGAGCGCCTGAAGCAACTCGCAGACGTGGACTTGCACGGCCCCGAGGGCCTCGGAGGAGGTGAAAAGGCACCATACGAGATATATCTCGAAGACGACAGTGATACCCTGGTGGTCAATGGACAGAAGCTGAGCAAGCCATTTGTCGAGAAGCCGGTCAGCGGTGAAGACCACAACATCAACATCTACTACCCCAAGTCGCAAGGTGGCGGTGGTCGCAGACTCTTCCGAAAAATCAACAACAAGTCAAGCGAGAAAGACGAGAATCTCGTTGTCCCTCGAGCGGTCACTGATCAGACAGGAAGTTTCATTTACGAACAATTCCTCAAAGTCGAAAACGCCGAGGACGTCAAAGCATACACCGTTGGCCCCGACTTCTGCCATGCTGAAACGCGAAAGTCACCTGTCGTCGACGGCGTCGTGAAACGCAATCCTAACGGGAAGGAGATTCGATATGTGACGTCCTTGTCAAGAGAGGAGCAACTCATGGCCACCAAAATCGCAATGGGCTTTGGACAGAGGGTTTGTGGGTTCGACTTGCTGAGGGTCGGTGACCAAAGCTATGTAATTGACGTCAACGGCTGGAGCTTTGTAAAGGACAACAACGACTACTACGACAAGTGCGCCAGCATTCTCAAAAGCATGTTTGTGAGGGAGCGGCTACGCTGGGACGGCAAGACGACGCCCAGCGAAGACGGCGATGGCAAGGAACTTCAGCTGCCCGATCTCGCCGCGCTTGAGAAGCTGAGCAATCATCGAAAGTCGACATTTTCCATGGACAAGGAGCGGGCAAGCCATCGCCATTCCCTCAAGAGCGTGTTTCGGGCTCGCAGCATTTCTCAACTCCGCGACCAAGTCAGCACTGCCGCTCTCAAGATGGGCCACCCTCAATCCGCACGCAGCCCAGGCGGCACGTCAAGCCCATTGAGCAACCCGCCGACTCTCGAACGCTCACCAAGCAAACAGAAGATTCCGTCGATGTCAAGAGAAAACTTGCTTCCCCCTCCTGCCATTGCGGGCCACGAATCTCATTTGAAGGAGATGGCGGTTGCCGATCGATCGAGTTCAGCTCCTGAGCACGCAGTTGTACAGACCGAGCAAGAGCCACCAAAGACCGTTCCAGCGCCAGCGTCAAAATCGCAGTGGAGACTGAAAGGCATGGTGGCGGTGATTCGCCACGCGGACCGCACGCCGAAGCAGAAGTTCAAGTTCACGTTTCACTCCAAGCCTTTTGTCGATCTTCTCAAGGGCCATCAAGAGGAGGTTCTTCTCGTTGGCGAAGCGGCTCTCCACTCTGTCCAGTTGGCCGTCAAGCAAGCGCTGCAGGAGGGGGTTGAAGACCGTACGAAACTGCGGACGCTACAAAACGCCCTTGCAAAGAAGGGGAATTGGCCTGGCACAAAGGTCCAGATCAAGCCCATGTTCAAGAAGCCAAAGGAAGATGGGGGAAAGGCAAAGGAGAAAGGCGACAAGGGCGTCGATCCCTCGGACACTGTTCCCATGGTCGGTCCATTTGAAGGGGAGGCCGATTCCCGATGGCCTGCCAAAGGCTTCAAGGACTTGACGTCTTTTACTGAAACGGACTCTGGTGGACCGGCGCAGGTGCGGGTGCAATCTCGAAGTGACTCGGTAGGCGAGGTTACCATGTCCAGACATGCCGCTGCGGAGAACAATCTCGTACTGGACAAGCTGCAACTGGTCATGAAGTGGGGTGGGGAGCCTACGCACTCGGCAAGATACCAGTCCGCCGACTTGGGCGAAAACATGCGCAACGACCTACTTTTGATGAACAAAGAGGCCCTCTCGGATGTGTCCATCTTCACTTCATCTGAACGACGGGTGACCACTTCCGCTCAAATATTCGCTGGTGGCTTCCTGGGTCAAGCGGATGTAGACACTCGGCAGATCCGGGTTCGAAAAGATCTGCTGGATGACTCGAACGCTGCGAAAGATGAAATGGACAAAGTGAAGAAGAAGCTGAAGGGGCTCTTGCGACAAGGCAATGCAGCGCCTGAGCAATTCGCGTGGCCGAAAGACGGTACACCCGAACCATACGTGGTGGTGCGAAACGTCGTCGAGCTCATGAAGTTTCATCGCCGAGTCATGCGTGACAACGTGTCCAAATTGGGCTCCGAAGCCACTCGGTCCTTGCAGAAGGTGAGCAATTCTACGACATACCCCCAGGATGTGGATGCCAGCGCCCTTGCCAACGGTGGCGAGTCGATCAGCCAGGCTTCGTCCGTGCAAGCTAGATGGTGCACGGGCGAGGATGCAGAGTTGTTCAAGGAGCGATGGGAGAAGCTGTTCAACGAATTTACGGATGCGGAAAAGGTTGATCCTAGCAAGATCAGCGAGCTATACGACACGATGAAGTTTGACGCGTTGCACAACCGACAATTTCTCGAGTGGGTCTTTACGCCGAGTCAAAGCTTCATGGTGGAAGAAGGCGAGGAGGACGACCGTGTCCTGCGACGCACAGAGTCCGTCGTTGCGCGAGAGGAGTTTGCGCATACTCATGACGGGACTGCTCCGCTGTACGACGGCAAGAATGAGCCGGATGGACGAGACAGCGAACCACCACGTCGGAGTGGGACGACAACATCACTGGCCAGCTTACCGATGTCTTCGGACTCGGAGCGACACTCGTTTGCGCACCGCGTGGGCCTACGACGCCGATCGGCGGATTTGAAGGCGGCCGCAAGGAATGCAATGGCTGGCGTAAACCCGGAGGACTCCTACTTCAACCTCTACAAGGGAAGCGTATCCGCTGTGGACTCGAAAGTCCGCAATGATGCTCGACTGGAGAAGCTGAACGAGCTGTACGGTCTTACGAAGATTCTGTTTGATTTCATCGGCCCGCAGGAGTACGGCATTACGAATTCCGAAAAGCTGGAAATTGGACTCCTGACCAGTCTGCCGCTTCTGCGAGAGATTGTCAAGGACTTGGAAGAAGTGCAAGCATCGGACGATGCGAAATCGTTCATCTACTTCACCAAGGAATCGCACATTTACACACTGCTCAACTGCATATTGGAGGGCGGCATCCAGACCAAGATTGCCCGCAACGCCATCCCGGAGCTCGATTATCTCTCGCAAATCTGCTTCGAGTTGTACGAATCGGAGAACGCGGAGGCAGACATCGACCCCGCGAATCCCGAGACGAACTTCAACTACTCGATTCGCATCACGATGAGTCCGGGCTGCCACACTTTCGATCCGCTGGATGTGCAGTTGGATAGCAAGCACTGCATTGGCTGCGCCCCGCGCCGGAGTCTGACGCCGCACGCGAACTGGAGGGACGTGATTGAAACCCTGCGTGCCAAATTCGACACTGTCAAGCTGCCGACGTCGTTTGTAGCGGTCAACTTGTCCGAGAAGATCCCGCAGGAGTTTGTGAGTAAGGAGGCCGCGGCGGGGCTAAGTGATGATGTGTAGCGTTAGCCTTGCTTGCTTGGTGTTGATGTTGACCAGGAATTGCTTGCGTTCACAGTCGTACACATAGAGTTGGGTTTCATTCTTTTTAGTAGCGAGAATCCATATCCTCCAGATCTTGATTGTCTTCTGACTCGTCGCTTTCGGCTGCTTCGTCTTCGTCTTCTCCCACCTCCTCATCGCTTGAGATGACCTCCTTTAACGATGTTCGTGTCAAGGTCTGAGGCAGATCGACTTCATCCTGCACCCCAAGCAACTTGGCCTGCTCGGGCGTAAGGTCAACTACCTGCGGTGCAAACTCCCCCGTTTCATCATCCTCATCGAAGGCCGTCGTGTCCATCCGAACCTGTTCCCCATCCTCCAGCTCCAGCAGACCCGTCTTGGCAAAGCTCCCGCCAAACTGCCACCCATACTCTTGCTTCAAATACTCCTCCAAATCATCCAGCTCGTCCACCACATCCTGGACATCGATTGCGTCGAGCCCAGTCAGGCCTTTCCGGAAGCGCACGAGCAGACTCTTCAACAACGAGCCCCCCTCATCCGCAAGATCGATTAATCCACCTTCCGCATCCTTGCAATGCTGCAGCTGAATTCGAAGTGCGGCAATGGCTGCGATGAAGAGATCCGGCTGCTCTGCCACGGCTGACTTGCAGGTGAAAAGCAGGGTCAGAAGCCGCTTCCATTGCTCGAGGCAGGAGAAATTGTTGATGGTTAGGATCATGAGGAAGCAGAATTGCAGCTCGCCGATGATCTCGAGGGGATTGTGGGTGAGGTTGTTGAGCGCCCAAGAGCGGTCTTGAGCGGCGTCTGTTCGCTCGCGACCGGTAGCTCCTTCGCGCCAGGTTTGCTTGAGGTCGATGGGGAGGAAGTGCAGTTCTTCTCCGGGTTGCAGGTCGAGGTCTTGGTCTACAAGACCGGGGATGTCTTCGAGGTCGCGGCGCGAGGAGTTTGCAGAGCTGACTTTCCAGTCGGCGCCGTTTCCGAGGAGTCGGGAAAGTAGGGTAGGGGTGATGGAGGCGGTTAGGGTAGACCAGTCGGAGCTCACTTCGACATCGTCCCCTTCAGTTTTGGCAACTTCTTGTCTGTAGGGTGTCAGGCCATTCCATATGCTTCCCAGGTTGGCTCGTTGCCGTAGAATCTCTGTCTCATCGGTGATCCGAACGAGGGCCTCGGACGCTGCGTCCCATTGTGTGACGATGACATCCGGAGGATTGCCATTGTTCGTGATATCAAACCAGATTCCATGCCGCTCGGAGAAGGCCGTCGTCGGACTGGCAAAGGCAAAGTGAAGGCCGGTTGATATGCCTTTGACCCCGCGAAAACGGGGAGTGGTCGTGAAAGACAACAAGTCAATGCCTCCCAATGCGCCTTCGGGGAGGCCGAGCATCAGCACAACAGGCGCCTCGCTGGACTCCATTGTGTTGCTCAAGACTCTGCGCAGGCTTTGCAAGGCTTCGAACTCATGCCCGGCCGCTGTTTCTTTGTTCGATTTTTTCCGGCACGCCTCCCAATGGTGATATCACCCTCCCGACCGTATAATGGGCAAAACTCGATGGTTATTGGATCAAAAAGGATGAAAATAGGCTTAAAAGAAAGCTGGACTCACAGGGGATCGAACCCTGGACCTTCCGCAGTCGACTCCACTCCACTCCGCTTAGTGGAGGGTGATGTTTGCAAAGCGAGATGCAAAGCGGATGCTCTACCCTGAAATGGGGGTCAGCAGGAGTCGAGATGGATGCACCTGATTTCACGCACACTGAGCCACAAGCCCGTGATTCCGACGGAGTTGTCGACGACGATTCTCCGCGAAAATCTGAGACCGGGGCGAGTTAAATTGTACATATACGCCAATGGCTTGGCGGCCGAGCATCACCCGTGCCACCGCTAGACCTTCAGTACGCAAGGGTGGAAATTCATTCTGATCGTATTTAACATATTGAGCGTCTTATTACGCTGCTCGCTCCATCTCCCCGAGCGTCAGGTCTCGCCGAAGACAAAGATACCCTTGCCGCTTCTGAAGCCTTCGAGCGTTCCAGCAACAGCCTTGACCAGCTCCTCCTGCTTCGAATTGAAGTCCCACGTCAAACGATCCATTGGAACATCCTTGAACTTCCCTTCCCTCGTCAGATCGAGAATCTCCTGCACGCATGCATCCTTTTCATCCGGCTTCTGCTCCGCCCACTTGCTCACCCAGAAGCCGTCAAAGGCGACTTGCTTGAAGATCATGATGCTCAGTGGCAGCGAGACGGGCTGTTTCGACATGGCGCCGTAGGTGACCATGTGCGAGCCTGGTGCCAGCTGCTTGGCCATGCTGTTGACGAGGGAGCCTCCAACACAGTTCAATCCCAATCGCACAGGCTCGCGTCCGCCATTGGTCAGCTCCTTGATCTTGTCGCGGAACTCCTTCTTCTCGACTTCCTCATCAGTCACCACGACATCTGCTCCCAAGCCCTGCAAGTCAGCTTTCAACTCTTCCATTCCAGTGTCTCGTTTCCGAACAACGTTGATGCTCTTGTAACCCCACAGCTTTCCCAGCTGGATCGCAGCTCGACCAACACCCGAATTCGCCCCATTCTGTATGAACCATTGCCCGGGATGAAGATCGACAAAGTCTTTCAACATGCGATATGCCGTACAAGGGTTGACCGACACAGTGCCGACTTGTTCCGGCTTCAAGCCGTCTTTGTTCCTGATGGGCGAAAGGTAGTCCATCGTAGTCTGCGCGTGGGTTCGCCATGTTCCAAATCCTTGCTTCCTCATGATGACCCAATCGCCCTTTTGGACTTCTTTCACGCCGCTCCCGACGGACAGGACCTCGGCCACGCCCTCATTGCCTCCCACAGCGATGGGTTCGCTCGTCCCCAATGCGGTAGTCCAGGTGGGTTTTGTAGGATAGACGCCCTGGATTTGATTGATGTCTGCAGGGTTGATGGGCGACGCGAGGAAGCGGACGGTGACGAGGTCGCGATGGGGAGGACTGATGGAGTGGCCGTGCAGGCGCAGGACGTTCTTGGGTTCTCCGTGATTGTCGAATACGAGGCATTTGGCTTGTTCGTAGCCGTACGCTGAGATTCCACGGATCTGCCGAGTATTGTACGATGGATGGTGGAATTGACGGACAGCAATCCGCGCAGGACCGAACAATGCCCTTGACGGCGCCATTGGAGCGAATGGTGAAGTTGCAGGGAACAATGCCTTTGATCTTTATTGAGCTTTGGACAGTTCTTATGCGAGATGACGCGCTTTGCGTCCAAGCGTTCGGAACAGCAGCCGAGAGTGCACTTCACTTCATTGCTCAGGGACTCACCTTGCAACATGACTACGATGTGCCAGAGACATCACTTTGAAAGTGAAAGCAGAATTGTATATGTGTACTGTGCACTATCTTGCGTCCAACCAACAACCTCCAAAAGCAAAAGCCCGCCCACCGCGTCCAAAACCCAACAGCCTATGATAATCATTCGAATGAACACCGAAGCTCGCACAATCGAAAAGCAAAACTCTGCCCACCGCAACGCCAGCAGCCAATGAGAACCATTAGAATGGACGCCGAAGCTCGCGCACCCGGCCACTTGCACCCTCCCATCCCACACCACCTCCACTTCCTGGACTGTGCTGACCTCAAGTCATCTCCTCGTCGTCGCCCATTCCCTGGGCTTCTTCCCAGTCGCCAGACGCGAGCGGCGAGGGTGTGCGTTGTATCTTTTCCACCTCTAACTGGAGTTCCGTCATGTCGAAGCTGCTGCCGCTCGCTCCATGCGGCCCGAGCGGCGAGGGTGTGCGTTCAAATTTTTCCAGCGCCGTCCGGAGTTGCGTCATGTCGAAGCTGCTGCCGCTTGCAACCTGCGCCGCGAATGCGCCCCAGGAATCTCCTGCAATGCTTGCCCCCCTTGGAAGTTTGACGCTGTGCTTCGCCGCAGCCGAATCTCGGTACAGGGTGGAGCCACTCGGCTTCCAGGTGATCAACTCGACCTGCTCGCTCAGCTTGAAGCTTCCTTCCGGGCACCAAGTGCTGAAAGGTAGGTCTGGCACGATGGCAGTGAACAGTTCTTCCTCAATCTTGCCATCCTTGCTTCGAATTTTCGTGTACCCGTACGACACCTTCGTCAGTGGATCTTGTTGGAGCGGGCGGAACCCCCGATTTTCTGGCAGAGTCACGACGTGCCACTCCATCGGACGGATGCCGAATCTCCCAGGATTGGTCCTTCTCTGCAAGAACGCGGGGAGGAATTTCTTGACATTGATCTTTTTAAACTAAGGACTGTCAGCCATCCGTTGCGCAGCGGTACGAGGGAGAGTGTCCGCTTACCTCGGGTGCCCGCGCACGCTGCTTAAGAATCCTGGTGACGCGAGATTCTGTGATGCGTGGCTGTTGTCGCCTCGGGACGTTTGCTTGCGGTGCCATTGCTTTGACTTGGCTGTTGGAGTTGTGGGAATCGTGTAAGTGTGGCTTGCAGATGAACAAGACGGAACGGGGGCAGGCCTTTATATCTGTGTCGGGGAGCGAATATCTTATTTTCGCTCCTGAGCGCTGCCGTTCTTCGCTCGTGAGCTGATATTCTGTGGCTGTCCTCACTTAGCCTCCGACGCCCACCACCATCGGTGGCGAATTCGCTCGACCAAATCCGCTCGGACATATCGTCGGGAGCGAATCGATTCTTATATTGCCGCAGTTGAGGATTTAATTCTGGGCTTCCCGCACTCCCTGACTTGTGCAAATCCAACCTGCAGACAACATACACGCCAGCCGAACATGGAGTATCGCAACAAAGCAGTCCTCCGCAGACTCAAGCGCCAGCGGAGCGTTTGGGATTTGGCCTCTGAGAAGCGAGCGGGAATGGCCCCGGCGGTGGGAGACGGTGCAGACCAAGAGCTGTGAGTTGTACTCCCAGCGATGCGCTGCCACACCACGCCATGCAACGTGATATTTTCAAAAGCATCAAACTGATCCACATGAATTTACAGTAAACCCCGAGACTCATTGGCGCTTTACGGCAGCTCACAGACACAGCACAACAATCAGCGAAAGGGTCGATTGCACAAGGCGAGTCTCCATCTCCGACAGTCCATCTCCGATCTTGAGATCCCCAACAAACTCCACCAAGTCATCCGCCGGACCAGATCACTCGACGATCAGCATGCAGCCGGGGAGACAACGGCACACAAAGGGACATTCGGACCGCGCCTGCGCAAATCCATCTCCAACCTCGCCCATGTGATACGTCTGAACGGAGCGGGACAGCGCGGTTGCAGCCCGGCACAAGTGTCGTCCAAACAACGAACGTCCGCCGCCGAACCAGCGTTCTGGGAGGCATACAGAGAGCGACTTCGACATCAAAACGAAATGGAAATCGCCAACGAAGCCATGAGGATCGCACACACTTACGATGACGACAACGGCTTGCAAATGCGTCGGCCACCTCAAGTCCACGAGAAGACTCTCGGCGTGCTCGAAGGACGCATCACACCATTGAGTCCGGTGGTGAGCGAAGCGACGACTTTCTCGTGGTCTGGAGATCGACTGGCCAACATCCACGACTTCGTGGGATTGCCACCACCGGCACTTTGCTTTCTGGCCGCCGACTTCTATCAAATGTTGCCGTCGGCTTTGCCGAACGACACCGAGAACTTCGAATGGGCCGGCGATCAGTGGAGGGATTTCCGTCGCTTTGTCGTAGCTGCTGAGAGCCAAGAGTGGGTGATGGTTTGAGCGAATGGGATCTGTGCCTCACTCGTGGTGAGTCAGTATGCGACTCACCTACAGATGCGCGCTGATGCTCTGTATCTTACCCAGCTACACTACAGTCGATCACAGTAACACTTCTCGCAGCCGCTGTATGTTCTTGGCATTGGGAAGGCAGGGTTTCTATTCTGGTACATACGCCCCTTGGAAACGTGGATAGCAAAGCAAATGAGTATTACGAGTGTCAGTGCTTCTCCACTACTGTGTAGACCGGGACGGCTTGTTGCAAATGGCGCGCGCCAATGGAGACGTTGCACAGCCTTATGGTGTCCCGCGGCTATCGCAAGGCCGCCGATGCTCATTTACCGATTGCACTTCATCTCAAGGCACGTGATCTGCTCCATCATCCCTACAGGTACCTTTGAACTTGTCTTGAACTGCCGCAAGCTTGCTCACATGTATTGCTACTTCTTGCGATCTACAGCATAGATGTGAGTCACCTACAACGGCATACGTTGAAACCGCAACGACCTGCCCTGCGTGGGAGTGGTGGGAGATGAAACAGGCGAACGAACAGCCTTGCTCGTCTCTCATTGGTCCGCGCCGGCGACCGAGACGCCAGATGCCGCTTTTAGTAATCAAGCGCCCAATTGCATTCGGCGCTTGCTCCCGCGCGCGTATCGCTCCAAACCCAACCTCTCTCACATTCGTTTGGCTCGTCGCCTTATTATGACGTCCTTTCCGTCTACACTGCTTCTATATGCAGAGCGGCGGGGCTCATCTCGTTTCATACCCGGCGGCGCGTAGGTCGGCGGTTGCTGCAGAGCCCAAGTTTAGCAGCAGCCCACTGATCGGCCGCAACCTCAAACCTTCTAGGTGTTCTCGAGGCCCATCTGAGGCGCGAAATGCCGTTTCATCGCGCCCGCACAAGGCTCCCACACGGCAGATTGCCGTTGTTGATGCTCGAGATTGTCGCACACGGACCTGTCGGTGGCCTGCCGGACTCCAGTGGCACGGGTCCATGGATCGTCTCATCTCTCGTCTCTGACGCTATTCTTGACTCGCCCCGTGTATTGCAATGATCATGTTGTGGCTAGACCGGCATTGCGGCTTCCGAACACTGGATACAAGACTCGCATATAGATCGCCGTCGATCCCGTGGATGTCCTCTTGCCTCCTCTCTCCAAGATACCCACGGCCTACTTTCCTCTGCACGACTCACGAGAGCCACGAGTTTTCTTGTGTCCTTTCCTTGTTTCCTTTGTCCTTTCTCATTCTCCAGGAGCAGGACTCCTTGCTACCGCTCCGAACGCAAATAATTCTTGTTCTTTCACTGCCCACAGGAAGATGGACTTCCAACGTCATCTCACCCCGCCGACCATCTTCGAGTTTGACGATTACAATGACTTCCACGGCCTCGGGGCCAGTGCAAGCACTGCGGCATCGTATTTCACCAACGAGTGGTCCCCCGAATCAATCATGACAGTCGGAACCGCAGCCACCACCCCTCCCAAATCGCCGCCCAAGATCCGGGAGATTGGCCCGGCTCTTCTGCCACGGGTGCGCCCTCAGGACCAGCAGATCAACGCCAGCTCCGACCAGGATTCCCGTAGCCATATCAGGACAGCGTCACTACCGGTGAAAAAGACGAAGATGCAACTCCAGGGTCACCTGCGCGTGCGACCGAGTGTCGAGCGGCGCTCCAGTAGCCCACCCATGACCGCCGGCCTGGTCACCCCGGGCTCCGCGCCGCTTCCGTTTGAGCACATGATGCTTGATCCCGCCTCTGCCAGGCCTTCTTTCGGTGCCTCTCGGTCCAAGTCCACCTTGAACATACATACGCACGCTCGACACAGCTCTTCGACGAGCATTGATGCCAGCGTTCTCGGTCGATATGGCTTTCCAACCTACCGACAGAGCCCAACGCCCCAGCCCATGTCCGCCAGCTCGACGTGCATGTCTCGTACCGCCAGCGCCATGAGCCATCTCACGCCCATCTCAATGCCGGGAGGACAGATCCAGTCCTACCCCGCTCGAAAACGCACGGCAAGTCCGCCGGCGAATCCCTCGCGTTTGTCCACGGAGCTTGACTTTGATCCCCTACTGGAGTATGGAGAGTCGTCAATCTTGGAATATCTGACAGCGCCCAATCCCACGCCGTCTCTTACACAGCGCACTGTGGAGAGCAATCGCGCGCAGAACGCTCACTGCTGGTTCGACGTTCGCAACGTCGCGCCCTGGTCCGACTTCGCAACCTCCACCATCTCCACCATTCCTGGCCTCATCGATCTCTTGCAGGTCCGAGTCACCACCCGAGACCTGCCAGCACCGGGCAGAGTCAACCTCATTCCTGAGACTTCTGCTCAGCTGGCCGATATGTGCGCCAACTATCATGCCGTCAAAGTCAATGCCGCATTGAAGCTCGCCCAGGGCGACAAGCACATGGCGATGCGCGCACTGAAGTCCACCGCCGGTGCAAAGCCCGAGTTCATCTCGAGCTACCAGTCGGAGATCGAACAGACCATCTACGGCGACGGTCGAGGCCGAGTCGTCGGGATCGTCAAGTGCTACGACCAGTGCAACTCGGGCATGCGCAACGGCTCGCCTGGGGACAAGGTGAAATATCTCCAGAGTTTGGCACAACTGCAGCGCTTTATGCGCGAGCACGAATGTCGGTACGGCTTCATCATGACCGAGATCGAGCTGGTCTGCGTTCGAGCGGGAGGCGTGCCGGACGCTGATTCGAATGTCCCGTTGTTTGGATACATTGAGGTCGCCGAACCCGTCCGTGTGGCGACGCATGGCACGGACGAGAACGGCAATCTCCAAATGACGGCCGGGTTGGCGCTCTGGTATCTGCATATGCTGGCCAAGGAACAGCCATTCCCGGGTCAATATCACTGGAAGATGGACGTCGGAACTCCCGCGCAGCTGAGCAGGCAGAAGCACCTGGCGCGCGACTCGTGGATGCCGAAGCCGAATTTGTCAGAGACGCGAGAGGCGAAGCGACTGCGGGGATGGGTGTGGCCGAACGAGGGATTGAGCAAGCGAGAGTGTGGAAGAGGTAGGCGGGTTCGCAGTGGAAGGTGAGGTAATAGCAGACAGCCGGCCTGTGTGTGCAATGGTTTGCATGGTGCGGAAACAGCGTGTTGTATGGCGGTAGCGTTGGATGTTTCAATAGCATATATGCCCAGCTTTGGCGTCTCATCGGCGTGAGATGAGATGTCGGACACCTAGCGAGGATACCAGGTAATAAACAAATACAGGCAGACATCAGATCTTCCCCTTCAACAAATTTCCAACTACTTCACGGAACGTAATCTTCGTCATGTCCCAGAGGCTGACATAGTCGACGGTGCTGAAGACGCCATCTGCGTAGCCCAGGGGAAACAGACCCGGAATCCAGCCTCGAGCGTAGCCGATGGCAAAGCAGAGACCGGGCATGCTCATCTGCTGCGCTTGGCCACGAGGGAGGTAGTGTACGCTGCCTGCTGGGTAGACTTCGGCTTCGTAGCTTCCCGCGGAGAAGGCGAGCTGGGTGCCTTGGAGGATGTGGAAGTAGTCGTCGGCTGTCAGTCGGCCGGTGTGGCCGTTTGTGCCCAACGCCGTGCCAAAGACGATCATGTACTCTGTCAAGCCTGGCAGTCATCACAGGTAAGCGTCGCTGTGACAAGAAAAAGAAACGAGTCGGCTAGACTTACTAGCATGAACGATACGCACAGCCCCCATTGCGCCGCCGGCGTTGTTCAGAATCCATTCGTCGCGCAGATTCAAGTACGGCCGCAGCTTCTCATCCGCTGCCAGCGTGTCGACGACTCCGGCCACCAATGCTTGGGTGTTGTTGCCGTTCTGCTGCACGGACGTGAGACACGTGGCCTGCACATGGTCGGGGTCGAAGATGTAGAAGGGGGCGAAGGCGTTGTGCTCCAGGGCTTGATGGAGGGCGAGGAGAAGGGCGAGCACCAGAGCAATGGCGGAGGAGAAGTAGACTGTTGCACCGCGTCTCATATTGTCGGTCGGGATTCCTGAGATCGTTCATGAAAAGACGAGCTGGGCTGTGGAATACAGATGCGGCCTGTCGTGTCGAGAGGGAGTTGATGTGATGGTCGCCAGCGCCAAGCAGATGATCAATGTCTCCTGTCCAGCTCGACGTCAGCATGCGATTGTCGTTCGATATCGGAGATGTGTCATCTGGTCTGTCAAGCCCGCCGAGTCGTCGCGCTCCGGCATCGTTGGGCTGACTACGAATTATTCCGCTTTGGCAACGGTGATTTGTGTCAGAGCGGAGCAACTCAAGCTCCGCGTCGGCGAGTTGCCTAATGCGGCAGTTGGGTATTACAGATGGCTTTCTTTCTCGACTTATACGACGATTGATTTAAGCATAAACCGAGGCATTAGTGGGCTTGCGCGCTTGAGTGCATCATGTTCGATACCTTTGCTCGCTAATAGAAACTTCGTCCGTGACAATCATGCCCGTCGTGAAATCCGACCGTAACCAACCTCATTCGTGCTCATACAACAACATTCCGCTTCGCCAATCCACGCATAACCCGAAACCCACACCTCCCTCAATTCGTCACCCTCCTCACCCACAGCGTTTCATCCCCATCCACCTCCTCTTCCCGCTTCCTCGCCCGCGCAATCGCAATGCCAATGTTCCGCTCCTCCAGCCTTACCTCATCTAAGCGCGTGCGATATTCGGCTAGTCGCTTCTTCGCATCTCTGACGGTGGAGAAGGGGACATCCAGGGGTGACGCGCGCTCCACCTTCTCCAGGTCTCCGATTGCTCGCTCCACATTTCGTCGCTGCAAAACGGCATCGCGCTCCTGAGCCAGTAGTGTTTCGAGACGAGTGAGGTTGTTATCAGCGGAGAGTTGAGGCGGCAGAGGGAGTGCCTTGGCTGCCGACGGGCTGTTCTTGCTCTTAGGCGTCGATGTCTTGGAGATGTTGAGAGGTTTGATGGTTGTCGATGGTAGCGGTGAGGACAAGATCGTCGAAGGTGCCGAGGGTGGGTTGCCATCGGACCTCGCGCGAGGCGCCTGCGTCGGTGGGCTCCAGTCCTCCTTGTCCGTCCTTTGAACCGGTCGACTTCGCGAGAGAATTGATTGCACATAGTCAGCGGGAATGGGTGGCGGAGAGGACAGTGGAGAGTCCGCGCGTGCTCCGCGTGTCGCATTTGTAGCCACTGTACTCCAGCTAAATCGGCTCTTGGTCGCTCCCGGCGGAAGTTCGGCTTGTCGCGTTGCCTGGGTATTGATGGATGCGTGGCCAGGACGGGTAGGAGCAGCGTAGGTGGTCCAGCTGAAGTGACTCGGAGGTGCCGATGCTGACGGGGTTGCCGGGGCATCAATGTCTGCAGTCACGTCATCCGATTGCGAGGGGTTATGAGGCTCCGACACGGGAGGATAGTTTTCGGCGGAAAAGTCTCGAGAGGTTGGCTTGCGCTTGACACGGGTGGAGATGGAGGGGGTCTGCGGCAGTGCGCGCGCCTTTCGTTGCACGTTGGGCGACAGGGGATCTGGGAGCAAGCTTGGGTCTACCTTGTCCTCAAACACATCTTCGTCATCCAGGTCCAGAGAAGGCGCAGAGACTGGGGAGACCGGGGAGCGGGCAGAATGTAAGTTTGAGGCACCGTTGGTACCGTCAACGGGCGTGAGGTCGCCATCATCCAAGACCGAGACGGGTGAATCGTTCCGCTTTGCCTTGCTCGGGCGCTGGGGGGAGCGACGGCGACTGGAGGTGAAGGCGCCTTCATACGTCGAGATGTAGGTAGACGGCTTCACCTTCGGAGCTTTGCCAGTCTCACTTAGCTCGCCCGTGTATTCGTCCCACTTGGGAGTGCCAGGGGTGGTGAGGAGCGGCGGCTTGTGGAGCATGGACTTGACGTGTTTGAAGAGCGGTAGGCGGGACTAGTGAGGTGAGTATTTGATCTCCGGCTGGGGACAAGCGTGATTAAACAAAGGGTGGCTTACATGGTCTCTTCCTGCGCTGGAAGGAGTGGACGGCGTGCCCATCTTCACGCAATCGTGGCGAGGATGAGGGCGGCTAGGCTGAGCGGTGTAGAAGGGGTGCTGGCCAGGTTGGTCGAGGGTTACCGCGGTCTGATTCTACCTTTCCAAGGATGGTGGTGTCGAACGTGTCGAGACGCGCAGGATGTAATTAGTGGCGACGGGGTCGTGGCGGTAGGTTTGTATGTCTACAGACGCAATGTTTGCGGCGCGAGCGAGTGTTTGCCGGGCGGAGGATTCAGATGACGCGGGCAAGCAGGGCAGCACACCTAGGGCGCAGGTGGGATGAAAGCAGGAAGAGGTGGATGTTACAAGTATCGTAAACAATCATTTTGGAGGCGTCTCCTGGACTGGCCTGTATTAGGAGGCCTTCGCTAAGGACAGACCATTCGCCCTCGCGACCGAGTCGTACAAAAGTCAAAGGCGCGTTTCATCTTCACCACCGCCTTGTCACGCCTCTGACGCGATTGGCTAAGAACTAGCGCGTCACGTCGCCCGTTGCGGGGAGATCCTGCAGCCTTAGGGTTTCGGAAAGTGAGCCGAAGCTGGTGACGTTTCGGAGGTCAGCTTTCGAGATTCTGTCCTGCTTCAATCTCATCTTCCAACGTCGCCATGGATGAAGGTATGCAAGCGGTCATGCTCTAGGTCTCACCGATCTCTCCCACTAACGGCCCATACAGCAACAGAATTCAACGCCTCCAACCCGCCACCCGCGGCGCAAGTGTACGTTCAATCCCCCCATCCTGAACCCACATACAGCATCTAACTGCCTCCTCAGCCAAACGATAGCGAGCCCTCTCAACCTCGTCCTCTTCGCCCTCTTCATCTTGCTCCTCTACACACGCCTGCGACCAGCTTCCAAAGCCCCCACCCTTCCCGCACCCCCAGCGCCTCTCGTCTTCAAAACCTTCACTCCCCCTCAACTGAAGCCCTTCAACGGCGAGGACAACAAGCCCGTCTTCCTAGCCGTCCGCGGGCGCGTATTCGACGTCACCTCCGGCCGCAACTTCTACGGCCCGGAAGGTCCATACGCCAACTTTGCCGGGCGAGACGCAAGTCGAGGCTTGGCCAAGGGCAGTTTCGATGAAGAGATGCTGACCGAGGATCTCCACGGGCCGCTGGATCGGCTGGAGGACCTGAGTGGGGATGAAATCGAGAGTTTGAATGGATGGGAGGAGAGGTTCAACGCCAAGTATCTCGTGGTCGGCAAGCTGGTGCCGGTGGGCCATGCAGATGCCGAGCCAGACGATGAGTAGATGAATTTGCAGTATTTGTTCGCGGGAGCCACCGTCCCATCACTACCTACATCAGCTAACGGTGAATGCAGCAGAAAGAAGTGCATGTCAATTCCTCTTCCCACGCCTCTGAAAACCCCCCTTTTCCGTGATACCACGCTGCACACAATCTCCACACCCAGGTACCACGATCTTTGCACGTGTAAGCATATGCTTTTCCCATCACCTTATTCGCTGCACGTCGTGACACATTCGCCGCTTGCTCGTCACCTCCAGCCACCTATTATTCGCCTTTGTGATTTGCCAAGCCGTGTCGCCACTGTCTTCTAAGGACAATTCGCTCCCGGTTGCTACAACAGCCGCCTCACAACTCTCCGCTCAATCGTTCTTCCTCTCACCCGTGGACAACTCTTATCCTACCATCAGCCAACATCAGAGCCTCCCCGCATCAACATGGTGTTCTACGCAAGACCAAAGCGTCGCCAACCCGCGACGGAACACGCAAAAGCAGCCACATTCACCACTTTACCAGATGAGGTTCTCCTCAGCGTCGTCGAAAACCTGGAAATCACATCCGTCCTGCACCTCCGATTGACCTGCCACAGTCTGGTGCCGGTCTGTGCCACCGTCATGCGGCAGCTACTCAACAGACTGTATCTGCATCCCTCGCCCAAAGCTCTGGCCAACGTGGCACACATCTGCGAGCATCCCGTCTTCAGCAAGTACATCGAGGAAGTCGTCGTGCTGGGCCAACCGCTGTGGCGCGAGATTGAAGCATCTTGTCCTGACTACCGGAGGTCGCCGAATGGCTTGGTCTCCCAGTCAATCGCGCGCTCCGGGCGACCGACACCTGGGTACCATTCGGAGTGTACCTGGGAAGAAAGGTTCTACGTCTGGCCGGCGATGGTCGCCAAAGATGCCGACAAATCTCGCGTGCGCGCTTGCGAGGAGCGTGAGCCGGACTGCCGTCTACGCCCTGTACTTGAATACCTCGTCGGGGCTCTGAGGAAATTACCGCAGTTGAGCAGGCTAGCTTTTGAGGAGGAAGCATCGGGGTCAGGATTCAACCAACTCTGTGCGGTCTATATCTCGCGGTTCGCCAAACGCCTCACGCAAGCACCGCCGAAGCAGCTGCCCGAGGGGACCAACAAGGGCACGGTAGTCGCAAAGCCTCGCGCTCGTGTCTCTGACGCGCACGTTTTCTACGGACTCCTGCTCGACCCCAGATTGTCTTTCTCATCCGTACATCAAGGCCGCGAACTCCCCTTTGCCGACGTCGGCAGAATCCAATACCACCAGCGCATCCCAGGCTCTCCGTCGCCAGATCCATTCGAGACAATCACGAGCCTGGACCTGTCCATCGATTGTGGATGGAGACGTAATGCGTCGCATCTGCTGTATCACCATTTGATCCGTCAGACTCGGGTAAAGCTGCGACGAGTAAAACTTACCCTCACCCCCGACGCGCCATGGAGGCGGCCGGCTCCTGAAGATCTCCTTGCTACCATCTTGCACAGTCTGCAATTTCCACACTTGGAAGGCCTGGAGATTGAGCTACGGGAATGCGGCCCACTCGAGTACTGCGACGCAACACCACCCATGTACATGGACAGACGACCACGGCCCTCGTGTCTCGAATTCGACATGCCCGGCTTTCTGCGTCGACACTGCGACACACTCACGTGTCTCAGCTTCAAGAACGTCATATTCGTCTGCAGTAACTCGTTCGATCCATACTCCGTATCACACAGCATCCGCGACTGCCTGGAAATCCTAGACGAGGCTCCCAAATTGGAGAGTATCGAATGGACTGTCAATTACTACACCCACGACCCAAGATGCAAGCACCCAGCCGACTTTCCTCTGCAATGTCGCAAGTTCCATTGCGGCGTGTATTGCGTCACGGGATGGGGGGATCCGAGGCTGGAACATATTGAGACTGCTGCTCTCACGCACGGAGTGCCTTTGGCCTACGACAGGGGGCTGTGGGACTTTGGGGAGGGGATCATGCGGAGGAGGAAGTTCGAGAAGCGCAACGTCGAGACGGACGATGAGCTCAGCGCTGTCGTGCGGAAACTCAAGGACTCGAGGGTGGCCGTGGCGGAGGAGAGTTGATCGGGAGGTCGAGCTCGTAGTTTGGATGTTGCGGTGGAGGCAGCTACTCAACCTTATCTCCCAGCCGTGATGAACCTTTCGAACGACTCCATTCCACACTCCAGTGGATCGTAAGACTTGCTCTTGGGTAAATAAGATGTATTTCACGGAGAGTCGCAGGCAGTTGGGTTGGAGACAATCTGAAGGCAGCCTCGCCGCGCTAGCCGACTTCATGTGAATTTTAAGTAAAATCCTCGCCCTCCATCCTCCAACCACCCGCTCGCCTGTCCAACAATCCTTCACCTCCTCCCCATCTCCTCGTATGCTTATGCGGGCTGCGAGGGTTGGTGTCTTCCTCAGCTCTAGCACTGCTCACAGGCCGCCTTTTGGGTCGATATTCCCAGCAAAAAGGATTGGCATCCATGCGCGCAGGCTCATGACGAAGATGGAGGGCGATGATGCGCCGGCCTCAATCACCGCCGCGCCGCTCAGAGACCAGCTTGTGCAGTATGACGGAAAGATCCTGAAGACAGTGCAGGAGGGGAAGGCGTATATCCTCGTGCCTCCAAATGCACGCACATCCCTCGACCCTCAAGCCAATGCGAAAGCAGGTGAGCTCGACTTCTTCCCAAGCCCGCCTCTACGCGCCGGTGACTGATGCCGCCTTTATAGACGACAGTGGCCAAGTACAAAACGTCTTCTACAACCCCATCCAGCAGTTCAATCGCGACCTGAGCGTCCTTGCTATCAACGCCTTTGCCGAAGATGCATGCGAGAGAAAGAAGCTGGCGCATGCAGCGCTACGATCAAAAAAGGGGGATAAAAGAGAGCGGAAGAGGAAGAGGGAAGAGTCGAAGCAGGAGGCACAGGCGGGGGAGCAAGAGACCGTGAAAGTGCGCAAGACTGCCGATGATTCAGCGACGAGTGAACAAAATGGAGCATCCGGGGTGGAGGCGCATACAGAGCATGTCCGCGCTGTGGCTCAACCTGAGGCAGCAGAGATGCCAGACGAAAAGAATCTGGATGCCGGAGAGCATACTGCGAATGGCAAGATAGAGCCCTCTGCCACAGGAACTGCCTCTATCCCTAAAGCATCCGACTGGAAACCGCGATTCCGGATTCTAGACGCCCTTTCGGCAACGGGACTGAGAGCTCTTCGATACGCAAGCGAGGTCCCCTACGTGACCGCAGTGGTAGCCAACGATCGGGATGCAAACGCGGTCAAAAACATCGACCTCAACGTCCAGCATAACCGCCTCACTGATCTCATCACCACAACCACGGGCGATGCTCTCCGCCACATGTATGGCGTTGCCTTCCCTCCCACCCACACCCATGGCCCGCAACATATCAGCGGCAAATACGACGTCATCGACCTCGATCCCTATGGCACCGCGGCACCCTTCATCGACGCTGCCCTTCAAGCACTGGAGGACGGTGGCATGCTTTGTGTCACATGCACGGATTCCGGCGTGTTCGCCTCATGCGGCTACTCGGAAAAGACCTTCTCACTGTACGGGGGCATGCCGATCAAGGGCTCCCACTCGCACGAAGGCGGGCTCAGGCTGATTATTCACTCCGTTGCTACCAGTGCCGCAAAGTACGGCATCGCCATTGAGCCGCTTCTCTCCTTGAGCATCGACTATTACGTTCGCATCTTTATTCGCATTCGGAAGAGTGCGCAAGAAGTCAAGTTCCTCGCCGGCAAGACTATGCTCGTCTACGGCTGCGACCATGGGTGTGGTGCATGGAGCACGCAGTTCATCGGCCGACACACACAGCAACCTGGCAACGGCAAGCAGACGAACTGGAAATATTCGATTGCCCAAGCACCGAGCGCGAACCAACTCTGCGAACACTGTGGGAGTAAGACGCATCTTGCAGGCCCCATGTGGGGAGGTCCTTTACATAATGCTGCCTTCATCGAGAAGATCCTCCACAGTCTGGACAGCGTGGATGGCGAACTCTACCAGACAAAGGCTCGAGTGGAGGGCATGCTCGATACGGCGCTGGATGAGCTCAGCGTCAGCTCTCCTCCCATCGAGGCCCAGCCTCACACGGCGAGTACCAGAAGGGAGGACAGTCTGTTGATCCCGCCCACTCCGCCGGAGACACGGGACCTGCATCCCTTCTTCTTCATCCCCTCTGCCCTCGTGAAAGTCATCAAAGCCCAAGCTCCGGCCGAGAATCTGCTCAAAGGCGCTCTGAGACATGCAGGTTACCGGGCCACGAGGAGCCACTGCAAGCCCGGGAGCGTCAAGACTGACGCGCCGTGGACCGTGATTTGGGAGGTACTGCGGGAGTGGGTTAGACAACGCGCTCCCGTCAAGGAGGGCTCGGTCAAGGAAGGAACACCGGGGTGGAAGATTCTGCAGCAGAAGCGGGAGGATGGAGAGGGTGAAAGTGGCGAGATCGAAGGAAGCAATTCGGATCCACCAACAAAGCGCTTGAAGGTGGTATTCGATGAGAATCTGGGAAAGGACAAGCCTGGCAAGCGATTGATTCGATATCAGATGAACCCTCGCGAGAACTGGGGTCCGATGAGCAAAGCAAAGGGACATGCGTAGACACGCAGGAGAGCACTTCTGATTTAATTAGCTACTCTATGTCTACGCGCTGAGCTGCGCAATCTCATCAAGCAGTGCGACCGTCTCGGCCGGGCTTGCAATCCACGCCGTCGTACACGCCAGCCTCGCCTTGAAGTCATTCGCCCCTGCACTGAGGAATTGATCGCCAATATGCAGAGACTTGCTCCCTTCGATCCCACCAAAGTAGTTCTGGCATGCTCGAACGCCGAGTGATTTGTCGCCAATGTCCACAAAGATGTCGTTGCCGCCATTGAACGCGCAAAAGGGAATCCGCTGCCCGGCTTCGGACATCTCGAGCACTCGTTGGGTCACCAGCACCGTCTCTTCGAGCTGTTCCCGCGAAAGTCGGAGGCCTTTCTCGGCCGGGTAGATGCCGACGGCTCGTTCTTTCCGCAGCACTTCGACGGGCATGTTCAGATTACACACACAATCCTTCAACGCTTGCTCTGCCGTGTCGAGCAGCGCAGACACCATTTCCTCCGTCCAATGCCGCATCTCAGGCAACTGCCACTGCTCCGGTTCCACGCGTTCGAGTTTGTGGGGCGAGCGGGGGGTGTAGGTGAAGAGGAAGTTACTTTCGCCTCCCATGACCACGAGGTGATGCTCCCATGCATTTGAAGGATCGTGCGATGCTATCGCGTCGAGAAGGCCAAAGAGTCGCTCATAGTATTTCTCGGCCTCTGTGTAGCCAGCTGCCGTAACGATGCCAATCTTGGTGCCTTTGCGCAGCAGATCCAGAATCCGAGGGATGCAGGGGTTGTCGGGGCGGAGGACGTCGCCGTCGTCGTATAGCGTGACGTCTCCGTCGAAGGTGGCCAGCTCGAGCCTCCCGCCGCTGATAAGAGACATGATCTGCGCAGTGTTGAGGATGAGTCGGATGTCGTTGAAGGAAGGCGCGACGAATCTGCGGGAGCTGATGAAGCGCTTGGAATCCTGGAAGGCGAACGCTTTCTGCAATGGAAGAGGCGTGAAGAAGACTCCGACCGACGGCACGAGGAGTTTTAGCTTCGATGCATTCTCCGTCCCGGACTTTTGGTTGCGGATGTGGTCGGCGATGAGGTACTCGATGTCTCGCATGATTTCGGCGTAGCGCGTGTGCGCATTGCGGGCCATTTCGTTGATGCCGGGCTTGTCCTGCTCGAACATGCTCGTGGGCTGGGACATGAGCACGAACGGCACCGCGAGAAGGCCTTTGATCCATTCGATGAGCTGATCACGTCGATGTGTTTTGAGCGCATCTGGCATCTTGTCAGTCCAAGTCTTGACAGGAGAAGGTGATGATGGCGGCCATGATGCTCACATTCGACCCGATATCTCGTCGTCATGTTTGCTGTTTACAGAGTCTGGCCTACTGGCCAGTATTCACCACGAGTCTAACATTCCCTCACTCGCAAGAAATATGGCTGAGGTGAGGGCGTATTCACTCAAGTCACTGCCCGTTCACAAGCCGCACGCCGACAACGTGTCGGCGGTCCGAGCCGGCGCCAGCGAGCTCTATTTCGCTCGCCCTCCACACATGCATCTATCATCACACACCCCGATTCCATGAAGTAATTCCTCTATACTCTGGTCGAGGCGTACGTCTACGGCAATGGCGGCGACGGAGCTCGCATCGTTCTCCTTTCAGCCATGGGCCAACAAACGGGCGGAGGAGGGGCGTTTGCAGGACATTCTGGCGCGAGTGAGCGGCGAGCGGGGACACTTCCGAGACATCACAGAGGCATCGTTGCAGGAGGAGCTGGCGGCTGATGGGGCCTTGGAGCTTAGTGAGAGTGGAACGGAGGACGAGGAAGAAGAGCGGGACGATGCCAGCCAGCTCCCGGAGAAGGCAAGGCCCGCCACAAGAGAAGAACTGTTCAAGGCGAAATACGAGATGCTGGGGAACGTCAGGGCGGCCGAGCAGGAGATTCTGATGTCGCTGGACTTCGTGTCACTCTTGCTGTCCAGGGATGCGCCCCGACAGGCACAGAACACCGTCTCTCCGTTCCTGAGAGATGCCGTACCCCTTGGTACGCTGGGGGCGGATGTGTGGAAGCGGATGTCTACCAACAGTGCTAGGGAGGCGGACTACGAAAAGCTGGCAGCTAACGTACGAATCGAAAGTCTCCAAGAAAGTGCAGACAACTTGTTGGCAGCTGCAACGCGCCTAGAGAGCAACGTGCGGAAAGAAACGCAGTACTGGGAACAGGTTCTGTCTATCTCGGAAGAGGGCTGGAACATTTGCCGCATTCCGGGACAGCAGCACCGACTTGGAGTCAGCTTTGGGTTTAGCGAGAGTGCGCCAGAGTTCTCGCGAAGAGGCCTCGCTGCCCTGAATTCAAGCTCCGACGGCGGCGTGGTGGTTGAGCGAGGCATTGGTAGTGCTTCCAAAGCGTTACAGGCCACTCTGCATCAAGATGGACAGATTATTGGCACCTCCAAGATTCCCAGACTCCTGGATGTGGAAGAGACAACGCTGGAGGCCCGCATACGCTACGCTCGAGACAGTCTATTCGATGAGGAGCTCTACCACGAGATGATTCGCGAAAGCCGGACCATCACGTCTCTGGGGGCGGGAATGCAAGGGTCAACAATCGAAGTCAAGCTGGGCAATGGCATGCGTATGTCGTTCGACTTGATCTCTCTGGACGACAGCGCCGAGGCCAACGGTGACGGGTCGAGCGGTGGCGATACCGCAGCTCAGACCGTTGCCCTTGCGGCGAGGCTTCTGCTAAGCCAGGCACACCGGGAGCAAATCAGAGCAAGATCTGCCGTTCCGGCGCCGATTTCCGACAAGTCCAAAGAGGAAAGAGTGGTGATGCCAATCTTGAGGCCGATCATGTCACCGCTGCTTCACCGCGAGTCACTTGAACGACTGAACGCATATATCGGTGGCGTGGACGAAATGCTGGTTGCCGCTCACGTGGAGCACACGGCTGAGCTCGCGCACATCTCCTTGGCCGGGAACGGGACAGTCGAAAGCGCGGGGGCCTTGATGACAATGCTCCAAAAACCATGGACATCCGAGGCCAAGCTACAGATCTCAGACTCGAAGGGGATTGAGGCTTGTCTTGTTATCAGGCTCGAGACTACATTGACGGAAGGGTTTGGGTCGAAGCTTTTTCTCCATGTACCGTGGCGCGAGGAACCGTATCGACTCGACAGCTTGGAAGATCTCGCTTCGGCTGCCGACGCAAAGCTCGCGACACTTTTAGCGCGCAGTCTTGTGAATGACATGGACGGCGAATGGAAATGCAAGGACAATGAAGCTCTCGTCACTCAGGACGTTGGCCCGATGAGGAAGGGGCAGGCGATATGGGTCACGGTGGATAGCAGGAGGAGGACATTGTCTCTGAACTCGTTGAGCAAGGAGATGTCGTGGAGAGGAGAGGGAGAGAAGTCGGAGAAGGGGCTGTGGGAGGCTGTCGGGGAGGTGCTGTAGGGTGGTGCTTCTGTCATGCAAGGCTTCAAGCTGAGGAAAAATTCTCCCATTAAATATCTCATGCTTGCCATCATAAACGAATCCGTTTGAAGACCATGGATATGTGATGTAGTAGTTGCGATGCGTACCTACGGAGGACTGAAAGTCCAGCCAAGCTTCCGTTTTCGCCTTAGCTCTCACACCCAACGTACCTTAGCTTGCCAACCATCCCTCCACCTCACCTCCAACTGCATTGCACGTGCATGAGCAGCTGTCTCACAAGCAAATCGTGGCTTTCAGTCAAGTCGGAGTCGCCAGCGGCCTCAGTCGACCATGAAGTGAAGTCGCCGTCCTCAGCTGTCGCACCGCCATTTCGAGCTCCGACACCTTGCTATCAGTGCGGGCAGCTATCCAACGCAACGGCGACACCCAATACACGCCTTGCGCAAAGACAAACACAGCGCCGACCGAACCTCACTCCTCCACTCACTCCACGCAAACGGTCCCTTTCGCCAAGAAGTCTACTCCAACCACCTCCGTCTCCACAACCCGCGCAAGCAACGTTCTCCATCCTAGCTTGAGACAATGGCGGAAATTACACTTGGCCCCCCGGCCATGCCTACTGGGAAGAAGAGGATTGCAGTCATGACCTCGGGAGGCGATTCGCCTGGCATGAGTGGCGCCGTCAGAGCTGTTGTCCGGCAGACCATCGCCTCAGGCTGCACCTCCTTTGCGATTTACGAAGGCTACCAAGGGCTCGTGGACGGCGGCGACATGATCAAAGAGATGAGCTGGGAGGATGTCAGAGGGTGGCTGTCGGAAGGTGGCACCCTGATCGGCACCGCCAGATGCGCGGCGTTTAGGGAACGCTGGGGGAGGCTGAAGGCTGCAGACAACATGGTCGAGAAAGGCATTGACGCGCTGGTCATATGTGGCGGTGACGGCTCTTTGACCGGCGCGGATAAATTTCGGGAAGAATGGCCGGGCCTCATGAATGAGCTCGTGACCAGTGGCCGCCGGAAGCCCGAAGAAGTGCTCCCGTATCGACACCTCAATATCGTCGGCCTGGTCGGGTCAATAGACAACGATCTCAGCAGCACAGACGCCACGATCGGATGCTATAGCTCGCTACAACGGATTTGTCAGTCCATCGACTTTATCGATGCCACCGCTTTTTCCCATCAGCGCGCTTTCGTCGTCGAAGTCATGGGCAGACATTGCGGCTGGCTCGCGCTCATGGCCGGCGTCAGCTGTGGCGCAGACTTCATCTTCATCCCGGAGAACCCACCCTCGGAGAACTGGGAAGAGGAGATGTGCTCAATTATACGCAGGCATCGGGAGATGGGCAAGCGAAAGACCATTGTCATCGTGGCGGAAGGGGCGCACGACAGGCAGCTCAACCACATCAAGCCGGATATGGTCAAGGATCTCCTTTCCAACCGGATTGGGTTGGATACCCGAGTTACAACGCTCGGCCACGTCCAACGAGGCGGCCCGCCCTGCGCGTACGACCGAATGCTCTCCACTCTGCAGGGTGTCGAGGCGGTCAAGGCCGTGCTCGAGGCCACCCCTGACACCCCCTCGCCCGTCATCTGCATCGTCGAGAACAAGATTGTGCGACGCGATCTCGTCAAGGCGGTCGAGCTCACGCAAAACGTGGCGAGAATGATTGAGGCAAAACGGTTCGAGGAGGCAATGAAAGGCAGAGATGCCGAGTTCGAGGAGTACTGGCACGCTTTCAACATCACCACCGCTACGGACAAGTCTGACATGCTCCTGCCGCCCGAGCAACGAATGCGTGTCGGCATCATCCACGTTGGAGCGCCGGCTGGGGGTATGAACGCTGCAACGAGAGCAGCAGTGGCTTATTGCCTCACCAAAGGTCACACTCCCGTCGCTTTGCACAACGGCTTCCCCGGTCTCTGCAGACATCACGATGACAAGCCTCTCGGATCTGTACGTGAAGTGAAGTGGCTGGATGCAGAGCAATGGGCGTCCAGAGGCGGTTCGGAGATTGGCACCAACCGCGGACTGCCTTCTGAAGACATCAAGACGACTGCCTACTGCTTCGAGAAATACAAAATCGATGCCTTATTTGTGGTGGGTGGATTCGAAGCTTTCACAGCCGTCTCGGAGTTGCGAAGGGCTAGAGTGCAGTTTGATGCATTCAAGATCCCCATGGTCATACTTCCAGCCACAGTCTCCAACAACGTCCCCGGCACTGAATTCTCCATTGGCTCCGACACCTGCCTCAACGCCCTCATCGACTACTGCGATGCTATACGACAATCAGCATCGGCATCGCGAAGGCGTGTCTTCGTCGTCGAAACGCAGGGCGGTGCGTCAGGCTATATCGCCACAATCGCCGGGCTCTCCATCGGCGCTTTGGCAGTGTATACCCCTGAAGAGGGCATCCATCTGAACATGCTCGTGGAAGACATCAAGTTCCTCAAGGACCAGTTCGCCAAGGATGTCGGCCACGCACGGAGCGGCAAGATTATCCTTCGGAACGAAAAGGCGAGCAAAACGTACACCACCGAGTTCATCGCCAACATCATCAAGGAGGAGAGCGGGGGAAAGTTTGATGCTCGTTTCGCCGTGCCTGGACACGTGCAGCAAGGCGGGACTCCCAGTCCTATGGATCGTGTGAGAGCCGTCCGATTCGGCGTCAAGAGCTTGCAGTATCTGGAGAGCTATGCGGGCAAGTCTCGTCAAGAAATCGCGGACGATCCCATGTCAGCGGCCGTCATTGGCATTCGGGGCGCGCGTGTCAAGTTCAGTGCGATGGAGAAGATCGAGACGCAGGAGACGGACTGGAAAGACCGGCGGCCCAATGACGAGTTCTGGTTGAATCTGGTCGATATTGTTGATACACTGAGCGGACGACCGAAAGCGTACAGGACGCCGATACCTGGGTCTCCCGGCCATGCTGCGGACATCGTGGACCACACTCCAGCACCCGGGAGCCCGAATATTGGCCCTGCGACTGGTAACAAGGGTGGGAATGCGAACGGATCGTTCTTGCCCATACCGAACGGGCTTTGAGGCGCAGGCGTTCAGCGAGGTGCGGCGTTGTAGGGTATGGTAGACAGGGGGACTCCCTGCTCGTTAGAGTCGGTGTCACGGGCGTAGGGTGATGGAGCGCATGGTGTATGCATATTTGAATTTTTAGCAATTGAAAGCCAGAGATTCGATCACAACAAGTCCCATCCCGTGGTATCCCTGCAACGCCCAAACACCCTGCTAGTTTTCAAACACTTGTGTAGATCACGTTGTATCACAAAATGCCATCGTGTTCGCCAGGCAAGCGCTTTACGCGCTTCTGTTCCCAGTCGTCGAGATCTTTGGCAGCGAGTTTCTGGACCTAGTCAGCATCCACTACTCCATAACAGCTGCGGTGGTTGAACGCACGTAGTATTCCTCCTTCAAATCAATCTTGCGCTTGTTCTTGGTCATGCCCAACGCCTCTTCTTGCGAAATTTGCTTCACCTTCCGATCGAATCTCTCGTATCGCATTGCCGTGGCGGGTGTGAGGAAGAAGGAGCCCAGGACCATGGTCGCGATGAAGGGGAGACCAAAGAGGGCGAAGGGGTGCTTTGCCAGGGCTCTGCGGTACTTTGCGGCCGTGGAGGAGTCGTATGATGACGGCCTGAACTTCTTCGTCTCGAATATGGCCATAATGGCGTTGGTCTTGATGTTGTACACTTCCCAAGCAATTTGCCTGGTGATTGTCGAAGTGAGGTAATCTTCATTGAGAGACGAACGCTTTCAGTGGCTTGGCATGGCACGTGACAGCGCGGGGCCGTTCGCGTTTTCAAGCCGTTTATGTGGAGACACGCGCCGGCCTGCGACTTCATCTCTCCATGCCCTCGAAATGATGAGTCGCTCCCATGGCTCGCCGCATCGCTACAACACACGGCGGAAAGGAGCATGGCGACGCTCCGCCGCCGTCAACTCTCGCGGCACAAATTGTCCAGAATCAGACCGAAGGGCCGGTAAACCAGCAGAATGGCGAAACTCCAACCTTTGCCGAGTTGTTGAACGAGATCCTGCACAACCACGCCGCCACACCGGAGACGGACATCGAAACTAATATCAAGCTGGTCAACGTAGTCGCCGAAGCCGGTCTGGGTCCGCTGGCAATCGATAATCCATTCGCCGAGTGCGATGTCCTGCTTCCGTTGGCCTTCGACAGCATTGCCGTCATTGAGGCTACTATCAAGAGACAGCCTGAGATCCTTTTCGCAGCAACGAAACAGCACGAGCCTCGCCTTCTTCTGTCCTTACTGGCTCGTGTACTGGCGATATGTGGGAGGCGGCAGTGCGAGCAGCTACCCATCGACCGCTTGTTGGATTCACTACTGCTGGCGCTTGATACATCTCTCCAGGTGTGGGGTCGTGCGAAGGTCGTACGACGAATCATCCAAGACTGTTTAGACGATGTCATGTTCTCCCTCGAAGCGACAACCGGCTCCAAGACAGATCTCTCGATCAAGCTGCCTCCGGCAAGAAGTATCGTGTCGGTCTGGCCGGAATTGGAGAATGCGATCACTCTTCCTCACGGCTGTCAGACCAGCATAGCCGACCAGTCGCAGGCGCTCATGCTTGCCATTCAATTATGCAACGTTCGGCGTCTACCCGCAGCATGGCGGACAAATACCCAGTGTGCGATCCAGAAAATCACTCCGGCTTTAGGTGCTGCACTTAAACACACGAAACAGTGGGACGCTGCGGCAACGGGCATCTTGCTGTTCTCTTCCAATATCACTTTCTTGGTCCAGCTTTTCAACAATCTTTCGATCATTACCGGATCTCATAGCATCCAAATCCACACTGCGCAAGGACTGATCCAAAACCTCCGACGAGATCCAAATGCCGTCTCCGACCATTTGCTTCCTGCTCTCTGCTCACTAGCCTCCAGTGAAGCATTTGACAAACTGCACGAAGATCTCAGGATTGCCATTGTCACCGTAATTACTCGGCTCAGCACTCCCGAGAACGTGCCAGAACGGGCCCATGATCTTGTTGAGGCCTTGAGACAGGACAATGTTATGACGGACTCGAGATTGCAAGCTGCCTTTCGTGATCTGAGCGTTAGAGACAGGGTTGGCGAGTTGCACAGATCTCAACGCAAGAGACGAAAGGTTGTCCAGATGGAAAACGAATCCGCACAGACTACGATTCGGCGGATCACACAACTACTCTATGGCATGAATGGGGACAATCTCAATGGCATAACAGAAGCTGCACCATCCGCGTACCGATCGTTGAGTGAAGAAGAGCAATGTGAGGTATGGCAACTACTGCGCAACTCGGCTCGCACGGACTCACAGGCGACGATCAAAGTCGTTTCTGCTCTTGTGCAGAGCCGAGAGATTGCGATGAACAAACGAGCACGCATCCTCTCCATCATCACTTTACAGACTTGCCTCCAGACAACAACCGACAGCGCTTACATCAGTTTGACAAGTTCTCCCTTCGGACAACTGTGTCTCAGAGGGCTGCAAAGCTCTCTGCGTGAGCTCAGAGTCGCATCTGTACAATGCTTGGGCAGCTTCCTTCGCGACGAGTTGGCCGCGGAACTGAAAGAAGCAAATCGCAAGTGTGCACTGGAGTTTCTGCGAGCTCTTTCCGATCGTGATGTCGCAAACGAACAAGAGACCCTGGTTTCTGCATGGAGTCAGGTTGCACTGTTCTGTGAAGACTCGGAGCTCAATCTATCTCTGCTCCGCCTCGTCGAATATCTTGGCCATTCGAATCCCCTCATCTCGGGCCTGGCATTCACGGAGCTGGAGCGTATCGCAGAAGCCAAGGCGATTTCACCGAGTGAGCTTTTCAAGCCATTCTGGAGTTCAATAGCGGTGTCGGTGGTACAAGATCTGCATTCTCGACCGCAAAAGATTCAACAGCTCTGTGACCTGCTGGAACTCGATGTCAATCGATTCTTGGTCAACACTCAGCAAGAAACCGTCCCTGCATTGGTCTTAACCCAGAAGAGCAACGTGTTGCAGAGGATAGCAGCCGCTCGTGGACATGGCACAACGGTGCAGGACCTTTTGCTGCAGCCTCGAACAAATCTGATGGCCACTCTAGCTCTTCTATTGATTCAACCCACTCAAAGCCCGGAAGATAGCGCAATGGCCTGCCTGGTGAGCGTTGCACCAGGCCTGCAGGGGACTGATCTGTCCAACCTGGTCAAAATAGACCCAGCTCTACTCGCCTGCCATCTACTCAAGCATGCAGGGGATCAAAGCGAGAGTCGAAAGTCACGCGCATACCAGGCTTTCCAGCTTTTCGCAAGCCTCGCCGAGAGGCGCGCGGGTGCTGCAAAGTCGAAGCCTTCTCGGATGCTCACCGAGTTCTTCGACGTTCACATCCTGGGTATCATGACGCACTTCTCCGAGATCATCGAGAACAATACTGGTCTGTACTCAAAATTAGAGCGACTGCGCTGTATTCGAGCGATTGCAGAGATGGTCACCATTGCAAAAACGCAAGTGAGTGGCGCACTACCGCAGATTCGAGCCGCTCTTCAATCTTCCATGGACCACCCCGACCTGTGCCAGGCATCTTTCTCGGCTTGGCTCTATCTTCTGCCAATCCTCGAAACCGACGACGTTGCGAGTATCGTGGACCAGACCTTTGCATTAATCCTACGCCATTGGCCGAACTTGTCTGAGGATGTGCGGCAAACTTGTCATCAGCAAATCAGCAACTTAGTGAAGAACCACAACCAGATGCTCCAAGAGCACATCATGACCCTTCCGTCGCTCGCCGGGGTACCCTTGCTATCCAAGCTGTCTGCTGAAATCGAGCGAGTCAAGGCGAGTGAGAGCATAGAGGCTCACTGCAGAGCATTCACGAAGCGACTCCTGGATGAGAGCCGAGTCGTGGTGCTGAGAGCCTTGGAAGAGCTTCCTCCCTTCCTGAATAAGAACCAAGATTTTGTCTACGATTGCGCAACCAGCGAACAACCGACGCCCGTGCTTCCTGAACTGTTTCGCGCGCTCATGGATGCCAATGTCAAGTACTCCGCCGAGGACGGGAATGCCGCTGAACTCTGTGGGAAGGCATTCGGGATCATAGGCTGCCTTGATCCGAATCGCGTCGAGGCCACGAGGAAGAAGCGAAGGGTACTTGTGCTCTCAAACTTTGATCGAGCCGCGGAGATTGAAGACTGGAGTCTCGTCTTTCTCGAGGACATCCTTGTCAAGGCGTTCAAGTCTGTCAGCAATGCTAGAGCTCAAGGCTTCCTAGCATTTGTGATGCAGGAGTTACTTCGATTCTGTGAGTTCAACGAAGGCACCGTCTTGCGTCAGCGGACCGCGCAGACCTTGTCCAAGCAACAGAAATGGCAAAAATTACCGGAAAGCGTTCGAATCACCCTGACACCGCTCATCAACTCGAGGTACGTTGTGACCAGCAGTGGAGCCATCGCGGCACCGAACCGTGTATATCCAGGATTCTCCCAAGAGTCCAGTCACAGCTCGTGGCTGCGCTCCTTGGTGTATGATCTAATGTGGAAGGCCAAAGGCGAGAATGCTCAGATGGTCTTCCCCGTCCTTGCACGAACGATCCGCGGCCACGATCTAGCGATTGCGAGCTTCATGCTTCCCTACACGATGTTGAATGTCGTGCTTGGTGGCACAGTCGCCGAAGTCAAAGGCATTGCAGACGAGCTCTTAGCCGTTCTCCAATGCGAACCCATCGGCGATGTCCAACGGGATACTATCAAACTTTGCAGCGAGAGCGTTTTCAACGTCCTCGACTACATGTCGTTGTGGCTGCAAGAGAAGAAGAAGGTGCTCGGGGAGGCGAGAGCGGCTGCGTACAAAACGGGGCGGTCTCCAGACGATTTCGACGAAGCAAGAGACGTGGCTCAGATAGAGACCGTGGAAACCTTCCTGAGCGGCATTCCAGCCGATGTCATTGCAAACCGGGCTCTGCTATGCGGATCCTACGCCCGTGCTCTGTTCAACTGGGAGCAGCATATTCGTCGGCAGCGACCAATCATTCCGTCCCAACGACCTCCGCAGCAGGCATCAGGCGACGAACTTCTTTATGACAAGTTGCAAGACATCTACGCACAGATTGATGAGCCAGATGGCCTCGAGGGCATCTCCGCGCACCTCACGCTGCTCAGTGAAGATCAACAAGCGATCCAGCATGCAAAGGCTCGTCGATGGGCTGCAGCTCAGGCCTGGTACGAAACTCAATTGGCTCAAGATCCCTACAACGTTGATATCGAAGAGCGACTGTTGAGCTGTTTCCGCGAGACTGGCCGATATGAGCCTTTACTGAAGTATGCTGAAAGCTTCTTGACGGTAGACAGACAGGCCACCGAGACGCCGAACGCAGCTGCAAGACTCCTTCCCGACATCTTAGGTGCACAGATGATGAATGGCGATCTGGAGGGCCTGTATACTACGCTGGAGTCTACGGCGTTTCCCATGCAGTCCGACTTCAACGCTGGTATCGCCGGGCTCGTGCGCGCGGTTGCAGATCACGATGTACCAGCAGTCACGACGCATATCAAGCGCTTGCGGACTTCCATCACGCAGAGCATGACTGCTGCCAGTTCAAGCTCGGTTCAGGGCAGTCATGAAGACTTGAAGAAGCTGCATGTTCTCGGGGAGGTGGAGATGCTCTGTTCAGATGATCTCAACACTATGGAGGTCAAGACGATGCTGGAGAGGCGATTGGCTGTGATAGGGTCTTACGTCCTTGACAAACAATATGTTCTCGGGGTCCGAAGAGTGATAATGGAGTCTATTGATGCCTTCACAGACCAGGATGTTGGGTCTCTGTGGTTGACGACTGCGAAGTTTGCCCGACAGCTCGGCAACACCGAACACGCATACAACGCGGTGCTCAAGGCCTACAAGCACGGCGATAGGGGCGCGACGATTGAGGAAGCTCGACTGTTGTGGCGGGATGGTCATCAAAGACATGCGATTCATGCCCTTGAGACGGCGATCGCATCTGGGTTGTTTGATACTGCGAACCAAGGTGATGCCAACATCCCGATGCATCAAAGCACAATGACTACACGAAGCACCACCTCGACGAGGAGTTCGGAGGCCGGCACGCAGCACAACGTCATATCTGCCAAGGTACACCTTTTGCTTGCGAAATGGCTGGACGCGACTGGACAAAGCCAGTTCAACGACATGACCGAAAAGTTTCAGAAGGCTGCCAAGCTCTTTGCGCGATGGGAGAAGGGCCATTACTATCTGGGCAAACATTACCAGAAACTCCTTGACACGGAAAAGGGGCTGCCCAAGGAGAAGCAGAGCAGCCAGTATCAAAGTGGCGAGCTTGACAGGCTGGTTGTTGAGAACTTGATCCGCTCTATCCCGTTCGGAAACAAGTATTGGCACGAAACAATCCCAAAGATCTTGACCCTGTGGCTGGACCTGGGCGCCTGCACGGTCACCAAAGCTCGGCATGAAGAGCAAGCCGTCTTCGATCGCCGGGTCAAGGCACTCCAGAACTGCAACAAACAGCTTCAAAAGTACTTTGAGCGAGTACCTCCGTACGTCTTCTATTCGGCGGTCCCTCAGATGATCTCTCGAATCACCCACCCGAACAAGGAGGTGTGGAAACTGCTGTTGAACATTCTAACCCGGATCGCATCGGCGCATCCGAATCAGACACTGTGGAGCTTGCTTGCTTTGGTGAAATCGACCGACCGAACTCGCCTCGAACGTGGTACTGAACTACTGGATCGGCTGAAGGATCCCAAAATCAAGGCGAGGGCGGATGGCAGCAACATAGACCTTCGAGTGATGATCACCCACGGACAGAGACTGTCCGACGGACTCTTGCGGGTGTGTGAAGTGCCGATTGACAAGCACGGGCCTGATGTGAAGCTATCGGAGCACTTGGACTTCAACCACAAGCTGGTTCCCAGCCAACTCGTCGTGCCCATCGAGACCACTCTGACCATCAGCCTTCCAAGCGGAGCGAGTCACGACACCATCAAAAGGCATAAAGCGTTTGTGCAAGAAAAAATCACCATCCAATCCTTTGCCGAAGAAGTGCTGGTGCTGAACTCGCTTCAACGACCGCGAAAATTGACGGTGCGTGGGTCGGACGGCAAGCAATATGGGCTTTTGTGCAAGCCCAAGGACGACCTGAGGAAGGACCGCCGGTTGATGGAGTTCAATAGCATCATCAATCGCACGCTCAAGCGAGACGCCGAGTCTAGCAAGCGACGCCTGTACGTGAAGACGTACGCCGTGACGCCGCTGAGTGAAGAGTCGGGGATCATCGAGTGGGTGGAAGGGATCAAGCCGATGCGGGACATCTTGCTCAACATCTACGCTCGCAAGGGGATCCGACCGAATTACACGGAGATCAAGAACATTCTCGACCAAGCATCGTCCAGTCCCGAGAACGCGCACCTCTTCGGCGACAAGGTACTGAGCAAGTTCCCTTCAGTGCTGCACGAGTGGTTGGTGGAGGTCTACCCGGAGCCGGAGGCGTGGTTCGCGGCGCGACTGCGATATGCTCGGACTGCCGCGGTGATGTCTATAGTGGGGCATGTGTTGGGCCTAGGCGATCGACATGGAGAGAACATACTGCTGGAAGAGAGCACGGGAGGGGTGTTTCACGTCGACTTCAATTGCCTGTTCGACAAAGGCTTGACGTTTGACAAGCCGGAACTGGTGCCCTTCCGCTTGACGCACAACATGGTCGACGCAATGGGAGCATACGGCTACGAAGGCCCGTTCCGCAAGTCGAGCGAGCTCACCGTGCGGCTGCTGAGACAGAACAAAGGCACGCTCATGACGGTGCTGGAGACGTTCCTGTACGATCCGACGACGGACTTTATCGGCAAGAAGAAGCGGTCGACAGCCGGGGTGCCAGAGACGCCGCAAGAGATTCTGGAGAGCGTGGAAAACAAGCTGAAGGGCTTGTTGAAGGGCGAGAAGGTGCCGTTGGGGGTGGAGGGATATGTGGATGCGTTGATCAAGGAAGCCACCAGCCCGTGGTGCTTGGCGAGCATGTATATTGGGTGGTGTGCATTCTTTTAGAAAACCCACCTGGCCTTCGGGGCACAAAGAACAATAATATAGCTTGGCACAGTCCCGTGCTCTCGCGTTTGGTGACGAGACACCGCGTGTCGGCCATGCCCGTTCCAGTAATTCGATCCATGCGCAGATGTTCCACCGCTCACGCCACCCCGAAAATCCGTGACGGGTTTCCATTTTTGGCCGTTGGGGCGACGCTGATTGGCTCGGGCGGAACGTGCCGGTTCCTGCAGACAGCACTCGCGACGGATTGATCGGCCTCTAACGTTTCTGATGGCGGGGCGGGGTTCGACACATTCCTCTTCATATGCCGCGTCCAGGGAGGCCACACGAGCCGCAAAAAATCGGTGAATTCCCTTTGACTCGTCATCCTCCTTCATCCCATTCATTGCGCTTGCTGTTGGCCTTGTCAAGCGTTATCCCATTCACCTCACTATTGACCTCCCTTTGCAGTTCAAAGGCACAGGCAGTGCTGGCGCCGTCGAAGCTCCCTACCTACGCAGACGTCACACTTCACCACCTTCGTTTGGCACGTCTGCGACCCACTGCTGGCGCTTGGCCGTGTTCCATCACACCCTCTTCCGCCCTGAACATCTTCCTTCCCTCGCTTTGTCCACTTTCTTTGTCATGAGTCTGCACCCGCGCAGCTACTCCTGGAAACAGAACTTTTCGCGCGACGGCTTCAAACCACTTCCCAACCAAGGCGACCCGGACGGCAGCATGCCTACACACGACGCCACCATCGATATCCCCCTCGAGCAGGTCACCTCCTACGCCTCGGGCTATCGGAGTCAATTGAAGCAGACAGACACAAATTCTTCCGATGCACGGAAACGCTGGCGTCCTCGAGGTCGCCGGCAAAAGCCGGATTCGTTTGGCAGACAGAAGTTGGGCGATGATGGGGAAGAGATCACGGTCAACACCATGGGCAAAATCTACAAAAAGATCCTCAACTTCTCCACACTGGTGCGTTCGAGGACATTGAACTGCTGTGTGGCAAAGTGAGGACACGCAAGGCTGACATTGTTCGCAGACGAGGTATTTCTTCTATGTCCTACCACTGGCTTCGATCATCGCCATACCAATCATCATCTACGCCGTCAACAACAGCAAGGCTCAGATCGGAGGCGTTCGCGTCTACTGGTTTTTCACCTGGATCGAAATCGTCTGGTTATCACTATGGATTTCCAAGACCTTCGCCCACTACTTGCCTCCAATATTCCGCGTGATGGCTGGCGTGGTGAGCTCTGGTGTCCGCAAATATTCCGAGGTCATCAAATCCCTGGAGATTCCGTTGTCGTTGGTTGGCTGGGCGCTTGCTTCACTCGCAACATTCAAGCCAATCATGACCGGCAACCCAGCATTCTACCCAGACTGCCAGGTAAGAGAGAAGGTTGACAATCCAACCAATTGCATTCCCGATGAGAGTTGGATCAACACTACGCAAACCGTTCTGGGTGCTGCCCTTATCGGATCCATCATCTTCGCGGTGGAGAAGCTCATTATCCAACTCATCTCCGTCAACTACCATCGCAAGCAGTTCAATGCTCGCATCAAAGAGTCCAAGCGCAACCTGTCAATGCTTGGACTACTCTACGATGCTTCCAGAGAACTCTTTCCGATGTACTGCAGCGAATTTGCAGAAGAAGACTACACCATTGCCGATCAGCTCGATCTGTCGCGCGCCAGTCGCAGCAAGAGACTCAGCAAGCACTTCCGGTCGGGTTCGCAAACACCACTTCGCTTCGTTCAAGATATTGGACATGCTGCAGACAAGATCACTTCCATGTTTGGGCATATGGCGTCGGAGGTAACGGGCAAACAAGTCTTCAACCCCAACAGTGCACACTCAATTGTGGTGGAGGCCTTGGAGAAGAACCGCACTGCCGAAGCTCTGGCAAAACGCATTTGGATGTCACTTGTGGTCGAAGGCAGGGAATCGCTTTCCCTCGAGGATGTCATCGACGTGCTGGGTCCGGAGCGCCGGGAGCAAGCGGAGGAAGCGTTTTGGACTTTTGACCAGGACGGCAACGGTGATGTGTCCCTGGACGAGTTCATCCTGACCGTCACCCAATTCGGCCGAGACCGCAAATCCATCTCCAGCAGTTTGCATGATGTCGATCAGGCCATTCACGTGCTCGACCAACTGCTCGTCGTCGTGGCCTTCGCAGCCATCATCCTGGTCTTTGTGGCTTTGTTGAACAAGAACTTCCAGACCACACTTGCAACGCTGGGCACTGCACTAATCTCGTTGTCGTTCGCCTTCTCCACCAGCGCTCAAGAAGTGCTTGGCTGCTGCATCTTCGTGTTCGTCAAGCATCCCTACGACGTAAGCCTACCCCGTAAGCCCGCTTGCCCCACGAAAACATACTGACACGACGCAGATTGGCGACCGAGTGGATATTGGCACTGCCGGCTGCTTGAATCAACAGCAACTTTGTGTCGAACATATCAGCCTGATGTTCACGGTCTTCCGTCATGTGCAAGGTAATGGGGTGGGCCGACTTTCGCAGATCCCCAACATCCTTCTGAACACGCTCTGGATCGAGAACGTGTCGCGCAGCAAGGCTATGACGGAACAGTTGTCGATCGACATCGCCTTTGAGACTTCGTTCGATGATTTGCAGACGCTCAAGAACGAGCTAGTCGGGTTCGTGACAGACAAGGACAACTCGCGAGACTATCAACCGACGATCGATCTGGATGTGCTGGGCACGAGTGACCAGTCGAAGATGTCGTTGATGGTGGAGGTGAAGCACAAGAGCAATTGGTCAAACGAGTCGGTCCGACGCACGCGACGCACCAAGTTCATGTGTGCCCTTATCTCCGCGCTCAAGACCGTGCCGATTTACCCACCGGGAGGAGCAACGGATGCTGTGGGAAGCGCGGCCTTGCCTTCCTACAGCGTCACTCTTGCGCATGACGAAGTCCAGAGGCATGCGGAGGAGGCGGCAGCAGCGAGAGAAAGGGCGCGTCTGATCCCTACCAAGAAAATTGAGGAGTCCCACGAGCACCTGAGCTCGCTCGACACCGACACCACGATGAACGCCGGCATGACGAAGCAAGACGAGAAGGTCGTCAGCAAGTTACACACCAGCGATCCCGCCGTGGACCCGGTGCGCGACGAGATGTGGGCGCGCGACGATGGCGGCAGCACGCTCGGCGAACGGCCGAGCATCGAACGGTCCGATCTGGATGAAGTGCGTGGGATGCTTCGGCGGGAGAGCACGCGCGGCAAACGGAAACCGAGCCAGGAACATCATCCGTCGTTGCCGCCAATCCCGACCATCAACGAGCCGGGGATGGCACTCTACGGTCCGGACTCGGTCCTTCCCCCTCCCCCGGCACAAGCACACGCAGCGGAGAACCAGCGGCCAAGCTACTCCACGATGCCGTATCAATATCGCCCGCGTGCGGCATCGCGACCGGGACAATACCAACCCGGGCCGCACGCCGAGACGATCCCGGAGGAAATGAGCGAGGTGCCGTCGAACACGTACCGCGTGGCGACGAACAACTCGCAAGCGCTTGAGTCGGACGACGCGGATGACAAGAATGACACATGGGGCAACTCGCGCCCATATTCGGGCGTGTGAGAGCCACGACTAAAAGGGCTCACACGTAGCCCAGGACTAATGTAGAGTGATTATAGATGAATAGAGGATTAATGACAATCCATGTGTATTGAGAGCATTCCTTATCATGTGTCGTTGGTCTTCGTTGCCGTGTCAAGCGTGACTGCCTGATATGACGTGGGGGCTTGACGTTTACGTGGGCGGGCCCGCGTGGAACGTCGCGGGTACTAAGATGGAAGGTGCCGGTGCCTTGATCCTCCTCCACGACCTCACCCTTATTCTACCCCAATCCCACGGGAGCTCCTCATCTTCACCATGGCGGGGTTGGAGAAGGCGATGTTCAATCTGAAGGTACACTGCGACCCCAGTGCGATGACACGTGAGCCCAGCTAACCTGCGGCGCCCCGCTCAGTTCACGGCGAAGCAACTCAATCGACAAGCCGCTAAAGCGAACAAAGATGAGCAGACGGAAAAGGCGAAGCTGAAGAAGGTGCGAAGGCAGTGATGCACCATCCCCTGCCTCTCCGTGTCCTGACCGTGTTGCCCCCCAGGCCATTCAACAAAACCATCCCGAAATCGCGAAAGTGTATGCGCAGAATGCGATACGGAAGAAGAACGAGAACATCAACCTGCTGCGCCTGGCCTCGCGCATCGACGCCGTCAGCTCGCGAGTGCAGACGGCCGTGACGATGCGGCAAGTGACGGGCAGCATGACGAATGTGGTCAAGGGTATGGACTCGGCGATGAAGAGCATGGACTTGGAGAAGGTAGGCAGCTTCCTGCACGGCGCGGAAGGACGGAATAGAGCAAGCAAGAGTACGGGCTGATGCAGACTAGATCTCGGCCGTCATGGACCGCTTCGAGACGCAATTCGAGGACTTGGACGTTGCCACCGGCTACTACGAGAATGCTACATCGTCGGCCACTGCGGTGGGCACGCCGCAGGAGGACGTGGACAAGCTGATGAGCCAGGTGGCGGATGAGGCGGGAGTGGAATTGTCACAAGAGATGGCGGGAGCAACACCTGCGAACGACCTCAAGGCCGCGCCCGAGGAGGAGAGGGAGGATAGGCTGGGAGAGAGATTACGAGCGCTGAGGAACTGATGGCCGAAGCATGGGGAACGGAGGGGGATATGTGGGATTCCGCGCGCGGCGTCTGGTGCACACTGTCATGAGCGACTTGGATATGATTCGATGCAGCTGTAAGGTAGACTGGATCACGTTGTTCAAGGCTGCCACAGGCTCTATGTTGCTCGACTCACTGTGCGCCTGCAGCGTCGAGCGTCTTGTCGCATGACTAGTAGCATTCCTGAGGCTTCTTGATGTCCCGTAGCCAGCACACATCTCCCTCGTTGGCTTGCCTTGTCGTCTTACCACGAACAAGTGGAAGAAGGGTACTCGGAGTCACGGCTACTGCGCCTCCAGAGCACGCCCCACTGTTACGTGTAGAGCAGGTTCGCGAAGGCCCCAAGCCGCTGCGGCGAGACTGGCCAAGCTCTTGGCGTCGCTGATGACATCGCCGTGGCCACTTCGACTACATCCCCATTTGTTTCCACCAATCTCTTGCTGTTGGAAAGGGCAGCGAGGAAGACATCGGGACACAGTTCTGGAAAGCACTCGGGAACCCTTCTGCCATCAAATGCGTGAGTCCACCCCCATATAGCCGTATGCAGGACTTGGGCAGTATCCAGAGCCTTGCAGCAAGGCAGCAAGCCCGCGTCCGCGCCATGACACCAAGCAAACACGCACGCAAACCTGGCTCCACTGCACCCACGTTTGCCACTACTCAGCAGAGAAGGCCGAGCATGCCCTTATCACTGCCCCTCCTCATCCTCCCCGCATCCCCTCCACCGCTCCTTCATCATCCGCCGCCCTGCCTGCCTTCCCTACCCAAGACCCTGCGCCTCGTTTCTCTCTGCATATGGGAAACTCTTCTGACCCTTCAATCGTAGACCGTTACCGAAGCTGGGCGAGAGATCACGTCCACCGACAGTCTACCCATTCCGAACACAGCGCCGGCGGCAACATAGCACGTGTCGCCAGCCAACCTTCACCCAACCCCACCGAAACTGGCGGGCTAGACGAGAAGAAAGGGGGGTATGGCCATTCGCCCCCAACCCCGCCTGCTCCATCCCAAGATGGCGGACAGCAAGGCCTTTGCAGCGTGGACGGCGGCACGGCAGGTCACGGCAGTGCGAGCAGCACCCTCGCGGCCGCCAACGATGAAGACGCCCTCGAACGCGATGCTCCCCCTGCAGCTCCACCTCCGAATAAGTCCGAGGCTGCGGGCAATGGAGATCCCGCCATAGTCTCTGCCACTCAAAAAGCCTCAGCTAAGAAACCTCTTGGACCACGCATGCGTGCTGGATGCCGCCGTTTCGTTTCCCACTTGAAGCATGCCCTTTGCTACAGCTGGGTGAACGTGCTGCTGGTCTTCGTCCCCATCGGTATCATTGTCGACTGCCTCCATTTGAGTCCGGGTGTCGTCTTCGCAATGAACGCGATTGCCATCGTTCCCCTGGCCGGCCTGCTGTCCTTCGCCACCGAAGCCGTGGCCTCACGACTTGGCGACACCCTCGGTGCATTGCTCAACGTCTCCTTCGGCAACGCCGTCGAGCTCATCATCTTCATCATTGCCCTCGTGCACAATGAAATCGAAATCGTCCAGGCGTCCCTGCTCGGCTCCATCCTGTCAAACCTGCTGCTCATCCTCGGCATGGCCTTCGTACTTGGCGGCCTTCGCTATCGGGAGCAGATCTACAATAGCACCGTCACTCAAATGAGTGCATGCCTACTCAGCCTTAGTGTAATCAGCTTGTTGCTTCCGGTAAGTCCTTCACAACACCACGGAGCCTGCACTACCTTCAATCGCTAACAACTGCCCGCAGACCGCCTTCTACGCCTCCTTCAACGCTCTCAGCTCCGATCTGGCAGACAGGCAGGTGTTGAAAGTCAGTCGTGGCACGAGTGTGGTCTTGTTGATCGTCTACGTCCTCTACTTGCTGTTCCAGCTTAAGTCGCACGCCTACATGTACGAGAGTACTCCGCAACAAGTCATTGACGAAGAGTCGCACCCGGGCGTGCTGGCGGACATTATGAATTCGTCTTCATCGTCAGACTCCTCAAGTAGCTCGGACGACGACGACTCGGATACATCGGGCTCTGGCTCGGTCATCGCCGCTGGTAGGAAAATCAGGAGGGCGTTCAAGAATCGACGTCGCCGGAAATCCAGCATGAGCGTCGGCAGTACAACCCACTCTCTCAGCTCGCCATCTACCCAGGAGCACCAAGGCAGTCATTGGGAACTGTCCATCGCTGGCAATCCCGCCCCTCGTCGCCCAACGCAGCTCGTTGGCCTGCCCAACGACACGGATGCCGATGCCGATCACGAAGGCGACGCAGAGGCCCAGCCACGGATCCGGGATTTTGGAGGCATCAACACTCGAAGTCAAGGTAGCTCCGCATCGCCCGATCGAAAAGAACTTCGGAAGATGAAGAAGGCTTCGAAGCGGATGAACAAGAAGCATGGCAACCAGAAGACCGCTCATGCAAGTCCGGTTGGGCTTGGTGGTGGGGTGGTGCAAAGTCCAGTTCGAGAGCCACCAAAATCGGTCGGTTTTGCCGAATACACCGAAACAATCGAGCCCGGCGGCCTTGCGACCACGCAGAGCGGATCGTCGTTTAACATGCGACATCTCTCCTCACGCGTGCGGCCCGGCCTTCCCAAGCTCCTTTCGAACAACGTGTTTGTCACCCCGCCACCAGGGCCTGCAACTCCCACCAATCGCCCGTTGGCCGCTGTCCGCTCTCATTCGAGTGGGACAAATCTTCGCCGGATCAGCTCTTTGCCCGATCGACTGAACAAAGAAGAGTCCAACCAGGCGTTTCGCAATTCCCAACCGTCTTGGACCGAGCCGTTACCGCCATTCCAGCACCAGCGATTCCAACACGTCGTGCCGGAAGCTATTGACGAATCTGACAACAACGATGCCGAGCGGGAGCATGTGTATATGTCGCGCACCGCCGCCGTGGTCCTCTTACTGTGCACCACAGCACTGGTGGCAGTTTGCGCCGAATTCATGGTCTCTGTCATCCCGGACATGATTGCATCGTCTCCCAATATCAGCCAGGTATTTGTTGGTCTCATCCTTCTGCCCATCGTCAGCAACGCCGCCGAGCATGTCACGGCTGTGACGGTGGCCATGAAGAACAAGATGGATCTCGCGATCGCCGTGGCGGTGGGCTCCAGCATTCAAATCGCACTCTTCGTCACGCCCATCGTTGTCCTGTTGGGCTGGATCCTTGACACGAACATGAGCCTGTACTTTAACCTTTTCGAGACGATCAGCCTGTTTCTGACGGCTTTCGTGGTCAACTTCCTTGTCCTGGACGGGCGAAGCAATTACCTTGAAGGCAGTCTGTTGATTGCGGCGTATGTCATCATTGCCTTGGGCGCGTTCTTCTATCCCTCGGCGAAGGATCAGAGTCAGATAGGTGGTGGAGCTTAGCAGGCTTAGGAGGCAGAAGAGGTTATGCATCATAACTACAGTACGACCCAGCGGAAGCTGAACAACACCTCTGCGTGGGCAAGGGGGGCTCGGGGATTTGGTTGAAATCGATAGAGGGGGGAAAGGAAATCAGACTGTCACAGATAATAGAATGGATCAAGTATATGTCTTTGCTACTGCTCAGTCCCGTCCAATACATATTGGTAGCTTTAATCATGAAGCGTTGATGTTGCGTGCCTCAGGCAGCCATCGGGGCGTGAATTCGGCGCCAAGACTTCGGCAGGCCTGCCCTCAAATTTCAAAAAAACGCACAAGGCGCGGCGAACGGCACCACGCTGCACCCCCTTCCATCCCCTCCGGTCGCTGTTGTGACTCACCTCCATCCTCACCCTGCACCCCCGACACAAAGGAGCGCCCCTCTCCCTCTCGATTATCAACACAACATGTCACGATTCTTCCACGGGAGCGACAGCTCCAGCGAAAGTTCCTCCGAAGAGGAGGAGTTGTACAGCGACGAGGAGCAACCACGAGCCCAACCAGCCGCCACCGACAACTCTGACGCGGATTCGGACGATTCTGATGATGATGACGACGATGGCTCGTCAAGCAGCAGTGATGCAGGCGGCAAGACGGGCGCGAGTAAATTTTTGATTTCCGATTCGGAAGAGGCAAGCGAGAGTGATGAGGAGAAAGTCACCGTCGTAAAGTCGGCCAAGGACAAGCGATTCGACGAGCTCGAGGGCACGATCCGGTTGATTGAGAATGGCGAGAAGATTGGCGACTGGAATGCGATCAACGACAACTACGACAAGATGCAGAGGCAAGTGCCGGTCCTCGTGCGTGACCTGGATGGCAAACCACCCAAGATGTACATCAAGATCATCGCCGAGCTCGAGACGACCGTGCTGGAGGCGTTTGAGAAGCAAAAAGTCACCCCGAAGAAGATGAACCCCATCGCACAGAAAGGCCTCAACGCGCTGCGGCAGAAGATCAGGAAGAACAACCGCGACTACACCACCGAGCTTGAGGAGTTCAGAAAAGATCCAGATGCGTACATGAAGGAGGACGTCGTCGAAGAACCCGCCCCGACCACTCGGAAGCCCAAGAAGTCGCTGCTGCAGAATGAGAACTCGCTCGGGGCCGGCGATGATGGCTTTACCATGGTGGGAGCAGGTGGCAAGGCCATGGTCTACACGCCCGAGAGTATCCTGAAGCATCTGCGATCCATTGTGGAGTCTCGTGGAAGGAAGAACACGGATCGACTTGAGCAGATCCGGGTGATGGAGCGATTGCTCGATGTTGCCACGACCACATACCAACGCATCCGCGTCCTTCTAACGGTCATCGCGACTCGATTTGACTTGACATCCGGCACCGGCTCCCAAATGTCGCAGGAGCAGTGGAAACTCGCACAGTCGGAGATTGCCCAGCTTCTTGGCATTCTGGAAGGTGACAAGGACATTGTCGTTGTCGAGAACGCCGAGGAATGGGAGGACGATGATAAGCAACCGCCCATTGTCTCTGGCGACCTGTTCAAAGTTCCGGGAAGCGTGGTCTCATTCGTTGAGCGCCTGGATGACGAGCTCACGAGGGTCCTCCAACATGTCGACCCACACACGGCGGAATACGTGGAGCGACTGCAAGACGAAGGCTCATTGTATACCACCATCGTCAATTGCATGCTGTACACCGAGCGTTTGAAGGCCGACAAGCGCTTGGACGCATCCCAAGATACCATCAACCGCGTCGTTATGCGCCGCCTGGAACACGTGTACTTCAAACCCGCCACGGTGATCTCCAAGGCCGAGGAGGATACCTGGAAGGTCGTCCCGGCCAAGGTGGATTCCGCCATCACACCTCGCGCGCAGAGTAGCGATGTTTCCAGTCTCGTGCAGACGCTGGCCACCTATCTCTTCCAGCACGCAGACGGCATCATCCGCGCTCGCGCCATGCTGTGCCAGATCTACTACCTCGCTCTGCACGACTCCTACTACCGCGCCAGAGACATGTTGTTGATGTCGCACTTGCAAGAGACGATTGGCAGCTTCGACGTCAACACCCAGATCCTCTACAACCGCACCCTCACTCAAGTCGGCCTCTGCGCCTTCCGCGCAGGCCTGGTCTACGAGTGTCAAACGGCGCTGCAAGACATCTGCGGCAGCCAACGGCAAAAGGAGCTCCTCGCGCAGGGCTTGCAAATGCAACGTTACTCCCAAATCACTCCGGAGCAGGAGCGTCTCGAACGCCAGCGCCAACTTCCCTTCCACATGCACATCAACCTCGAACTGCTCGAATGCGTCTATCTTACATGCAGCATGCTTCTCGAGATTCCTACCCTGGCACAGGCCGGCTCCTCGCCGGACCTGAAGAAGCGCGTCATCTCCAAGTCGTACCGCCGCATGCTCGAGTATCACGAGCGACAAATCTTCACCGGCCCGCCGGAGAACACGCGAGATCATGTCATGCAAGCCTCGAAGGCCTTGGCTGCGGGAGAGTGGAAGAAGTCGGCTGAGTTCATCACATCAATCAAAATCTGGGATCTATTGCAGCGTCCTACCGAGACCAAGAAGATGCTCGAGGGACAGATTCAGGAGGAAGGCCTCCGGACGTACCTCTTCACCTATGCTCCCTTCTACGACACGCTCAACCTGGACACTCTAGCGGGCATGTTTGATTTGTCCACGAGCAAGGTCACGGCGCTCGTGAGCAAGATGATTCACCATGAAGAGCTCGCCGCCGCCCTTGACCAAGTCAACTCAGCCATCATCTTCCGCAAGGGAGTAGAGTTGAGCCGTCTCCAGAGCCTGGCGTTGACACTTTCGGACAAGGCGCAAGGCCTGATTGAGAGCAACGAGAGGGTATTGGAGCAGAGGACACAGGGTACGGCCAATGCCTTCCAGAGGCAGGATGCTGGCCGCGGTGGCCGAGGCGGGAGAGGAGGCGGGAGGGGAGGCGCGAGAGGAGGACGAACGCAGGGACAGATCCGGAGAGGCGGTGATGGAGGATCGAGTGGCTTTACGGGCGGGGCTTTGGGCAATGCGATACGGGCGCAGTAGACATCCGGCTAAGGACCTGGGCGTTTGTGGTGTCTGTTTGAAAGGGAGCGATCATATGCCGGCTCTGCATTGGTCCGCTCTGAGGCACCGCACGATAGCTGCAAGGCAATGAGATGAGAAGTCGCATACATGACATTCCGGCGCATGCTGCTGTCTGCTATATTCTGAACTATTGAGCTCCCGCTGGGAGTATCGTCAATCATAGCCGGACAGTCTATGCAAGCGCGGTGTACACTCAGGTCCGGTGTATACTCAGGTCTTGGAGGAGGTGTGCATTGCAATTTTGTTGACCTGGACCTGACACCTGCGACTCTCATTCTACCCACCAAGTGTTGGGGTGGAAGCGGATAGGTGTTGTATTGGTGCTGACCGGCGGCTCGGCGTCGTCCACGCAGTGAATCAAAGATGACTCGATTTGACCTGAGCTGTAGCGCAACGGCCGGCTTTCATCCCGCATGCATGGAAGCCGGACTCCAGAACTCGGTTTCGCCGGCTTGCGAATCCACCCAGACTAAGCTGTCCGCTACGAGGTCGTCGATGACGGCTATGGCTCTCGCGCGCTCCCAGTCGAGGTTGGCTTGGAGCATGGAGACGCTCACATAGCCCAGCACCTGGATAACCTCGAGCACGGTCGCTTGATCGGCATTCAGCTCCTTCGGCACTGAGCGAATGTATTTTGTAGAGCCCAGCATGGTAGTCTTGAACCCGCCACCGAGAGGTGCTAAGGCATCCAGGGCGCGGAGGACATCGTCTTCCGTGACTTCCATCCCTCCACCCACCAGGCCTCTGCCCTTCTCGATCCGCTTTCGTACTTCACCCACGGCAATCATCCCTCCATTCTCATTTCTCGTCTCTCTGCATACCTCCAGCACTCGCACGGCAAGCTCGAAGTAGAAGTCGTTGACACTGCTGCCCAGCATCTTCGCCCACACACTCTTCCCCGTTCCCGCCGCACCGCCGCCCTTAACATTGCTGGCGGCCAAGGGATCAACGCCAATGGCATTGCACATGCGCGCAAACTCGGCGCGGAACGATGGATTGCTGCGGATGTCTTTGGCGTGGGTGAGGGAGAAGTTGTGAAGGGCGGCTTGGAAGACGGAGAGCTGGGTGGACAAGGCCTCGGCGTGGATCGTACGCAGGGCGGCGCCGTGGCGGGCGTACTGATCGGAGGAGATTGCGGCGTTGGAGAAGGCGCCGAGGCCAACTCCACGGCGGGACGAAGCCATCGGGGCGACACTGGACGTCTGTTGTGTCGTGCGATCCTACATCGTGGAGTGAACTGCGTACCACGTGGAGATGTAGTGGACAAAGTTGCAGCCTGAGGTTGGAAGCGTGGGGCCCGAAATCTTGGCGCGATTAGCAACGCTCGGACCAACTCGCTGCCAAGCCGCACTACTTTTCGAAAAGCCCGACACAAATTCTCTCGTGTGCCGACACCTCCATCCAACTACGACTCAGCACTCGCACTCTGCCAACACAATCACAATGGCTCCCAAGACGACCTCGAAGATCACCAAGTCGTACGTACCCTCGCCATATCTCCGGCCCGGGTGAGGAATTGCAGCATTCACCAGTGGTCTCGCTCAAGCTCGAAGAATGCTATGCTCCAAGACGGCCATGAAGATGGCGGGTGCGTCTGCCTCAGTCCTGCACGATGTCAAACCCTGGCTCGTCAGAATGTGAGGCATGGTAGAAGAGGGTGGACGCCTCATCTGTTCACCTCTCGACTGCAGCCCGAAAGGGCATCTCGCCTGGCGAGGTCTTGTCACACGAGTGTCGGTTGAAAGGCCATCCTCGATGATCAACGCTGTCCCTACAGCAATGGAGAATGCATGAGAGCCAGCCAACCACTGTGCCGCAATTCTTCGCTCGGAGCCGCAAAGCTCACAAGCGGACCACTGACACTGTGATACAGAAGCGTGGCAACCAAGGACCAAATCCTGGTGCCCGAGACTCTGCTCAAGAAGCGCAAGAGCCAGGAGAAGGAGCGTGCGGAGAAGGTCGCGGCGCGCGAGCAGAAGAAAAAGGTACGTGCACACTCTGGTCGCCCGTCAATGCAGTGATGATATACGACATCATCTCGACTAGCTTCTTGCAATGCTGTCGTTTTCTTTAACCATCTTTCGGGTCTGAACGCATGCTATCTTGCTCAATTCGCGTGGACCACATCGTGTCGAGCACGGCGCTGACTTGCCTCGCATTGCAGGAGAACAAGGAGAAGCGTGCTCAGATCTTCAAGCGCGCCGAGTCGTACGTCAAGGAGTACCGCGATGTCGAGCGTGAGAAGATTCGCCTTGCCCGCGTGGCCAAGAAGGAGGGCAGCTACTACGTCCCCGCCGAGCCCAAGCTCGTCTTCGTCGTCCGCATCAAGGGTATCAACAAAATCGACCCCAAGAAGCGCAAGACCCTGCAGCTCCTCCGTCTTCTTCAGATCAACAACGGTGTCTTCGTCCGCCTGACCAAGGCCACCTTGGAGATGCTGAAGATCGTCGAGCCCTTTGTCGCCTACGGCTACCCCAACCTCAAGTCGGTGCGCGAGCTCATCTACAAGCGCGGATACGCCAAGACTGCCGACAAGCACCGCATCCCTCTCACCGACAACTCCATCATCGAGGAGCACCTCGGCAAGCATGGCATTGTGTGCATGGAGGATCTCATCCACGAGATCTACACCGTCGGCCCCAACTTCAAGCAAGCGAGCAACTTCCTCTGGCCCTTCAAGTTGAGCAACCCCACCGGCGGATTCCGACCGAGAAAGTTCAACCACTTCGTCGAGGGCGGCGATTTGGGCAACCGGGAGGAGTACATCAATGCATTGATCAGGCAGATGAACTGAGCGAAGTGTTGTTTCTGCATGCGTCAAGTCGATTGTGGTAGCATAGACCTTACCTGACCGCAAAAGATTCTTTCTCACCATCTCCCTGACTCACTCCAGCTCATCGTCGGCAGTGCAAGTTGTACTATACGCGTGAGAAGGTTATGAAGCTCATCGAAGTTCCCACGATGTATCAATTTTATTGTCGTTCGTCTGTCATTCCGTCCACGGCATTATATATTCGGAGACAGGCGGTCGTATTTGACGCAGTTCTCTACGCTCTCGGCGCTGGCCTGCAGGAACTTCCGTGCTTCCAACCCCGCCCACACCTTGACCATCGACAAATCGCCCGACTGTAAGATGGACCGGGACTGCTGGGCGCCGAGTTGTCTCAAGATTGGTAACGCACTGTCACACGTTGGTTAGCAAACGATCTGATTAGGAGGAGGAAAAGGCAATAGAGGAGACTCACCCCGAGAATAAGTCCAAGTCCGGATCCAGGCTTCTACCGATGCCCTCAAGGAGCAGGATTGACAAAACTACGTTCACAAAATCCCCCTCTAGGCGGACATGATGCCCACGCACCATGGACAGCACCTCATTCAGGATGTCGCCGATCTTGATGTTGCCGAGAGCGAACGTGCGACTCTTGACGCCGAGGACGAGGTGCTGCATGCGCAAGGCGAAGATCTCCTTGTCGATGACCGCGCTCGGCTGCCGGCAACGCTCGATCATCAAGTGCCCTGCCTTGTAGCCATCGAACTCGGCGACGGCCTTGAAGAGGTCGAGGAAGTTGGTGCGATTGAGCTCGTTGAGCTCGGTGACGAGGCCGGTGTCGATGAAGATGAGCTGCGGGCGGTAGCCTTCCTTGTCGATCTGCGCGAGCGTGTTGACCCACGCCGTCTTGTCGTGGCGGAAAGGGCGCAGGCGCTCGAGCACGCGCTCCGTCACGTCCGTGCCGTTCTTCAGCCCCTCCACTTTGGCCGTGTCCTTGTCGCGGCGCAGGGATGAGGGGAGGCTGGACTGGACGCCGGCGGGCTCGTAGAAGCGCACCATGATGTTGCCGGGGTGGAGATCGGCGTGGATGAAGTTGTCGATGAGCAGCATGTGCAGGAAGGCGTCTAGGCCTTCGTCGGCGATTTCCTTTTGGAAGACGCCGCCGCCATTTTGAAGGAAGTGCTCGAGGGGAATACCGACGGCAAACTCTTCGACCAACACCTGGCGCGTGGTATATTGAGAGTAGGGATAGGGGAACCACGCGGTGCTCCGATTGCGGAAGTTTCGGCGGAAGATAGTTAGGTTTGCGGACTCGATGCGTAGGTCGAGCTGCAGGCGCATCATCTCGCCAAACTGCGCCACCTCGTCGGGGAAGCTGAGCCATTCCATTGTCGGGACGGCGTTGATGATGCTGGCGAAGAAGCCCATGATGCGCAGATCTCGCCGCACCACGCGTTCAATCTTGGGATGCAAGACTTTGATCGCGACGTACTTGGAGGGGACGCGCTGCGGCGAGCTCTTCAAGATGGGGTCCACGGTGCGTTGCGCTCGTTCACGCAGCGTCTGCGGTTCGTCGTCGCGGTCGGGTTGATTGGCAACCAGCTCTGGCTTCAACTTGGCCTTGTAGACCTGAGCAATGGCGCCGACACCCAGCGGCGTCTCGTCAAATTCCTCGAAGATCTCCGCAAACTTCCTGCCGAATGCGCGCTCCAATGTTTTACGCGTGACCTTCATGCTGTGCGCGGGGGCGTGGGAGTGCAGCGAAGACATGACCACGCACATCTCGGTGGGGAAGATGTCTGTCCTGCTGGCCGCCCATTGCCCGAGTTTGATGAAGGCTGCACCCGCGCGCTCCATGGAGGAGACGAGGAACCAATACCACCACAGCGTGCCACTCCGTTCATTGTCTTTGTCCGGCCGTCGCGCGCCAAAGTAGACGGCGGGCACCGTCACAATGACAGGCACGAAGATGACGAGCAAATGCAGGAAGCGCAGGCCGGTGGCTATGGGCTCGACGATGTATGTGTCGACAAACCGCCAGATGGCGCGTCGAAACCTCCGCGAACCGCGTAAGCGCTCCGGCACATACTCGGCCAGCTCTTTGCGTGACATCTCCAGCATCTGCTCTTCGTGTGTTTTGCCATTGTGCTCATGGCCTTCGTCGTCATCCTCTGCAATCTGCACGAAAGCGGCCGGGGTGAGGGCGGCGGCGAGCAAGGCGGTGCCGCCTTTGACGGGAGACGGAGGCGCGCGAAAATTCTGGCGAACGGTGCGGAGGATGGAGAAGGTCTTGGAGGTACGGCCGCTGCGCAGGCTGTATTGGATCTGTCGTAGGATTTGTGGACGCAGCGGTTGGCTCCCGATGCGCGAGCATGTTTGGCCGAGGAGAAGGGTGGCTCTCATTGCGGCGCGCCGCAGGGCCAGACAGTCTCACTTGGTGGGATGGACTGTCATGGAGAGAGGAGTTCGGATGGATGCGTCGTCGGGGTGGGATTGACGGAAGAGGTCGAGTTGGTTGGACGGTGTTGGTTGAATGCCGACGAGACAATGTTGCATCGACGGGCAATGAAAGTCGCCGCTTTCTGATGTCATCTTCAATCACGAGCCAACTCAACGCCAGCATCACATGCAAAGCATCATCAATAATTTGCCCGCACATGAGAATGCTGCTGACAGACAGAGTGCAATTTGCACACGATTGGGAGCTATGTCTGCACTTGTAAACACAATCTATCTATACCCGTCGGCCGCCAACTCCAAAGCTAAGGCAGGGTGAAATGCAAAACCGAACCGCCGTTACACTTTCGCCGTGACTCCAAGGCCCAGGACGGGGACGGCAGAGTCGGGCAACCTCGACTGCATCGAGTCCGGCACGAGGTCCGGCGTGGTTGGGGCAGCGGCGACGGCGGCAGGCGCGGGCGCCATGAGGAAGCTCTTGGGCGTGGGACTCTTGGGGCTGTCCAACTGCGCGAGGACGGAATCTCGCTTTTTGAGGGTGAGCTCGGCGGAGGGCAGGAATTGACCGAAGCCCTGCGATGTGGCGACTTGCTCGATGGATTTGAAGTACTGCTGCCGTGTCAGGGCGAAGCCGTTTCTTCTACACACCCGGGCCTCTCCAAGAACTTACCTTGACGGTTTTGACTTGGAGCTCCAGCGTGGCATCCTCGTCCACCACAATCATGGCGTGCGGGTGCATCTGGAGACTCGACAGCGTCCACATGTGATTGACGCCGCACTCGATTGTCTTTTGTAGCGCGAGGGCTTTGTGTGCGCCGGTGATGATGATTACAACCTCGCGCGCCTACTGTCGTTTAGCATGACTGGAACGTTGCCGCATGTGTCCACGGAGCAAACTCACGTCCATGACCGTCTGCACGCCCACCGTCAGCGCCATCTTGGGCACTTTGTTCAGATCGTGCCCGAAGAAGCGCGAGTTGGCGAGGATGGTGTCGTAGGCGAGCGTCTTGATGCGCGTGCGACTGCACAGACTCGAGCCGGGCTCGTTGAAGGCAATGTGCCCGTCCGGGCCGATGCCGCCGAGGAAGAGCTCGATGCCTCCGGCGCGCTTGATCTTCTCTTCGTAGGCGATGCACTCCTCCTCCAGATCGGGCGCATTGCCATTGAGGATGTTGATGTTGGCGGGGTCGATGTCGATGTGGCTGAAGAAATGCTTGTACATGAAGGAGTGGTAGGACTCGGGATGATCGCGCGGGATGCCGACGTATTCATCCTGTGTTTGCGTCAATCGATGCGCTCGGGGAGAAGTGGGTTTCCAACGCGTCTGACCATGTTGAACGTGATGACATCTTTGAAAGAGATGTCGCCATTCTTGTGCGCGCGCACCAGGTTCTTGTAGATGCCCTCGGGCGAAGAGCCTGTCGGCAGACCCAGGACGAAGGGCTTGTTGGGCGTAGGGGCGAAGGACTTGATTCGGCCTGCACGTCATTAGCAGTGGCCCATGGCGATGCCGAGATGTTGCTTCTCGGGGCAAGAAGACCGTACTAATGATGTAGTCGCTGATATGACGAGAGGCCGCGGCCTTGGTTGTGGTGAGCAGAGGAGGAAATGATGACAGCCTTGGGTCAGGCAGGCAGAGTCTCGCTCACCTTGTCATCTCGAATGATCAATCTCCTGCTTCGAGGTCAGCCGGGCTTCTCGAGAGCTAGCTTTCCCTCACGACCGCGTATAAGCACTTACATATTGATTGGTAGGAGATGTCCAACGTCGCGTGCGTGGAGGAATGGAAATTACGGCCTCGAGCAATATGAAGTCGACGTGAAGACCGAATAGACGGAGAATAGGAAAATGTACGATGCTAGGTAGGAGTGAAAGGGAACAACCCTTCGCATGGGACAGCTATGTCATCGTCGCAAATGAAGTTACATGAGCAGGCTCCGCACACTGCAACTGTGCGATCCTCAGGCATCCAACACGTGAAGTGCGGGTGCAGGCAAGATGTCACCTTAGCTGGGCAGAGTGCTGAACACATGCAGCTGGCAGCGTTGCATCGTCCAGTCCCAGCACGAAGGAGTAGTCATCCAGGCCTTGGCGACGGCGACCGTTGCACGCAGCCGTTCGGTCACCTTGCCGTCCCCTCCCTCCATCCTGCACGCGCCACACTGCCACCCTTCTCCGCATCGGCGGCGTGCTGCTGTGCCATCCCATCCCACCACGCACGCGACCTCCTTCCTGGCCTGCGACCTCGTGTCGCGACGACAGCCCGTGCAAGCTCCGCGCTGGGCGGGCAGATGGTAACGCTGCGCGCGTGTCAGACCATGTCTTGATGCGACAGGTCAGTGTCGAGGTTGCAATTCTTAATCACCGCGTGCCGCCACGCTGCGGCTGCCCCATGCCGATCTTCCCCAAGTTTGCCACGCCCGGCCAATCGTGTTGCAGCCTGCTCCCCACCTCCACTCCCGACTACCAGCACACCCCTTCACCGTCCGCCTGCACCCTCCCCGAGGCGGTATATCTCCTGCCTTGTCGCCCCTCCATCATCCAGTCTCCTCCCGACATCCTCGCGACTGCCCTCTGCATCAGCCTCTTCCCTTGTTGCCGTGAGGTTTGTTGTCGCGATCCGTCCCATCTCCCTCGTGCACTGCCCACGTGACCTCCACCATGGCCGACGATAAGTCGCCCGCGCTACAGTACACTGGCTCCCCCGAGCAGTCACTCGAGGGCCACTCTGCCCAGCACGACCACAACGACCACCACGAGGTAGTCCTGCCCACCGGCTGGAGATACAAGAGCTTCAAATTCGGCCCCCTCACCCTCCCCTGGTATGCCAGTCCGGAGTTCCAGGTCACCCTCGTGGCCTTTGTTTGTTTCTTGTGTCCCGGTATGCCTATCCCTTCTCCCCCTTCTCTTCCTCACCCGCATGACAACCCCGCTGACGCTCCAAAGGCATGTTCAACGCCGTCAACGGCCTGGGCGGCGGCGGACAATTCAACCCGGAGGCCAGCGATGATTCCAACGTCGCCGTCTACGCCACCTTTGCCGTCTTTGGCTTCTTCGCCGGCACCATCGTCAACAACCTCGGCGTCCGTTACTCTCTGGGCTTCGCCGGCTTTGGCTATGCCCTGTACGTCTCCGGCTATCTCTGCTACAGCTACACGGCCAACTTTGGCTACGTCGTCTTCACCGGCGCCATGCTAGGCGTCTGTGCCGGCATTCTCTGGTCTGCACAGGGCGTCGTCATGCTCTCCTACCCGCCCGAGAACAAGAAGGGTCGCTTCATCGCCCTCTTCTGGATCATCTTCAACCTGGGTGGTGTCATTGGAGCTTTGGTGCGTATCACTCTTCCTCCCTCGCGCCCATTCCCCGCCTAATGGCGCTGTCTAGGTCCCACTCGGGCAGAACATTCACGTCACCCACAAGGGCTCCGTCACTCCCGGCACTTATATCGGATTCCTCGTCCTCTGTACCTGCGGTGCTCTCCTCGGTTTCACCCTCTGCCGAGCCTCCAACGTCATTCGCCGCGATGGGTCCAAGGTCATCCTCATGCGCCACCCAACCGTCAAGTCTGAGTTCCTGGGCCTGTTTGAAACACTCAAGTCCGACCCGTATATTGTTCTCCTCTTTCCCATGTTCTTCGCTTCCAACTGGTTCTACACTTACCAGTTCAACGCCTTCAACGCGCCAAAATTCGACGTGCGAACTCGCGCGCTGAACAATGTTCTCTGTACGTGCCCGCCTCCCCTTAGCCATACCGGTGACCGCGTCTCACTGACTCGCACTAGATTGGAGCGCGCAAATGGTGGGCGCTGGCATCTTCGGCCTCCTCCTCGACCTCAAGTACTTCCGACGCAGCACCCGAGCCCGAGCCGCGTGGGTGGCCTTGCTCGTCCTCACGCTAGCCATCTGGGGCGGCGGCTACGCCTTCCAGACCTACACCCGCTCCGACCTGGGCACGATATACGACTGGACCACCGATGGCTATGTCGGGCCCATGTTCCTCTACATCTTTTACGGCATGTACGACGCGATCTGGCAAACGTGCATTTATTGGTAAGTGGTACGCGCGGCGTTGCGAGACAGAGCGAGGCTGACGGGTCGTAGGTTCATGGGTGCTCTCACCAACAGTGGACGTAAACTTGCCTATTTTGCCGGCTTCTACAAGGGCCTGCAGTCTACCGGCGCGGCCATCATCTTCCGCCTTGACGGCCTCCACACTCCATACATCAACGAGTTCGCCTCCTCCTGGGGCTTACTCCTCGGCGGGCTCCTCTTCGCCCTTCCCGTCATCGTGATGAAGATTAAAGACACCACGCCTTTGCAGCAGGACCTCAAGCTCACCGATGCCACGGTTGCGGATGTCTTGCCTCCCGAAAACTTTGCCGACACCGAGGTGGGCGCCGAAAAGGCATAGGTGTGGATGGGTACGGGCCAGGCATTGCTTGAGAGGGGGTTGCGGAGTGCGTTGCTCGGTGTTGTTGGAGTGCGTGCTATATCCTACTATAATTGAGGGCACGTGGGATCGATACTTACGAGTCACGAAGTCGTTTCGTTTGGGACTCATTGATACCCGATTGTACGTTGCAAACTTGGCTATGAAATCCATCATCGACACAACAATGGTCTTTCAATCCATCGTCACGTGGCTCTGCTGTGCCTTACGATCCATCTCTCGGAATTACCGTAATAGGCAGGTAAATGGGCAGCGGGGACAGCACGATCGGCCCGGGATTACTGTGTGGGCGGGAAAAGGACTTAGGCGGAACCAAGTCATTGGCCCCTTCAACTGCCGTCGTGGGTTGCAGCTTAGCGTCGCAACAACACGTCGTGTCGTTGCACTCCTCGTCACGTCACGGCGTCGTTCGTCCTTCGAAGCCTAATACGCCCGACGACGGCGCGCGTGTCATCCCTTGGCCCCAGGGCCCCGTCTTCCGCGGGCCGTCGTAGCCACGGGCGTCGGCGGGAAGGTTACAGCTGGTGGTGTGGTGCAGCCTACTCCCCTCGACTCGACTCTCGACGGCACTCTCCCAAGACACCCCCACTCCGCCCAGACCCAGTGTCCTCCGGAGGGCACATCCGTCGACTGCACGTCTTCGCTCGCCCTCCACCTTAATACCACCCAATGACACCCTGCTCCAGCATTCTGCGACGCTCTCTTCGATCTACGCCGTCGCACCCTCTCTCCCTCCACCACCTCGCCGTCGCGCCGGGATGTGCTATGCTACGACACCTCCCTCGTCACCGTCGATTGCCGTGACATGTCGTCTGCCTCTCGCCTGAATATATACCTGCCGATTTCGGGCGCAGCCTCGTTTCTGAACGCGACCCGCCCGCCACCGCCGCCCTCCGTTGGACACCACCACCACCTTCCCACCGCCCATGCCTAGATGACTTCGCCTGCCCGCAACAGCCTGTTCGTCCGCGTTCACACCTGGCTCCGTTCGAGGCTCGCAAAGCTCCTGGACGCCATGTTGTCATCCGTCACCCGCATCCTGCAGCCCAAGACGTCGACGAAGCGGAAGAGGGTGCACCACCATGTAGTCGAGAGGACGTACGAAAAGAGCATGGACGATCTGCTGGTCGAGATTAGGGAGCTGTTCGCCGCGCCGCTGGAGGAGACGCGGTTGGCCGACTTCTCGACGAGGCTGCAGGCCGAGTACAAGACGAGCTTGCTGGCGTCGCGACAGTCCATGCTCCCCTCTTACCAACACACCTTACCCACCGGCAATGAGCATGGCGACTTCCTCGCCCTCGACGCCGGTGGCTCGACCTTTCGCATCGCCCTGATCCGCCTGGCCGAGAAGAAACATGACGGTGACGGAATGGAAGTGAGAAGGGTGCGGAGTTTTTGCATCGACGAAACTGTGCGCAAACTCAGCGGCACCGAGTTGTTTGACTGGTTCGCGTCGCGAATCGGCGAGATGCTGGCCGAATACAACCACATGTCCGGCACGACCGATGCACATCTGCAAATGGGCCTGGCATGGTCGTTTCCAATCGAGCAGACCTCACTCCGCACCGGGCGTTTACTAGCCATGGGCAAAGGCTTTCGAGCGGCCCACGAACTGGAAGGCAAGGATCTTGGGGACCTCATCATGAACGCGTGCCACGCGCGCGGGCTCAACGTAGACTTGCGCGCCATCGTCAACGACTCCAGCGCGACACTGCTGTCGCAAGCCTACCGCGACCCTTCAACCTGCATGTCGCTCATCCTGGGCACCGGGGTCAACGCGGCCGCCTTCCTCCCGACTACCGCCCTGGGCGCAGACAAATTTGGCGAGCGGCCTGCCAGCTGGCATGCAGCGGCCAAGCGTGTCGTCGTCAACACCGAGCTCAGCATGTTTGGGAGGCATGTGCTGCCGACTACACGATGGGATGAGGACCTTAACGCGCAGCATCTGCTCCCGGACTACCAACCTCTCGAATACCTCGCCACGGGCATGTATCTGGGGGAGATTGTGCGTCTGATCCTGTTGGAGGCCATCCCCACCGCCGGGCTATTTGATGGCCAGATTCCCGACCATTTCGACACGCCCTACGCGTTGGAGACTCGGATACTAGCGGCGCTTGAAAGCGACGACACACCCGAATTGAGAGATGCACGGGCGGCGTTTCTGAGCGCGCACCCCCTGCGCTCCGCCCCGAAGCGGCGAGATCTGGAGTTCATGCGGGCCGTCGCAAGATTGGTCTCCCGTCGTGCGGCTGCCTACTTGGCCACCGCCTTACACGCGCTTTGGGCCGTGCGGACTAGCGCAGAGGGGGTTCGAGCGGAGGATAGCAGCGCAGTGACGATCGCATGCGATGGCTCGATGGTGGAGAAGTACCCTGGCTTCCGGCAGAGGATGCAAAAGCATCTCGACGCACTGTGCGTCGTGTCCGGGGCCAAAGAAGGGGCGGTGGTGCTGCAAGTCGTGCCGGAAAGCTCGATTCTTGGTGCGGCCGTGGCTGCAAGCTGTAATGATTGATGATACGACACGGCTACGATTCTAAAGCGTGACACACGCATACTACAAAGAGCTGCGGCGAGCAGGAGTTCGTGCAAAGGGTGAAGCCGTAGAGGTGTTGAACAGATGCACCACGGTGTAGCGGTGTAGCAGAGAGAACACGTAGGTCCAGCTTCGCGCATGGAGACAAGGTCGGGAAATACGATCAACGTGCATGCCGGCGGTGCTGTTGGGACGGATTGGGGAAAGGGGAATAGTCATCAAGGATCTCAGGGTAGCATCGCAGTAGGAAGACGTACAGGACGCGTCTGTCACCGTCCAGCTACGCCTGTCACGCGCTGCTACGTTGCATATAAGGTTCTCACCACCCCAGCCTGGGCCGCGGGCAGAGAGGCTGGAATGACCGGATGCGGGAGTACGTGAACAGCAACAGTTAGGGTGACATCAGCTTATGGAAGGACACGCAACCATATTGCAATAGACTTCTGCCCACGGGTTTCATGTTGAGTCATATCTACATTCATACAATGCAGTGCCTGAAGGCAGTCGTTTGCATTTCCGGTCCTGAGATCGTTGTCTGCTCGGCATGACATGTCGTGGCCTTCCACCAATTGCATGTGCGCAAACGCTAGCCAACCATTCGAATTGACTAAATATGCGCCACTCATAGGTTGAACACCGTCAACGGCTATCTGCACACAACACCGCGTGTCATCTAGTGAAGTGGCGGTGCGTGGCTGGTGCTGATGCCTCACCAGGCATCCACGGAACACCTGAAAGCCTCAAAGATGTAGTGGGCTTGCATGTGCCAGTCGGGTCGCATGGCATCTGGCGAAGTCGAAAATCGACGATCCCGATGCGTGTCCATTGGATCAGTCAGGATGGACCTCTCTTGACGCGGCGGCTTACGAGGAATCAAGCTCCCCGAATCCTTCAACGGAGGCGGTGCTCAGGTAATGTCTTCGCTGAAATACCTCTTACTCCGCGTACTCTTGCCCAGCGTCTTGGGATCTCGTGGACCACTTGGGATCTTCATATGGTGGACCACGTGCGGACGATACAAAGCATCCACTGGCGTGTCCCATTCGTCGACGCCCAGAGGAAAGTATTCGTACAGCAAATCCGCGCTTTCGTCCGGACTGTTCAGGGCATTCAACGAGAATGACGGTGCTCGGGCGGGGATCTGGAACCTCTTGGCCGAGCGCGGCTCTACGGGTGTCTCGCCTCCGCTGGCATCGTCTTCCACCAGGGAAAGGTTGATGGGAGCGGAGGGCGGGAGCGCGGATTGGGGTGCTTGCACGGCGTCCGGGGAAGAGATGGCATACAAGTCGGCGTCGCGATACGGACTGCTGGTGGGTGGCATGCCGTTGAAGGTCGCCGCCTGGACTTGGCTGGGCGACTTCCACTCAAAGGTAAAGTCGCCCTTTGGTGGGCTCTGCTCAGGGTATGACTGCTGTGATGCGCGAGCAATCAGTTCGGGCCGAATGGGCGCCGATGTTGGTCCGTCATTCGCTCTTCTCGGAGCGCCTGTGGTGGAATCGTTGGAAGAATTACGGCTTGGCTGAGGCAGGTGCGAGCCTTTCCTCGCATGCCCGCTACCGCTGAGTGGGAGGTCCTTGCGGGACTGGAAATTCCTCGGACTCCGCCCTCGCACGATGACCGCACCCGATTGGATCTCACAAACGGGAATTTTACCGCCCGTTGCAAGGGTCGCCATGACCTTCAGGCGAATGACAAAGTGCTGCTGCAATTCTTTCCGCCGCCCATTGTTGGCCGTGGCGATGCGGAACTGCAAACGTTTCCACTGGAAGGGGAACGTGGCGAAATCCGAGTCCAGCTCTTGCACATTCATGAGGTCCAAGGGGATTGCAGGCGGCTCTCGCTCAACCTTTTCCTCCGATGTGGGAGCGGTGGGGTTGGATGGGGTCTTCCAGGGAACGGAGATGATCTTCACCGCATTGCCCTCGGTGGACTCGGTTGCGGTGATGACGAGCTCTTGGCTGACCACGGGGATCTGGTCGCCTTGTTCCGTCATGATATATCTCAGGGTTCGGGGGAGGGTGACCTCTCCGGTGACCTGGAACAGATTTCTCCGGTAGCAGGTGAGCTCGGTGGGGGACTGCTGAGCATCGCCAGCTGCGGCCCACGGAGACTCTGCCAAGAAGAACATTCCATGCAGCTGAGCAGACATGGAGATGGTTGTGCGGCGGTAGGTGTAGTCGAGGAGGGCGTAGTCGAGCGAGGGCAGGGAGAAGCCGAGCAACTTGTTATCGCGGTCGATGGAGGGCGTTTCGGGGTCGGGTTCGAGGCCGAGCGGTTGGTCGAAGGCGCTGACGACGTCGGAGAAGGGATCCTCATAGCCGCTGGAGAAGCGGTGGAGGTGTGGGGTCGCGTGAGGATGGATGCTTTGGAGGGTTAGGTCGTCACTTCTGTGGGCGACATGGTCAGCAGCACGTCCCGCGATGGTATCCTCACATGCGAGCAGCGACAATGGACTGACCCTGCGTAGCCGTAGGCCGACTGGTGCTCGGGCAGGTCGATGGGGAGGAGCATTTCGTGGAAGGGGTCTGCACCATTGCTGGCCAGGCTGCTGCCTGGATGGGCCATCTGCGAGGCCAGGTAGGTCATGGTGGACGGGTCGAAGCCCGACAGGTTGTCCATGGTGGAGCAGCTGGCGCTCAGTGCGATGCCTTACTCCGTGACGATGCCTGGACGTTGCTTCGCGCTCGCTCGCTCCATGCGCATACACCGGCTCTGCACAGAAGGGCACAAGAGGGGTCGCGAGTGCTGCAAAGTCGGGCTAGAACAGAATTGAGCGGTGGTGGAATGGAACCCTAGCCTGGGTGGTGGCAGAGGTGGAGATGTGTCGCAAGAAGCGGCGCGATTGTAGCGGCGGCGGCGGCGGTGGTGGCGCGCAGGGAACGGAGGGGCGAATGGCAGAGCACGTCGCTATCGGGCATCCCTTGACGAGCGCTGGTGGTGCCGGCTCGCACACGTCGAAATTGGGGACGCCGGTGGATGGGCAGCGTCGAGCATCATCCGCCTGGAGATTGGTAAAGCCGCGGCTGCCCGCATCGGGCGGCGCGCGCCAAAGGCGGAGGGCGACGAGGGGGAGAGAGGTGCCAGTGCCGGTGTTTGGGCGCACGAGAGCTGCTGGCCTCCACCTTTGCCCTTGCCCGCGGTGGAGCCGAAGGCGCCGGACTGTCCTTCCACGCCTTCGATCCGAGCTAGAACATCCTTCCCGCCCCCTCCGGGCGCGCTAACCCGCGTGGAGCAAGTGGAAACGAGTCACGCACGTGCAGGCGCGCGAGAATTTACATAACGCTTCCCTGCTGCCTGCTAATCACGACATCATTCTCCTTTCGCTCTCCCCATCTCTTGCCTCCCTTCCTTGCTTGTTCGAGCCCGGCGATGGCAAAGATCAGCGGCATCCCAACGACATCAAGTCGTCCAGGTCAAAGTAGCGCCTCATCTGTCCCTGCTTCTCTCCGCGCGCGTCGAGTTGACCCCTCTGCCCAACCCCGCCTCGGATCCTTCATCTCGGAAGCCCGATGCTCCGATGTGCAATATTGCACAACCCCGCCGATCCTCTACGTGATGAGCAAGTGCTCCCCACCGTAGATAACAAGATGCCCTCGGCCCAGCCGACTGATAAGCGTCTGCCCGACACGCAGCGGCTACGATGGCGGTATCATCGTCCACGTGGCCGCATCGCAGGACACCTCCTCGAAATTGTTCAGCACACTAAATCCCATCGCGCTCAGGCCGTCAAAGTTGCCATCGCCGTCCATCTGCCCCTTGCGTCAGCGATACTTCCATACTCTCCTGCCGATCGGTTGGACTGAGCAATCCCACTTACATAGTCCAAGATGCACACGCTGCAGCCCTGCTGCTTGATCTGCCGCATCCCCAGCAAGATCAGCCCTTGCAAAAGAGTAGAAAACTCGCCCGCCGATGGGCTGATGACCGGCGAGGAGATGCCGCCCGCCAGCTCGCCAATGTCCTTCATTGCTGGCACAAACTCGGCGAACTGAGATTGCATGTTGTACATCACCACCGTCCCCAATATCGCCCCGTCCTCCGGCCGCTTGGCTCGGATGATGCCACACGCAGCCCGGTCGGACAGCGCCATCTTGTATACTGCGGCCAGTCCCTGTCGATTGTTCGTCTTGATGTGATCCAACACCGGCCCCGCGTGGTCCCAGCCATACACCAAGTCAAACTCCACCCCGGCACTCTGCAGGCTCTTGGCCATGCCGTGCGGCGGAGACCAGCTGGAAAGGTTCCGAGCCACCATGCTGCATACCGAGCGCGAAAGCGCGGTATTCCACCCGAGATTGGCGAACCAGGAGCGCAGACGCTTGCGTTCCGAACCATGCCCCGTGGGTAGCCCAAGGTATATACTGGGCAGTCGCGAGCCGAGTTGGAAGCGTTTGATGCCCTCCCGTTGCAGGAGTGTGCGGATCGCGCGGTTGTGAAGGGAGTGCCCGATGGACAGTTTCCGGCGGCCGGGGTCCACGAAGATGGCGCCGATGACTCCAGTCCCGGTCGCTACAAAAAAGTAAGTCGAGCAGAAGCCGTATAGCGCTTGCGTACTGCTGTTTCGCACAACAAAATGTGCTTCCAGCACCTCGGAGTTGTGAAGGAGAAACGAGCTGGATGTTGCGCCGGACAGTTCCGAGTGCACACCTGGCGCGTTGCCTTCCACCGTCACCTTGAGCAGGTTGTCGAGGGCATTCGAGTCCCTCTCTTCATTAAAGGCCTCCACCAGCCAATGCTGTTTGGAGTGCGACAGCTTCTGGCTCTGACTGATGGTGCCCGGAAGAGAACCGGCAGGCGAGAATTCGCCGTAGAGCACCTTCACCAGCGAGATCAGGGCGGTCTCGGTGAAATCGTACGTGCACACATACGTGCCAATCGATTTGTCCATGGCAAAGTCATAAGGAGAGCTGACGGCGACCACCACGAGCGGCTTCTCTCGCTTCTCGCCGCCAGAGGAGTACTGCATGTTACATATCATCGCCACATGCTTGGTAAATCCGTGTTGGTAGAGATTACGATTCGCATCGGCCGTGACGATGATGATGGCGCCTGCCCGATTGATCAGGTTCTCATGCTGCGGCCGTACTCCGTTCGCGGTATATGAAGTGTGCAGCACCCGGCCGCTGCGCTGACGAGCAAGTGATCGGCCAAGCTCTCGGAACACGCGCTCTCCGCTCATCACAGACTCGCTGCGCTCCCATATTAGAGGCTCGGGGGAGTCGTTGGAAGACAGCTCGTGCAGGGCTCGAGTCGCCGCAGAGGCCGCAGGAGGCTTGACTAGCGGGGTCAAAAGCAGCAGCTCGTCCTCCGGTTCCATAATGTTGGTCAACGGAAGTAGGTGACCTTGGTCCCGAACGACCGTGATGGATGAGTTGTATGCTTTCGTGGAGAGTGTGGTATGAGATGGCTGCAGTTTCGATAACAAATCGGGCCCTGGAGGATTCAGAGCCTTCTCCCAAGACGTGCACTTTGCCTTCATCTTCAGCACGCGTTTCAACGATGTCTGGATTCGTTCTTTGGTCATCATCGCGTTCTCCAGGCCCAGCTTGAATCCGGCGATGGCTTCCTGTTGGTGTTGGAAGGACCGGCAGAGTAGGACAATATCACATCCCGCGTTGATGGCCATGACCGTGCCTCCACCGACGCCAATATTATGACTGAGAGCCTCCATCTCCAAGCAGTCGGATATGGTGACTCCATCGAATTTTAGGTCGTGACGCAGCAAGTCGTTGACGACCTGTTCGGACAAGCATGCGTGCATCACGTTGAGGCCGGCAGAAGACATGGCGCATCCACCCACCATCATCGCATCCAGACCTTCCTTGATGGCGTTTCGAAAAGGTACAAGCGCATTGAGACTCAACGACTCTAGGCTCTCCGTGATTGTCGGGACGTCTAAAGCGGATCCCAAAAACTCCAGGCTTCCGTAAGAGGGAAAATGCTTGCCCATCGTGGCGAGTCCGGCGTCTTTGTAGCCCTTCATCATCGCGATGCCGTATGCCGATACTTCCTGGGGATCATCTCCAGTAGTTCGTACGCCCAGGGGCTGATTCCTGGCGTTGGTGAGGACGTCGAGACACGGGCCCATCATCAAGTTGATGCCACATGCCCCAATCTCTTCGGCAGTGGCTTTGGCGACCTCATAGGCCAACGTCTTGGATCCAGTCGCAGCGATGCCCATCGCTGATGGGTACTGTCGGATGTAGATCTCGTCAAAAAGACTATTGACCCCGCCATTCTCCTGGTCGATGCCGATGGAGAGTGGTACCGGGTGGCCGGCATCGTAAGCAATTTGTTGCAGTTCTCGACAAATCTGTGTCGCTTGTTCCGCAGCTACCAGAGTGTCAGAGAGAGTGCTGTCTGATGCCAAGGTTAATAAGGGGGCGTGGCGTACAGGTTAGGTTTTTGGCAGTCAGCAGGATGGAACCGATATGGTTCTCTTCAATCAACTGTCGGATCTGAGGAGTCACGGTGTTGCCTTCAAAGCCCATCTAGAAAAGCATAAGTATAAGCACTCTCCTCAATCGGCACATGTAGCTTGCCATAAAGAGCTGTCCCAGAGTCCTGTGCGGGCATGAGAGGGTCAGTTCATTCGCTGTCGGGAAGGCGCACGCGACACTACGAACCGATCGACGTCGTCCCAGATGGGAGCGAGGGCTCCATCGTCGCCTTGCATGATGCCGATGCGCGGCGGATTGACTGCAGCGGACACCGGAGCTCCACGTGCCAGGCACGTGGGCGATGTTACGGCGGAGGAGGTGTGTCGCCGGGCGAGGTTGCGGGTCTGGTTGGGTCAGCTTGGCGCCTCCGAGGGCCGTCGCATGGCCGAGTGACTTGGCCGAGCCGCATGCGACTTATGCGACGCTGGTGCTGCACGTGTAGGGAGGATCTTCGGAGGAGCAAGGCTACGAAGGACGTTGCGTCGGGCTAGGTCCGCGGTGAGGATGAGGTGCAAGTCCCGAGCGGACCGGCGTTGCAGCGAGATCGCCCGGCGCCTGCCGAGGCGTGCTACCTTGCGACCAACGAGCAGCAACGCCAGAAGCTCGATGCTACGCTTCGCTGACACGCAGTGTATGAACGCTGTTCTTGCGTCGTGTCTTGGCCGCACCCGCTCAGATAGGTAGCTGCGTCATGTAGTGTTTGGTATAGAAGTTTCCGATATTTTCACACGCCTACGAACTGCAATTTCAACATCATCTTACCTGACCACGACTCGAGACGTTCTTCCTCAGCATTCGCCTACTACAGATCAGCACTCAGCGTTGCTCGCTCCGGCGAGTCTTCACCCAACGATGCCTATGGCAGTCTCTCCCGAGCGGCCCCGGAGTGGCATAACCAAACTGACGGGGGGGCGGGTAGTGAGAGGCAGCGAACTAGTCGAGGAAGATGTCTGGATCAGCTCCGTGACCGGCAAGATCCTCAACAGCCAAGAGGTCTTCTATGAGCATCACGTCGTTGCGGACGACATTGTCGACCTCCAGGGCAAGATCTTGTGCCCTGGCTTCATCGATGTGCAGTTCAACGGGGGATTTGGTTTCGACTTTTCCACCATCCCTCAAGACATGGCTACGTACCGGAAAGGCGTGGGTCGACTAAATCGCCAGCTGGTACGGACAGGAGTCACCTCCTATCTCCCCACCATTCCCAGTCAACTGCCGGAAGTCTACCACAACGCCCTTCCGTTCCTCGGACCGTCTGGCAAGGAGCGCAACCCTTGGGAAGGATCCGAGTCTCTGGGTGCGCATTGCGAGGGTCCTTTCATATCGCCGACCAAGAACGGCATTCACAGCTTGGCGGTGCTCCAAGCGGCGGGGAACGGGTTCCAGGACTTTGAGGCATGCTATGGAGCGGAGAATCTACGAGCATCGGATACCTCTCCCCCGGCCGTCAGCATGATCACTGCGGCGCCAGAAGTCGCCGGGGTGTTTGAAGCCATCAAGGAAACGACGAGACGCGGAATCAAGTTTAGCATCGGCCACACCGAGTCGACGTTCGAAGAAGCGACAGACGCCATCCACGCCGGCGCAACGATGATCACCCACCTGTTCAACGCCATGCGTCCGCTGCATCACCGCAACCCCGGTGTTTTCGGGACGCTGGGAGAGGCGGAGGCCAAGGAGCGACCGTACTTTGGCATCATCTCCGACGGCATCCACCTGCATCCGACGACGGTGAAGATTGCGTGGAACGCGCATCCCGACGGTTTCATCCTGGTGACGGACGCGATGAAGACGGTAGGCCTTCCGGACGGCGTGTACGACTGGACGAATGGAGATCGGTTCGTGAAAAAGGGGCCGCTCCTGACACGAGAAGGGACGGGGACAATCGCAGGCAGCTCAGCAACGCTCATCGAATGCGCGAGCAATTTCTGGACCTGGTCCCATGCGACGATACCAGAGGTTCTGCGGTCGGTGACATCGACTCCTGCGGAAATGCTGGGGATTGCAGAGCGCAAGGGAACCTTGAACCCCAATGCGGACGCCGATCTGCTGGTGCTGGATGCGCAGGAACTGGCGAATGGCAGACGGAACTTCACGGTGCATCAGGTGTACAAGTTTGGCAGTCTTGTTTATGATGGGTCGGAGGGGGTGAAGGCGGATGTCTAGTCGGCGTGCATGACACTTTTTTGATTTGCTTACAGCGAAGGCGTTTGGTGGGGCTGACAGACACTAGATTGCAACGCGGTCATTGTGCAGCGGGGTAAATTCAGCATACAGGACCATGGTGTAGTCAACCTTCTCGTGTACATATGGTGTAGAGCATGACTTGATGTACTTGGTAGAAGATGACCGACCATTGGACAGCTTCCGTGGTCGGAGATGCATCGTCGGGTCCCCAACCTTGTCAATACGAACGGAGGAACCGTGCGCGACGCGCGCTGACACACGATCAGCCGAGGGCCCGCCGTTTCTGGAAAGGGGGAGCGGGCCCAAGGCAGATGTGAGACTAGCTTGCCTGCCCATCCTCACCAACTCCAATGCCGTCCCCTCGCCCTCTTTTCCTCGCACTGTCGGTTGACGGGAATGACTGCATGCCAAAACACCATACATATGCAGTATGAGAGCATTGGCATCCGCTTCCGTTACTGGTCTCCGTAACCAGGCCGGAAGTAGTCGAGCGCCGTGCATGCAAGCAATTGCTCATATTCTCTTTTAGCCTCTGGTAACCCTGTGCGATGACGCCCCAGCGGTTCGAGACGGGCGGCGCCGACCCAAAGAACTGCGCTGCCTGTTACCCAAAATACATCCAATGCAGTAAGGTTGTTACCTGACCTGATCTGTCTGTGCGCGCGACGGGTTGCATCCCTACCTTGCCTGCCTTGCCTTCCATTTCTCAGTCGTCAGTCACACACTCGCCGCGTCTCGTGCTGTCTATCGTTGCACCATCACTACCACCACCACCACCATGTCGCACGCTTGGATAGGCGCAGGGCTGTTGGCCGCGTTCCTGGCGAAAGCTCATGCGCAGCCGCCTTTCTCCAATCCCTTCGCACCCCCCTCCACTGCCACCACCGGAGCGCCATTCACCGGGATCGCCAACACGCCCACCAGCACCAGCACCACACCTACACCCACACCCACTCCCACATCCACGCCTACCACTCTCCAAACCACAACTAACCCCCTACTCGCATCAACAAGGAGCGTGGCCAAGACAGCGAGCAGCAAGTCTCGAGTCACGCCGTCATCATCGTCCTCAACCACAGCAACATCGTCAGTCCTTCCGCAAAACACAAGCCCAGCCGGTCAATCAGCCACCTCCACCTCGACCAGCGCAGCCTCTTCCTCCACCCTGGGCTCGGCCGCGCAAAATGGTGTCAACCCGGTCGCGTCGCATTCCGGCATGTCGAGCTCCGCAAAGATTGGCATTGGTGTTGGAGTCGGTGTAGGACTCGCCCTGCTCGCCCTTCTGGCACTCCTCGCCTTCCTCTTCATGCAGCGACGGAAGAAGAGACGGGACCGCGAGTCGCATGCATCGGCAGAAAAGCTGCGGCATGCCAGCGATCGCCCGGCCATGGCCTCGGGCGTGCCAGCCTTGGCCGGCGCCGCCGCCCTCGGTCGCTCGACCTCCAACGCCTCGAGTCAATACGAGCCGCGAACACCCTCCCGCCACTCATCCATCATTGCACATGAAGCCGCGACACCCGCCGACGCTACCGCGGAGCCAAAATCTCTCCGGTCACCGCCTCGACAGCCGCCGCAATTGATCCTTCCCACCCACGAACCCGCTTTCGACGACTCGTTCGCGGCGCCGGGCTACCTTGGCACCCAGAGCGCGCTCGATGGCAGATCAGGGGAGGTGTCGCCGGTGTCGGGAGTTTCGCCAGTTGACAGCCGGCCGCCGTCTCCGCTGAGTGAGAGGGATCTATAAGATGTACTTTATGTGTCTACGTAATGATATATCAACGCCTATTAGAAGCCAAAGGCTGCTCTCGATGCTGCGGGAATACCGAAGACTCACGAATCATCTTCATGTCAATTACGTTCCCATCCCCAACCACCCTTTGAACCCGCAACCCCCACTTTCCCACGCGTGGCGGATACTTGACGTATGTCTTCTTCCACCACTCCTCTCGAAGTCCACATACTCAAGGGACTCTTCAAGGCTGGTGCGTGGGATACACTACTCCAACCACAATGGCCGAGATCGTAGGAGGAGTGCTGTACGGATTGAAGAACGTAGCAGAAGGCGCCGCGCTTATAGCCAAAGGCATCTACGATCCCACCTTACCCCTCAAGGCGACCATCAGGCCAATTACCAATGTCTCCGTTCCGCTGGCTCATCACTCCGTCTCCGTAATCAAAGGCAGAGCATATCTCTTTGGGGGAAAGACGACAGGAGAACACGGCGGAACGCAGCTCGCCAACAGCGATGTGCACGTTGTGATTTTGCCGACTACCTGCTATGGCAATGTTGACTACAAAAAGATCCGCGCCACGGCCAACGCTCCGCCGAAAAGGTACGGACATAGCGCCGCCGCGCTCGACGATCAGATCTACGTCTTCGGTGGGAGTGGCGAGGATGGGACGCCGCTGGATGAGGGCGGGCGAGTCTGGGTGTACAGCACCTCTTCGAACGCGTGGCACACTCTCGATCCTCCGGCACACAGTCCTAGGCCTGGCCCCAGGACATCACACGCTTCTGTGGCCAGCGAGCATCCGCGGCCGGCGCAGAAGCGACCGAGAGAGGACATTCTACCGCAACGGCCTCCCGATCCCGAGGAGACGATGCCGGACATCCCAGGGGCAGACACCTACGGCACATTGTTCATACAAGGCGGGCAAGCACGGTCTGGCAACAACCTCATCGACGCGTGGTCGTTCGACCTAGCCACGAGAACATGGAAGGAATTACCAGATATGCCCAGTCCTTCATCGCCCAGTCCTAGCTTGTCACTGGTAGATCGCCGTCTCTACGCATTCTCCGCCGGCCACACGAGTTTCCTGGACCTCGATGTTCCCGAGACAGGGCACGTCGAACTGGAACCTTTGAAGCCATGGCAGACCCTCCCACCCACCTCAAGCTCGCCAGAGAAGGGGGACCCAGGCGAGCGGGCTGGCGCGTTCGTGGCGTCACTGACTACAGGCCAAGGGCGGGATTATCTGCTCCTCGTGGGTGGCAGATCACGCTCGGGAGCGGTGCTGCAAGACATGTGGACGCTACAGCTTCCCTCCGAAGACATGTCGGCCGCGAGCCTCAAAGATGCAGCGCGGGTTGCAATGAAAATGGATACGAGGGAGGCGCAATGGGAAGTAGTCAAGTACTACAACGCTGACGGAGTGATGATCCAGGAAGGGCAGGATGGGAGAGGAGTGGGATTGAGGGAAGGGTTTGCAGCGGCAAAGTGTGTTGATCTAGATGGGCAGAGTGTGTTGCTGTGGGGAGGTATCGGAGCGGATCACATTCCACGTGGAGATGGGATCATGGTAACGATTGAGATGTGACGCCTCTGCCGGAGCTAGTGCTACTTCATGTCTCCACGCCTTTTTCGTCTTCCGCAGTCATAATCCGCGTACACAATCTTCCCCTGATCGTAATGTGCATCCCGCAAGGGCCAAACCGCCGTACCTCTCACTATACGAAAGAGCGCGAGGGTGATTCACTAAAACTTCTCCTCTTGCCTCCACGCAACGCTCTCAGCAGACTCGCTCGACTCGCCGCCGGCAATCTTCTTCTTCGCAATTCTCTCGCGCTCCAAGAATTCGCCCTGTTCGATGCGACTCTTCTTCACGTCGACGAAGAAGACAAGGAACAGGTAGCTGAGCAAGCTCAAGCCAAAGAGGAAGTAGAAGGGGCGGTTGTTGACGAACTTTGCGTTGTAACCGGCGGCGTCGATGATGGCGCTGGAAACGAGCGGGCCAATGAAACTGGAGGTCTTGCCGATGATGGAGAAGAGGCTGAAGAAGAGGAACTCCTTGCCACGGGGTGTCACTTCAGAAATCATCTGCGAGCATTCGTTAGCATTGATGGCGGTAGAAGAGAACAGGCGAAAAGCGAAGGCATACTGTCTGCGAGTAGCTGTACCACGGACACACCGCCAGGCCGTAGAAGATTTGGTAGGCCCAGACTTCCCACTTATTGTGAAAGCCGAATTTGTCGGTCCAGTTTCCAATCATTCCCCAACCATCCAACAAGACAATGCCGATTGCCACAGCGCTGAACATGGTCTTGGTGGAGAGGCCAAAGCGCTTCTGCACGTTCCAGAAAGCAAAGATACCGACGGCCTGGGCGAAGATGCCCGCGATGAAGAGGTAGGTCAGTTCTAGGGAGCTGTAGCTGACAATGGTATTTTGCAGGGTGGCAATCACGGTGACGGTGGTATTGAGCGAGTCGCCGAGCAAGAAGTAGCCAATGAGGTAGGCGAGGGACTGCTTGAGTTGCCAGACCTGGGAAAAGGCGCGCCACAGCTGCCACAAGCCGGCGAGAACGATGTTCATCCCGGGATCTTGGCCCGGCCGGCGCTTCTCGATGATGAACCACGGGATGGCCACGGCTAGCCACACGCCTGTGCAGAAGGCGATCAGCACCGAAAGACTCCAGCTGTTTGACGCTGCATTCCGGTCGGCATGCACGGCAAACAGGATACCGACGGTCACGACGAGGATGAAAATCTCGCCGACACTCTGGGTGTAGAAGGCGACGTTGCTGAGCTCGTTCCTCTTCATGCTGTCGGCGAAATCGTACTCCTCTCGGCTGATGTCGCCATTCTCAAACTGCACGGCCTTGTCGCGCAGCTGGGGGGTGTTGCGCGCCAGCCCCGGGAAGGCAGCGGTCCAGTAGGTCAGACAGAGCTGGTACGCAATCAGGCCGACAATGTACAGTCCGAGGCCAGTCTGCCATTGGTCCTGAGTATGGACCCCCAGCCAGCCAAAGCCAATGCCCCAGGCGACAAGCGAGACGGCGATGAGGATGTTAGGCCTGAAGGTGCCAAAATCGGCGTAAGAGCCGAGGATGAGGAAGATGACAATCTGGATGGCGAAAGAGATGCCGTTGCAGAGCAGGATGATGCTGTTGATGGTGCGGCTGCTACCGGCAAAATACAGGTACTGGTTGTTTTCCCCTCCAACGGCCTGGGCTTGCAGGTCGAGCAGATTCTGCGCCTGCGTGGGCCCGAAGTTGAAGAGGGTCAGGCCATTGTTTCCGATGTAGTAGGCGTAGTAGGACCAGATCTCCCACTTGCTCGTCAGGAATTTCTCCTCAAACTGATCGGGGGCGACGGGCTGCACATCCTCCACAATGGATCCGTCCGCCTGTTTCTCCACTGCTCCTCTGGTTGGGTCTTCTGCATCAGCGGCGACTTGCGCCAATCCGGGATTAGGAGCCGCCATGGCTGTTGAGAGGTCTCCAGAAGTAACGATGCTTGTATGGCATAGAATGAGAGGGGGGGATGGGCGAGGATGGATGGGCGAGGGCAGAGCACGAGGGCGGGAGGAGAGGAGGATGGGCGGGGATGCAGAAGAAATAGAAAGCAAGTAAGAAGCAGGCAGAGGGCAGAAGGCGAAGAAGGCAACTGCTGGCGTGTGGCGCGATGGCGTCTTTTGCGCTTCGATGCTCCAGAACGCGGGAAAGGCAGTCCATTCGATCGGTCGCGCCGACTGCGCAGAGAACGGGCGAATGACAAGGCAAAGAAATGCAGGGAAGGCCCTGACCATGTGCGATTTGGAAACCTTGGTCCGCCGCTCTGCCGGCAAATGCGGGATGCACTGGCGCTGTCCGAGATACCTCACGAGCTAATCCACAACAAGCTTTTGTCGAGCCTGGCCGGAGGTGTGGGTAGGCGACGGATCTGGCGGGTCGGGATGCTTGGATGCCTCGCACGTACGCCTTGTGCCTCTCTTGTCCGGCGATAAGGCGAGGAGCGGCGTTGTCAAAGTAACGTGACCCTTCCCGGCTGTCGTGGATTCAGCAAATGCCGGATACTTGCTGCAATCATCATTGGCCGACAGAGGCCGCTTCCAGACCTTCCACACTCCCGCGCCTGCAGGTTAGAGTTTGGGCGACAATGAGCTAGGCGTGCAAGCGTGAACGTACACCCAAAGCCACGTGCAGTGGAGAGCCGTCAAACCGCAGGATTGCATGATTGCCCGATCGCAGGGAACCTACTACATACAGTGGCGCTGTTATGAAACACTCAGAATACCCGAGGCCACGGGCGGATATGACCAGGAATACATCAAATCACGTGATGATGAGTCACGTGATTGTTGGAGATATCTCAGGTGCATGTATACCCCAGGGCGAGGACGATATGAATACCAACGAGAGAGCCGGCAACGAGCTCAAATTCCCAATGAAAATTCCACATTCACGTCAGCAGCCCGCGCTAAAAGAGTCCTGGTTAGCATTCAAGCTTGTACTGTGCATGACAGCAGACACTCACCCATCTTCACCACCCTGCTGAACTGCACCGCCTTCTCCGCCGCCGTCTGCAGATCTTCGATGCTGAAAATCTTGAGCCCGCTCTCGTTGATCAATTTCTGCGCCTGCTCCATGTTGGTGCCCTGCAGGCGAGCAATGACCGGCGTGCGTAGGTTCATGTGCTCCACCACCTGGATCAAGCCCTTAGCAATCGCATCACAGCGCACAATGCCGCCAAAGATGTTCACGAAGATGGCCGTGACCTTGGGGTCGGAGGTGATGAGGTCAAAGGCCTGCCGGATCGCTTCCGGCGTCGCTCCACCCCCAACGTCCAGGAAATTTGCGGGCTGGCCGCCATTGAGCTTGATGATGTCCATGGTGGCCATTGCCAGCCCCGCTCCATTCACCAGGCACCCAATGTCGCCGTCGAGTTTGATGAAGTTCAGCCCCGACTCCGAGGCCTTGACTTCATCCGCGTCTTCTTGAGAGGTGTCGCGCCATTCGAAAATCTCCTTCTGGCGGAAGTCGGCGTTGTCGTCAAAGTTCAGCTTCGCGTCCATGCAGAGCACTTGGTGGTCATTGGTCTCCGAAAGCGGGTTGATTTCAATCTGCGTGGCATCCTTTTCCATGAAGATCTTGTAGAGCTTTTGGATGGTGTCCCTGGCCTGGTCGATGCATTGCGGGCTGAATCCAAGTTCCTCGGCGATCTTCGTGGCCATGTCATCCGTGACACCCTGGTGGATGTCCACCTTGGTAGTGATGATGGCTTCCGGGCTTTCCTTGGCCACGGTCTCAATGTCCATGCCTCCCTGGCTGGAAGCGACAATGACAGGAGACTGGGTGGTACGATCCATGAGAATGGCGAGGTAGAATTCGCGGCGAGCGAACTTGCGCTCTACAATGTACACGCTGTTGCAGATCCGGCCCTTCTCGCCCGTTTGCTTGGTGATGAGCTTGTGCCCGATCATCTGGTCGGCGAGGATCGACGCTTCGCGAGGCGAGTAGACGATGCGGACACCGCCTTTGAAGCCATTGTCAAAGTGGCCCTTGCCTCTGCCTCCGGCGAGGACTTGTGCTTTGACGACAATGTCTTCCTCCTGCCCCTGCACCTGTGCGGCAACTTCGGCGGCCTCTTTTGCACTATGCGCCACACCGCCTTTCGGCACGCCGATCCCGTATGAGTCCAAGAGCTGTGCGGAGCGGTATTCGTGGACGGAGAGGTTGCGGCATTGCTGCGCGAGGGTTTGGCTGGCGGGCGAACCCTGTCGATCATCGTCAGTACGACCAGCAGTCGGATATGGCGGGCAAGCTTACGCCGGCACGCCTCAGCACAGAGGCAACGTGGTGCCTGCTGCGAGCAAGCGTAAACATGGTGGGCGTGGTGGTGAAGGAATGTAAGGCTTACCGCTGGTCGACGAGGAAGAGGTCGTCGGCCGGGAGAGCTTGGAAGCTGCAGTTGGCGCACGGACGTGCAACAAAGCTCGGACTGCATGTGAAAACCGTCGACCTTCGATCTGGCCGCAACAACTTCATTCCACCCACACATCTTTGAACTCTCCAGCGTGGGAGTCTCGCAAATGGAGCGCGATGTTACGGCTGCAGATGTCACGCTGAACCGTTACAACGTCGCTCTTGCTCGCAGCAAGAAGGTTCTGGAGTCATGGCTCCCCAACGAAAGCGGCACCGTTCCCCCATACGACTCCGAGGGCGAGGAGGACTTCACGGCAGAGCCAGAAGATGCTGGCATCGGGTCAGAGGTCACATTTCACGCCGGTGATCTGCCGGGTAGCACCCGGTTGAGAAAGTCCAACCATCAACTACTCGAACAATTGCTGGGAAAGAAGGCGGCTGAGGCACACCAAAAGAAGACGCAAGACTCCGGCAAAAGCTTCTCGGCCGGGAAACATGTCGCTGCAAAGCCTTTGGTGAGCAGACAGAAGGCATCGCAGGGCGTGTCGAGGCGTGGTGACGATGATGACGAGGAGGGTGGTCGGTCTGCTGCGTTCCAATCGCGAAAGCCCGCACCACCAAAACCCGCCCAGGTCAGCGACTCGCGTGAGCACCATACCACCGAGGCGGAGGACCAGGATGGGATGTCTTATGATGAGGACTCAAAGCAGCGGACAAAGCGTTCGCCAGACAGACCGACGCCTACAAAGAGGAAGAATACATACCTCGACGAGTTACTGGCTCAAAAGGCGAAGAAAAGCAAGAAGAATCGGAGCAGAGAGCAGTCCACAGCATAACATCACGACCTGACGAGACATGATCGCTCAATACCAATATACACTTCTCGGGACGGAGTAATTACTCCCGCACGATCAAGCTTGCCATGCCCATGCCCGTCCCGATGCACATGCTTATCACTCCCAATTCCACGCCCTGTCTCTTCATTTCCGGGAGCAGCGTTGCCAGTTGTCGGGCACCTGTTGCACCAAGCCTAGGCTTTTGTTAGCATGTCGGCTCTTATCACACGGGTAGGAGAGCACATACGGATGTCCGAGGGCGATTGCGCCACCTGTTTACAAAAACGAGTCAGCCACATGCGTGCAAGGAGGTCGTCGGCCGTCAGACATACCCTTGGGATTAACCTTGGCTTCGTCGACACCCAATGTACGAATGCAATACAACGCCTGGCTGGCGAAAGCCTCGTTAATCTCCCAAATGCCTATTTCTTCCGTCTTCACCCCGGTGTAGTCGAGGAGCTTCGGGATGGCGACGGCGGGCCCGATGCCCATTTCGTCTGGTTTGCAGCCTACGACCTGCGTGCCCGCCCACTTACCGATGATGGAATCTGTGAGGCCGAGTTCGGTGGCCGTGCTTCGTCTCATCATGAGCGCGGCGGCTGCCCCGTCTGACACCTGGCTACTGCTTCCCGCTGTTACCACCCCGTTCTCCTTGAAAGCTGGCTTGAGCGTCGCCATCTTCTCCGCGGACACCGTGGGCCTGATACCATCGTCCTTGGACACCGTGACCTCCTCCACCTTCTCGGGGGCTTCGGGGTCGGGGAGCCATCGCGTCGTGGTAGGCACAATCTCTTCGTCAAACAACCCTTCCTTCTGCGCCTTGGCAGCTTTATGATGCGAACGCGCGGCGAACTCATCCTGGTCTGCACGGCTGACGCCATACCTCTCCGCCACATTCTCGGCTGTGAGGCCCATGCTCATGATACAGTCTCTTGCGTCCTTGTCGGGCGACTCCTTCAACGCCGGCCATAACTGCGTGGGGATGGCACGTGAGCCGTAATTTCTCGTCATGCTCTCCATCCCCCCACCAACACCCACGTCGATCTGGCCCATTGCAATCGCATGGGCGATGCCGGTGATGGCGGACAAGCCGCTACTACACGCTCGATTGACGGTCTGAAAGGCGACTGTTTCGGGGTAGCCGACGTGGCAAGCAGCCATGCGTCCAGCCTTACTGCCCCCCAGTTCCGAAAGAACCGTGCCGACGTGAATGTCGTTGATCTTGCGAGGATCTAGTTTGGGATTGGCGGCGAGGGTTGCCTTGAGCACCGAGGCGAGCAGCTCATGGTCGTAGGCATCTTTGAAGCCGCCCTTCTTCGCTCGAGTGACGGGGGTGCGCAGGGCGGAGAGGAAGACGATGTCTTGTGGTTGCTTGGAGAGGATGTTCTTCGCGCCCTTGGGAAGGATGGCGGCCATGATTGGAGAGGGAGGAGAAGAAGGCAAGAGGACCTACGGCTTGCAAGTCATGGTTGTAGTGACAACGATGGTGTTGCACATGGCCACTGCTCTGTTCGAGGGTATGTAGGACTACCTATATAATAGGATGACTGGGTATGAGGCGGCGTATGGATCTGGGGAACTGCCCTGGGGATCAATCGGCTGCGACTTCGGCAGAGCTCGGGCGGGTAATGCCTCAGCCGGATCACGTGATGTGGACGGGAGATGTGCTGGGCTCAACCGGACCCTGCCCGCGCCGCCCATCGCGCGTCATCTGCATGCAGGTACATGCGATTTGCTGCACGGGCGAAAAAAAGAATCGCCCCATGCCCTGCGCTGGTTAAATTGTCCCCAGTCGAATGAGGCAACTACCAACACCCCAGAAAACTTACGATCTTTTCTGCCTCCCAAACACCTCGCCTCTCAAGTTGGCTGCCGTGCATTTCTCCCTTTAAAAAAGGCAATAGTCGCACACTCCTTTGACTCCACCACAAACCCTTACGATTGTCCTCCTTGCACACCGCATACCTCCCCCTACCACAGCTCCCCCAGTAACACTCCCACGCGACATCTGGTGAAACGACAGCACCCACACTCGTACGACACTTCGAACATGGAGCGACCTCAGAACATCGGCATCAAGGCCATCGAGCTTTACATTCCCAATCAAGTGCGTCCGTCCCGTCCATTCCAGACGCGTGGAGCAGTTGCTAACACCCCATCCGCAGTGCGTGGAGCAGGCCGAACTCGAAAAGTTCGACGGGGTCAGCGAGGGCAAGTACACCATCGGCCTCGGGCAGACGAAGATGAGCTTCTGCGATGACCGTGAAGGTATGCTGCCGCCCCACACCGGCCGCCACACCAATGCACTCACTGACGCTCGACTCCAGACATCTACTCCATCGCCCTCACCACCGTCTCCTCCCTCCTGCGAAAGTACAACATCGATCCCACATCCATCGGCAGACTGGAAGTCGGCACGGAGACGCTGCTCGACAAATCCAAGTCGGTCAAGTCGGTGCTCATGCAGCTGTTCGAGCCGTCGGGGAACTGGAACGTGGAAGGAGTGGACACGGTCAATGCGTGCTACGGCGGCACCAACGCCTTCTTCAACGCCGTCAACTGGGTGGAGTCGTCGGCGTGGGACGGGCGTGATGCCGTCGTCGTTGCGGGAGACATTGCCCTCTACAAAAAGGGCAACGCCCGGCCCACCGGTGGCGCTGGCTGCATTGCCATGCTCGTCGGCCCTGACGCCCCGATTGTCGTCGAGCCAGGCTTGCGCGGCTCCTACATGAAGCATGTATACGACTTCTACAAGGCAGACCTGACCAGCGAGTATCCTCTGGTCGACGGGCACTACTCGGTGAAATGCTACAGCGAGGCTGTAGACAAGTGCTATGCGAACTATAACGAGCGTGAGAGCAAGCTCAAGGCCCGAGCGAACGGGCAGGCGAACGGCGTGCACGCGGAGCCCGAGACGCCGCTGGATCGATTCGACTACATGTGCTTCCATGCACCCACGTGCAAGAACGTGCAGAAGAGCTACGCGCGGCTGCTGTTCAACGACTACCTCGCCGACCCCACCAACCCGCTGTTCAAGGAGGTGCCGGCAGAGTTGAAGGACGTGCCATACGAGCAATCAATCACCGACAAGACGATTGAGAAGACGTTCATTGCGCTGTCGAAGAAGCGGTTTGCGGCGCGCGTGCAGCCATCCATCCTGCTGCCGACCATGTGCGGCAACATGTACTGTGCGTCGGTGTACAGCTCGCTCATTTCCATCCTCAGCAACATCTCTTCCGACGAGCTGCAGGGCAAGCGCATTGCCGTCTTCTCCTACGGCTCCGGCCTCGCTTCCTCCATGTTCTCGCTCAAGGTTCGCGGCAGCACGGACGAGGTGCGGACGAAGCTGGACGTGCATACCCGCCTGGAGACGCGGAGGAGCGTGCGGCCGGAGGTGTACGACGAGATGTGCAATCTGAGGGAACGGGCACATTTGAAGAAAGACTATCAACCGGAAGGAGACGTGGAGGCGTTGCGGTCGGGGACGTACTACCTCACCAAGATCGACGACATGTTCCGGAGGGAGTACGCGATCAAGCAATGAGCGCGAACAGGCTGTGCTGTGGGTCGGGGAGCGAGGCATGATGCTCAACATACCCTTCTCCTGGCATTCTCTACCGGCGCGAGTCTGGCCGGATCCGGGGATGCTGTTTTCTTTTTAATGCTGTTGAACTTAGCGCAGGTCGTCGAGAGCATGGTTTACGCGAGATAGTACGTACGGTATTTTGCAGGCAACAGCGACACTGTTGGCTGCTAGAACGACTCCGCATTGACCAGTGCGTCGTAATTATTGGCCATGGCGGGACGGGATGGGATTAATCTCGCGCGTACAGATGCGAAGTAGTAGATGGATTCAAGAGTTGCACAGCCTCCGCGGCCGTTTAAGCAGCTGGAAGGAGTCTAGCGCATGAGGGGTCGCAAATGCGGAATCGAGACGCTGCTCGGTCTGCGCGTGCATCGTTGGCCGCCTTTTGCTTCGCACATTCCCCTCGCCGTCTATCGAGAGGGTGCACCACGCCGCCACTCATGCGTGGTGCAAGCTGATGCACGAGGTGTCACCCGTGTGTACTTGTAGAGAAGGGAAAAGCGTGAAACCTTCGCTGGAGAATCAGTCTGCGATTGGCTGGATAAATGGCGCCCGTGCATGGACTGGGCCGGCACCAAAGTGGAAACGGCCGGAGGCACTTGCTTTGCCTGTCTCCCTGTCCGTGTTGGCTTGATGGGCGGGAAGGGAAGGGAAGGGATTCCGGCGCGGCATTTCGTCCATCCCATTCATTGCCGCCCAGCACCTCACACCACGCCGTCACCACTCCGCACCACACCACCCTCACCACCCCCATTCCATCCCCCTCCCATCGCCGCCCCTCGTCCCGTCCATCCAAACCCTTCTCCAAGACCCTGGGATGTGTTAGGGGAGCGCAGGAGGACGCAGTCGCGCTCATTCGTTCGCGGAGGAGCGACTGAGCAGGGGCCGGAAAGGCCTGCCAACACCTCCGCCATGGCCCTCCACCCACATTCACTACTCGACGAGGACCAGGGTGCCACGCCGACACACGAGAACTTGAATGTCTTCGATGACGCGTTCGAGGAAGACGACGCCGATGTTGTGGCGGACGGCTTTCGCCCGCCCTTCAATCACATCCACCGAGTAAGCGGGCACCAAGATCCCGACGACCTCTACGACCCTCCATCACCATCACGACCATCACCCCTCTCACAAACCCCACAAGATCCCTCGCGGAGCTCAACGCGTAAATCAACGACTCGCGAAAACCCCTTCGCAAGTCCGGAAGACGAAGACACTGCCGATGCTCCCTTACGCCGCACCCCATCCGGCAACTTCGCGCCCTTCACCCCCCGTGCCACCTCATCCGCCTCTTCCACTCACTACGCCACAGCTCCCGGCCCCCGCTTTGGTGCGGGTGGCCCAAGTCATCCCTACGCCATGTACCCGCAAGGCACCGTTGCGCGAGCAGCAAGTACTGCATCCGCGTCTACTGCCAGACCCCCACCCGCCTCGTCCACACGCGATGGCCCGCAACACCCCTACGCACTGTACCCACAAGGTGTATCGGACGATCTCGACGATGAACTCGATGAGGAGGCGCATAACCCAGTTCCCGTCGGCTTCCTTGGCGTCGATCGCCCCTTTCAACGAAGAAGAGGGCCGGATGGGGAAGAGCAGGACATCTTGGGCTACTTTGGCCATACCGAGCAACTACCCCCATACACACGATACCCCGAAGACGGCCCCGAAAAGGCGCCGCTTCTCGGCATACCGGAACCCCCGTCCGCCCTACACACTCGTGCCCCCGTGCTGGGGTCGGATCCTGGAATGTCGTTGATGCACACTCAGATCCAAGCGACGCCACAATCAATGACGGACGAAACGCAACTGCTGCGGCAAGAGTCTGGAGGTTCGCGGCTGGCAACCAGCGAGCATAGCGGTGCATCGACGGAAGCCAGTGCGGCGACGAAGAAGAGCTGGAGCGAGAAATCGTGGAAGGAGCGCCGGAAGACCAAGTTCTGTGGCGTACCGTTCTGGGCCTTTCTACTGGCCGCGGGCACGCTGTCCTTCATCGCCGTCGTCCTGGGCGGCGTAATTGGAGGATTCGTCGAGGGGCAAGAGAAAGAGGAGCAGTGAGTTGCAGCTGGCCGCGAAGGAAAAGTCATGTTCTAACTGATTGCCACAGGAAATCTCAGCTCGCCCCAACAACGTCGTCGCTGTACGATGCTAGTCTTATCGCTACAGCCACCGCCACTTCACCCACGGCCAGCGGCACCTACTCCCTGGCCTTCGGTCCCGCTCAAGAGGTCCAAGCTAGCTGTTTGCCTGTGCCGGCGCAGCGGAATGCCTGGGGCTGTGGGCTGGCAGACTACAACGGTGTGGCCGTTCAGGTCGGCAAGGTGACGGGCAGCAACACGTCCGGCGCCTCACTATACTACCAGGGCCAGGGCAACGAAGCGCAGCCGCTATACTACGGCACCCAAGCCTCGCAGATGCAGACGACTTGGCAACCCTTTCTGCTTGTCGTGGACAATGACCATCCCCACAACGGCCCGGCCTTCTACTTCTCGGGGCAGTACAACAAAGTCGTCGTGATTCCCGAGTTTGCGCTGCAAGAGTCCGCCGGCTCCGCGAACAAGCGGGGTGTACCGTCGTACGACGCACAGTGGTTGAGCAACAACCCGATCGCCGTTGCCGGGAGCAGACCGTGGTTCTGTTTCTGGAATCAAACGTATGTGGAGGGCTTCATTTACGCAAAAGAACAGGCGGTCGACGCGCCGCCTGTCAGCCCGAGCACGACCGGTATGCCGCTGTCACACGCACCCCACCCCACCTTTCCTCCCTGGCTAGCGAAGGTGACCGCGACGCCCACGGCGACAATCACCACTGCCATCACGATGCCGTCGACCACCTGCACCTACACTGGCGTGGCCTCGGCCCTGCCCAGCTGGCTCCGTCAGCACTATCCCGACTTCAACATGAGCGATTACACGCCGCGTGCACAGGGCAAGAGGCGACGGCAAGCGCCCACGTACCCGTACAGCGACACGCAACAACTGCCCCTTTACCCCAACCTGGTGCAGGTGGAGGAGCGGAGACTGCCTGGCAGCCCGCCGCCATACTGCGTGCAGTATCAAGTGCTCAACAACCTCGACGTCAATTGGGTGGGCAACGCACAAGGACAACAAATTGTGGTGCAGCTGGAGGAGAATGATCCGCCATACAGCGCGTACGAGAGCGCGGGCCTGGCGGGACGGAGGAAGCGGACGGTGGTGCCTGGGAGTTGCCATTGTGAGTGGTGGAGTGGCGAGTGAGCGGGCGCTTGCTCCCTCGACCCTACCCCGTCTGGCTGCGCCGTCGAGGAGCGCGTTCGTATTTGTTTCTATTCCACTATCCTAGCATTTGTTTCGCCAGCGCTGGTGTTCACTACAGGCGCTGATTCGGGGGTGATTGATTTTCACTTGGTGCTGGGGGCCAAAGGAAGGAGGCGAAAGGAGCGTGGGCGGGCAAGACTCTCTCGAGTATGAGGATGTGTATTATTTAGTAGGCCTGAGTCAGAGAGCAAACCATGGAATGCACGCCTTCCAACTACAGTACATGACTTTCCCCGTCTCTCCTTTGTGCAAGTGTCGGAGGTGTGGATGTGCATTGTCAAGGCCGTGCGAGGGCCGTGCACGCCCACCTATCACGCCCATCACCACGCAGGCGCCAAGCAGTTGCCGTGAGGCCATCTCGTCCGTCGCGCGACCCTCCCAACTCCTGCCCACCCCACCCACGCCTCTCCACGCCGGAGAAGGGTCTTATGGAACGTCAATCCTGGTCGGGACTGGGCGATAGCGCGTACAATGCAAATGCTCCTATCCCCGGCCGTGTGGTAGCCGCCGCCTCCCCCTCCACCTCCGCCAACACCACCCCTCAACGCGACATCCCCTCCGCCGCATCCACCGCCTCCTCCTCCCACGCCGCGCCCGCACCCTACGAACAGTACAGCACGCCGTCCATTGCCTCCCGCGCCGCCTCGCTCGCCATCTCCTCGCCGCCTGCGCCCGAGCAGCGCGCGAGGAACATGGACTACAGTGCCGACCTCGACGTGCCCATGGAAGATGCGGACCCCTTCAACAGGCAGAAGTACGCCAGAGCCCCCACCAACTCTTCCAACCGCCTGTCACAATACATCCCCGCCGACCAGCTCGACGTGACCTCCAAGGCTGCTGCGCGCTACTCTCCCATGGATGCCTCGCCCACCTCGCCCTTCCTCTCCCAACCCCCGCAGCATCCCAACCCGTATGCTTCCTACACTCCACAACAGCAGCAACCGCAACAGCAGCAGCTACAACAACAGCAACAGCAACTACCTCCGCGACATTCGCCGAATCGACACAATCCATACACCTCTCCTCCACAGCAGCAACGCTACTATGCCTCGCCTGCTTCCTCCGCCCGCGCGCAACCCTCTCAGCTCCCGCCCATCCAATCTGGCCTGTCTCCGCCAAACAACTACTATCCACAATCCGCAACTCAACAGCTGAACGCCATGTTTGGCAACGAGTCGCAGTCCCCCAGCACCGCCTACTCCAGCCGCATGCCCGCTCCCCGGGCCGGTGTGCCGCAGTTGAGCCTGATCAACGATCCAGCCGTGCTGGAAGCTCGCATCAACTCCCAGCCCCCCTTTCGAAGAGCAAATCCGGAAGGAGGCTTCATCAGTCCGCTGCAGGCCCTGACCACACACCTGCCCGCCACTTATCGAATATGCAACCCCACCTTCCAATATGAATCGTCGCGGAATCCTCGCAGAGTGCTCACCAAGCCCAGCAAAGGGGTGAAGAACGATGGGTACGATAACGAGGACAGCGACTACATCCTCTACGTCAACGACATCCTCGGGTCGGAAGAGACGAATCACAAGAATCGTTACCTCATCCTCGATGTACTGGGGCAGGGCACGTTTGGGCAAGTGGTCAAGTGCCAGAACCTGAAGACGCAAGAGGTCGTGGCGGTCAAGGTCGTCAAGAACAAGACTGCGTACTTCAATCAGAGTATGATGGAGGTGTCGGTACTGGACCTGCTCAACGGCCGTATGGACAAGAATGATGACCATCACATCCTGCGGCTCAAAGACACCTTTATCCACCGGCAACATCTCTGTCTGGTATTCGAATTGCTATCGGTGAACTTGTACGAGCTGATCAAGCAAAATCAGTTCCGCGGACTGAGCACCACCCTTGTTCGAGTCTTTGCGCAGCAGTTGTTGAACGGGCTCTGTTTATTGAGCAAAGCGAAGCTGATCCACTGTGATTTGAAGCCCGAGAACATCTTGTTGAAGAAGTGAGTACCATCGTCCTGTCCTGTCCTGTCCTGTGTGACAGGTGCTATGGCGACTAACATGATCTCGGCAGCCTCGAAAGTCCAATCATCAAGATCATCGACTTCGGGTCGGCTTGCGATGAACGGCAGACAGTCTATACGTACATCCAGTCACGCTTCTACCGATCGCCCGAGGTTCTGCTGGGCCTGCCGTATTCCGCCGCCATCGATATGTGGTCGCTCGGATGCATCGTGGTAGAGCTGTTCCTCGGCCTCCCGCTTTTCCCGGGCTCGTCGGAGTACAATCAGGTGTCGCGAATCACAGAAATGCTCGGCTTGCCGCCCAACTGGATGCTCGAGGTCGGCAAGCAGTCCGGCGAGTTCTTCGAAAAGGTACACGATGAGTTCGGACGGCGAACCTACAGGCTCAAGCCCATGGAGCAGTATTCCAGGGAACACGGGACAAAGGAGCAGCCGAGTAAGAAATACTTCACTGCCACCCGCTTGCCCGATATCATCCGGAACTACCCTATGCCGAGGAAGGGGATGAAGCAGAACGAGGTTGACAGAGGTGAGCGGCTCTTGACGTTCTCCTATCACCGCTAATGTTGGGCTAACAATTTCCAGAAATGGCCAATCGAGAAGCCTTCATCGACTTCGTTCACGGCCTCCTCAACATCAACCCTCTCGAGCGGTGGTCGCCGCAACAGGCTCGAACTCATCCATTCATCACGCAGGTGAAGTACACCGGCCCCTTTCAACCGCAGATGAACCTCAAATCCACCAATCGATCACCTGCCCCTGGCGTCCAACAGCAGCAGCAAGCCGAAGCGCTGTCCAAGCAACGCGCTCAGCAGCAGCAGGCACAGCAGCAACAGGCTGTTCAGGCTCAGCAAGCGTCATACGGCATGCATATGAATCCTGGCTATCCCACCACCCCTGTGGTTGCACAGCAACCCCAGCCGCCGATGTATGGAAATATGTACAGTCCAAACCCGGCGGGCGCACCCCCGCCTTATCCTTCGCAGCCTTCTTCAGCTGCGGCCGCGGCAGCCTACGGCCAGCCTGTCCCGATGATTGCACAGCCTCCATCTGCCGCAGCAGCAGCGGCGGCTGCCGCAGCGATGCATCCCTACGTTGCCCAGCACGCGCCCCAACAACCACCACAGTCTCTCCACGCGCAGGTGGTCGATCGCAACGGACGGCAGAGGGCGAGCACCATGGATGGCAACGGCATTCCACCCGCTTTGCAGCGAGTCGTCAGCCATCTCGACCCGAACGCACCAATCCGATTGCAACCCAGCCCGGCATACTACCCGCCACCATTGGACGGGTCGGACGGGTCGAGCGTGGGCAATATCGGAGGGCGCAGGCGCACCAGCAGAGCAGCGCGACAGGGGCAACAGGACCGGAATTTTGTGCGGGTGCTCGAGGATCGGACGCTGGAGGAGGGCTGGTCAGGCAACGGGAACGGCGGATGGCCTGGTGCTTGAACATCAGAAGAAATAGGAAAGATGTCAGCGACGCGCACATTGATAGGAAGAGCCGGTGCCGGCCAGGACCATCTCCCTACCCTTCTCGCACCTCTGGCTTTGCAAAAGATGCGGGTCACGTTAAGGGCTGGATGCCTGAGCGGAATAAGGGAAGGCAACGGGATAGCAATGTCACCTTTCGGGCAGCATCTGAGTGCATCGTCACCATCATCTACGCGGCATGTACTACAGCATCCGGAGTCACGAGCGTTACATGTTTGCAAGGCAACTGCACGGTTGTCGGTCGGATATGCTTTGCACGCTCGCGCTGCAGAAGTATAAAGGGAAGGTGCTTTCAAGGCGTTCGTGTAGCGCAGAGAAGGGAAAGGGAGGAACGAGGTACAGGGGACAGCCATTGTACTGTTAGTCTATAACGGCAGAGCTATTCTTAAGGTCCACTCGCAGAACCTCGCAAGAAATCGTTGAGGCGCGTGAGACATCGCTGCTCGAGGGACTCATTGCTGCCTTTCACTCTCCGTGCTTCATGTCCTGCTCGATATGCGGGGTGCTTGCTGCGCAGTCCTGGACGTGGCTGCAGGGTGAAGCTCTGGTATGCTCTTCTATGGACATTGCGCAAGGATTATGCAGAAGGCCTGGTCGATACTTGGTTAGCGATGAGACAGGCCACCAACAAATTCCTTCATGAAGCAGTGAGGATCCTCACCTATACTTGGGATCATCGGCGATGCTTATACAAGCCAAGGGCGTGCCCATCGTCGGCTGGTGGGATACTAGTGGTAGCACTCAATACACCGTCAGCCCGCGGGGGTCGACGTGCGAGTCAGGTTTGCCGTAGGGTTGACGTTGGTTACGGGCAGAATCTCCGTCTTGAGCTCGCGATTCTTCTTCGGCTTGGGTTCGGGAGCTGCAAAGAGGCGTTTGGTCAGCGACACCTCTCTCGCCGTCTTCATGGCTTGTCGCCAACCTTTCTCATTCTCCTGCACATAGAAGCGGCGCAACAGCATGATGGCCTCCTCGCGAAACAAGCCGCCGTAGACGGGGTAGGGCGGGTCGACGCCCCGGTCGGCGTGGATTTGCATGACGCCGCCGCAGCCGCCGAAGCGGTCGTTGAGGCAGCCAAAGTAGACGGCGCGGATGCCGTACTGCCGCAGAGCGGAGGCACACATAATGCACGGTTCGACGGTGACGTAGAGATCAGTCTGCGTGAGGATGCGCTGCGGGTGTTTGGCCATGATTTCGGCGAGGCCGACGAATTCGGCGTGGCGGGTGCCCTGCGTGGAAGGAGAGTGAGTGTTAGCATCATGTGGAATGGGGGGGGAGGGGAGGGCATAGCACACGTTGAGGGAGGCGTTGGTCCCGTTGATGCCCCTGCCGATGACTTCGCCGTTGTGGACGAAAACGCAGCCCACGGGCGTCTCGTCGGATGCGAGCGCCAGCTCCGCCATCTCGATGGCCTTGCGCATGAAGCCTTCGTGGTACGCGCGGTTGGGCACGGGGCCGAAGACGGCGGGCACGGCCGGGAATTGCGAAGGCATCAGAGAGTCATGGCAGTCGGGAGGAGGCGAGGTGGTGGTGGATGTTGTTGGGTTGGAGGTTATCGGCGGAGTTGAGGGGATCGAAGTTTGCTCGGAAATGGCCATGATGGATGGGGAAGGCGTGGATGGTGCAAGTCACTTTGCATTGCAGGAAGGAGCACCTCCAAGTGCGGAAAGGGGGAAGGGTGAGAGGGTGTTGGGGAGATGGCATGAAGTTCGATTTCAGAACTTCACCAGTTCCGGTCACATTCTTGGTGCAACCCACCCAAACTTCCACACTGACTGGGGATTCTTTGACAAGAGAAAGCACCATCTGCATTTACTATGGGTTATCTGCACACTATTGTATCGTTGTCTTCTCTGTACACATATCACTGCTTCAACACGCCAGAGCCCGTACTGTACAGCTCTCAAAGTCTACGTTTATAAACATTACTCTATTCATCCTCGTCCCTCCATGCTTCCCACTCGCCGGCCGATGCTTAGCCCGGACGTCGCAACACCTCCACAGCCAGCGTCGGCGTCTCGACGAACTTGTTCGATGGCAAGCCTTCGCTCTTCCGGCGATCAAAGAAACTCTGGCATTCGCCCAGCACCAGCGCCCATTCCGCCAGCGCGTGGCCGGAGTATTTGGCATGCACCCGCTGCTCTCCCGTCGGCTCGCTGGCAAGCGCCGGCTTGGGCGTGTTGGCTTTGTTGGAGTACGTCAGCAGGAATTGCTGCGTCGATTGCGGCACGCGAGGGGCGGTGAGGCGCATCGGTGGCAGCGGTTTGGCGTTCGGGTGGAATTCCAGCGAGAACTTGAAGCTGAACTTCCGCAGCGCCGGCACAACCTCAGTCGCCGGTCTGGCGCCCGCTTCGATTCCGCTGGATCGCTGAGCTGGCGCGTCGTCCGTCGCAGATCGTACAAGGCCGGTGGGAAGGGCTGGCGGCGGTGACGAGCCAACACGTGATTCCGGGCGTGATGCGTTGCGCGACTTGGACCGGCTCTTGCTGGGCATGAGATTGCGGAGGAACGTTCCGAGGCTCCTGCCGCGCTGCTCTTCGGAATCTGGGTCGGACACGACGGAGGAGAGAGCAGAGCCGGGCCGAGAAACTGTGGTGTCTGCATCGGACACGGTTGAACTGCGTTTCACGCCTGGTCCGGGAGAGCTTGGGGCGTCCTTTGGGAATAGGCGATCGAATGGAAGAAAAGTGCCACCGGGGCTCACTGCCGTGTCTGTACGCACGATAAGGAGTCGTCTGCTGGGAAACGGGTGGCAGGGGTTGGTAGCCACCGGTACTGTATCCTGAAGCTCATTAAGGCCGCGTAAGAAGAGATGATGCGACCAGATCTCTCCCAATCGCTCCACAAGAGTCTCGAAGATGTCGACATCCACGCTCGAGTAATCACCATCGTGTCGGGCCACACGCCAGCAAAGCAAGCGCATGAAATACGCCCTCACCATCGGACACCAATGGCTGAATGTCCGCTCAAAGATCTCGGGGGCCAGAAGCAGATCGAAACAGACATCTGCCTTCCATCCGGATTCGCAGATCACCGTGTTCCAGATGGTGTATAAGAAGGAGTACAGCCGGATCTCGGTCATGGTGTTCTGGCTGCTGATCATCTTCTTCCAAGCGTCCTTCCAGAACTCCAGCCCCAGAACCGAGCGTCTGTGCTCGTTCGCACGGTCGAAACGGGCCAAGATGACCAGGGCTTCTTCCAGAAAATCAAGGAGGGTATAGCACGCCGAGTGATCGAATAGCGACGTCCCGGTCGTGCAGACGTGCAAGAGATCGTTGAACGATTCCGCGAAAAGCTGTCGAGCGATCGGATGATCCACAGTCCGCTCCGACAGGAAGTCGCGTATTAGCATGATGAGTCGATTTTCGGCCATCACGCGAATAGCATTGGTCGGCGGAATGGGCAAAGGAGTCGCAATCGCATCGGGATCACCAAGCATGTCCGCGTACGCAGGTGCCGCGTCGGGTGCTCCTGCGTTGGAGTGCCGATGGATGGTTGCATCGAGGTTGACCAGAATCTTCGCATGGACGAGCAACATACCTGGGGCGGAGATGCGCTCCCTTCGGGAGGTGTCGAGCGGCATGAAATCCGTCACCAGAATGTGGAAGTGCTTCACAAAGACGTAGAAGAGGTCGCTTTCTCGCCCACTCCATCGCTCCAGCCATCGTCCCCACCATTCAATATTCGCTGTCCCTGGTGGTAGCTGAGGCGGCGTGCGGAGCTTTCGTATGTACTTGGGCAAAGACGAGAATCCAAGTTGCTGAAGGGCGGGCGGGAAAGCAGAGATGATGTGTTCGGCATCAGACGAGATGTCTTCGAACTTTCCGATGCCACAGCCCTGTACGACTCGCCTGAGAGGCTCGATAGGCACGTCCCAGAGTCGTACGAGCACCTCGGCCATCCCTGGGACAAACATGAACGCGTAGGCGCAGGCTTTCCCGCAAAAGGTCACCAAGCTGGCGCTTGCGTTGCGGAGGGACATTTTGTCCACGACAAAGGCCATCTGAGCGCTGAGATTCTGCACAAAGATGTTGCGCACATTCTGGTGAACAGTCTCGGCCAGAAAGTCCGAAGTGCTAGACGCGAGCGAGGACTTGGATCGATTTGCATACGAGAGGCCATCTTGAAGCCGCCGATCAAGTGGACAATAGGGCGAGGGTGATGTCCGCCATTCCGGTCTCTCCAGGATGCCAGATATGCCATCTAGGATCACGGGTCGATCGGTGCCCGAAATCGATTGATTGTTTCGCCCATGCAGCAACTCGACCAGCCCCGTCCACCATTTGTTCAGGATGTTTGCGCGCCTGTCAAGATCTTCCGGCCGAAGGGAGCGATTGGAAGGATGAGACGCGTAAGTACGCAGGAATGGCAATAACGACGACCGCACCACGCCTGCTTTGTGAGCCAGACTCTTGGAGTTAAACTTGGCAAAGTCTGCATCCAGGGCTCGGAATACGCTCCAAAGCTCGTCTTTCTTCCGCGCGACCACGTTTCCACCTAGTGCTCTGTCGGATGGCAGCAATCGCGGTACTGGAGTTGATCGACCGTTCGCGAGGCCTTGCGCTCGCAAGCCCGGCAGGCGGTCTGTTGAGAATGACTTGGGAAGAGGTGGCACGGCGGGCGTGGAATCTCGCAGGGGTCCAGGAGCCTCATTTTCGCTGATTGACTCTTTCGTTGGCCTCGCCGATGAGCGTGACGATGCCCTTCGCAGCAAGCCGGATCTGCGAGAGGCGCGGCGTTCGCTTTGATCGTCGGAGGATTGCGATTTCTCGGATTCTGCCGAAGGGTCTGGCGCGCTTCTGGTGGACTTCTTTCTCCTGAACGAGGGTCTTTTGCGCAGGAGAGAGGTGGACGTGGCTTCGGGAACGCCGTTGGCCTCGGTGTCTGAGTCCTTGGTAGCCCGCTTCCCGGCAGGCGGGGAGGGAGAGCGCGAGGGAGCGGGGGTGGAGTGGTATGATGCGAAAGGGGATTGGAAACTGAGGCTGCGCGAGAACTCGCTGGTGATGGAGACGCGGCGGCCGGGGGTCGTTGGCATGGTAGACACCGTAGCGTGAGAGTCGGTGCTGGTGCGGAAGTTCAGCAGGGACGAGGCGACGCTGCTCTGACCGTCTTCCGTTGCCGATTCTAGGGCCCCATTCTCGCCTTTTGATGATGATGTGGGTGGTGTAGCCTCTTTAGGACGCGGAGAAGGGTGTACTGGGATCGTGAGGGCAAGAAGGGGCTCGCACTTGACGGGGTCGCTAAAGGTGGGAGCTGCGGTGGTGTCGCCGCGAGGGGATAAGGGGGGCTCGAGGCCGAAATCTGGAGAAGAGGGACGGATCCTGGCTGGCGGCGGGGTGGTGATGCCCAAGCCGGTCACATCGCGGATGTAGGAGTAGGAGGCGGCGGGCGGAAGATCGGTATCAGCGCGGGGTGCGGAAGAGGCGATGGTGTCCTTGCGGGTGGACTGGGGACTCGAGGGATGCGCACGCTTGCGGCCCAGGCTCGTCGTTCGCGAGGGATACACACGGGTCTGCGTCGGCGCGCCTTTCGACATGGTATGTTGCTTTGGCAGGCCAGACACCAGAGTAGCTCCTAGCAGCTCTTAGGCCTTATAGATCAAGCGTCGGAGACAGCGCTCACGTTGCGACTACCACGCCATGATGAGGCGGGCACTGGGGCAGTCGTCACAGCACGTGTCTGACGATTGCCGCGGGGTGAAGAAGGAGTCGGAGGAGTCGAGTGAGGGCGCGGGTAGGTGGGAGGGGTTGGGCGTGTTCCATGCACTCTCCGACGGGCAGAGAGGGGATAGCGGATGGTGATAGAGGAGGAGGGCGGCGAGCGAAGAGGTGTAGAAGAGGTGTGAAGAAGGCAGCGAGGGGAAAGAGGAGCCGGCAGACCTACACACGCGCCAAGATTGGCGGGAACAGAAACATCGAAGACAGCGGACTCGTCAATGGCGCGCCAGCAGGCAAACCGACCTTGGGCCCATCTCCCGATTGATGAGCAAAGGCGGAGCGCGAGTTTAGCCAGACGCACGGGTTGGGGTCCGTGAGCCGCGAAGCGTGAAGTGGGCAAACTAGGTTCAAGCAGGGAAGATCCCGGCCGCCGCCCGGCTATTTCTGGCGCGGGCGGCAGTGACGAATGATTAAGATTCTCGCATGTCTCATCGCTGCCCCAACAATGCCACTGTCATGCGTGCGGCAGGCTTCCTGCATCTCCCGAACTCCAGAGGCGATGATGATGCGTGTTGCTGGTGACACCTGCAAGCTGCTGGGCGCCATGGACGTAGACATGGGTGGTTCATCTTGGACGCCCATGCCATGCCTTATCGTTCGTCCTGCCGCTCCGCACTAGCGCGCCGGGAGTAATGTCGCCATCTCATCCTCCCGGCGCAGGTACCGGGAACGAGATTAGAACGAGGCCTTTGCTCGCGCGCCTGCGCTCCGCTGCCGAGGCTTCCCTACACCGGACTCCGACTCCTCACCTCCACCAACGTCTCTCACGCGCCCCTCAGGCTTCCCAGGTGAAGATAGCTTGAGACCATCCCCATGCGTAGTCGATGGTCGTAGTCAAAGGCCTTGACCAGGCCCACCAGATGCACCGCCGCCGCCAACACCACCAGCACGTGAAAGATCTGGTGCGAGCTGCCCCAAATATCAAACTCTCCGGGTCGCCACTTCTCCGGAATGCGCGCCTGCCGCCGTTGTCAGTGGCACACTCATCACATGCATGCATGCTTGCATCCCCACCATCCCTCCTGCACTCACCGCGTAGATCGCGGCGCCTGCAATGTACAGCGCGCCCTGGCCCACCATCCACGACAGACTGATCTGCTGCTCCATTTGCCGGTAGCCGTACCTCTGCAGGCCATGTAGCACGGGGAAGACGGCACTCAAGCCCATAGCCACGAACATGCCCGCCCGCAGTGGTCGCCATTCCGGCGATCGGAATTTGGGATAGAAAATGGCCACAATCGTGCCCGCGGCGATCGTGGTAATCTGTCGCGCGTCAGCCATGCGACACAGTCACCATGCTTGCTTCGCGCTCAAGCGCTCCCCTTACCATCGTCCAATACGTGCGTCTGAGAGCTGGCTCAGCACTGAATCCGTAGTAGATGGAGGGGATGAAGCTGCCCCAAATCAACAGCACAATGCCCATGTAGTCCAGCCGATTCCCAAATTTCGCAACGGCCTCGGAGTGGTTGGACAGCGTGTGGTACGTGGCCGACATGCCCAAGCATCCCACGGCACCGAGGAAGAAGCACGCGAATACCATCACGTCTTCCCCAGTAGCCATGGCCAGGCGCGGCCGGATGGCATAGTGCATCACAACGCCAGCGACCGCAGCGAGCATCGCACCGATCAGATGTGTCCAGATGTTGACGCTCTCGTTGTGCAGGTAGCCGATGCTGGAGAGGGACTTGCGATAGGAGCCCGACGGCGGGCGGTAGCCGCTATGGATATAATGGTTGTCCTGGAGCCAGGCGGGGATCTCGTTCCATAGCACCGTCAAAGCACCACGAGCCTTTGCCTTTGCCTTGGACCCTACTGGCTTCTCATCGTCACTGCCTTTCGAGTCCATGTTCAGCGTTGCGAGTCTTGCCAAGGGTCGGAGACGCTTGAAGATGAAACGGAGGATTAGAGAGCCGCAATCACCGGGTTCTATAACACATCATCCATCGAGATCGCTAGCAATGCAATGATGAGTGTCATAAAGAGAGAAGAGGAGATGGTTGAATTCAAGCCTTGCGGTTGAGAGGTCCGATGCGTCGGTGACTTTTATGCAAATTCGCCGACTGACAACACACCTTCCTTTCCGTCAACAATCTCCGGAAGGCACCACAGAGCATGCAATAGCAGTTTCCAAAATCCATCGATCCCAACATCGATTCGTCTCTGACTGTGAGGGCCATGTGCGCTTCAATCTCATCCGTATGACAACAATGTCTCGCCATCCCTCCGACAAATCTCAGGGCTCCGCCCCCACCTGGGGCATGCCCTCGTCCGGCCCCTCCGCACGCAGAGGGCCGTCGGGGGCGTGGAACAGACTCAAGCCAGTCGTCACCGACCCTCTCGATGCTTATGGATTACCGTCGAAGGGAGAGCGGAGGTGAATGCCACATGCTCGTTCGCAGTTCTGCTCGGAAACTCATCTTGCTGTACTAGACTACACGACTACAAGACCCAAGAGACCTACTACGGGCGCATCGTCGAGCGGTACATGAAGTTCTGCGCCTCGACAGGCGGCAGCGAAGGACTCGAAAAGGCCTTTGCGGCCCTCGCCATCCGGGACAACAACAACAGCAACACCACCACCACCACGAGAGATGAGACCGGCAAGCCCATTCTTGCTCGCCAGATCTCCAGCACCGACCGCCCTAACGACATGCCCAGCATCCTTCTTGCGATGCGAAAACTCCGCGAGGGAATCTTGGGCTCCCGTCGCCGCGACAGCTTCGCCCAGCGCGCATATATGTTCATCATCCACGCGAGCATCCTGTCCCGACACTGGGAATCGTATCAGCCCGCCTTGCTGTACCTTCTGCATCAAATCCATCCCGTCACCCCCCTGGCCCCACCAGAGCTGCAGGAGTTCGTCGGCTATCGTATCCTTGATCTCGCTTGTCGCCAGTATGAACTTCTCGACGCCATGGCCGTTAAGTTGGAATTCAAGCATCGCGACCGCCGAGTAGCGACCGTGCTCAGATCACTCATCCACGACGACTGGGTCCGCTTGTGGAGGGTGAAGCGAGCAGTCGATGGCCACCAGCGTGCCATCCTCGAGTTTACGGTCGAGCGAATGCGTCTCCACGCCCTCAAATGTGTCGGAAGAAGCTACATGAATGCGGACAAGGCTTTCATCGAGCGCACGGGCGATGCACAGTGGGATGAGCTGGTGAAGACCGGTGTAGGATGGCAGCTGCAAGAAAGCGGAAATGTTGTCATTCGAAAGCCAAAGGCTAAGTGAGCGCGCGACGGATGCAGTGAACGCGCAGCACCATCCTCATCCATCGCTTCTGGCCTTCCGCGTCCCTCTCCTTCGCACGCCAGAGGGCCGCAGAACGTAATCACAAGTCTCGCGATCGTATTCCAGTATCTCAATCTCCAACGGCTTGAGTGGTGCCTCGGGTAGCTCTCCGACAAATCCTTCGGGAGGCCGGCTTCTCGATCGCCAATAGACATACGGCCTTCTCTGGCTGTCCTCGTTCTCCACAATCAGCTTCCAATCGGTCAGGGATTTGCAGTCATAAACGCCCTTGTTCTCAAAGTACGGCCCTTTGAGCTGGATTCTGGCCCGTACACAAGGGTGAATGAACTCGCGCGTGTTAATCAGTGGCTCGCCCGTTGATTTGCCATTCTCGGGATCGATAAGGGTGTATCGGCCAGGGGAACGGATGCTTGTGCCCCCTAGAGCATATGCCGCAGTAATCCCTGTGAAGATCTCCCCAAAAGACCACGGCCGTGTTTCCGGAGCGTGTTCTTCCTCGTATCCTTCACTCTCCTCCCACTGATCGAGAACGTAGTCCAAATCGAAGTCGAGAAAGGGCTGGCATTGGGCTATCATCCACGCAAGGGTGATTGTGGCAATCTGCTGATCGTTGTAGCCCCCACCGACGTTTGAGTGTGCGCCAGGGAACCAGACTTGTCGGAGTGTGGTTCGATTGCCTTCGAGTTTCTCCCAGAGGCAGGGTTGGAAGGAATAGCGCCGCTCATCAAGCGCGAGAGCTTGGAAAGCGTTCTCTATGCAGTCGCCTAACGACGTATCATGGAATCGGTAGTCTTTGATCGTCGTCGATTGCAGTCCTATCCTCTGCAGCCACGGCACTCGCGGGACACCGAGCGAGCCGACGGTCTCCCACACGCCAACGACTTTGATCGTCACGTCCAACCGAGTCAGGCGGCGTCGGACCAGCCCTTCCCTATACGCCGGATCTCGCGCACTCGGCTTGTGCGGGAAGGGTATGTCGGGGTACTTTGGGCGGTAATGGTCGTTGTACCGGTTCGACACATCGCGATAAATCTCCGGCAGATCGGGAAGGCCGTCCTTGGTGAGGATGCCCACCTCATTGATCAGACCAGCAATCGAGCGAGCCGTGTACGCGCCCCGGGAGAAGCCAAAGATGAAGATTTCGTCGCCGGGGGTATAGTTGGCGCAAAGAAACTCGTAGCCCTCCCGGATGATTTCGTTGATTCCCGCTCCGCTAAAGCCGGCCAGCTTACTGAGGAATCCGCCGCCCCCGCCCACTCCGAAATGATAGTAGACGACCTGGGGAATGCCATCCGAGCTGACGGATTTGATGGCTCGCTGGATGCGGGTGACGTTGCTCGGGTAGTTCAGCGAGCCTTTGAGACTGGCGTTGTCGGAGTCCAGCCACGTGCCGTCCTCGCAGAGGATGAGACGTTTGGAAGGGCGTTTGGGATCTGGCCGTCGGTTGCGACTTTGCCTTCTGGCGATGGACTGGCTGGTACCTCCGTTGAGTTGGTTGGGTTCGGCGTAGGAAGATCGAGACATGTGTGCCTGGGGTGGCATAGATTAAAGGACCGATATCACTGTCCGCGGATGGAGGGTGGAAGTGGATGATGACGTGTGTAACAGCGGTCGTGTGCATGTATTGCCAAAGCGTCTGTGGCGTGCATGATAAACAAAGCGCTATGCAGGCGGAAAGCGAACGCAGGGATGCAGCGAGCCGCGCGGAAATGCAAGAGGAGTAGGGGGGATGGAGTGGGAGTGGAAGTGAAGCTGGTCGAATCGGGGAATTCGAGAAATGGAGGGACGAGGCGCACAGCCTTCTCCTCAGCCACACCCTTTTCCTCCGAAGCCACGAGGGGTAAGATTGGCCTCCCAGCCATCACCATATCATCAATTGATTTATAACACGTAAATCACACGCTGACATCATGCAACACGTGGGACAAAGACACCGGTTGCAAATGGTCAAGTCATACAAAGGGATGTGAGCTCTCAACGCCGCCGTCCAACCTTCGCCTGCCAAGCCTTCCCTCCTATGCACCGGCAACGACATCACTTGCTGCTGTTCCATTCTCGCTCGTCGATGTCTCCTTTGCGCTCTCTGCCTTCGCTTCCTCTGCCTTCTTCTTCGCTGCAAGCTGCCACGCCGGGATCTGCGCCTTGCCAGCCAGTGTCCTGCCAATGTAGGGTGTAGAGGATGCTGACCGCTCCGGCAGCACTGAACTCGGCGCAGGCTTCTCCCCCTCCTCGCCCGACCCGCTTGATCCGTTGATCTCGGGTGCTTGCACAGCCGGTGATGCACTGCTTCCCCCGTTGATGCCGTTCGTCGCGTTGGCGCCATATGGAGGTGTGGCTCGCGGCGCTGGAACGCCACCGCCTACCCGATTTGCGACCAAGGTCTTCAGGCTCTTCATCTCCCCGGCCAGGTCCTTGAGTCTGCCATCAATGGCCTCCTTCTCTTTTTGAATGGCTTCTGGAATCTGAGATTTGATATCGTCAAGCTCCCGTGCCATTCGCTTCGCCTCCATCTCGCGGTTGTCATTCGCCTCCTTGATCTTTCCGACCACGCTCTCCACCTCTGCTAATGCATGGTCAAGTCGTTGCTTCCGCTCTGCTTCCGAGTCCTTAAGCTCTTGCGTGTCGGTCGCCAGTTGGTCAAGGAGGGCAAAGGCTTTGTCAAACGAGGCGTCTATGCTGGCTTTATCCTGCTCCAGCTGGGGTGGGGTGGGAGGGGCAATGAGAGGGTAGATGTAGCGTTTCGCCGTCCAGTACGTCGCATAGCCGATGCCGCCCATCACCGTGGCCATGATGAACCAGTCGCGCCAGTCCCGCCGGGGGAGATCGGGCGGCGGCTGGCCCCACGACTGATATTGCTGGTAGCCTCCATATTGTTGGGCCGGCTGTCGATATTGCTGGGCGTAGTTGGAATACTGTGCGGGTGGCTGCGCGGTGGGAGATTGGCCGACGCGGGCAAGCGAGGCATCAATCTCCTCTTGCGTCAGGTTCTTCGAGCGGAGGAAGGAGAGTTTCTGCTCGAGAGGCGCCGAGGAGACAGAGGGGTCCTGGAGGACTAGGGCAGCGTTAGCAAGTCGACAATGTAGTATCACCAGCAGAATGTCTGCTCACAGGTGACGGCGCCGTCGATCAGATCCTCGCGGACCATCTTGTCTGCGGTTCGCGCTCTTAGTCCCGCATGGGATAAAGAGGGCAGAGGGGGGCTGTAGTAGAGGCGTCGCGACGTGATGGCAATGGAATTATCGTAGTGTCGGTGGTTGGATGAGGGAGGGGAGGGCGAGCAGCAGCGCTCGTCTGGTGATGGCTGGAGGGCGCGTGAGCCTCGGCACGTGCAGCCCGAAGCCGGCGGGAGCGCCCGTGACCGGCCCGCGGATCGCCGCGCTGGCGGGCAACAAGGTTTGGCATTTGTTTACTTGCATGTTTGCGCGCCAAAACCTGACGTACATCACTAACCAACCACTCCACCACTCCATTCTTCCAGCATATTCCTCTCCGCCAGGCGCAAACAACGAGATTCGGCAGTGCGTACGGATCCTGGAGTCTCTCGAAGGTTGGCCACAATGTCGCAAGACGGGCAGCGACAAGATGAAAGGGCCTTTTCCGTGCGCCGACCGCGTGAGGTGAGTCGCAATCATTCATCACATTCGCACGACTTTTGAATCAACACTCGCTAATGCAAATGCTTTGCCCTCAGACACTCGGCGCCGTCAGCCATAATGTCTCTGCAATCCCCATGCCCGCGTCAGCGATGAAGCGATCCACCTCCACCTCGAACCTTCAGCAAGCGCCTCACACCACCAACCATGTGCGCACAACATCCGGCTCCCGAATGTCTCTTGCCCCTGGCCGGCCAGCACAGCCCGTCTTCCACCGCTCCTCATCCGGTGACAATCTCGCGCAAATGGCATTCTCCACCGTCCAACGGACCAGCACCGCCAATTTCTTGGGCACGGCCACCGCGAGTCGCAAGAGCTATGCGCCCGTCTCAAGCACACCCGCTCATGCCCTCCAACTGCAAGATAGCACGCAAAGGCGGAGCAGTGTTTACAGCCAACGACCCTCGGCAGGCTTTGGACCGGCCACGCGTCAATCCTTCTTCACCCAAGCGCCCCCGCCTAAGGGCGAAGTCATTGACCCGCGGCGCGCACGAGAGTCCAGCACTCGCGCACAAATGGCCCAAGAGCTCTTGGAATTCTTGCTCGAGCGCAACTTCGAGATGGAAATGAAATACACGCTGTCGAACAATTGGGCCACTTCCCCCGTGCAGAAAGACTTCGATTTCATGTTCCAATTCCTGTACCACTGCATCGATCCGTCCTACCGCTTCCAAAGGGGCATCGCGGCCGAAGTACCGGACCTGTTGAAGCTACTGCGCTATCCTTTTGCCGGTAGGATTTCAAAGTCGCAACTAGGAGCGGTGGGCGGGAATAACTGGGCGGCGTTCTTGGCGTTGCTGCACTGGATGATGCAACTGTCGAAGATGATGGAGAATTACTCGCGCGGCGTCTACGACGATGCCTGCATCGAAGCCGGCTACGATGTCAGCGCCGATCGTATCACCTTCCACTTCCTGTCGGACGCGTACAAGGAGTGGCTTTCGATCGAAGATGATGACGATGATGACGAGGAGGCGAAGCGGCGGATCGAGCCTCATGTCCAAGCCATGGCTGCCAAGTTCGAGCAGAGCAATCAGGCAAATTTGGAGCAGGCGAAGATGCTCGAAGCCGAGGCCAAAGCGCTGCAGGACCAGATCGATGAGCTGGCAAAGTCCGCACCGCGGCTGGCCAAGCTAGACGAGACGATCAAAGTGCTGGAGGAAGATCGCGTCAAGTTCGAAAAGTATAACCAGGACATGGAGAGGAAGATTGAAAAGTACTTGAACAAAGCGCAGCTGTTGCAAGATGGAATCGACAAGTGCGATCAAGAGATGAAGGAGGCAGAGGAGGAGAAGGAGGAGCTGCAGAGGAAGGTCGATGATCAGGGCCTGAGCGTGCAGGATATAGATCGCATGAACAATGAGCGCGAACGATTGCAGAAGAATGCGGAGGCGACTGCGGTGAGGCTGGAGGAGTCCAAAGAGCGAGCATCGAAGAAGGAAGAAGAAACCGGTGGCAAGTTGGACGAGCTGGAGTCGCTTGTGCAAAAGTACAACAGCCTGGGCTACCAGATTGGCGTCATTCCCAGGACGGCGCAGCACGCGCATGGCTACGAGTACGAACTCCGCCTCACTGCCAACCCAGGACCGGACTTCACGGCCTCCCAACTCGGCGCGTCCAGCCATCAAATGCTTGAAAGTGACCGGCTGCTTTCCAATCCCAACAACGGCTACCAACCTGCGCACCTGCTGCAAAAGGACCTCAAAGCGATCAAGCAGCATCTGCAAGACCTGCGCAAAGAAGTCTCGGAAAGGCGCAATGCAGCGCTCGAAGAGGACATGGCCAAGATGGACATGCTGGACAAGACGAAAGAGGCTCTGGATGACAAGGCCGCCGAGATGTCCGGTCTTCAGCATCGCTTGCGGGCAGCACAAGAAGAGTTCGAGAAGACGAGGGAGTTGACGAGTACCCAGAATCTGCAGAGTGATGCACAGATTGAGAAGATGGAGAAGCAGCTGGGGAAGACGCGTGGGGAGCTCAGTGAGAGCGTGCAGCTGATGGAACAGCGGGAAATGGCCACGAATCTCGAGTAAGTTTCGCTTTGCGTTCGAAGTGGGATCGTAGAAGCGTAGTGCTAACTTCTCACGCAACAGGTATGAGCAGCTCACTCTGCGATCCTCGGCATTGCGAGAGGAACTGCACACGGAGCTCGAGAGGATGTTGAACGACATCATCAAGTTCAAGATCCATATCCAGTCATCGCTGGAGGGGTATGAAGATTTTGTTGCGCAGGAGGTTGAGCGGGAGTGCGAAGAGCAGGAAGCTGCTGCTCCTGGCGTTGCAATGGATGAGTCGTGATTGGAGCGAGCGCGTCAGGCACGTGTATTGTATGTCCTGCACTTGGATTGGGCCTTTGGATGAGTGATACCATTTTGCGTTACGTCAATAAGAATTAGCCGGCCCAGGGCGAACGGAGACTTTCCTTTCCGCCAATGAATGCATGATCGCCTCAAGAATGCTTCCCCTAATTTTCAAATAAATCACTCCAGATTCATTGGCCGCGGCTTGCGTGCGGATTCCGCGGCTTTACTCGCCAAAGTGAAAGCAGCCGTTTCGCTGATGAAGCCATCGATGTAGCAATCCAGCCTCTCGAACCAAGCGCCTTGTGGATACTCTCGGCCATCTGCGGGTGTTGCAGTTGGCATGGGCTGCAGATCTCCGTGGTCGCCAGGGTGGGCCAGCAATTCTCGGATCGTGTCTACCATCAGCCCCAGTTGGACGCCCTTGCTTTCGCTGATCCTGGTGCGACCGGTGAACAGAGCATTGGGAACGCCGACTTGGTATTCGACTTTGACGTTTCGGCACGGCGGCTGGGTGATGAACATATTCCTCCATCTCCCCTCTGGACGCAGGGAGAGTGCTTTCTCCCAATTGAAGGTGAATGCAGTCAGGCCTCTTCGCTCCCTGATTGAATCGAATTCCAGATAGGGATGGAGGACAGCGATGGTGTACGTTTCGATGTATCGCATAATGTTGAGGGAGCGGTATTGCCATGGTTTGCGGAGTTTGCTCTCGCTGCGATACGCAACGGACAAATGGTGCGTAGTGGGCTCGAGGAACAAGCCTTGACGAGTGTGCGATGACCATTGGATGATATCGCGCCACGCTCTACACACCAGCTCCGCCTGCACCAAGTCCTGGAAAGGGAGGTAGGAGAGGATGTGCTCGGCCAGCTCCACCGTGAGGAGGACCTTTAGTACCGACGTGTCTGCCGCCATTGTGCGTCCCCTCGATCAACTTGTACTCATGGAGATATAAAGCGAGAAATCGGCGTCCACGCTACGCTTGCGCGAGTGATGAAGCGTTCAGATCATGTTGTAGAGCACAAAGGAGTGTGTTGACGGGATGACAGCGATGTAGAAAAAGTAAATAGATCGATGGACTGAATATGAGAGATGCACGCGTAGGGTGTGAGGTGAGGCCGACGGGACGTGCCGCTGCCCCATGCCTCGACTCCACGGGCATTACATCAACCATCCCTTCTACAATCCAGCCATCAAATGTCTCCCCGTCACATACTTCTCCCCTGCCGCTCGCGACGCCCGCGCCGCTCCCACGACAGCCATGTCGTCCACGGCGTCGCAGCGAGCCCTCGACTACCTCGAACAACTCCCCGGCACCACCTTCACCAAGCTCTACCAGCAGCCCTCCACCGCCCTCGCCATCTTCCGCCGCATGCTGCCCCATCTGGCCAAGAACCTCGTCATGGCCATGCTGTACATGCCCGCTCCCTTTCCCATCGCCGACCTTGACGCCTGGATCAAGCCCGACTCGGAAAACGCACAAGCAAAAGATCGCGCCCTCAGCATTCTTCAACGCCTCAGGATTTTGGAAGAAAGTGATGGGAGGAGCTACAAACTCGCAGACGCCTTCGCCCGAAGTCTGAGGCTAGCCTTGACCGGCGGCGGAAACCATCGGTCCTTTGGCGTTCCGTGCAGCACGCCTGATGCCAAAGCCATGACGGTCGGATGGCTCGATACCTTTGCGCGCCAGCAGTGGGAGGCCATCCTTTATTACGTCGTAGGTAGCGTGGCGAATGCAACCCTTGGTGGAGAGGTGCAGGAGATCAGCGAGGGCACGAAGCAGCTGTTGCAGAAAGGGGAGTTTGTGACGGTGAAAGGCTCGGGCGCCAGGGCCGCGACCGCCATTACGGAGAAAGGCTTTTCTTTCCTCTTGCAAGAAGTCAATGCCCAGATTTGGACACTTTTGATCGTCTACCTCGAGGTTTCAGGCGAGGTAAGACACGCAAGGCTCGATTTGTGAATGTCAACCCGGTACTAACGCCTGCTGAACAGCTGCAAATGGACCCTGTGGACGTGCTCTCGTTTCTCTTCACCCTCGGCTCTCTCGAACTCGGCATCAGCTACAGCACTTCCAACCTCACCCCAACCCAGCAACAGATGCTCGAAGACCTCGCCGACTTTGGCCTCATCTACCGTCGTGCAACAGACACCTCCCGCTATTACCCGACCCGCCTGGCCACCACCCTCACCTCCGACGCCCCAGCACTGCCAAATTCTAGTTTGACAGCAACGACAACCACCCAACTCAACAACAACGCCGCCAATTCGACCTTCGACCTCGCTGCACAAAGCGAAAAGGGCTACATTATCGTCGAAACCAACTACCGCCTCTACGCCTACACCAACTCCCCCTTGCTCATTTCCATCCTCTCCCTCTTCACTCAACTCCAAACACGCTACCCCAACCTCATCACCGCCAAAATCACCAAACGCAGCATCCAGACCGCCATCACCTCCGGCATCACCTCGCAGCAGATCATCGAGTACCTGACCGCGCACGCCCACCCCATCCTTCGGCGTCAGGCGCCCATTTTGCCGCCCACCGTCGTCGACCAAATTCGCCTTTGGCAGATCGAAGGCGAGAGGATGACGGCGTGGCGCGGGTATCTCATTCGAGACGTGGGGAGCCAGGAGGATTACGAGAAGGCGGTGCAGTATGCAGAGGCGTTGGGCGTGCTGCGGAAGGAGTTTCGCAGTAAAGGCTGGTTCTTCGTCAGTCGGATGGATCAAATGAGTGGATATTTCAAGAATCTGGCGGCGCGGAGGAGAGAAGCAATGGCCGCGCAGGCTGCGGCGTCGCAAAGCGGTCGGAGTAGCGCTGCTCCTCCTTAACGAGTGTCAAATGATCTGGTTGCATTGCATAGCGTTGGAGTGTCAATGGAAAGTAGAAACTCAGTCGTACTAGACAGCGGGGCAATGACCATGTCCAGCTACGTAGACTCGGTAGACTCATTATGAAGTGTGCTGCAAGGGGCACATTCCTCCCAGCTCCTGCTTTGAGCGGAGACCTTCGACCCTTCTTTTCACCATCCTCCAACTCCTCATTATCTCCTCCGGCATTTTCGATGCATCGACCTCCGATTCACGCCAGCTTGATTGCCGCCGACACCGTTGCGACGCAAGATCAGTCGAAAAGGATCAAGCTACGCCTCTTCTGCCTCCCCAGCAAGCGATCCATGAAGCTCGCCTTTCGCTCCTCACTCATCCCACCCATGATCACATCTCGGTCCTGATCCCTCTTCGGCGCATTCAGTCTGATTGGCCTGGCCAAGCCTTCCAGCCCCATTACGTTGGCGTATTGCAACTGGAAAACAGCAAGACTATCTCGAGCATCTTGCGAGATGCAGAGGTTATACAACTCTTCGAATGCGCGGCGCAGTCGCGCCACGTTGGCTTCAGGCGTGTGCATCTTGTCCGTCTCGCGTTTGGGATTCGGAACTCCGGTGGGTGTGAATATATGCGCTTGCAGCTCTTCGTTACGGTAGCGATCTGCTAGACTGCACACGCGGCCGAGCCAGTAAGAGGCTGGTTCGGAGTTGGCAACATGAAAGATCGTCCTTTTCGGGGAGCGAGAGGGTTTCTTACTCCAGGGAGACGAGCGAGGTTTGTTCTGCTCCGCTGCTTGGTATGGGGTTCCACCCCTGTGGAGGCTCTTCAATCGTTCACCGGTCGCGATTCGCGCAGTTGAAGGCGTTTGTGGTGGATGTGGCGTAGGAGCTTGACGGGCAGACATGAGCCTCGTTTCCTTCACATCACGGTGACGTGCAATGGTGTTCGATGCCGTGTTGGTGGAGTCTGTGAGCATAGGGCGGGAGCTCCATCGTCGAACATCCATGCTCTTGGAGCCACCCGGAGTTTGTGGTCTGTCTCTTGAGCTCCGGTAAGCGGGGTCCTGAGAAGCCGAGGGCGAAGAGAAATGAAAAGGGGTTGAGGGCGGATGGTGGCTCTGGCTATCTTGACGCCCGTCGCGTGCAGAAGCGCGTGGGTGTGAGGACAACCAAGCGTTTAATTGATATGGGGTGGCGTGATCTGGGACATCAGCAGGCGCGAGTGGCTTGATGGGACTCATGGTGAGGTTCTCTTTGAAGGCCGTCGAACGGGGAGGATTGGTCACTGGACCTACGCTCACTGGCAGCAGAGGCTCGGTATCCGACCTCTTCACACGATTGCGCATCGCTGGCACATTGGCCCCAACGGACGCGAGGCGTGAGTGAGAATGCTTCCTGGTCGTGGTGGGAGGCGATGGCAGGCGCGTTGAGGGCAGAATGGTGGATGGGAGGCGGGAGTGTGATCCAGATGCAGTCGCTCTCTTTGCCTTGATGGGAAGAGGCAGGTTGCTAAATGTACGACTCCTGGGCATGCCTCCGATCGGATCATCGGGCAGGCAGATGTAGCTGCTTCTTCTGGAAGAGGGCTGAAGCTGGGCAGGGGGCAGCGATGCCGGTAGCTCAACCGGAGTGGGTTCATGTTGTGTATGGTGAGCAGTTGATGGCTTTCCCAACCCGAGGACTGGCTCTGGTGGATTTACAATCGTGCTGCTGGTCAGAGACAGATTGCTCGACGACGAGGCGAGGGTGTCATCGGTGGGGTTGTGTGAGCGTCGACGGTTGAAGAGTAGTTGAAAGGACGCGATGGAGGAGAGGCGTCGGAGTGAGGTTCGACGCGTGTCAGCGTGTGCGTCACCGGAGCCTGTCTTTCGAGGAGGCATCGTGACTGTGTGTGAGGAGATGTAAGAGGAGGATGAAGGTCGTTGAAAGTTTGGGAATATGGATTCAGCAGTGTCGCCATCCAAGCGTCGTGCCTTCCTGACGCGTGACGAGGCAGGCGCGTTGGAGCTCGGGCTGAAGGCAGTCGCGCCACGCTTTCGACCTCGAGGCTGCATCTGCATCTGCCCCTGCTCCTGAATCAAAACAAGAGTGCAAAGTCGTTAGGAACGTCGTTCACGTTCATCCACACCTGGTTGCCGTGGAAGAGTCCCTGTCCGATCGCCAGAGAGGCAAACCCCGTCGCCTGGAGCCTGTCCGTCTCCGGGCCAGCGTGATACTGCTCCAACCAGAGGGACATGCAGACGCTGAACAAGAACACTTCGAAGACGCAGAGGGCGCAAAGCTGAGCGAGCTCGGTGCGCCTCCACGCCAATACCAACCGCTCCTCGCGGACAAAGACGTGGATCACCCGCCTAAACCTGTTGATGGCGTCGAAGAGAGCGCTGGTTGCCACGAGGAAGAGGAGGAGGGCGTCGAAGACCAGCGCAAGGGAGATCATGATCGGAGGCGAGCGTGAGTGATGAGGAACGGGAGAGAAATGATGAAGGTCACGGAGGAAGAGGGCACAGTCACTCCAAAGTGCCTTCACGGAACGCTTGGTCCACCCTGCATTGTTCACACGCCAACCACCCTGCGTCTTTTCACCTTGCAAACGCGTCTCAACCTTCATCAAGTCCACATATGAGCTCCAACAGCATACAGGGCTACACCTTCTTGTTGTTTCCTGATCTCAGCTTGGATCGTTGACGGTTGCGCGATCTGGAAAAGCCATCAGCAGACGAAAAGGCTAGACGAGAAGGCTGTTAAGCCTTTGCAGCATTCTCAGCCTTGTCGACAGCTCCTGAGTCGAGCAACGAGGAGGCTGCACCTTAGACTTACCGCCGTGCTTGTATGTCGAACCAACCGCGACACGCCCAGCCCTAGGCCAGACTGACCGCTCCCTCCCTCGATACCTGAACCTGAAAAAGCAAGGGCTTGGATCACGGCAGGGCGCAACGGGACATCCGATACGAACGTTCCGTGTCTGGGTAGAGGAAGCAGGGAGACGCGTTGACAGAGCATACAAAGACGATCGCTCGACTGCAACCCTACGCACCCAACACCTTCCGCTGCAAAACTTCTATAGAGGAGCCCTCGGCATAATCATCCTCTCCCAGATCCACATACCCGTCAGGATTCAGTTCCCTTGGCAAGACCGCGAAAGAACGGCCATTTATCGTTGGGTCAGCAGCAAGATGGATCGCCGCGAGTGCCACGTCCGATGCTTTTGCCAGTGGTGTATTTTGAGATTCTAGAGCATCCCAGATCTGGCCCGGGAGTATGTTTGTTCGAGTATACCTGAGGGAGGGTCAGATCAGCCATGGGGCACGACGACAGGGGGGAGGTTCAAGGCACCCACCATGGCGCCAAGACATTGATGCGAATCTTCTTTCCGACCAGCGTCCTCCTCGTGGCCCTCATGAACCCACGAATACCCCATTTCGAAATCGAGTATTGTGGCAGGGTTGCATCTATGCGCTCATCAGCATCACATTCTTGTTGGCTTACACGAAGGCCACGCACGATCAACATATCCTGAGATGCTCGCAGTGAGAATCAAGCACCGGTCTCTCCCCGGCCCTTCGGGCTGCAGCTGGAAGTAGTGAATGGCCAGCTTCGCGGTGAAGAGATTCCCCATCAACGTGGTGTGGATGGTGGTGAAGTCAGGCTCTGGCGGATCCAGATCCCCGGGGTTCGCGACATCCTCAAACGTCTCCTGCGTAATGACTCCAGCATTTCCCACGACGACGTCGATGCAATGCGCAGGCGAGCGCTCCATGGCCGCCTTGAAGAGCTGCACCTGGTCCTTCCACACGGTGACGTTGCATCTCACGAATTGCACCCTTCCCTCGCCGCCGAGTTCCGCAACGAGCTTCAGCGCCCTCTCCTCGGCAATGTCTCCTATCGTCACGAAAGCGCCAGCGGCAGAGAAGGCGCGCACCATGGCCTCTCCGAGACCGCTAGCTCCGCCGGTCACAATGACACTCTTGCCGGCAAGCTGCGAGAGATCGGCGGTGCCAGCCTTGCGAGGCGGCTGGCCGTCGAAGGTTACCGCTGGCATTGTGATCGGCGTGTCTTTGAGTCTATGGGCCAGCCGCTTGCAAATATCGGGTTATTTACTATTTTCTACGACAGTCGTCTCGAGTGTGAGGAAGTGTGGTGGGGTTGTATGTCAGGTCTCGAGGGGGTCTTTCAGGTATTCATGTACCTCCACCACCGCCTCGTACCCCTCTTTCCCCCCTCACCACCAGTGTGGAGGCCCAGAGCAGCTCAAGGTAAGGTACACATCCTTTTGTCCTGACTGCGACTAGTCTGCAATTTAAACGTAAGCCTTGAGCGACCTCGTGACTCTAAGCTACAGGCAAGTAAGTGGAGTGATTTGCTGCCGTTTGAGGACCAGGGCACGTGACTCGGTGGATTCGCCTGCAGTGCTCGATTACATTTTATGGCTTGCCTTCAGCGGCACAGCCGTACAACTCTTGCACCAATTCAATCTGGCAAACCATCCCTGGTGAATGTCAAGTAATAAAAAATCAATAGCTTCACCAAGACGTCCATACCAACCCATGGGTTTTACCAATTCCCCTTTTACCATTCGCCAGCTGGCAGAGATGGAGACTACCTTCGATCTGCCCACAACGGCAGCTATTCAGCTGACAACTCCACCACACAATTTTCTTATTCTCACGGTGCGCTCAATTTCAGTTCGCGTGGCCACTCGGATCCTCATATGCCACAATATCCAACTGGGACCAGGGCCACATGTCCTTCGGAGAGCCCGCAGACAACCACCGGTCGGTTGCACCCTTCCGGTCCCAGGCGCTCTACTGCGATCCTCCACGTAGAAGATAGCCAGCAAAAGTGGAGGCATGCTCTCTCACACCGTGTCGGATGCCTGTCTGGCTCGAACCTCTTCTAACATCCGAAAGGGGCCTGAAGGAAGGAGCAGAGGCGCAATGAGCACCCCCTTTAACGATCAAGACAGCGCACACGGATTCCGCGCACGAACGCCAGGTTGCCACATCCCATGAGGCGGAGCAGGCAGGAGAACCTGCTAGTTAGGCCTCTGGTAGAACCACTCCTTCTCCCATCCCAGAGAAGCTCCCGCTCGCTGCGTACCGCCGGCTCGCCCTGAAATATCATCATACTATCACTGGCTCGCCGTACAGTCTCTTGCCAGAACTCGACGCCGCCACAAGAATCTGCCACTTGGCCTGTCGTAGGTCCACTGCCTCTTCCATTCTCGAAAAGGTGCCAAGGTCCTGTGCGCACTGGGGTATATATAGGAGCTGCTGCCCCCCCTCCGACATTTTCCTTTTCATCTCTTCACTGCTCGACTCTCGTCAACCATCTCACGCTCTTCATCTTTGATCAATTCCAATCTCCTTATTCACTACCAACATCTGTCGCACATATGGCCGAAGAGATCGCTGCCGTGGGCTGGATGGCAGCCATGACTGTCGGCCTGGGAGGCTCTTTGTTGCTGGCGGCAGGGGCCGTCGGTGCTGGCATCGGGATCGCCTGCGCCATTGGCGACTGTCCGTTCCGCGCGCGCAGTGAGGACATCACTCCGATGTTGCTCCAGATCAACAGCGCCAACCTGACGGGCAACGACGTGGCCAAGCTCACGGGCCTGGCCATCGACAGTATCGATATCGTGAGTTTGAAGTTCGAGTGGTGAGACGTGTGCGCACCTAACAGTTGCTGACGCTGCGACTAGGGCCAAGGCAGGGCGTCTTTCCGAAGTGATGTCTTTGACGGTGTGAATGGCACGTTGACCATCAACAATGCGGTATGTGGCTGTCGCAATGATCTGGATAGAAAGATACTAATTTGTCTGAAAGAAAAAACGCGACATGTCCCGGAAGGGCCTCGTCTCGGGCGACATCAGCTTCCCCATCCCTGGCCTTGAGCGTGAGGTGGAAGGCACTTGGGTCGCCGTCGACCCCAGTGTTGCCGACGACAAGACCAAAAAGGCCTTCAACAACGTCCACAAGGGAGTGACTTCGGCACATTCCCAAAAGGAGACGGAGAAGAAGGGGCTGGAGAGCATGGTGTATGACCTGCTTGTCACCGCAGACGGTTTCGTCGACGGCCCCGAAGTCGACGCCTGGTTTCACAAAGTGCTCACTGAAGGGATCCATGTTTGAGAGGCGGGCGGAGTTGATTTTTGGTGCTCTGGGGGATGGTTGAAGGATGGACAAAAAGGCAAAGGAAATGTCCACCATGGAGGGAGCTTTTGGCATCTGGGAGGGCGGTAGTACGCTGGAGGTTGATTGGCAGTGTCGGTTCACATGGTTTTGGAGGCGCTTGCGTGGGACACTTTGGACGTTATACCGATGAGACAAAGCACACACGGGTCGCAGGTGCTTGAGAGAAAAAGCTATTGGCAGATCAGCGTAGATTTGGAGACTAATCAATACTCATAAAAGCCTCGTCCACTCTTCTTTCCGAGCCACCCAGCGTCCACCATCTGCCTTAACCTCACACTCGGCCGGTATTTGCTGTCGCCGAGCTGGGTGTGCAGAACCTCCATGATGCTCAGACAAGTATCCAAGCCAATGAAGTCGGCGAGTTGCAGCGGGCCCATGGGTACATTCGTTCCGTTTTTCATGATGCTGTCGATACTGTCTCGGTCGCCGACGCCCGTCTCGAGACAGATGACTGCCTCGTTGATGTACGGCATGAGGATTCTGTTGGCTAGGAAGCCGGGAGAGTCGGCGGATTCGGAGGGGATCTTGCCCATGCGCTTGCAGAATTCCACGGCGGTGGCGAGGGTCTCTGGGGAAGTCTGAAGGCCGGTGATAATCTCCACGCCCTTTTGCACGGGCACGGGGTTCATGAAGTGTGTGCTGACCACTCTCGAGCTGGCCGAGAGGTCGGTGGGGTCGGAGGTGGTTGCGGCGGCGATGAGGGTGATTGAGATGGAGGAGGTGTTGGTTGCGAGAATGGCGTGAGGAGGGCAGATCTTGGCCAACTGGGCGAAGATGGAGCGCTTCAGCTCGACCTTTTCCGGCACCGCTTCAATGACCATGTCGACATCGCTCAGGTCTTCCATCTTGGTGGAGGGAGTCAAGCGTTGCCTGGCAGCGTCGGCATCCTGCTGGTTGATGCGCTCCTTCTCGACGTCTTTCTTGAGCAACTTGTCGGCGAAGGAGAGACCCTTGTCGAGGGCTTGTTGGGAGCTGTCGACCACCGTGACGGGAACGCCGGCCACTCGGGAAGCAACCAGAGCGATTCCCAGGCCCATCTGCCCTGCGCCTATCACGCCCAGCTTCTTGATCTCCGCCGCCTTCGCTTCAGCCATGATGGACGGGGTGGAGGAGAAGTGACGACAGCTCGGGCAGACGTAGCGGCTGGCGAGACGGAGGGAAGGGAGGGTTCGGGACCACATTCTGCGAGGAAGGCTGCCAATCAATGGGTGGAGAGAGCCAACGCAAATGCAAAAGTTGTTGCGATGTCGTCCTTTTATTTTTCCATCTGCTGTCTACAGCATTGAAAGCTCTCGGCTCGGATGACGGAGGACGTTAAGCCGAGCGATGCTCAATTGTTCGCCATCCGCGCACATGTCATCCCGGCTTTATCGCGACGCGGCGCGTCTTCCTCCACGCGACTTTATCACGCAGTCAACGTCGACGTGAACCGACCTTCACCCACAACGCCCTGTCGACACCCACCGGCAAGATGGACGTCTGGGAACAGTCGCAGACCGTCGACCCGGAGGTCAGGGCGTACATCTACTCTCTCGTCAATGCCGTTGGCGGGCAGAGCACTCTCGAAGACCGCTACTCCATCGGTGATGATGCTCTGGCGGTGCTCAACGATCTCCGCCGCTGGCTCCAATTGTACGATGAGAAAACAAATCGCTTCGACGTCAAGCGCTGCCTCGCCGAAGCGAATCTGGTCAAGGGCGATCTACTGGAGATCCTGGCGCTGTGGTCCGAGGAGCAGCAAGAAAACAAGCTCAAGGCAAAGCTGGCATTCGCTTGCCTGCAATTACTCGTCCCCTTGACTTGGCCGATCGAATTGAACGAGGAGAAGACCACCCGGAACCACCTGCGGCACGCCCCGTACCTTCGTCTCGCGCAGGTCGGCTACAAGAGAGCCATTCTGCAATATGAGGACGCCAAGATTCTACGCACCGCCATTCGCATCGGCCTCCCTTCGATGGCGCAGGAGAGACGTGAGAGGACTGCAAGAGACGAAGGAACCATCCGCTTCATACTATACTTCTTGAGAAACATAGCGATCATCACCCAACCCCAGGAGTTACCGAGCCAAGGCGACGAGAATGAGATCAGTCGATCTTCCACCATCGATGCCTTTCATGAGCAGGATGCGTTCAGCCTATTGCTCACCGTGGCTTCGGGAGCGGCGGACGATTTTGTCGAGCAAGATGTCGTCGTGCTCCAGACTCTTTTCAACCTGCTCAAAGGCGTAGATCCGAAGAAGCTATTCCTCGAGGAATCGCAGCTTGCGAAGCAGGAGACGTCGGAACTGCAAAATCTCATACAGAAGGAAAAGGCCATGCTCAGTAGTTACAAGAAACACGCCCCGACCCGCCACAACAGATTTGGAACGATGCTTTGGGTCAAGCGAGGCGACGACAAAGTCTCCACGGTTTCTGGCCAGGACACCATCACGAACGACTCCACGACACTCATTCACATGGATAAAAGCAAGAAATGGGATCGGCCGAGGCAGCGCGGCCGACGAGTCGATGACGATCTGAAAGAGCACGAGGGGATCGGAAGGACGGTGGACTTGACGGATAGGGCGAGACGCCATTTGCGAACATTCGTGGAAGATTTCCTGGACTCTGGATTCAACCCTATGTTCGTTAGCCTTCGCAAGGCCATTGAGCGAGAAGCCGAGCGTGTTGGGGAAACCATCAAGAGGCAGTACTTCTATCTCATTTCTTGGTTCCTCGCTGCCGAAGGCGCACGCAGAGATTGCTCAAAGGCTCGACGCACATCTGCGCAAGGCATGGCCGGTGACAACACCTATGCCTACATCGCCGCGGTGCTTGATCAAGAGACGTTTGTACTGATCAATCGAAACATGCAAACCGCCCTGGACGAGAAAGCCTGGAGAGATCTACAATCCATTCTTCGTTGCTTCACACAGATATTACTGACCGTCCAATCCATGGCGGACAGCGAGGATGAAGAAGATCAGGAAATCGCCGAGAACATCCAAAATCGCATCTTCTACGAGGAAAGCACGCAGGACCGTTTGGTCTCTATACTACGGGGTTACAAAAGTCAGGGTCTTGCTTACCTTGACGCCGTCACCGACTGCGTACACGTCTTCGTGCGCATGCTGGAGAAATATTCGAAGCAGAACGTCGACCTGCAAATCCGCTCCAAACGCCGAGCGAGACGAAAGAAGAAGAAGGCTCAGCAGGAGCAACAGCCCCAGACCGGTGGGGAAGGCGAAGAAAATGATAACGACAACGAGGACAACGAAGACGAAGTCGACGAAGAGGCCGATGCCATGTATACACTGACGGAGCGCAAGTTTGACTTTACCCGGTTCAGCGGAAAGTTTCTCTCTCAGCCTTGCATCGACACCTTCATCTCGTTCTTGCACTTTTATGCCGACCTGAGCGCGGACCAACTCAAGCGTTGTCATCGATATTTCTATCGCCTGGCATTCAAGAACGAGATGGCCGTCTTGCTCTTCCGAGTCGATGTACTTGCACTGCTGCACAAGATGATCAAAGGCCCTGGAGCGTTGAGTGCGGAAGCCGAGGGCTACAAAGAGTGGGAGACGTTGGTGCAACAGGTATTCAGAAGGTGTATCAAGTGGGTCGAAAGGAAGCAAGATGGCGGTGATGGATCGTGGAGAGAGATTGCAGTGGTGGAGATGCTGTTCTCCAAGGCTTCTGGAACGGTCTATTATCTGCAGAACGGATTCGATCGCGTTGTGGAGAAGCGAGCACCCCGACCGCCCGCCGAGCTCGAAGTCAAAGCTAGCGTGCAGCTGGAGGAGAGAGTTGGAGTCGTGGTATCGGTGATGTTGGAGCTGGGAAAGGGTGATGAGCTCCAGTGGGTGAAGCAGGAGCTCAAACGAGCAGTAGAGGAAAGGCAGGCTTGGGAGGATGCTCAAGAAGCTCAAGATCAAATGGCTCAGGATGCTGGAACAGATGACGCTGCTGCTGCCGCCGGATCGAAGCCGCTGGCACCTACGATTTTCATCAACCCGGACACGGAAGAGAGGAAAGACGCCCTGTTCAAGAACAAGTATTTGAGGTTGTTGCTCACCACGGCGGGACTGGAGAGATTGGGGGCGGCAGAAGACGTTGATGCCAGCTGGGTCGTTCCGTCTGAGCTTTCATCAAAGCAGCTGAAGGACGTGGTGGACCGCATCCAAAAGACGGAATTCGATCCACCTACTTTCGAAGAGGGCACGATGGCGAGGGACCTCATCCGCAACAAATCTGCCGGGCGACAGGGGGCCATCTTCGACGACTCGGAATCGGGCTCCGATCGCGAAATCGAAGACGCCCAATTTCCCCCGAACCTGCGCGAGAAACGTAAGCAGCATGGAGACGAAGAGGACGAGGGTTCCAAGAAGCGCCGCCGTCTTACTCGCCGCAACCAAGTCGAATTGACGGAGGAAGAGGCCCAGGCGAGAGCGAAAGAGAGAAGGCAGCGAGAGATTGAGAGGAACAACAAAATCAAGAGCCAGCTGTTTGTCACCGCAAGTGATGACGAGAGCGATGAGGAAGCCGACGCGCAGTTCTTCAGGCTGGAGGAAGAGAGGAGGCGGAATATGAAGGGAGTCATTAGGAACGCGTTGCTGAAGGAGGCTGCGGAAGGCCAGAAGGGTAAGAAGCGGCAGGGTGATAAGAAAGGAGACGGCAAGAAGGCGAAGAAACCAAGGCGTACGAGTGGAGCTTCGGACAACGAAATAGAGCTTGATGTCGAGCAGAGCGATTCCGATGTTGCGGCTCCCATCCAGCTGTCGTCCGATGATGAATCCGAGAGTGATTCCGAAGCAGATGAGGCGCGAGATGCGGCTTCTGACGATGATTCACAACGACGGGAGGATATGGTTGTGGACGAAGAGACGCCCTCGACTTCGCCGACTCCACTGGAGACCGACCTACCTCTCAATGAAGTGTCGGCGAATTTGACCGGAGCTTTACGAGACATGGTTGACAAGAGAGCAGACGTGGGAACGAACGATGACGACGAGGAGGATGAGGGGCCGGTGGTCAAATCGACGGCACGGAGAAGAGTTAGGGCGGGGTTCGTGATTGATAGTGATAGCGAGTAGATGGGATTGCAGACATCTTGCATGCATAGAGCAGACGTTGGATATTCGGCGACCATCCTCGCGATATTCTCTCGCCGCATTGTGCCTCCGCTTCACTCATCCGCGCTGGTCGCTTGGTTTCCCTTTGCTCAGACCTGTGAACCTCCTTCTGGTCGTGTATCCTACTTTGCCCAGCTGGATTCTAGAACAAATACCGACCTCGCGACACAACGCTCTCATGCATACCCTCGAAGTGGTTCTTCATCTCACGTGGTGGATGTCACACGCTCAGCCCAGTCCAAAAATACTCTGAACGACTTCCCCTCCTCGTGTCGCCAAAATGGAAAGTAAAGTGTCGGACAGACCATGCGTATTCTCGTTTGATCCTTGGAGCCAGATGCCAGCGTTGTCTCGCACGGAATCCTTCTTGAATTGCACGGCGTAGTTTCTGCACACCTTCCAGCTACCATCGGCGTCCTCCCTTTCGGGCATAAGGTGCTCCAAGCCTCTCATCAGCCCTGTATGAGCGTCCCTTGCGTACCCCGAGGCTACAACAACGAGATCGACGTCGAGCGCTTCGTCTTTCGGTGTCGTTTGCTCGTTCGTGAGCTGCTTTGTGTTGGACAAATGTAGTCTTAGTGCGTGTGAACCGGCTGCAGGCAAGGCTGTGATGCCGGTCGCGTTACGATGCGTCAAGATCTGTTGGGGCCAATCGGTCTCTCGCTCGTATTGCAAGCGATAAGAGTACTGCTCGGCATAGAGTTTCTCGAGAAGCTCGAGACGTACGACGCCGTAATTGGTGGCTTTGTCTGCCGCGAGGCTGTTCGCTCGGACGGCGGAATCCTGAGCGTATATGCTGTCGACTTTTTCGGGGTCAAATATTTCATTGACGCTGTTCAGATTGTCAGATTAAGGGGTTTGTTGATGAAGAGAATCGGAACTCACAAAGGCGAGTCATCACTCGGCCTTAGCGCCGAGTCCCGGACGATGAGGTACGATTTCGAAGATGGGAACCGAGAGTGGATGTTGTGGAAGACTTCCGCAGCACTCTGGCCGCCGCCAATGACTGCAATAGACTTTGGCGGCGAGTCCGGCGAGAACATGTTCGAAGCTTGGGTGGCGTATGTAGACGAGTGGATCACGCGCGGGGAATCAATGCTCAAGCACTTGGGAATGTTCGGCCGCCCACCAACTGCAATAACGACATGTCGTGCTCGGAGAAGGATGAATTCCTCGCGTCTGCGATTCCAGGATTCGACTTGGAAGCATTCAACCTTTGTGCCAGTGGAGAGCTTGGCTGGCTTGATTGAGGTCACGGTGGTATCATAGTCCACGACATCCTCGAAATGGCCGGCACACCACCGCATGTAGTCCTCATATTCCATACGCTCTGGCAGGAAGGTACCGAGATTGGTGAATGATACCAGCCTGCGCTTCTCATGGAGATAATTCATGAAGGTGAACTTGCTCCGAGGATTTCTCAACGTAGCCAGATCCTTGATGAAGCTGATCTGCATCTTTGCGCCGGGGAGCATCATCCCAGCATGCCAGGCAAAATGCGGCTGTCGTTCCAGAAAGCGAACCTTGGGCTTTGCCCTTCCAGGCTGAGTGGAGAGGGGCTCGAGAGCGTCCTGTAACGCGACGGCAATGGCCAAAGAAGCTGGACCGAATCCAACACATATCATATCGTGAGCCTCATCGTCGGGATATCTCGTCAGTGAAGATGGATCTGATGTCCTGATGTTGTCGTGGTTGTTGTTGGTGATGCTGCTTCCACTATAGACGTCATGATCCGTCGTTGCAAGCCTAGTATCGGCACGGTTAGGGGAAGTGCTCGTCGCATGAGGGGCCATTGCGATGCGTTAGATGGGAAACAACACGGAAAAGCGAGAGATGTACTGTGAACAGCAATAAAGATCAAGTCATTTGAGGTAGCGGCAGTTGTGCTCCGAGCTCGGAAGTATAGCTCCAAGCATCAAGCATGGCAGATCACTCATCTCGAACCAAAGATCGCTTGGCTGGATCTGCCGACTCCATATCGCGCAATACCGGGTACGACGCAAAAACACTCGTTGAGTTTGCGTCCAAGTTCCACAGTGACGTATGGACGGTTTCACGTGGTGGAGGATACAGGCTGGCCGCGTATGAGCGAGCCTTGGGCCGAGTTGCTCGTCTGGCCGGGGGCCAAGGCCGAAATGGAAGAGTCACGATCGACACGATCAAGTGTCGTTGACGTCGATCCTTCGTGCAGAAGTCGTTGATGTGTTTGATTTAGAGTTCTCTGCCGCAGGACCGCGCACTGGCCACTCGGAGAGCAAGCTCGAAAGTTGCCTCAGGTCATTATAATGACCTCACGAACAAAGATGGAGACTGATGAAGGACGGAATAGAACGGATAGGTAGGCTCCCTGCCGCGCCAGTCTATCCTTGCAAATGTCTCCTCGCCCTTGGCGACATCATGAAATCGCGCAATCCGTCTCTCGCCATCTCTCCACATGATGTACTCTGCCCCACTTTTCACTTCCGACCACGGCACGTTCCGATATCTGATCCGCCGAGCATCCCGATATCTGATCCGCTCTCCGATCGTCACTCGTGCTGGAAGGCTGTGGATCGCTCCTTCCTTCTTTCTCCGATCCAATCGTCGTCAATGCCACGCTTTCACATTGCACCCTCGTCCTGCATCAACTCCAACGTCGTCTGAGATGGAAACCTTCCTCGATCCAGCACCTCGACCGCCGTCATGTCTGAAGGCCTCTCCATCCTAAATCCCTGGCCCAAGAGGCTCCCTGGTCCGAGTCTACTACACCAACTTGTGCCATGGGAAGCCGAGGACGATCGAAATGCCATTGAATTCCTCTCATCCGACGGTCACGTGCATTCTCTGACATATCAACAACTGCACCGCCGTGCCAATGCTTTGGCGAGAACCCTTCAATCCCTGTCCCGGACGAGGGGGCCATCAACCCCGGCGCACTTCGTTGCCCCCATTTTCCTGCCGCAATCGCTGGATTTATATGTTGCAGAGTTGGCAGCTCTCAAGGCCGGGGCTGCCTTCTGCCCAATCTCCATCGATGTTCCCGAAGAGCGCCTTCGCTTCATCCTTCGAGACGTGAGCGCATCCGTTCTGTTGACGACGTCTGCCTTGAGACCACGCTTGCCTGACCTGGAAGACATCGAGGTGGTGCTAGTAGACGATGAAAATTGCCAAGACGTCGACAATGAGCCATCACTCACCATCGAACCATCTCGAGCCGCCTATGTACTCTATACCTCCGGATCGACAGGCCAGCCCAAAGGAGTCATCGTCTCTCATCAGGCCGTCACTCAAGCATTGCTTGCTCACGACCGCCACGTACCACCCTTCGCTCGCTTTCTGCAATTTGCCAGCCCGACTTTCGATGTGTCGGTCTTCGAGATCTTCTTTCCGCTCTTCCGACGCTGCACCATTGTCTCTGGCGATCGTCGAAGAATGCTGAACGACCTACCAGCATTCATGATTGCAATGGACATAGATGCAGCAGAGTTGACTCCATCAGTCACGAGCAGTCTGATCCGTAGTAGAGACCGCGTGCCATCTCTGAAGACGCTTCTCACCATCGGGGAGATGCTCAAGCGCGAAGTGATCGAAGAGTTTGGTGGAAATGCTGACCGCAAAGCCATCCTTAACGCCATGTATGGCCCAACTGGTTAGTAGATCTTTGGAAAGATTTTGTCCAGATGCTTCGAGATCGGTTGTAGCGATGTCGTTGCCCTCGCAAAATCGATCTCAACGCACTGGACCTGTTCTACCTCGCACCCTTGAATTGAGACAAAGCACTTGCTGAGCCCAAAGTTTTAGAGGCCGCGATACACTGCACATTGCAATGCCCCGTCGCCGAAAGCATGTCTGTCGGCAACATTGGCGTTCCTCTCGACACCGTCTCGGCGTTTATCCTCCGGCCGCTCGACTTCTCGTCTGCGGAACAAGGCGAGCCCGAGATTCTCCCTCTGGGTGAAGAGGGCGAGCTTGGCATTGGCGGCCACCAGCTCGCGGACGGGTACTTGAACCGTCGCGACCAAACCGATGCGGCCTTTGTCTGGCATTCGGAATTTGGCAGGCTGTATCGTACAGGTGATCGTGCTCGCCTCACACAGTCGGGGGTGTTGGAGTGTCGGGGTCGTATTTCCACAGGACAAGTCAAACTGAGAGGTCAGGTGAGTGATGGTTTACCTTTAGTTTCCGTCATATGAATGGCTGCTGACAATTGAAAGCGAGTCGAACTCGGTGAGGTGGAGTACGCAGCATCGCGGACTCCCGATCTTCTCAGTGTAGTGGCGGATGTTATCGACGGCAGTCTTGTCGTATTTTGCCTTTCCAACGGCACAGAAGTCACCAAGCATGCAGTGCAACAATCATGTCGTGCATGGCTACCAGCGTTCATGATCCCCAGCGATGTGGCGTTTGTGAGCGAGCTGCCTTATCTTGATTCGGGAAAAGTGAACAGAAAAGCTCTACAACAGATCTACGAGCATTCCTGCACATTACTACCTCAGAGAGCTCCGCCAAACGGAGTTTCATCCGGTCGCATAGACCAAATAATCGACTCGGTCAACGAGGTACTTCAAGTTGCTGTTGATGCTAACACTCCACTTGCATCGATCGGTCTCGACTCACTGTCCTCCATTCGTCTTGCCTCGCACTTGAGGAAGAAAGGGTTCGCGCAGGTTGACGCCATCGCCTTGCTCGAGTCGCAGACTGTGATTGACATCGAACGCGGTCTTATGGATGCTGAGACTGCAGCTTCAGCCGGCTTCCCACCTGGATTCAGCAACTCGGAGCCCTCGAAACTGCGGCACATGGTGTTGGGCTCGCCAGAAGTGCACAAGAGATCGCAACAAATCGAGGGTGTATACGCCCCTACACCTGTGCAGCTGGCAATGTTTCATGAGACCGCTCGGGACAGCCAGAGATACTGCAACTGGATCGAACTCAGCGTTCGCGGGCATTCCATCGACGAGGTCCAGCATGCTTGGAAGGAGCTTGAGAAGCATCATGCTCTTCTTCGAGCTGGCTTTCTACCGATAGACAACTCCAGCACCGGCTATGCGATCATAGTGTGGAAACCCAACCAAACGCTACAAACTCAACAACATCGTAATACGACCCGCGACTTTCACATCGAGACCGAAGAGGATATGTTGCGGCCTTGTATGGTCCAGTTCGTGGAAACTGACAACGAAGTCCGCATTCTCATACAGATCCATCACGCCTTCTACGATCAATGGTCGGTTGACATTCTCCGGAGGAATATTGCGGCTCTCCTAGATGGCCGTGATCCGTCTCCAGCACCCTCGTTTCAAACAGTGTCAGAATATGTTGGGCGAATGCAAGCCAACGCAGCCTCTCCATCATCTCTGCACTTTTTCAAGGACCTCTTACAGGACTTCGTCCACACCCCTTTGCCGATGATGAGCGGAGTGAAGGCGGCACCAGCGCTACAGCGGACACCATGGCGTGGCCTCGTGGACGATCTCGCAGGCGTAAGAAAGAAGGCACAAACACTCGGATACAGTGCGCACATCATCTTTCAAGCTGCCATGACCTTGCTGTTGGGCTACTATACGGGCAGCATCGATGTCACATACGGAGTTGTCTTCTCTGGACGTCATCTGCCCGTGAACGGGATCGAAGGCATTTTTGGACCATGTCTTGCCACACTGCCATTCCGTATCGACTGGACTACCACGCAGACTCGCTCGGACCTGCTTCGTTTGATCCAACAACGCAACCGTGAAATGCAAAAGCGATCACTCACGCCACTCTCCCTGATTCAGCAAGGACAAAACCGGGCATCAGAAGGCCGACTGTTTGATACTTTATTCGTATGGCAAGAGACCAGTTTTTCTTCCGAAGAGGCTAACCAGAATGTGGCGGAAGTCGACTCGGCCGATCACCACGAGTTCAATCTGGTGCTGGAATTCGAGCCTGCAAACGACACTATCCAAGCCCGGGCGACGTATCAGCAAGCGCTGATCACGCTGGATCAAGTCGAGGTTCTGCTTGCACAGGTTCGCCACACTGTGCATGAAATTCTGGATCAACCCCAGGGTCTGATCGGAGACCTGGCATCCTCCCTTCCGTACTCCTTACTTTCGATTTCCAACGCTCCTCCCTCCTCTTGCATTGAGGAATACGATCTCATCGGTGCGATCCGTGAACAAGCTGCCAGAGCGCCAACCTCACCGGCTCTTTTGTTCGCCAGAAGCATCGGCGAGAATGAAGCTGACGCCGACGCCCTGACTTACGATGAGTTGGATTGTCGATCAAATCAACTGGCGAGATTCCTGCAATTGTGCGGTGTGCTGTCTGATGATCTTGTATGCATCTGCATGGACAAGTCTATCGACATGTACGTTGCAATCATCGCCACTCTAAAAGCTGGCGCAGGATATGTCCCTCTTGTTCCTAGCACCCCAGCAGCAAGAATATCGTCAATACTGAACCAGGCCAATGTGAAATTTTGCCTGTGCGACGGAGACACCATGAAGATCTTTGAAGATAACGAGACCCCTTCGTGCATCAAACTTCCCGACTTGGATCTGTCCACGGTCGGCAGTGGCCCGGTCGTTAGTTCAGCTACTGGGTCTGCTCTCGCGTACGTCGTGTTCACAAGCGGTTCAACTGGAACGCCCAAGGGTGTAGCTGTCACCCGGGACAATCTTCTCAGCAACCTTCGAGCGCTCCAAGAGCTTTATAACGCAAAGCCAGGCGATCGTCTTCTGCAAGCCTGCTCGCAAGCATTCGATGTGAGTGTATTTGAGATATTCTTTGCATTCTTTACCGGGATGTGTTTGTGCTCCGCCAGGCACGACGTCCTTTTCTACGACTTTGAAGCTTCCATACGGGGTTTACAGATATCTCACCTGTCGCTCACGCCTACGGTCGCTGCTCTGGTCGACCCAGCAAATGTGCCCAGTGTTCGCTTCCTTGTCACCGCTGGAGAAGGCGTCACTGACTTGGTGCATCGCCGCTGGGCCGGCAAAGGCCTGCATCAAGGCTACGGCCCGTCAGGTAAGTGTCACCATCAATTCGTCTCCGTTTGAGCCTCGTCACTCATCGGCCCCCCAGAAACCACGAACATCTGCACTGTAAACATGCACACCTCGCAGAGAGATGCGATCAACAACGTCGGTCGACCTCTTCGGAACACATCCGCTTTCGTCGTTGCAATCGACGCTCCGTTTGAGATTCTTCCAGCCGGCGCCTTTGGCGAATTTGCCTTCGGAGGGGAGCAGGTTTTCCGTGGATATGTCGGGCTGGATGCACTCAACTCAAAGCAAATTATCCATCACCCAACATATGGCCGCATCTATCGAAGTGGCGACATTGGAAGACTGTTGCACGATGGCACACTCCTTATCAGCGGCCGACTGGACGATCAAGTCAAACTGAGAGGCAATCGAATCGAGCTCGGAGAGATCAGTGCCGTTCTTCTCGAGCATCAAGACGTGCACGACTGTGCGGTCACACTGATTGAGAATGAAACCAACGTGCAGAGTCTGGCTGCATTCATTGTGCCTAAGCAGGCTCATGCGAAAGCCCTAGACGAGACAGAGCTTGTAGCGCCGACTGCTTTTCAGATCCCTGAGCTGTTCGATCATCTCTCGGATGCTCTACCGCAATACATGGTCCCCGATATCATCTTGCCTCTAACTGCCCTCCCACGGACATCACAGGGCAAGCTCAACAGACGTTATCTGCGATCATTCTTGGACGGCCTTGATCAACAAACCAAAGCTGCCTTCAGTCGAGGCAGCACGGAGCCTGAAGATTCTGCGGACTGGACTGAAACCGAGCTGAACATAGCAGAGGTATTGCGGGAATGTTTAGAGATATCTGATGCGAACATCGGACGGAAGCAGTCGCTCGTATCCTTGGGACTGAACTCGCTGAGTGCCATGGGCTTCGCGAAACGATTGTCTGCCCGGCTGGGAACTCGTGTGGATGTATCTGCAGTGCTTCGAAATCCGTCGATCGACCGGTTGGCACGAGCACTGAACACTCAGACAGTGGCCGTGCCTGATGACAACTCTACGCAATTGGTAGGTTTGTTACCGGCTGGACTAGTTGACGAGGTCCGACAGACATGCGCGGTGTCCGAGTCAGATCTCGACTGCATCCTACCATGCACGCCACTCCAGGAAGCCATGCTGTCGGCTGAGACTTCTGATGCCCCCCTCACATATTCTAACAGTCTCAGACTGGGAGTCACGGGCGACTTGGGGAATCTGAAGCGTTGCTGGAGCAAGATGATGTCCAGACATGCAATTCTGCGCACAAGCTTCTTCGCCACAACCGACCCGGCTTATCCTTTCGTACAGATTGTGCGGAAACATCTCGATCTACCTTGGGAAGATTTCAGCCATCCCAATGTCGTCCACAATGGAAATGTGACTGGAAAGGAGAGACCGAACATCGCCTGCGGCGCTATGAGTTCGAGCAAGCCCTTCCATATCAGTGCCGAAACATCTTCGCATGGTATTGCGCTCACGCTTCGCATGCACCACGCAATATACGATGGCCTGTCGATGTCCTTTCTGCTGCAAGAGATCGAAAATGCGTACCACGGGCGACTACTGCCACCGCAACCTTCGGCCATTCCATTTCTTCGGGAAGTCCAAGCCCAAAGAGGGGATGATGCATTGTCGTTCTGGCGAGGGCAGGTGAACGACTTTCAGCCTGCACCATTTCCACTGTTGGAGCCTTCAGCTCCCCTCGACGAACTGCAGCTCAAGCATACGACCACAATCTCACAGTCCGACGTCGAATCGTACTGCAAGCGGTACAACGTTAGTACGCAGGCTGTGTTTCAAACCGCAATCTCAAAAGTCTTACGGAATTTTCAAAACACCCAAGACGTGTGCTTCGGTAACGTGGTTAGTGGAAGGACACTCTCGGTCGATGGTATCGAGGAATTGGTCATGCCGTGTTTCAACACCGTTCCTGTCCGGGTACAAATCAGCACTGGAGCAACAAATCTGGATCTCGTCCAGAAGCTCAACAGCCACAACATTGATATGCTTGACTACCAACTGGCACCCTTGCGGCGTATTCAGGCCATGTCTCGGTTACCCTCGAAGCGGCTGTTCGACTGCTTGCTCATACTCCAGCCCCCTTCATTCAAGTTGGACAACAGTATCTGGAATGTCGAAGCTGATACCGGAGCCATGGATTTGCCGCTGGTCTTCGAAGTGTGTCCAAAAGTCGGTCGCTACCAAGTGGTTCTTCATTTCTCACAGCAGTACTTCTCACAACAACTTGCACACAGCATTGTGCAGACCTTTGATGCATCTCTTGTATCATGCACAGGCTATCCGCACGGCCTTGTGAAAGACATCGCCGAGTTCGATTGTGCTGCTGTAGAGGGTATTTTGAACCGCGATGATACTCCCTCAACCGCAAAGCAGATGCTCAACGGAGCAGATGACCATGAATGGACCGAGACGGAAGCTGCTATCCGACATGCCTTTGCCCAGCTTTCACGTACTTCCCCCGACAGCATACACAAGGATACCGCGATGTATCAGCTCGGGCTCGATAGCTTGAATGCGCCGCAGGTCGCACATCGCTTGCGCTCCCAAGGTTTCGAAGTTGATGCGGCCGACGTGATGGAATCGCCGACACCAAGCTCTCTTGCCATTCTGATCAAGGACCGTGGACAACGTCAGAAGAGCGTGGGTATCGATCTGCTTGCCTTCGATCAGCAGTGGAGGCAGACCATCATACAATGCGCGGAGACCGTCAACGATGAAGTCGAAGCGATCCTCCCGTGCACATCTCTCCAGGGCGGGATGTTGGCACAGTCCGTCCACGCCAATGGGAAACTCTACATCAACCACGTCACCTATGAAGTGCCACAGTCTTCCTCGCTCGCGGACGTTCAAACGGCCTGGGACATTGTTCGCAAACGGCATCAAATCCTGCGCATGGGCTTTGTGCAGCTTCAAAACGTCCAACATCCGTTCGCTATGCTTATTCGCCATTCCGAAGCCCTTTCTATGCCGTGGTGTGAAGCTCCAGAAGGAGACACGATCGACGATATCGAACGACAATCCAATGTGGAGATCATGAAGAGCCTTCGTACTCAACCGTGGCGTATCACTGTTCACGGGGAAGAAGGCAACAACCGAATGACATTGTCAATTCACCACGCCTTGTACGACGCCGACGGTCTGGAGCTGATTCTGTCGGAGTTAGCCATGGCGATTACCCATACGAGCATGCGGCCATCGAGCAACATTGACTCGATGGTAGGAGCAGTCCTCGCTGCAGAGATTGACCGGGACGATCATGCTGCCAAGTTCTGGAGAGACAAACTCCATGCCCCTAGTTTCTACAAATTCCCCGATCTCACTCCTGAGGTGGTGGAGACGGGAGAGATGCGTTCCGTGGATCTGGCCTGTCAAACGTCGACACTCGCAATACAGCAGTTTTGCAAACATCGCAGCGCAACTATTCAGGCCGTTGGTCAGACGGTATGGGCGCAACTGCTGTCAGCATACACAGGGGACGACAGTGTTACTTTCGGCACGGTGTTCTCAGGGGCTCCTGGTAATGGTCACGGGATGCGGTCTTTCCCATCCATCACTACCGTTCCGGTACCCTGCATGATTACCGATCGACCTTTTGACGTCCTGCAAACCATGGTCGAGTTCAACGCCTCAGCTTGGAGGCACCGGTTCTTCCCGTTATCAGAGATACAACGCGTAGCTGATCGAACAAATCGGGAGCTCTTCGATACTGTATTCGCGTATCAGAAGTCAAAATCCGCACTCAACGCTTCGACTTGGACCATCATTCGAGAGACTGCCTCTGCGGAATACTGTGCATCACTCGAACTGGAGGCACCGGAGCACGGCCAGATTATGTTACGTCTCACCTTCGACACGAAGCGCATTCCGTCTGACCATGCTCAAATCATACTCCGCCAATACGATCGCCTGTTGTCTACGCTATTGCAAATCGAGCCGCCAAATGCAACATCCCTCGACTCTATTTGGTCACAGATTCCTCCGAATCAGCGTTCACTGCCGTCCAACACCACTCTTCTGCACGAGAAGTTGGAACACAGCGTGTCCATGCACGGAGGCCGCCCTGCTCTGGAGTTCATCTACGGAACTCGAGTCGGGCACACCTTTTCCAAGGTCTGGTCTTATGCACAATTCGATGAAGCCGCGAACCAGGTAGCGCATTTGATCGAACAATCTGGAGTGCCTAAGGGCGCAATCGTGGCCGTCTGCATGGAAAAGTGTCCCGAAGCCTCGTTTGCATTTGCTGGTATCTCGAAAGCCGGATGCGCCTTTCTTGCTGTAGACCCAGGTCTACCAGAGTCCCGATTGCAGTTCATTCTTGAGGACTCGAACAGTCAAATCCTCTTCGGGGACATGATCGAATCGCCGACAAGTTTACCTGCTGGTGTCAAATACGTCAAGCTTGACGAGAAAGCCCTTACGGGCATGTCGAAAACACCTGTCATCGATCGCTCCGTCTCTCCAGACTCCATTTGCTACGTTTTATACACTTCAGGGACTACCGGAACCCCGAAGGGCTGCGAAATTACACACGAGAATGCAGTGCAAGCCATGCTTGCCTTCGAGATACTGTTTACCGGTCGCTGGAACGATTCGTCGCGCTGGCTTCAATTCGCCAGCTACTGGTTCGATGTATCCGTTCTAGAGCAGTTCTGGAGTTGGGGCGTGGGTATTACGGTTGTCGGTGCTTCGAGAGATCTTGTCTTGACCGACATTCCAGGCTTCATTCGTGACTGCGGCATTACACACATCGATCTGACGCCTTCTTTGGCGCGACTTGTGCATCCAGACGATGTCCCAAGCCTATGGAATGGAGTTTTCATTACCGGCGGTGAGGCGCTGAAACAGGATATTATCGACCATTGGGGCCCAAAACACACTGTAGCCAACGGCTACGGCCCAAGTGAGGCCACCATTGGAGTCACGATGAATCCTTTCATTGGCCCAAATGCAAAGCCATCGAATATTGGTCGACAGTTTGAGAACGTGGGCACTTTTGTGCTTCGGCCCGGCTCGGAGGACGTGGTGATGCGCGGCTGCGTTGGAGAGCTTTGTGTATCGGGGAAGCTGGTCGGTAAAGGATACCTCAATCGCCCTGACCTCACTGCGAAAAGCTTTCCGATGCTCGCTCAATCGAATGAGCGCATCTATCGAACCGGCGATCTAGTCAGGATGTTGGCCGATGGATCATTCGCGTTCATTGGAAGGCAAGATACACAGGCAAAGCTACGTGGACAACGACTGGAGATTGCCGAGATCGACAATGTTATTCAACAGAGCTCAGAAGATATCACAAACGTCGTCTCGCTTGTGATGAAGAATGAGGGCGGTGCGGAGATGCTGCTGTCTTTTCTGGTCACGGACTCGGAACAAACCTCAAATGAGCTTCTCCTCGAGACCTCATCAGCGAGACTCCAGCTCGTCCAAACGGCAAAGCACGCATGTTCCAGGTTCTTACCCGGATACATGGTTCCAACTCATATCATCCCAATCCCGTTTTTGCCTCTGACCGTGAACAACAAAGTGGATTCGAAGAGAATTGAAGCGTTTTTCAAAACACTTTCGAGGAGAGACCTTCAACAATTGCAAACAACACGCTCTCTCAATCGTCCGCTCAGCGATGGTGAGGCGGCGATTTGCGCATGCTTGCAAGAGCTGCTTTCAATGGGGGATGGCCAGGTCAGTGCTACTGACAATCTGTTCTCACTCGGGCTTTCTTCCATTTCAGCAATATCGCTGGCGACTGCTCTGAAGCGAGCTGGGTTCGAAAGTGCAAGCCCTGCCGTGGTCATGCGAAATCCCACAGTCGAATCACTCAGTCAAGCTCTGTCTTCAAGCCCGCCAGACTCGAGCAACGAAGCGGCTGCGAAACAAGCAGCACTCTCGATTGCTGCCTTCGGCCGGCGGTACGCTCACGTTGCAGCACGGGAATTGTCTGTGGCCTCGGACGCCTTCGAGGTAGTGCTGCCTTGCACTCCGCTTCAGCAGGGCCTGATAGTTGAGTCGCTCAAAGATGAAGCCAGGCCATACTTCAATACTTTTCTCTATGAACTCGGCGACGTCAATATTGCGACTCTCAAGAACGCGTGGCGGAAGCTCTCGGTCAGCACACAGATCCTGCGTGCCCGCTTCGTCGACACAGACGAAGGTTACGTCCAAGCCATCCTTTGCCGCGCTGACCCAGAAGTCTTCGAATGGCAATCACTCCCAGTCAAGCTCACGACATTTGTGGATGAACAGAAACAACAATGGATTGCCCAGAACAAGTCGGAGATCGTCAAGCCCTTTCAAGTTCATCTCGTGAATGCTGGCGGACAACAAGCTATGGCTGTCTTCATTCATCATGCCCTTTACGATGGCATATCTTTCGACCTGTTGGTAGAGGAGCTTGGCAGAATCTACCATCAAGGAGAATCTGACAGCTCTGCACCGACATTCTCCACAGCGTTGCATTACGGTCCTTTGCAAAGCATCCCGGATGCGGAGACTTTCTGGCGACAAAGACTGCTCGAGTCAAAGCAGATCTCGTTGCATCCAAACTCCAGCGACAAACCCCAGTCTTCTGTGGTTGCGAGCTTCGCTCTCGACTACACGTCGCAAGCCGAGTCGGTGAGAAAGCGCCTTGGTGTATCTCATCAGGCTTTGCTGCAAAGTTGTTTCGAGATCGCTCTCAGTCAGCTGGCTCCCTCTGTCCAGATCTATGGCACTGTCGTGTCTGGTAGATCAATTGGCCTTGATGGAGCTGATCGCGTCCGAGGGCCGATGTTCAACACTCTCCCGCAAAGCGTGAGTGTGCAGATGGCACTCACAATCGAAGACCACATCCGCCATTGCCACAGGGCGAATGTGAACACGATGCCATTCCAGCATACTCCTCTTCGAGACATTCGCAAGTGGTGCGGCATGCATTCTGCTGATCGGCTATTCGATGCACTGTTCATCTTCCAGCACAGACAAACCTCTCTGAACAACGACTTGTTCCGAGCAGTACAGACTGCCCCACGAGCTGATTACCCTCTGACGTGTGAGATCGAGCTCACTGATGAGAGCAGCCTCAACGTGACATTGCTTGCACAATCGCAGTTCTTCGAGATCGACGATTTGCACGCTTTCGAGCAGCACTTGAGGAAGGCATATACGTGCCTCTGCAGCGAAACCGACGAGTCATTACGAGACACGTTCGAACTTGTCGAGAGGAATGCGTCTGATCTGCTACAGAACACCGATGACACATTCACAGAACATCTGAACGGAGTGCATGGATTCAAATGGAACGACGCAGCTTGTCATGTTCGATCGGTACTCGCAGATCTCAGTGGCGCGTCAGTCAATGACATCGATGAACATTCTTCCATCTTCGCACTTGGACTAGACAGCATCGATGCTGTCAAACTCAGCTCACGACTGAGGCATGCCGGCCTGCATATATCCTTCAGCAAATTGTTACAAGCACAGACGATCCCGAGAATACTGCAACTCTCCGAAGATCAAGTCACTGCCCCTGAGGCGAACGGCGAAATGAGCAGAATGCAGTCTCTTTTGCAAGAACTCCGCAGCTCCAGCCTGGTCCCTTCCGCGTCATCCCAAGATGTGGAAGCGATATGGCCAACTACTCCAAATCAAGAAGCTTTGCTTGCCGATATGGTTCGAACAGACTTCACAGAGTACTTCAGCCACGACATCCTGCAACTACACCCGAACACGGATACGGACAGATTGAAGCATGCATGGACATCAGTGGTCAGCGCTTCGCCGATCTTGCGGACATCCTTTTTCGAAGTGTCGGCTTCGAATATCGACATTGTCTTTGCGCAGGTCGTTCACCGAAACTGGGCTCCGCGATTCGGTGATCATACTCTGGACAACCTGGAAGAAGTCCATCAAATCTTCGACGCAGTCAGACGTGATGTCCTCCTCAATTTTCAAAGCACACCTTCTCTACGGATCAACTTTGTTACCATTCAGCCACACCGGTACATGGTGGTGTCATTAGCGCATGCTCAATACGACGGCCATAGTCTCGCTCTCCTGCACGAGGATGTACACCAAGCATACGCCGGGCATCTCCAGCCTCGTCCATCGTACGACGCTTTCATCGCAGATTCACTGGATGCTGTCACTCCCGCAGCAATGCGCTATTGGAGCGCGATGCTCGAGGGGTCACGACCATGTCGTCTACCTGGCACTGAATCGATTGAATCATCGTTTAAGACCTACCGGTCGGAGAGGCAGTGCAAAGTCCCCGCTCGCGAAGCTCGCAGCTTCTGTCAGTCACAGAACATCTCATTGCAAGCGCTCACGGAGACAGCTTGGGCATTAACGCTCGCACATTACACACATTGTCTTGATGTGGTATTTGGCGTCGTATTGGCATGTAGAGACAGCGAAGAAGCGGCAAGTGTAGCATTCCCGATGATGAACACCGTAACAATGCGATCGTCACTGCACGGCTCTCGGCTGCAAATGCTGAGATACACGCAAAGCGTAATCACGGAGCGAACGCAATACCAGCGAACACCGCTACGAAACATCCTTGCTTCCGCGCGAAGGAATGAGGAAGATGGCGATTTGGATTCGGCTGGTGTGCTGTTCGACACGCTCTTCATCTACCAAAGCAAGCCCACGTCTGCTGAACGAGAGCCTTCTCTTTACACATCTATCAGCGGCAAATCGGATGTGGAATACCGTCTCGCAGTTGAGGTAGAAGTCGTTGACAAGCAGCTCGTCCTGCGGGCAGCCGGCAAGAGCAATGTGTTCGACGATGCTGGCACGGCCAGGCTACTCCAAGCGCTGGACGACATATTGCAGTCTCTCACATCATCTCCACATGAATCGACAGTACAATTCTCGCAGGGCTCAGTGTCTGTCTGTGGACTTGAGCCCTTTGTCAACCTTAGCGACAAGCAAACACGAGCCCCTGGGCGCCATCATGAACCACTCGATACTCCAGCACTTGATGCCGCTACGTCTGAGCTTGCACTCAAGATTGTGCAGGTGCTGGCAGATGTCTCTAAGATTGAGGCGACCGAGATCTCTCAAGACAGTGCTATCGAGAGTATCGGGATTGACTCCATCTCTGCAATCAAAGTCGCATCGCTCCTCCGCAAAGAATCGATCGATTTGAGTGTCAGCCAAATCATGCGAGCGAAGTCCGCCTCGAGAATGGCACTTTTGATGCAGACGAAGGAGGAAAGGGGACCGTCAAGCTCAGATATGTCGTCGACCGAGATCATCTCCGAAGCGGTCTCGCCTTGCCAACCACACGACATCGCTGCGAGGTTGGGCACAACAGTTGAGAACATCGAGAGCCTACTACCAGCCACAGCAGGCCAGATTTACATGCTGAGTATCTGGCAAAAGACAGGCGGTCAATTGTTCCATCCAACGTTTGACTATCAACTACATACAAAGCTGGGACTCGACCGAGTGAAGCAGGCCTGGGCGATCCTTGTTGATCGTCAGCCTATCCTGCGCACAGCTTTTTGTTCGACGGGTACAATCGACATGCCAATTCTACAGGTCGTGCTTCATGACACTCCAGACGCTTTTTTCGTCGAGGACGATCATATCAGCCATGTCCACCAGCCGTTCGTGGTGTTACAAGCGATCCCAAACAGCAAAGGGTTCCTCCTCCGACTTCGTATCCATCACGCACTGTACGACGCGGTGTCATTGCCGATACTCATGGAGGAGTTCGAATGCCTGCTTGTAAGATCATCACCACCCCGAGCTCTCCTCACATTCGGGGACTTTGTAGCCTTGTCAGTGACACCAAAGACACGACAACTGCAACGTGACTTTTGGACGCGGTATCTCCAGTCTGCAAGAGTGGTAGAATTACCTCAACCCTCCGTGGTCGGGCCACAGACGAGAGTGGAAGTTTTCCACCCAGCGCTGTTCACAGATGTTCCGAGCTTGGAGCATCGGGTTCGGCAAGAGGGGTTGTCTACCCAGGCCGTTCTGTTCGCAGCCTATGCCAAGGTGTACTTGCAGTTTGCGGACATCAAGAATGGCGGAGAGGGACAGGGAGATGGTGATGTCGTCCTCGGCATCTATCTCTCCAATCGCTCGCATCTCACGAATCTCGATGCATTGCCGGCACCGACATTGAATCTTGTGCCATTGCTTGTGCGGAGCGCGCGGGACAAGAGCGCTCTCGAGCTGGCAAAGCAAGTCCAACGGGATCTGGAGGAGATTACTACGGTGGAGAATTCGACTGCCGGGCTTGGGAGGGTGTACGAGTGGAGTGGCATCAGGCCCGATACCTTTGTGAACTTCTTGAAGCTGCCCGAGCATGTTCGCAGAGCGGACGATCGTGTGGAGGAGGACATCGAAAAGCAGACAGTACTGCGGGCACTCGATGATAGACGGCTCAAGGAGCGTCGTGAGGTGGTTGCCGCGCCGTCGGGCAGGTTTGAGCTGCCTCCTGCGCTGGAAGACTTTGCGGCCGAGCCCGCGTACCAGGTGAGTGGAGCAGATGCGAGCAAGGCGGAGCAAGGGGCTAATGATGCGCAGCATTCGATCGATGTTGAGATGACAATTACAGACGCTGGGCTTGACGTCGGCCTCTTTTGTCCTGAGGAGATGCTCGGCCTTGACCAGGCAGAGGAAGCAATTGGGGAACTGAAGCGTGTACTAGAGCAAGTGTGTTAAGCATAGAGATAGATCACACGGCGCGTGCGGATATTCGGTGAGAGAGGCCTTGGGAGTGTAGCGATATATATCATAGATTGATACAAGAAGAGAAGCATACCACTTCACGACCCCGCTCATCACCGCGTCCATTGATGATTCCAGCCATTCCTCGGGGGCGTGTCTGTCTGAATGCGCGCATACTCAATCGGCGGGCCATTCCACATGCCTCTCTTCAACATGGCGATGCGATACAGCCGGCCCGTCTCTTTGCCCTCACTCGGCGGCTCGCCCATTGCTGTGCGGTCCTCGGCGGTCAAGCCGTAGTTGTCGATGTTGCGCAGCGCCTCGCAGGCGTTGTACATGCTGAAGTATTGCTTCTGCAGCTCCTCATCCCTCTTGTGCCGTAGGTTGTGCTGGTAGAGCTGCCACGCGCGATGAATGGTCCAGTGACGGAGGTGGCGATTTCTGTTGGAGATCATTTGCGTGAGCGAGGCGCGGGCTTGAAGGGGAATATGGGTAGACATACCGGGACCAGCGCAATGGGCGCGGGGTCATTGGGTGGAAGAGGTGGTATCGGATGTTGGCTGCACAGCTATCAGCATCTGGGGAATTGAGCTTGCTTTCTCTTCGGATACTCACTTATTCGCATGTCCGTCCTCTTGCCTTTCTTCCTTTTGCAGCGCGGCGCAGTAGAGGAGAAGTCTGCGGTGTGCTGCTGCGGCTGGTGTGTTTGGAGGAGCCCGGAGAAGATGGAGGGCCGGATAGGCGCCTTCCATAGGGGGGAGAAGGCGCGCAGGAGCGCCATTGATGGGGGCTGCATGCTGTCTGGCGTGAGGCCTGGAATGCTCGAGGTAGGTGGTGTAGACACACGAGACTAGGGCCGACGTTAAAAGTTCATGGAGAGAGGTGAAGAGGACAAAAGTCGTGGGACGCGGAGACGGAGTGCTTTCCATTGCTCCTCGGGTTATAACACGCACTACAGGGACACTGCAATAACATCTTTGGAACAAGAGCATCGATGTTGTTGCATGGCGGACAGAATCGCCATGCTGGGTGTACGTACGCATGTTGATCGAGTCCCAGCGCACAACGACCGGCAGGTTTGAGGCCGGCATTGGCTCAATGCAGGCCTCCCTTCGGTGTTGTATCGAATAGGGATACAAGCTGTTCAACACGGTGGGCTGCATCGACATCAGCTGATCACTTTGAAATACTCCATCCATCGAAAAGATGGATGTAAAGAGGGATGTGGTAGGCTGTCAGCCGCACGGTTGTTCCTTCCCTGTTCCTGTCACCTTGACACGCTCCTTCCTTCCTTCCACGCCAGCCGGTGACGCCTCGTGCGCGCTAAGGCACGAAATCCAAAGCTTAATCGACGCCCCACGGTTGCGCTGGCGTGGGGTAGGCGGGCGGCTCTGCATGCCCTTAAACTTCTCCAAAAGCCTTTGAACTTTTTCTCCCTCCCCTTCCAACTCCCCTCCACTGCACTCCACCACACCACACACCACCGCAGCTGCCGGGCGAAGCTGACATCCCTCTCCACAGTCTCTCCCACAGGACCGAAGCCGCAATACCGTCTTGGTCTGGCTCGACGGTGCTGTGTCGACATTAGCTTTCGCTGCTGCATCATACCTTCAAAGCATCATCTCTCCTCTCTCGAACCACACCTCCCAACCCCCGAGCGCGGCAGCAATGGCGGCCGCGAACAGCGCCGATGCTCGTCCCTCGGAGAGCGAGACTGAAAAGGCCATCGTCGAGGCTGCCAAACATTACCCTCGTGCGAACGTCGCCGAGGACTTCCAGTACGGCACCGCCGGCTTCCGCATGAAGGATGACCTCCTCGACTACATCGTCTTCATCGTCGGCATCGTCGCCACTCTGCGCTCGCGTAAGGTGCAAGGGCAGACGATTGGCATCATGATTACCGCCTCGCACAACAAATACCAAGACAACGGGGTCAAGGTGGTCGATACCCAGGGTGAAATGCTGGAACAGTCGTTCGAACATGTCGCGACCCAGCTCGCCAACGTCCACACCCCGCAAGACCTGGGCACGACGTATGCGAGTGTGTTGAAGAAGCTCAACATCCCCGCGACCACCAAGAAAGCACACGTCATCTTTGCCCGCGACACACGCCCCAGTGGCCTGCGGCTCGTCAAGGCTCTGAAAGCTGGCCTGGAGGCGGCTGGCGCCGAGTACATCGATTATGGCGTTCTTACCACCCCGCAGCTTCACTATCTCGTCAAAGCCACCAACACCGAGTCCGGGAGGAATCCATTCGGCGAGGTATCGGAGGAGGGCTACTACAAGAAATTGGCCAAGAACTTTGTGGCGGCAATGGAAGACGCCAAACCCATCGGCTCCGTCACCGTGGATTGCGCCAATGGCGTGGGAGCGCCCAAGCTCAAGCAACTCCTCAAGCACCTTCCCCCTCCCGAGAAATCCGGCCTTCGAATCCGCATTGTCAACGACCAGATTGAGAAGCCGGAAGCGCTCAATGAGGGCTGTGGGGCGGACTTTGTCAAGACTCAGCAAACCACTCCAGCTGGCTTCAATGGCAAAGCTTACGACCGCTGGGCCTCGTTCGACGGAGATGCCGACCGCATCATCTACTACTTCAACGAGGAAGGACCGGTTTTCCGCATGCTCGACGGCGATCGCATCGCCACCCTCACCGCCAGCTTCATCGGAGAACTCTTGCAAAAGGCCGGCCTCGCGGAAAAGGTGAAGGTGTCCGTCATCCAGACCGCCTACGCCAATGGAGCGAGCACGAGGTACATTGAGCAGGGTCTCAAGCTCAAAAGCGAATTCACCGACACCGGCGTGAAGCATCTCCACCATGCTGCCCTGCGTGCCGATATTGGAGTGTACTTTGAAGCCAACGGCCACGGCACCGTCCTCTTCTCCCCCCACGCCACCAAGAAAATCTTCCTCTCCGAGCCGCAGTCGCCCGCCCAACTCGAAGCACTCAACATCCTCCGCGCCCTGACCGATCTCATCAACCAGGCTGTCGGCGATGCTCTGTCCGATCTGCTCCTCACCGAAGTCATCCTTGCCCACAAAGGTTTCACCGTGAAGGAGTGGTTGGCTACATACACCGACATGCCCAGCCGTCTCGGCAAGGTCAACGTGCTGGATCGCCGCAGCTACACTACCGTTCCGGGCTCGGCGGAACGCAAACTGGCCTCGCCGCAATACATGCAGGAGAAGATTGACGAGATCGTGGCCAAGTACAAGGACGGGCGGAGCTTCGTTCGTGCTTCTGGCACCGAGGATGCTGTACGGATTTACGGAGAGGCAGCCGAGTCGTTTGACGTGGACAATATGGTGGAGAAGGTCATGGAGACTATCATGCGAGTGGATCGCCGCACGACTTTTTGACAAATCACAAGCTAACTCAGACTACCACAGGGCCTACAGCGCTCAAGGTGTTGCCCAGCGCTAGTTCACATCGACCTGCGCTATACTCGCGGCTGGTTTTCGCATAGCGGCCAGGGGTGATTGGCATGACGTTACGACATGAGCGGGTTCTCACTGGGGCATTGCATAGCGCGCGGGGAGAATACAAAAAAGTTTCTGGTTGAGACGGGCACTTGCCTGTTTCAACGCCTTTCGGTAGTCGTGTGCCCCAAGACAGCTAAGTAGCCTGTGTGGCAGAAACACTGCTTGAAGCTCATCAATCCTTGGTATCCACTCTCATCTCATTACAATCTATCTCGTCTAGGCCTATTCAACCGGGGGTATAATAAAGGACCACGGACAGCCGGGCGTGTAGAGCTCATTTGGCTTCAGCATTCTCCGCCACAGCTTTAGTAGACGCCTCCGTGGCACGAGCCTCCTTCACCGCATCATCGTACGTGGGCGTCAATGCCTTCTCCTTCAGCCCCTGCCCCGTTCCGCCATACTCCTTCGGCACATCGCCCCCGACGTAGCTCGCCAGCTGATTGCCATACGTCAACCACGTCATCTTCTGAATGCTGTCCTTGGACAACAGCATCTTCATGGCGCCCATCATCCACTGCATGACGAGCGGCACGTTGACAAAGTACTTGTACGACACCGTCTCCGGGTAGTATTTGGAGAAGAGGTCGATGATCTTCGCCGAGCTGGCCTTGATCTCCCCCGGCTGCCGGAAGAAGGAGACGGACAGGTAGTCGTGGATTTGGATGGCTTGGTAGGGGTCCGCGCCCTGCCCGTAGTCCGGGATGGGCTGGGTGGCGCTCGCGAGGTGCAGCTGGGAGAGCGTGAGTTCCATGAGCGCCACGCGCCAGCGGACAAAGGCGTCGGTGTCGCCGAAGGTCTTTTTGGGGTCTTGCGTCGCGGCGCCGTAGATGTTGAATGTCGCGACGTCTTCTTTGTGGCCGGTGGAGGGGACGTCTTTGATGGTGGTGACGAAGCCCAGGCCGGCGAACTTGTCGGCGGAAAAGGTGTCGTCTTTGGCAGCGAGGGGGTTGTAGCTCTTGCGCCAGGCGAGGGCGTCGGTCAGCTGGGCTTTCGCCTTGGTGAGGTCGTTCATGTTGGCCCGGAGGAATTTTTGGAGGATTATGAGGGTCGTGTGCGGAGTTGGCTGGTCTGCGTCGCCCGAGGCCTGCAGAGTGACGCCGTACATCTCGTTGTAGTCGGTTTGGGAGAGAATGTCGGGCAAGTCGGCGGCGAATTTGGCGAGGTTGTGGTCCGGCGGGAGGTTGCTCCAGTCGGGGCTGGCCATGCTGTCTACCGGTCGAGCGATGTCACTGACGCTCTGTTCTATTTTGCTTGTGAGAAAAGAGCTGTGTTTGATTGTAAGCGTGTCAAGAGTGCCGAGGAATCGGTGTTGAGTACGCCATCTCAGCAGCTGACGTTGCTTCCTCCAATCAGAACGCCGAATGCCCCATCCAGCCACAGCCTCATCCCTCCGAGTCTCCAACACATACTCGAACCTCTCGGATGATACCCGGGACAAGACATGGCGAGACTGAATTGCAGTGCTTCTACTCGCACAGGAGAACTCTTAAAGGGTATCTAATCTATGACAAAGCCACGGCCGCAGACCCGCGGCGGCTCAATTCGTGCCATTGGTCTGCGTATGACCAACGCCAGCACCAACGCCAGGAGCCCCAGGCGACGGCAGAGATGACGCTGCCCCTTGCACGGTGGCACGCGCCTGCTGTTGCTCCGCGGCGATTCGGTCCGCATTCTCCACCGCCCCCTTGATGACTTGTTGCTCTTCCGGCCCCAATGCCGCCGTTAGTGAGGCGTACAGCTGCGGTTGTTGTTGGCTCATGGCTGCAAAACACCTCAGTCAGCAGGCTGCTCCCATTTCACGATGCTGTGTGGTGGTTAGAACGTACCTGAAAGCGTCTGCTTGAACAGCCCGTACGGCTCCATCTGGTCCAACGGAGTCTCAAGCAAACTCTCCTCTTCCAATTCATCATCACCCTCGTCCTGCCCAACGGCAGCGTTGAACTTCTCCGCCTGTTGACTCAAAAAGTCAAGGTAGGCGGTGCTCTCATCCTTGACGTCCGCCGACTCTGCATTCTCTTCCGTATCCCAGTCTTCGCCTTCCCATTCCTCGTCGTCCTCCTCGTCGCTCCCATATTCGCCAGGCATGCCAAACTCGTCCTCTTTCTGCGCCAGCTCCCGGTTCTTCATCGCGGCTGGAAGGGTCTGGAACAAGCGCACGACGCCTTGCAGCAGTCGCGGCCAGCCTTGCTGCACGCTGATGGGAACCTCGTCGGCTCGCAGGGTGAGGAGAGCAGTGATTGCTCCAATGGACAACTTCTTGTCGTGCACCCTTGTGAAGCTGTCGATGCTGGAAAACCACAGGCTGAAAAACTTGTTCGTCCAGCCGTTTGCCTCGAGCACCGTCAACGACAATCGCGGGTTATAGTAGATGGCGTTGATGACCATTTCCATGAGGTGGATGCGGTACGACTTCACCTTCAGCTCGTCGCTCGTCAAGATGTTCATTGCGAGCTGGATGAACTCGGGGACGTAGTTGTCGATTCCCGTCCGCAGATTAAGCATCAGGATCTCGGCAAGCTTGCACCCACATATCCGATCCACGCTGCCCACCTTGTCGTCCTTGAATATCGTCCGCACAATGTCTGCAATGGCGTCGAGGTACGCCGGCCGCTCCAGGAATGTCTTCCAGCCGTAGTTGACAAAATTCTCCAGCGCGGGCAGCATGTCTTCCAGATACAGCTCAGCGCCTGATTTGAAAGTCTGGTGGATGAGTTCAAAGGCCTTCCACATGGTGGGGGAGATGGTTTTGGCGGAAAAGGTGCAGCTGTCGATGATTTCAAACACCTCGTTGTAGAGGTCGTAGAGCTTGTGTTCGAGGGTGATGGTGATGACGGGCATGAGAATGGTCTCGAGATGGGCGAGGACGTCGGGGGTACTTTCGAGGGTGAGGATCAGGGTGCCGATGGTCTGGAGAACGCCGAGGGCGGTGATGCTCTTGTCGTCGAGGAAATCGCCGTAGCCGTCGTCACCTTCTTTCGAGTTGTTCCGCTCAATCAGTTCGCGCACGATGCGGACATAGGTGTCGCGTAACTGCTCGCTCAGGGCGACGGCAAACGGAGTCAGCTCAGCAGCGAAGACCTCAACAAAGTCCTCCATGACATTGGCAAGGGCATCGACGTCCACTTCATTGGCGAGCTTGAGAAGCTGTTGCATGATCTGCGGAATGTTCTGTTGCATCATCGTACGGATGGGATCGTGCCGGATGAGAGGCTGGAGAGCCAGCGCGGCCTCCACGCGAACCGGCAGGTCGGGGTCGGCCATGGATTCGAGGATGTTGCGGTAGATGATGATGAGATTGTTCGGCTCTTTGAAGTTCAATGATTCAAACTTCTCCAGGGTATCGCATGCACGGGCACGCAGGAAACCGTGTGGACTGCGGAACTCGGGAAAGACGTGGCGAACGAAAAAGTATTCCACTTGATCCGCGATCGGGCTCTTCTTCCCCAGAATCACATTCGCCAGCGTCCCGATCATGCGCAATGCCCCCTCCTTCTCTCGCGCATTCTTTTGATCGTCGGGTGCCGACTCATACTTGTTCACGATGTTGTTGATGAACGTGAGAATCTCGAAAGTCTGCTTCCGCCGGGCCTTGGTGAGGGTGTCGAGGAAGTTCGTCGCCGCCACATCGGGCGCCGAGACTTCCTCGTAGAAGTTGAGTTTGCGGTGCAGGTATTCGGCGGGCTCTTCGTCGAACTGCGCGAGGTCCTCATCGGACTGGCACATGACGGGGAAGATTAGGTGCTCGATGAGGATGGGCATGTGCGGCTTGAGATGGTCCCACATGGTCTTCGGCTTGACGCATTCGTCCATGAAGGCGAGGGTGTGGGACAAGCAGGGCTTGCTCAGCCAGATGCGCTTGTGGATCCACGCCTCGATTTGTTGCAGGTAGCCCTTGAGAATCTCTGGGGCGAAGTTGGTGATGAAGCTCTTGGCAACTTCGGTGTAATCCTCGCCGTTGTTCTTCTGCAAGCTCGACGGGTTGCCATACCTCACGAAGAGGCGATTCAGGTTTACGTAGGCCCATTTCTTGCACTTCCACCAATGGTTCAGCTCGCGCTCGTCCAGGTCGTCCATCATCGAGTTCTGCGGCGGCTCTTTTGCAACGACGCGCAGGAACAGGGTGCACCAGTCCACCATTGCCTGCTGGGCGCGCAGAGGAATGGGAAGTTCGAAGTAGACGGCGTGCTTGTAGGCTTTCAACGCGGTGCGCAACATCTCGCCCGCCTCGAGGCTTGTCTCTTCTACCAAGCTATTACCGAGCCGCAGGAGCTGGGGAAACGTGGTCTCGACAATCTTATCAAAGTCGCCCCGCGTATCTCCGCGCTTGAATCGGTAGGTGCGGCAGATGGCCAGCAGACACTGCAGGCCGGCGAAGACGGAAGGGACGTCCTGCGCGTTCAGCAGCTTGATGGTGATGTCGACAAAATCGGGCCATTGCTTGGGAAAGTCGGAGTGGAGGATCTTTTGGAGGGCGACGAGGAGCTGGGCGCGGGCATTGGGCTGGGCGGAGGCGATGATGGGGACGAGGCGGGCGCGGACGGAGGACTTTTCGGGGTCGGAGATGAGGACGGGAGGAGGCTGGGCGGACTCGGAGCTCACCCAGCCCTTGTTGACGCGATTCTTGAAGTAGACGACAGCTGTGCACATGAAGGGTTAGCTGAAGCAGGCCAGATGCAGGGAGCAGGAGGGGAGAAGGGAGGAGACGCACTGGACAAGCGCACTGCATTGTCTTGCTCGACCTCGAGGATGTTGAGGAGGCCATCGAGGAAGCCGGGCCTTTCTTCAGCCTGCAGAGGAGGATTAGTGGTGCGTGGGGAGTGGATGGAGGGTGGGAGGAGGAGGATACAGCTTTGAGTTGTTGTTCAGCGGCCTGGCGATTGCCCGCGTGGGCGTCGAGCGTGGCCTTGATCCGCTCGCGGAGCCCGTGGGCGTCCATGATGGGGTGGGTAAGCCAAGGCTGGTGAGAGTCAGACGAATGGAGGGGGAGAAACGGGGGAGGCACCGGGGAGTGGGAATGGGGAGGGAGTGCGGGCAGGACAACAGACAAAATGTCGACGCGGGATTGCGGGTGTGGCTGAAGGAAAGCCTCCGTCTCCCTGAACCCTGTTTTGCCAAGACTCTGGAGGGCAGCGGTGATGAGGGGGTTTGGGAGGAGAGAAGGCGGTGATGGCGTGGGAATGCGCGTTGGATGTCTCGGTAACAAATGGCAGATCGGCCGTAACAAAGGCTGGATCTGTGTGATGGAAGCTGGGGATATTGCACTTGATCCCTACTTATGCATGTGCTGGATGCATTTCACGACTTCGGCTCCTCCCGCTGCTGCTGCTGCTGCTGCCGCTGCAACCGCTACAGCTGCAACGTTGCCACATGGACAACGATGATGGAAGATGGGAATGTTGGGATGGATCTAAAGTATTGGGATGAAAACGAGTCGCCCTTTTGGTAATAACTCAGCCCGGCGGCCATTTTCCCAGCTCAAGCAGCCAACATTTGGCAGGATGGTGCAGGCAAGGCTGTGAAGGAGGCCACGCCGCTTTCCTCGGCCAACCTTCCCGCCCGCCTTATGGCCTGCACGATCCCAATCCTCCTGCGGTCAGCAACACCTTACATCCTCTGCCTATTAGCCATATCCCTCGAGGCTCGACTGGATACTAGACCGGGTTGACTCTTCATCCCGCCGCTCACGACGAGTCAATCGGCCCCACGCCACGCTGGATCACTGGCAAGCCATCGGTGGAATTCGGCAGAGTCAATGGCAGAATGGGCGGAAAGATTTACAGGCATATGACGCCATCACATCCTGACTTCATTGCTCCCTGCCCACGCGATTTGTATTTTTTCCTTTTCTCCCATTCGCGATAAAAAAGACTGGATACCACGGAACCCGAGAGAAGTTTTCATGTTTCGTTCCCTTATAAAACCCTCCATCCTCCCATCCCCCGCCTCATTCTCCCTCCTCCATCCCGCTTCTCGACCCATCATCCCGCTTGCATTCCAGCAAAGACACCTCTTCCACACCACCAACAGCACCATGGTTCGCGTACTTCTCACCGGTGGCTCCGGCTTCATTGCCGCCCACGTGCTCGATGAGCTCCTCGAGCAGGGCCACTCCGTCGTGACGACCGTTCGTACGCAGGAGAAGGCCGACAAGATCAAGGAGGCGCACCCCAAGGTCGGCAAGGACAAGCTGGACTTTGCCATTGTCGAGGACATTGCGCAAGAAGGCGCCTTCGACAAGGCCGTCGTCTCCGATCCCCCCTTCGAGGCCGTCATCCACACCGCCTCGCCCTTCCACTTCAACATCCAGACGTCGGTGCAGAAAGATCTGTTGGACCCCGCCATCATCGGCACCACCGGCATCCTCAAGTCCGTCAAGAAGAGTGCGCCGAGCGTGAAGCGCGTCGTCATCACCTCCTCCTTTGCATCCATCGTCGACGGCAACAAGGGCACTGCGCCCGACTACACCTACAGCGAGAAGGACTGGAACCCCATCACCAAGGAGGAAGCTCCCCAGAACGCGGGCAACGGCTACCGCGCCAGCAAAACCTTCGCCGAGCGAGCCGCGTGGGACTTTGTGGAGCAGGAGAACCCCAACTTCTCCCTCGCCACCATGTGCCCGCCACTCGTCCTCGGCCCCATCATCCACTCCCTCACCGGCCTGGACGCGCTCAACACCTCCAACCAACGCATCCGCAACATCATCCAGGGCAAGTGCAAGGAAGAGTTGCCGGCGGGAGCGCCATACCTCTTCGTCGACGTGCGAGACCTCGCTCGGGCCCATGTGCTCGCAATGGAGAAGCCGGACGCCGCCAACAAGCGCTTCTTCATCGTCGCCGGCCACTTCAACTCCCAGGACATTGCCGAGATTGTACGCAAGAACTTCAAGGAGTACCAGGATGCCCTGCCGCCCAAAGACATCAAGAGTGGAGGGTACCCAGAGGAGGGTGTCTACAAGGCAGACAACAGCCGCGCGGCCAAGGTGCTCGGGCTTAAGTATATCAGCCTGGAGAAGAGCATTGTCGACACCGTCAAGTCGCTGCAGGCGGCCGGCGCGTAGGCCATTACGTTTTGAGCGAGTATGCACTGCGGCTCGAGTGAGTTAGAAAAGATATCCCATAGTACATATATAGTCGTTGTATCCTGCAATATCGTCAGTACTGCCAGTAGTTGTCGATGCACAGCAATCGACACGAATTCAGTGGGATCAGACTTGAAAGTAATTGGATCGTCAACGGACATTCCGGAGTTATCGTTCGAATGAAGAGCATCATGTTTGGAGGAGAGAAATGGATGGTGTCCTCTTCAATCCTCCATGGGCAATGAAAGAAGCTTTACGACTCCGCCATTCCGGTTGGTGTAGAACGGGAGAGGGTGCCGGGAGGCCGCAAGCCGGAGCGCGTGCTTTTGCGGGCGAAGCTTTGTGTGCCCCGAAATCACGTAAGCGCGCGTTCTTCGATGCATGTGTGATGCAAGTTGTTCGAAACGAGATCACGACCTACATTTCACCGAATGGATTGACTCCCACATCGCCATCCCGCTGTAAGCCACCCTTCTTCCCACGACGCCGAACCATCCCCTCGGAGCGTGCATCTGGCCCCATCTCCTTGTCCTACCCGCAAGCCCCATCGAGTCGAGTCTGAAGAGCAGAGGGGGGAACGAAGCAACACCACACCCGACATTGGCGCAGCAGAGCGCGACCGCCGCGCGGAGCGGGCTCACCAACGCGCCAAGCGAAGATGGGAGGCGCGCTGTCCGTCTTCTCGCGCCTCATCTGGGCGAAGAAGGAGATCCGCATCCTCATCCTCGGCCTCGACAACGCCGGCAAGACGACGCTGCTGTACCGGCTGAAGATCGGCGAGGTCGTCACCACCATCCCCACCATCGGCTTCAACGTCGAGAGCGTGACCTACAAGAACTTGCACTTTAACGTGTGGGACTTGGGCGGCCAGACGTCCATCCGCCCCTACTGGCGGTGTTACTACGCCAACACCGCCGCTGTCATTTTTGTCATCGACAGCACGGATATCGACCGCTTGGAAATGGCCGCGGGGGAGCTCAAGGCGATGCTGAACGAAGAGGAACTGCGAGACGCGGCGTTGCTCGTCTTCGCCAACAAGCAAGATCAACCGGGGGCTAAAGGCGCAGGGGTCATCAGCGAGGCGCTGAAATTGGGGGAACTAAAGGACAGGAATTGGAGTATTATGGCATGTTCAGCGATAGACGGAAGAGGCGTCAATGAGGGCATGGACTGGCTTGTGGTGAGTATCCCTCGTGGAGAAGTGCGAGAAAAGTAACAGCGTCTAACACAACGACCAGCAAACGGTTGGGGAAACGACATAGCGGCATTCTTCGAGGATATTTACCTGAGTCTACCTCGGCATCCGACCGACGCATGATATGAACTCTCCGCATCCATCAATGCCCCCTCTCAACGCAAGAACCCTCCGGCGAACGGGGCTTTCAGTATCGTGGGCGCGCCCGCCAACAGCTCCTCGTCGCCCATGGTTTGGAAGACTTTCTTGTAGTTGTCCGAGCTCTCGTGTTTGTCCACGGCTGCTTGAGAAGCATATCTAAGTTGTGTCGGTCAGCGTTGATGTGCACAGCAGACAGGTCCCCTGCAAGGCAATGGGCATACCTTTCGTAGATGGAGATGCGGACTCCGTCGCCGTTGCGCTCTTCGTAGAATGCGAACGCCAACGACTCGGGCTCATGTTCATGAATCCATTTCGCCGCCTGTGCCAACACTTCTTTCAACTGCACGTCGCTGGTAAGCAGAGATTCCATGCTAGACCGTTTGTGTCACTTACTCTGTCGGCCTTCTCCGGTGTGGTTTGAAGGATGGCGACGATTCCTACTTCAGCTTGAGACATTGCGGTGGTTTGAACAGTTGTATTTGTTGCAATCTAGGTTACCACACGAGTGCGATGGGCTTAAATATCAACTCGAGCCTGCTATTCATTGAACTATAATTCACGTCATTGATTTTCCAATATCCCGGCGATAGAGAGCGCAAAGTCGAGCTTTACTCCGGTCAGTGTCAGCCTGGCCATCGCATTCGCACCCGGATTGGCGTATATCCGTGTGCCGCACAATTCGTCGCCAAACCTGTACAAGGAATGAGAGGAGATGTAGTAAGACACTCGAGAGCACGAATATCTCGTTGGCGGTGCATTAGGTTCAGGAGTACAAATACACCTTATGCATTCCAGGTTCGTCAACACTACAACCCCCCTCACCCTTCATCGGCATCCATGCCTTCCCGTTTCCCACGGCCTTGCTTCGCCCGCCCTCCGCCAATCCCCTTCTTCTTGCCCTTCTCGTTCAGATTCTTCATCTCCGTGATTGCCACTCTTTGCGCCTCGCTCACCCGCGCGGCAAATACCATCACTTCCTCCCGCTCCGTCGCATGCTCCTCCAGATGCTTATCCAGAGCCTTCTCGATGCGTTGGAAGATTTCCACGTCGTATTGCGTAACCACACTGATGGCCACTCCGGATTTCCCTGCTCGTGCAGTTCGGCCCACGCGATGCACGTACGTCTTGCTGTCCGGGGGCAGGTCGAAGTTCAGCACCAGATCCACAGAAGGGATGTCGAGACCACGCGCTGCGACGTCTGTAGCAACTAGAATGTCTCGACTGCCCGAGCGAAATTTGTTGAGCGCTCCAAGTCGTGCAGATTGAGCCATTTGCCCATGCAGCGGAATCGCTGAACGTCCCAATGCTCGCAGCAGGAAGGCGAGGCGTTGGGTTTCGTGCACTGTGCGGGTAAATAGTATGCACGTCTGACCTGCGAACTCGTGAAGTATGGCGATGAGATAGATGTCCTTGAACTTGTGCGGGATGAAGAGATACTTTTGCTTCAACCCTTTGACCGTCTGGTAAGAGCTGCTGCTGATGCTCACCCGCGCGGGGTTTTGAAGGGCCGCACGAGTCAGATTGTCAAGCTTGGTGTTCATGGTGGCAGAGAAAAGCATCGTTCTCCTCCCCTCTCTTGGTAGCACCTGCAAAATCTTGTCCAAGATGGGACCGAAATCCAAATCAAGCAGACGATCCGCTTCATCCATAACGAGGTACTTCAGGTGGCGTAGGGAAAAGCCCTTGGTGTTTTCCAGATGGTCCATCAAACGTCCAGGGGTGGCGACAATGATGTGCGGTTTTTTGGCTAGAGCGATGGCTTGGGGCACCATGTCCATGCCGCCGACAATCACCGCGCAACGGACATTGATCAGGCTTCCCAGCGCCTCGAACTGTTGACTGATTTGATACGCCAGTTCACGCGTGGGTGCAAGGACAAGACCAAACATGGGCTGCGGTTGGTCTAGGAGGGCTTGTAGAATGGGCAAGGCAAAAGCGGCCGTTTTGCCACTGCCAGTCTCGGCGAGTCCAATGATGTCCCGACCTGTCATCGCGAGGGGTATTGCTTCCGTCTGAATGGCTGTAGGTGCTTTGAATCCCAGGGCTGCACAAGCGTCGCAGAGGGAGTCGGTGACACCCAAATCCGCAAACGTCTTCTGTGATACTGCGGGAGTCGTCTCGGCGTCGCCATCTTCGTTCAATCCTTCGACAGGATCCGCTTCGGAGTCCGTTTCTGGCAATGGTCCGCTTGACACGTCATCCGTTGTCTGACCGTTTGAACCATCCTTTCCATTGAGTTTGGCCAGCTGTTTTGTTCCGCCATTTGACGTTGACTGGGCTGCAGTCTCGCCAGAAGCTTTTGCGTCGATATTGCCTCGCTCTGAGAGTTTCGAACTCTTAGGTTTCCTACTGTCGAGTTTGATGTCGGACTTGATGCCCGTATGCTCCAGTTTCCGCTTCTTAAAGGCCGACATGTTGCGCGTGTTTCGGGGAGTTTGATGGAGATCGTCAAAGGCCGCAAGGCGGAAGTGGAATTTTTGCAGGCGGAAGGATAAATCACCGCCACCATTAAGGTTATCTAAGCTCACGGATCTAGCCGTAGCGTGGAGCTTGCTTCACCTGCTTGGGGAAATTTCCTTCGAGGCTTCCTCACGCTCGAGGCTGTTGGTCTGTCTCTTCTACATCCCTCCCACCCCTTACTTCCAAGCCATTCAACAAAAATGGCCAAACCACGCAAGAAGAAGAGGACCCATGTTGGAGCCTCAGGAGACGCGCCACAGAAAGCGAACGAGCGCGGTCCGAAGAGCATGGTCATCCGCATCGGCGCCAGCGACGTTGGGCCGAGTGTGTCGCAACTGGTGAAAGATGTGCGAACAATGATGGAGCCCGACACTGCCTCGCGCCTGCAAGAGCGGCGGAATAACAGGCTGCGAGACTATACCACCATGGCCGGTCCCTTGGGAGTGACTCATCTGTTGCTGTTTAGTCGGAGCAAGACTGGCAATACCAATATGCGGCTGGCCGTCACACCAAGAGGCCCGACATTGCATTTCCGAGTGGAGGAGTACAGCTTGTGTAAAGATGTACATCAAAGTCAAAAGCGGCCCAAGAGCAGTGGAGTCAATGGCACTGGAAAGGAAGGCGTGAGCCCGCCGTTGCTTGTGATGAACAACTTCACCACCTCTGCCCAACAGTCTCAGACCAAAGGAGCACCTACACCACATGTCCCAAAACACCTCGAATCCTTGTCGACAACCGTCTTCCAATCGCTCTTCCCTGCCATCAACCCCACCACCACTCCTCTGAACAACATCAAACGCATCTTGCTCCTCGATCGCGCGGCCGACTCCCCAGCATCCACCGACCATCCCACCTACACCTTGGACCTGCGCCACTACGCAATTGAGACACGTACTGCAAAGTCCGTCCCCAAGCCTTTGCGACGACTCGACGCAGCACAAAAGCTGGCCCACGCCGGGCAGAAACGCAAGCGAGGCGATCTGCCGAATCTCGGACGACTGAACGATGTGGCAGACTATCTTCTCGACCCGCATGCAGCCGACGGCTTCACCTCAGGCTCAGACTCCGAACCGGAGACGGATGCCGAGGTGGAAGTGCTGGCGACGACTGCACAAAAGGTACAGCAACGAGATCGGCGGAAAGGCCGGGATAGGGAGGATGTATCGTCTGATCGCAGAGATCCGGAGTCAAGGTCGCATGTGGAGAGGCGGGGCATCAAGCTTCAGGAACTCGGCCCTCGCCTCAGGCTCCGTTTGACCAAGATTGAAGAGGGCTTATGCACCGGCAAGGTGATGTGGCACGAGTACATCCACAAGACCGCGGCGGAGGAGCAGGAGATGGAACGGGTGCATGAGGAGAGGCGGGCGGAGAAAGAGCGGAGAAGGGAGGAACAGAGGGCGAGGGTGGAGGCAAAGAAGAAAAGCAGAGGGGCTGGCGAGGCGGCAGATGACGATGCGGAAGACGAAGACGAACTCAGCGATGACGATGAATGGGATGATGAAGAAGACCAAGCCGGCGCCGAGGAAGAGGAGGAGGAGGAGGTGGTGGATGAGTGACGTGCGTCACCTGAGACGAGAATAAAAGCTCGCAACTGCGCGTGATAGGGAAGTAGGTTTCATTCACTCATCACATGCCGCTAAGGTGATTACCTTCACATATGCTCATCCTTGAGCTTCTCCCGGTCAAACGTTTCGAATGCAAAATTCCAGATATTCTCCGTATTACTCCTGCCCCATCGCGACACGGACGTTTGCTTCGAGCTCGTGCTGCCCACATGCGCAAAGACGCTTGGCGTGAGAGCCCAGCGCGCAAGGCTGTGCTCGTCGGCATACTTCTCCGTCAGCTGATCCATCTTGCCAGAGCCTGCTGATTCATAGTACGCCATGAGTTCGGGAAGTTGTTGCCGCGGAAAGACAAAAGCCTGGGAACAGCAGCCATACGCGTCCATACGATTGAGCCCATAAGCAAGCGGCGAAACGGTCCGCCGGCCCGCGGCGAAATAGAGGACGATGAACATTGGAGTCACGACGAATAGGAGCGTGAAGACGGTCGTAGGGTCGAAGATGGCCGTGGCGTTGGGGATGAAGAACAAGCCGAGCATGATTGCCGCGAAGACAATGGCCTCGGCCATCAGGACGCGCATGAAATACGTCGGCCACTCTTCGCTGTTCCAGCCGAGGATGCGTTCGTTGTAGAAGAGTCGCAGGTAAAGGGTGGAATTGAACGGCCGCAAGCCTTCCAACGTCCCCAGAGCCTGCTTCGTCCTGTAGTACCAGCCTTCGGCGCCAATCACATCATCTTCCAGCATGACGATCCACGGGGCGCCGTGATTGTAGCAGTGGCGCAGCAGATAGGTGTAGTCGAACAGCGGCTTGCGATCAAACTTGGGATCGAAGGTCTCCAGTGACTTGACCCGCTCCAGCACGCCCTCGCTCGCATTTGGGTAGGTCAACACCTCATCTGCGGCCAGCGACAGCCAGTGCTCTCCGAAAGCCACGTGCATCGTCGGGTCGGAATTGGCAATGAGCGAGACCAGGTAGATGTCCTTCCTCTCCGCCGGCGTCAATCCAGCGAGCACGGAGCCGAGGGTGCGCCGGAAATATCTCGCGCCATCTCTTTGAATGGTAGGGACGCCGATGCAGAAGGAGGACTCGGCGGAGCCCTTTACAACGCTCTGCTGACTGTAGGAGCCATCGAGGCGCGCAACGTACGACTCGGCCTCGGCCTCTCGCTCGAGGGAGTATTTGCGTTCAAAGGCGCGCTCGGGGTCGAAGAAGGCGGAGCTGGGGTCGCGGTGGGACCAGTTGCGCACGTCATGCACGAGGAGGAGGTACCAGACGAAGAAGGCGAGGAAGGCTACGAGGTGCGGCGAGGGTCGGCGGAGCCAGAATTGCATAGTCTCGTCTTGGGGACGGTGGGGTGGGATGGGGTTGTCGCGTGGGCGACTTCAACGATGCCGGAGGATCATGTAAAGAGGGCAGCGCCGCACACAAACGACGATGGCGGAGAGGATAGGAGAGAGTGGTGTGCACGAGGGCAGCTGCAGGCAGCCGCAATGCTGCTGAGAAGGTCACTGCATCAAATCAATCCCGCCCGCCTTACCTAATCCTGCATTCACCAACCCCCCGGGCAAGCCTTCCGTGTTCCGCGGCGAATAAGCGCCAATCAGCGTGGCGCCATCGAACTTTGACGGGTTGCTGGTGGAGCGAGGATGCATCAACAGCAACTGATGTGCGCATTGACTCTTACGAATTGATGAAATATTGCTACGCCCGCGATCACAACGTGTAGCATAGCAGTGGGTTGATGCAATCACCTCATGACAGCACAACTCTGCTCCGTTCCCTTTGTAGCATCGCCTCGATCAGCCTGTACTCATCATGTGTCACCGCCCTAGCCTGCAGCCGCGTGCATCCGAATCGCTGCTCTGGACATCATGAGGGGCGCTGGCGAGTTGTTTATTCAGCCTTGCCTCTGCCTTCATCACGCAGCACTCTCCACATCCAGCAATCTCAAACTCACACCGACACCGGTCTTGAGGTCCATCGATCGTATCTCGCTGTCTCCGCCCGAATGGCTCCGGTCATCCCCGTCGCTGCTCCCATCAACACCATCGATGTTGAGCAAGTCGAAGCGATTGCTGAGTGGCGGCTGTTTGGTCTGGCTCGCGACTCGTCGCTCCCTTGGGTTCTTCCTCAACGATCCGAACGAGGCCGGCACTCTCGCGGGCGGCGTGTGCGCAGGCAGAGGCACGTCGCAAGCATCACGGAAGAACTCGATTTTGCAGCCTTTGTACCCTGAGCGGCTCATCATGCATGTCCTTGCGAACAGGGCATTGTGCACCGAGTTTGTCGAGACATATGCACTACCCGAGCGAAAGGTGACATCGATGATGACCAGGTTGTGGATGTGATCCATGTCTTCGCGAATGCGTTGCTCCGTCAGACCTTTGTCGACTGCTGAGTGGATGACGAGATTTCGGGTGGCACCGTGTGCAATCTTTTGTGCAATGTGGTCGTTCAACCGGTATTGGCGGTCCGCCCACTTCACTTCAATCTGGCCATTGGTTAGCGGGGGGTACACCCTGGTGAGTACATGACCAACATACCCGTTTCGCTTGCACATAGACGTCGTTCCGCTTAGCCCAAGCGATGAAGTCTGCGGCACCATGAACGAAGGAGACCAAGGCTGCTCGCTCCGGTCGCATCACAAGACTCAATATCTTCCCTCCGCGAAGCACGGACACCAGATCGGCGTAGGTTGTGCGCTCCGATAAACCATTGAGGTAGACTGTGCGGAGCTCGGCGCTCGTCACTGGTTCTGAGGCATCTACGGTAAACCGACAGCCCTCATTGAAGTCGTCATTGTCATCGTCGAAGATCTGATCCTCCGGTGCAGAAGATAAGCCATAGCTTACCTGCCGCTGGCCAGAGGGAAGGGCGAGATTGTTATGAGGCGTTCGCGGGGCGGGGTGCACATCATCGAGCCCGGAATAGCCGCTACGCAGACCCACAGCGGTGGCAGGAAACCTTCCAGACATTCCAGGAGACGTGAAAAACGAGTCTTGCACTGAGTCGACCTCATGGATGCGCGTGGGCATTTTGAAAGCCGGGCTGCATGCGTTGCTAGAATCGATTGTCGGGTCGTCGCATTCGTCCTTGCCCTGTGCTCCCGATATGAGGACATCCAACGTTTCCGCAGTGAGACCTCCTTGAAAAAGGGCCATCTTCAGAAGGTCATACTCTCGAGATGCTTGAAGCTATGGCAGTTCGTCAGCATGCGTTTCGCTGCCTATCCACAGCGAGCCACTCACAAGGCTGTCGTATTCCGAGCGAGAGATGTTGACATTCACTTGATGTCGTGAACCCGCCAAGTGTGACGAAGTGTGCTGTATTCGAGCATGAGCATGGTTTGAAGCGCATAGTTGTCAATCTCCTTCTGCTAACATACAAAATCCGCGCTGCAGTTCTGCGTCAGTGCTGTACGATAAGAGTGATTGACGTGGAATTCCTCACCGTCTGAGCAGAGCATCAAAGTATGACTTGTCCACGGTCACCTTGTCGAAGTCGCCCATTTTCAGACGAGTGACAGGCAACGCGGCCATCAAAGGAAGTGTTGGTAGGAGAAGTGTACTGTTGAATCCTCGTTTCCGTCGCGGGAGATAGGGAAGGTGACAGCAGGTCGAGCCTGTCAAGTTTAGAGTTTCGCGCTAGCGAAAGCGTGCAGGGATGCTCTTGCCGCTGGGTTGGACCCAGATTCGGAACGGATCAACCGAAACCTTCTCTGCGCACTTCACCTCACTGGCGGATACTCTACGCAGCCACACATTCATCGCCACCATCGATGCGCGGTCTTGTTGATGGACAAAGATGTAGCGACAGACCATGCGCTCGGAGCGCTTACGGCACGCCCGGGCGGGAGAGAGGATGTCATGCAACAACTGTCGGCAGTGGGTAGTGGTGCAGGCGGAGCCGGCGTCTTCTCCCAACTCTTCTCAAATCCTTTCTTCACCGCCGGCTTTGGCCTGGCGGCATTGGGTGCTGCAGCACGCTATGGCTCCCTCGGGGTGAGGAGAGGCTCCGAGCTCCTGCGTCGCCGCATGCTGGTCGATCTGGAGATCACCAAGCACGACGACTCTTACCACTGGATCCTCAACTGGATGACTGCACAGTACCAGCGCCAACTTCTCCCTGTTGGCAAGCGAAGGGACTTGGGGACTGTGCAGTATCTCCTCCGCCGCCTTACACCTGGTCTCCGTCATTTACAGATCAACACCGCCAAGACCAAGACGCCCAGCGGGTCCGAGCAAACTGCATTCTCCCTCGTCCCCGGACATGGGAGGCACATTCTGCGTTATGGCAACGCGTTCCTCTTGGTCAACCGCGAGCGCGTCGGGAAAAGCTTCGATGTCAACGGTCAGCCCTTCGAGACGATTTCCCTCACCACTCTGTACTACTACCGACACATCTTCGAGGACATCTTCCGCGAGGCCCACGAGATGGCGCTGCAAGGGACAGAAGGCAAGACGGTCATCTACACTACCCGTAACATGTCCTGGGAGCAATCTGGTCCTCCTAAACGACGGAGGCCTTTTGACTCTGTGGTACTCGAAGAGGGCATGTCGGAGAAAATCCTCGCAGACGTCCAAGAGTTTCTCCACGCACGCACGTGGTATCTCGACCGTGGCATTCCTTATCGACGAGGTTACCTCCTTCATGGACCACCCGGAACAGGCAAGACGTCGTTCGTGCAAGCACTAGCCGGCAAATTAGACTTCAACATTGCTATGTTGAGCCTGAGCCAGCGTGGGCTAACCGACGATCTCCTCAATCACCTCCTGCTGAACGTTCCCCCGAAGACAGTTGTGCTCCTCGAGGATGCCGATGCAGCATTCAGCAACCGCAAACAGCGCGACTCCGAAGGCTACAGCGGAGCCAACGTCACGTATTCTGGATTGTTAAACGCCCTGGACGGCGTAGCGAGCGCAGAAGAGCGGGTGATTTTCATGACGACTAACCACATCGACCGGCTGGATGATGCGTTAATACGACCCGGGAGAATAGACATGACTGTTTACCTGGGGAACGCAACCGAGGGACAGATGGCTCAACTGTGGGATCGCTTCTATGCCCAGCACGATGTGGATGGCCGTGGCAAGCAACGCTTCCTTGCCAATGCGCAAGCTGCAGATCTCATCGGGAATGTTAGCACTGCCGCACTGCAGGGCTTGTTTCTGTACAACAAAGATGACGTTGAAGGAGCGATTCGCCTGGTCAGTCAGCTGGGCAAGAGCCCGCAGTCGACCTCCTATCAACGCGCGGCTACAAGTCAATAGCTTCGACATTGGAGCGGCGTGCAATATCCATTTTTATCTAGCAAGCTTGTAAATCTATACCTGCAATATGTCAAGAACTCCCACAGCATCCACGTTGCGAACTTTTGAGCGTACTGTGCCCCGTACATAGGAGCCGCTCACCTTACAGCTTTGCCTGAAAGGAATCTTCAGATGTTTGGCGAAGGATCTCCACCACACGCTCCACGAACTTGTCTGTAATCGAGTCATTTTGCAGCCAAACGCCTTCATTCACCTTATGCGCGGACAAGGAATGAAAAGCATGATGGAGGACACGATCCAGTGCTTTTCTGAATTCCACGACGAGTTTTGTCGACAGCTCCGGCTCAGGAGCTCTTATCGAGAAAGGCAGCCAGTTATCCATGATCAAGCTTTTCACGCCAGTGATCTGCAGCTGGCCTCCAAACAGTGCAACCATCAGCGGCGTGACTTTGGTGGAGTTCTTTATGTAGAGTGTTCGGCCGTTCACGCCCCTCGAAAGGTTACTGTACGTGAAGAGGGAGCCGACAGCATGCCTCTTCTCACTCTCCCTGCGAAGCTCGCCATTCACAGACCCGGGATTCACCAGGGCAGAGTCCGTTGTGGGTGTACGATACGATAGGCCGCCCGTTTTGGTCTTGGCGGCAACATTCGGTTGGTATGTGGCCACGAGCAAAGACTTGATGAGGTCGTGATTCGCGGCATTGCGATTCAACTCTGCTGGACCATACTCGGAGTTCTGTGCATCACCATCGATTGTGACGAGGCCCGATTCGCGGAGGACTTGCTCCATCTGCCTAGCGATCTGATCTACTAGAGTGAAAGTGGCATAATTCACCGACAGATCCTGCGCACGACGGCGGGCGGAGGGTTCCGATGTTTTTCGCAGGGCGCGGATCTCGTTGAAAGCTTGTAGGAATGCGATGTGATCACTCGCGCTGCTGTCAGCATAGCTTTGATAGGCTCGTGTGGCTTCTTCGCGCTTCTCAGAAGACACGGCGAAAAGACGGTATTGTTCCATAGCGGCTGCTGCTAGGATGATTATGGGATCGATGCATTTGAAGATGATGCTCATGATGATCATCTTGCCAAGGACAGGATGGACTGGGAGCTCGGCCAGTACGCGGCCCAGCACAGTGAGCTGCTCATCGCTTGTCAGAGCCTGGATCGAAATGAGCTTTTCGACAGCAGCCTCGACAGAATCTCGGGCAGGGGGCTCGATGGTTTCACTGAGCAAGGAGACGATCGACTCGCCGGATGTCTGCGAGCGAATGGAGAGGCAGGTGGCCTGAAGATCGGTACGCAAGATCTCTGGCATGCCCACCTCACGCAGCGAGTCGGCTCTTTCTTTTGAATAGAGCGCGTAATACACACCGTCCCGGACACGGCCCGCTCGCCCAGCACGCTGCTTAGCGTTTGCCTGGCTTTCCCACGCGCACTGCAATTTCGTCGTCCGTTGCTCGTGGTCATGGCTGTGCTCACGGTGCTTTCCAGTGTCCACAACATACTTCACATCTGGGACTGTCACCGATGTTTCCGCAATGTTAGTAGCCAGAATGACTTTCCGACTGCCTGGGCGGGATGGTTGGAACACGAGTGCTTGCTGTTCCTTTGGAAGGGATGAGTGGAGCAGACAAAGCTGGAACCGCGAGCTGTCCGAAAAGTCGATGCCGAACAATTTGCGCTCGACGAGCAGCTTCTGTACGTCCAAGATCTCGGCGAGACCGGGCAGGAAGGCTAAGATGGCTCCATCTCGGCTTGAACAGCAGATGTCTGCAATCGTGGCCGCCACGAGTGCTATAGGCACCAATGCGTCCTCTCTTTCACGTCGAGCGGCCTCACCGTCCTCCGGTCCCAGTATCGCATGCCGCTCTCGTTTCCAGTCAATGACGGACTCGGAATCTGTCCGATCTACTCGCGACATCTTTGCACTGAAGTCACTCTCAGCGGCGAGATATTTCCCAGTGGCTGCGTCTTTGTTGATGAGCCCCCTAAACTCTGCCCCTCGCTTTTGCAAGAGATCGCTCATGATTGAGCCCAGAAATTGTTCTTTGATTGAAAAAGTTCTCCCCGGAACACTGAGCGCTGGACAGGGGTGCTCCACACCAGCCTCGTCGGGGTTACGAAAGTAATTCGCAATCAGCTCAGAGTCAAGTGTTGCCGACATGAGCACGATCTTGGGCGTTCTTCGGCCCTCCGCCCGTCGAGTTGTTATGTGTCGCTTCAAGACCGTCATCAGAAGATCGACCTCGAGGCTTCGCTCATGCACTTCATCAAGGATGATGTGTGAAACACCATCCAGCGTCTCGTCCGCATCTCGTTTCAACCTTTGCAGCAATATTCCATTGGTGCAATAAGTGATGCCGTAAGGTTCGGAAGGCAGCTGGGCATCGAAACGAACTTGATACCCAATCGTCTCACCTAACACTTCCTGACGCTCGGTGGCAACGCGCTGGGCAACCGATGTCGCAGCTATGCGCCTGGGCTGGGTACAAATGATATTGCAGGAGCTGCCTCTGTTGGCCAGTATGGCTTCGTCGAAGAGGATCTGCGGCACTTGGGTCGTCTTGCCACTTCCAGTCGCACCAGCCACGATACTGTACTGATTTTCATTGATCAGTCTAAGAATGTCTTCCCTGGAGTTGTTCATCGGCAAGGAAGCTCTGTCAGATCGCAGTCGCCGGAGAAGAGGATTCCTAACGGACGAAGTGTGTCTTGATAAAAGTCGAGCGTCTGCAGCTGCGGCATGGCTTGAGGGAAAGGGGGATCGCCGACGTGCGGGTACTGTATTCCATCTTGACGGCTGCCCCGTCAGCGTCTGACGTGCATCTGACAAGCCGCCTTGCCTTGCTTCCACGACGGCGCCCTTCATAGACCGCATCGTTTCACGGCTTATCTCGATGTCGATCAGAGGAGATTCACGCAGCATCTTGACCTCTCTCGACTGCAAGCTTTCCACGAACTCACAGAGCACATCCGGATGCGACTTGCCAATTTCGACGGCTGCGATCAGGTATGCCACGAAGACGGCCTGCTTTTTAGTCGGCATGATTACAGGTGGATGGATCGTCGTTCCGTCAATTGTCAATACCGCCTTGTTCTGGACATGCGTACCCTCCTGCTGGACCTCGCCGTGCTCGATCACTAAGTTGAGACCGTTTCCTCGACGTTTGTAGAATGCAAGGAAGCGTCTGGCGGTATGCTCGTCCAGGACATGGAAGGGAGCGGTCTGCACGGATGGTGATGATGGCAAGTCTTCGTTCGCCGCCTTGTAACGTCTTTCGGCGGCTTCTTTGAAAGCCTTGACCGCTGCCATCTCCGCCGTCGCTAGGTCCTTGCCAGTTGCAGTCACGTTGATAGCCTGCTCTTCGAGTTGAATGCTAGCTTCATATAGGTGATCATCATGCGCCAGCCCGGCGCCGTCCCCAGCCCCGCTCACCTTGCTTTCGAATCGAGGTACGAGGCCACACCTCGCAGCATAGCGATATATGTCCATCTTCGCATCACTATCGGCCGACAGTGATGTTGTTGGCTCGCTTTCCACATTTTCCTCAGGCTCGCTTTCAGTAATTTCCTCGGTCTCGCTTTCCGGAGTTTCCTCAGATAGGCGAGGGATTTCATCGGCCTCTAGCCTTTGAGCGGGTTTAGTGGTGGGATGAGACGGAAACAGGCTTTTCAAGACCCCTCGAGCGTGCAGCTTTGAGGTCAAGTGGACCCAAGCAGCTTGTTTGGCGTATTGCTTCCTACGGCCTTCGCCCATGGCGACTTCTTCACCGAAACCCGTAATGTCGACCCGCATTGTACATTGCCATAGACCTTGCGAGCGCGCAGTTAAGGCCGATTTTGGCTCCGCCTTGACGCTGAAATCCACGTCCGTTTGAATGGTGAGACCCCGTTTGGCGCAGGCATTGTCTATTGCGGTTGCCAGAAGCACTGGACTGAAGAGCTCTGGAGGAGCGCCAGGATACTCCTCTGGGGTGGGCAGGGGGTGAGTTCGCTGCACAAAATCAAGATCGAACAACCGGTCCGCCAGCTGGCCAGCGCTTTCATCAAAATGTGATACGCCAGAGTAGCCTTTGCTGTTCTTGCCTTCTGGAGGCGCTGAGTCGTCCGCCGCCCGCAACGCATCTTCTTGATCCACGGTTGATTGGCCAAAGGCAATGCTTTCCAAGGCGGAGCTGACATTCGAAGCTTCCAAAGAGGGGTTGATGTGACTTTCAAGCGTATCCAAGGGAGTAGGCCTGCTTGTTGGGTTTTGCGAGAGAGTTCGGGTCCGACGCTCTCCGTTTGGTCGTGCTAAACGGCCGTCTCCAAGCAAGACTTCTCCCAATCCATCTGATGTAGCTTCCGCATCATTACTGAATCGTGGAGGAAGGTCACTTCGATGCGACTTTGGCGATTCAGTCCACGCTTCATTCGTGTCTGCGACGCGTATGGCGGCGGGATGTCTGGAGTCCGTTGAGACATGTTTGTGAGATGGAGTCGGAGCAGGTCCTTCTCGCAGTGACCAAAACCTGGGACCTCTGGATTGAAGGGTCGCAGTCCATAACCTTGAGGCGAGAGCAACACGTAGGGCCGGTGGGAGGAGTAGCAAGATCTTACTGTGCGACATGCCACGAGGCAGTCGCATTCACTCTTCACCTTTTCTCTCCGAGATGCACGTGGATGACACCTGCGAGGAGAAACATACCTTTTAGTCGCCGGTCGATGCCTCTATCTTCAATGCACGTAGCAAGAGCGGCGGCTAACCGTATGCAGTTGACATCTCGGTAGTAGCCGTTGATCTAACCGCAACTGTGTGTGCAATAGCTTCTATTTTTCACATGCAGTTCATTGGGCTTGGACAACACTCATATATGCTTGTGAACTACCCAGGGGAACAAGATTAGAATGTGACGGAAAGGCTATGGAGATGGCAGATGCGAGGTATGGTTTGGAACCCACAGGGTGGCTCAGAGAGTTCGTTACAAAGAGAAGTATCCTTGAATTCGGGCTACCTCTGTCACCCCTCGTTCGAGTCCATGCAAAGTACTATGCCTATTGCTCGCACCTACTTCTTCGATGCAGCGGCCTCCTCCTCCTTCGCCTTCGCCCTCTTCTCCCTCTTGCCGACCAGACGAGCGTCGCTGCGCGCAACACGGAGCTTCCTGTACGCACCCTCCTCGCTCGGGTAGTCCGCGATCTTGCCCTCCTCGAAGACGGCCTTGTTGCTGATCGGGAAGTGGCTCTTGGTGGTCTTCACCTTGTCCTCGTGGCCGCTCTCACGGTGCTTCTTCATCTCCTCGGCGGAAGCCTCGCCCTTCTTCGGCGACTTGGCGTTGCGGGGGAAGAGGATGATGCGGGCCTTGTAGGCTTTTAAGCGTTCGACATTGACAGCCAGGGATTCTTCGGAGAGGTTCTGACGGCGTGGGTCGATGGAGATGCCGATGGTGGGTGCGAGTTTCCGTGGGATGCCAGCCTCCTGTAATTGTTGTGGTCAGTTTCAATTGCGTGGTCGATATCGACATCAGCTGCGCACCTTCAATTCGGCGAATGTGAAACCGCGACCAGCTCGTACGCGGCGGTTGTATTTGACCGTGGGGCAGCGCACAATAGGTCGGAGCTTGTCGACAGGACGAGGGGCAACCTTCGCGGCCTTTTCGATCCGTGCGTTGCGACGCTTCAACTTTTTGGCGGGCTGGGAAAGGCAAAGTCAGGACATTGTTGTGGATGAGCACTGCAGGCGCCACTGCTCTCAGCACGGCGGGTGTGAGAGGGGAATTACCTGGTCGAAGTGCGTGCGGACACGGCGTTGCCAGTCCTTGCGGAAGTCTGCACAGTGTTAGGATGGTATTGAAGTAGTAGTGAACGGGGGAGTTGCGGAGTGCTCACGGTTGTGCTGGATCTGTTGGTTGTGCTTGATCGTCTGCGCATAGCTGTTAGTAGTTGATTCACAGTCTGCTGATGTGGCCGGCTTACCATTTTGGCGGTGGGTGATCAAGCGATGCAGCACTCGTCAGTTGGCAGTGATGGACTTGGTGGGCGTCAAAGATTTCGGGTGTAAAAGTGTGGTCTTGGCGTTTGAAATTCTTGGCATCATCGCGGAACGTAGCCGAAACTCTAAAACACGCTAGACGCGACTACGCGGTACACGGGTTGCAGCTTCATCTGTTCCCAGCGAGAGTGATGCTTCACGTCTTTACCATTGCGAGCAAAGTCTGTCTTTATTTGTTGTCGAAGCAGACTCGACGCTTCATGTAGTGGTATTTCATGTCCACACACCAACTCACCATGCCTACACGAGCCGAAAGACTCGCGCAGATCCGCGCTCTACGTGCTGCAGGCAAGACGGGCTTCGATGCGTACGAGGTGCAAGAGGCCGAGTCCATTTACGAGACCGTGGACGACGAGGCCTACAAGAAGGTCGTACGCAGCCGACTCGATCAAGACGACTTTGTTGTAGACGACAATGGCGAGGGATATGCCGACGACGGTCGCGAGGACTGGCAGGACGAGGCGCGAACCTACGATGACACCGACAGCGAAGACGACCTCCCAAGGCACGGCAAGGCGGGTGAGTAAGAGGGATACTGGTTAGTCTACGAGTGGCACTGACGCGTTGCACAGCCAAACGGAAGCGCGAAGAAGATGCTGAGCGACAAGAGAAATTGAACAAGGGCATTAGCAAATACTTCAACCAGAATCCCGCCGCCGCCGCAGCACCCAAACCAAAGCCCACGGCCACGGCAGAGGACGATGAATTCATGGCGGGCCTGCTGGGCGAAGTTGACACCAACATTCCCAGCAAGGCGCCGTCCTATGGCAAAGCAATGCGAAGCAACGACAGGCGCAAGACGAGAATTTTGTCCCCACCACTGGAGGAGTCCGTTGGAAAGAGAACTGCTCGGACAACATCTTCGAGGAACAACGTCGATACGCCAATACATCCCCCCGCAGTGCAGAATGTCGGCGACGATGATGGCTACTTTCTCCCGAGTCACACCGATGATGCGCTCATGAGTGATCCTCTGCCGTCCTCTCCTGCCGTGAAGGCTGTAGAGAGAAAGGAGCAGACCGCCGTCAAATCCGAGCCCGTGGACGACGACGATCTCATGGAAGTCGCGGAAGTGCAAGGTCATTCTGCACTACACACAGCAAATGTGAACATCAAAGGCCATCGCCCGATTCCGAAGATTGTCAAAACTTCGTACCCCACGCCGGATAGCTCGTCGCCCACAAGAGCACCGGGAGAGGAGGTCGATATGACCGCGATCAACGATGTGACTGAAACTCTCAACATTGTTAGTAGCCCGCATTCGGACACCATCAGCGCCGGCAAACTGGCGGCCAAAGACGCCCTTGAGGATGATGGGACTCTTCGATTCTTCTGGACCGACTACACTGAGGTCAACGGTAGCCTTTGTCTATTCGGCAAGGTAAAGAATCGGACCAACAGCACCTATGTCTCGTGCTTTGTCAAAGTCGACAACATTCTTCGCAAGCTGTACTTCCTCCCCCGAGAATACCGACAACGCAACGGCCGAGACACGGAGGAAGAAGTCGAGTTCAGTGATGTGTACGAAGAAGTCGACAGACTCATGACGAGGAACAAGGTCAACATGCACAAGATCAAGTCTTGTTCACGGAAATACGCCTTCGAGCTGCCGGGCATTCCAAAGGAAGCGGATTATCTTAAGCTTCTCTACCCCTACACCAAATCGGTCCTGCCCATGGACACCAAGGGGGAGACGTTCTCCCATGTCTTCGGCACCAATACCGCACTCTTTGAACAATTCGTGCTGTGGAAAAACATCATGGGCCCTTGCTGGCTTCAGGTTGATGGCGGTAACTTCAACGCCGTCAACAATGCTTCCTGGTGCAAGCTTGAGCTGCAGGTCGACAAACCGAATGGCATCACCACCCTTGGTGATTCCGACAACCTTGAGGCGCCGCCCCTCACGCTCATGTCTCTCGCGTTGAGGACCACCATGAATGTCAAGGAAAATAAAAACGAGATTCTCGTCGCAAGTCTCCGGTTCTATGAGAACGTCTCGCTGACGGATACAACGCCGGCCGAGAAGCTTCCTCAGCGCACCTTTACTATCATGCGTCCAAACGGCGAGTATCCATTAGGTTTCAAGATGGAGGCAGAGAAGCATCGAGGCCAAATACGCATGGAGAAGAGTGAGGGGGCACTATTGTCCATGACTCTTGCCATCATTCAGAAGTACGATCCGGATGCCATCATGGGTCACCGACTTGACGATGTCGATTTCAACGTCCTCCTGACTCGTATGAAAGAGCGCAAGACGCCGGGCTGGCACCGCATTGGACGACTGAAACGCGACGACTGGCCAAAGAACTTCGGCAAGGGAGGGGGTAGCTTCTTCGCTGAACGACACCTCGCTGCAGGGCGGTTGTTGTGCGATCTCGCAAACGACATGGGCAAGAGCATCATGACTGGATGCCAGAGCTGGAGCTTGGATGAGATGTGCACCTTGTATCTCGGAGGTAACAACAAGCGCCGTGACATCGACAACGAGAAAGCACTGGCAATGGCGACCACGCGAGACGGGCTGATGAATTATGTCAAGCTCTGTGAAGCCGACACATTCTTCATCGCCGCCATTGCTATCAAACAACAATTTCTGCCGCTTTCAAAGGTGTTGACGAATTTGGCCGGCAACTCGTGGGCGCGTACTTTGAGCGGCACTCGTGCGGAGCGCAACGAGTACATTCTGCTTCACGAGTTCTATCGCAACAAGTTCATCTGTCCAGACAAGGTCTTCGGAAAGGGAGCGTCGAACAAGAAGCTGGAAGAGGCCGACCACGCCGATGAAGATGGTGCGGATGTCAAGAAGAAGGACAAGTTCAAGGGAGGTCTCGTGTTTGAGCCAGAGAAGGGACTGTACGACCGATTCATCCTCGTCATGGACTTCAACTCGCTGTACCCCAGCATCATTCAGGAGTTCAACATCTGCTTTACCACTGTGGACCGCAGCGACATTACGGAAGACGATGACAAGGTGCCTGAAGTACCAACAGACACAGCGAACAAGGGGATCCTGCCCCGACTGATTCGCACATTGGTCAGTCGAAGGCGAGAGGTCAAGAAACTGATGAAGGACAAGACCGCCACCGATGATCAACGCAAGACCTGGGACGTGAAGCAGCTGGCATTGAAGCTGACGGCAAACTCAATGTACGGATGTCTGGGATATACCAAGTCTCGCTTCTACGCTCGACCGCTCGCGGCTCTTACCACGTCGAAAGGCCGTGAGATTCTCCAATCCACCAAGGAGCTCGCCGAGTCGGCGCACGCACTTCGCGTCATATACGGTGATACTGATTCCGTCATGGTGAACACCAACAAAGACAACATTCTAGAAGCCGTGAAGATGGGCAATGAGTTCAAGAAGAGCGTCAACGAGAGGTACGAGCTCCTTGAAATCGAGATCGACAATATCTTTCGACGGTTGTTGTTGCACGCCAAGAAGAAGTACGCTGCAATCAACATGATCGAGGTCGATGGAGTGTGGAAGGAGAAGATGGAAGTCAAAGGGTTGGACATGCGGCGGCGAGAGTATTGCCAACTGTCGAAGGATACTTCACAGTGAGTTGTTTGGCGTCACTGTGTGGTCATGCCAATGCTGACGGAGTTTAGGGAACTGCTGAACTACTTGCTGTCCGGAGAAGAGCCAGAAAAGGTGGTCTCGCAGATTCACGACCACCTGCGCTCGCTCTCAACGAAGATGCGCAGCAACGAGATCCCCGCGCACAAATACACCATCTACACGCAGCTCGGCAAAGCGCCGAACGAGTATCCCAACGGAAACTCGATGCCGTCCGTCCAGGTCGCACTCAAGCTGATGGCCAAAGGCAAGCACGTCAAAGCCAAAGATGTCATGAGCTTCGTGATCTGTGGCAACAGCGGCGGGTCGGCGGAGAATGCGGCCAAGAATGCGCACCCACTGGACGAGGTTCTATCAAAGGACAGCGACCTCGTTCCTGATGTGGACTACTACCTACATAAGCAGATTCTGCCTCCGGTGGAGCGGCTTTGTGCTCCGATTAGCGGCACGAACGTCACATTGCTCGCAGAGTGTCTCGGCCTTGACACCAGCAAATACAGGGTCAGCGGGGCGGCGAAGAGTGCCGAGCAGAGCAATGAGATCACGACATTGGAGAGCCAGATCCCCGATCACATTCGCTTCAAAGATTGCGAGCCGCTGGGCCTGCTATGTCTGGGCTGCAAGCACCACTTTGAATACCGCGGTCTCAACTACCAGGCCTCCGCCGACCAGGAGACTCTCACGCCTCTTGGCATCCTCTCCAACGACGGACTGAGATGTCCTCGAGCGGAGTGCAGCAAGTCCATCTCGACGCTGGCCATGTCTGCTCAACTCGAGACCCAGGTCCGGCGGCATACAAGCCGCTACTACTCTGCATGGCTGATCTGCGACGATCCGGCGTGCGGCATGCGCACTCGACATATGAGCGTGTACGGGCATCGCTGCTTGGGGCCGAAGGGCCTCGCGTATGGCTGTTCGGGACGAATGACGTTCGAGTATTCGGAAAAGGCACTCTACAATCAGTTGCTTTACTTACAAACGCTCTTCGACGTCGACAAGAGCCTCGAGAAGATGGAGCGGCCGGGCGCCGTGAAGATGGAGGATGGGGAGAAGAAGAAGATTCTCGCGGGGATGAACCGGGAGAGGTTCGGGATGTGCTGGGACGTGGTCAAGGCTTACTTGGACAAGAGTGGCTGGGGCTGGGTCAGCATGGACTCTCTGTTTGGGTATGCATTGAAGAGTTTGTTGTAGTCAGATGGTTTGCGTTATGGAGTGCGTGGGAAAGTACAAGTCTTATTGAAATATGCAGTCTTGCAGACATTGTGACAAGCCTAATGGGGCGACGCCTTGTGCTGGCCGCAACGATGGTTCCGGCCGCCGTGCTGTGATGCTGATGCTGATGTATCAAGGGCCAAAGTGGCCATACTGCCGCTGAAACTCATCCCACGAACGCGCCGGTCGACTGAGAACGGGATGATAAGCGTACCAACAGTCGAAGACATCCCAAAGAATCGAGGGTGAGGGTTGCCATTGGCCATCCACCCGCGGGATCTGCGTCAATCTTTCGGCCATGCGAGACCGCAGAATGATGGCGTGCTCGCAATCACACGGCTGGCCCGACTTGTTCCAGACCCACGTTTTGCGGCGCCTCAGGTCGACATCGACGGTGAAGATGCAATCCTGTTCGTGGTCGAGAGGAATCCTCAGCATGCCTTTGAACCTCAAGTGTCGAATGCAAGTGGCCGAGTCCTTGACGATGTCCTTGAGCCATCGATGGAATGTCCAGTCGGTCGGGATGTAATGACCCATTCCGTTGAGCAGGTACGTCTCGAAGATGTTGGTCGACCAGTAAATGGGTATCATCTCACGCGTGAGCTCCTGGTCGACTGCAGCCAGAGACTTGGCCAGCGTTGATCGCGGCGGCTCGCTCGAGCTGGCCCCTTCGTCGATGTTGATGACATTCGGCCGTGAAGATATGGCCATGGAGTAGATCTTGAGCCGGAGCTCAACGGGCAGCTGAAGTAGGGTCGCCATGTTGCACACGGAAGCGTCAAATGGTGATGCCGCAATTGCAATGTTGTGATCGCTTGATATTCAGTGCAAGTAATGTGAGCGTGATGGTGGCGATGTTCCGAGCGGATGGTCGTGATATTTTATTACCGCCGCCAAATGACGATATCGCTGACTCGCGTGTGACGTGTGGCTGATGAGGTTCACGAGCCTCGCGTGTGTCGCCGCATTGGGCCTAGCGCACCGACCCTGAGGCTCGTGCGAATGTCGGCCCGTTTCCACAAGTGGTGGGAAGCAAATGTGAGGTGAGTTGGGGAGACGGAGCTCACCAGCACATCCGCTGCTTGCAAACGCGCCCTCTCCCTCCACTCCCCTCCTCCTTTGCCGCGCTCCTAACCTATCTTGTCCACGTCTAGGACACTCGCCGTCCGTCATGGTTGCTGCTCGTCTGCTCCGTCCCGCCGCGCGGCTCCTGCGACCCTCACCATCCATCCGCCCAACAGCTACCTTCCAGCGAGTATCCGCGCCGACAGCGTCGAGATGGCGGACCTACGCTTCCGAGAACGGACCGAAAGAGATGACTGTGCGTGATGCGTTGAACGAGGCCCTGGCGGAGGAGATGGAGGTGAATCCCAAGGTCTTCATCCTCGGTGAAGAGGTGGCCCAGTACAACGGAGCGTAAGTCTTGCCAATACTTGCTTTCCCGCGTGGCCTCGCGCTGATGGACAAGGATAGATACAAAGTCACAAAGGGCCTTCTCGACCGCTTTGGGGAGAAGCGGGTCATCGACAGCCCCATCACGGAGTCGGGCTTCGCTGGCCTATGTGTCGGCGCCGCCCTAGCAGGCCTCCACCCTGTCTGCGAGTTCATGACGTTCAACTTTGCTATGCAAGCCATTGACCAAGTCATCAATTCGGCAGCCAAGACCCACTACATGTCTGGTGGCATCCAACCATGCAACATTACCTTCCGCGGGCCCAATGGCTTTGCGGCCGGCGTGGCCGCGCAGCATTCGCAAGACTACTCGGCATGGTACGGATCGATCCCCGGCCTCAAAGTCGTCGCTCCTTACTCCTCCGAAGACGCCAAGGGACTGCTAAAGGCAGCCATCCGAGATCCTAATCCCGTTTGCGTACTCGAGAACGAGCTCTTGTATGGCTTGTCATTCCCCATGAGCGAGGCGGCGCAGAAGGACGACTTTGTCTTGCCTGTGAGTGTCTTTTTTCGCATGGTCAATCTGCGCGGCCCACACTGACACTTCGTAAAATAGTTCGGCAAAGCCAAGATCGAGCGTCCCGGCAAGGACCTGACGATCGTCACCCTCTCGCGCAACGTCGGCCTCTGTCTCGTAGCGGCGGATGCGCTCAAGAGCAAGTACGGCGTGGAGGCTGAAGTCATCAATCTCCGTTCCATCAAGCCCCTGGACATTGAGGCCATTGTGAATTCCGTCAAAAAGACTGGTCTGATGATGGCGGTGGAATCGGGCTTCCCCATGTTCGGCGTGGGCGCGGAACTCATTGCACTGACGGTCGAGTACGCGTTCGACTACCTCGATGCGCCGCCGGTGCGCGTGACTGGCGCGGAAGTGCCCACCCCGTACGCACAGAAGCTGGAGGAGATGAGCTTCCCGACACCCGAGCTCATCACCGAGTACGCCGCGAAGCTGTTGAAAGTTTGAGCCATCACCAAGCGGCATGAGCCAGCGCCATCATGCTGCCAACTCGAGGCGAAGCGCGAATGACATGGGGGGCGAGCAATCGTTTTATCGCGACCGCGCCTCCAGATCAGTGCAGTGGACGGGCGGGGAATGATAGATGATCGGCGTGGCTCTGTTGTGCAACTGCATCACGTGGCTAGCACGAGATGGGTCAGGACGCGGTGAGCGGAGCGGCGTTCGCCTCTGTACTCCTTCGGCAGCTGGTTCTGATTTGGTTGTGTTTGTTTTCATTGGCAAGGGGCGCCATTGTGTATGTAAAACATCTTCTGCGCACGGCATAGCGCAGGGCTGCGTGGGAGTCTGAACACCGCTTTATGGACATTGTTTTCAAGTGCTTTTGACCGCGGTAGTGATCCGCGTCCGCTCCTATTTCCGTCGCGATCTTCTTGCCAATGGAGCGATCTCGAGCTGGTAGTCTCACGACACGAAGTGGCGAGGCCGATCGATGCAACGGAGGTCATCCTACCTTCACTCGTTGCTGTAGTCTTGTCATCGTGTCGATATCGAACTTCCCTCCAACACTTCCATACTCAATGGTAAGCATCGCCCCATCATGCAGATCCATCACCCTTCTTGCCCACACAGCAATCGCCCGCCTGCAGGCTTCCCGCGCCATCACCCGCGCTCTCCTCACTCCCGTCCGGCTCTCTCTCCCCGTACTCCGCCCCCTTGTCGTCGCAGAAACGCGCCATGAACGTGTCCTTGCTCGAGAGGCCTTCGGGGTCATGCGTCGTCCATCGAATGTGCGTCTTGTTGTACACATTCGACCATTCGGGATGATGCCTTTGCTTTTTGCATTCAGCTGCTACGGCGTTCATGAAGTCCTACGAACGGCGAGAGTCAGTGCATGAAGAACGGTCGGGTAAGCATGCACCCACTCACCCAGGTGGCTTTAAATGTCTTGAACTTGAACTGTCGCTCCAGGCCTTTGCCGTCGTTGCAGATTCGCCATCGGCCCTGGTCTACCAACGAGGTGGTTTGTTGAGCGAGTGCCTCCGCTTCTTCTCCCTTGGAGGGAGAGATGTGGTTTGTGTCGACCATCGAGGAGCCGGACGTCTTGAACTGTTGGTAGCTATTCCTGGCCAGAAGAGAGCGGGGATTGCTGCATCGCAGGCGGGAGAGTCGAGATGGAAGCATTGGCTCCTTTGATGATCCAGCTGGGTTTGAGGGTTTATCTCAATCTAAGTTACGACGCTGCTCAGAGTTTGAATCTGAAACTGCCCAGCACTATACGCATCGGGTTCTGCTTCGTGTGTTATTATGCCGTCTTGGAACGAGTTCTTGATCGAAGACGATTCTTAAGGTTAAGAACATTCTCTAATTCCGTCCAGCACTGAGCACAGACCGCCAGGGCAGCACAGATGGGAGCATGAGCATAAACCAAGTCTATTTCTACTGAGCCGCTGACTGAACTACGACTCTCCACGGATGATGTCGAGCATCGTCCAGTAGATTGCAACCAACACCACAATGCAAAGTCACCTAAGCCAGCCACTTCAGCTCGCCTTCCTTGACCTTCCCAGCATCCACCAAAGTCTTAACCTGTTCCTGGAAGACGACCTTCGCGCCCGTCTTGTCCTTGCCGTTGAGGTTTGAGCTCAGCAGCGCCACCTCCTCGTTGTCGAGCTTGAGGATGAGGGCGTCGACGTCGTTCAGCGTGCCGTCGATCGTCTTGGCATCCGCATCGCCATCCGCAAAGTAGTTGGCGTCCTTGATCGCCCCGCGGATCACACGTTTGTTCTTCTTCGCCGCGTTCTTCGCCGCTTCCTTGGCCTTCTTCCCCTCCTCCTTCATCGCCTTGTCGGCCTCTTCCTTCTCCTTTTGCAAGCGCTCGTCCTCCGCCTTCTTCTTGGCCGCCTCCTCTTTGGCCGCTTGCTCCGCCGCCTCCTTCTCCGCCTTCTTTTGGTTCTTGGCCTTGTTGCCTTCTTGTCGGAAGCGCTTGATGCGCTCGTCCATGGCCAGGCAATCGTCGACCAGCTTCCTCAGGCGTTGCGTGTCTTCCGTCTTCCGCTTCTTCCGCGCGTTGTTGTTCTTGCGCTCCATGTGTCTCTTCTGGTCTCGGTTTTCGTTGTCGTCCGGCACATCTTCGTCGAGATACTCGAAACTCCTCCACGAGTCGAAGTTGTACCAGAAGTTGTAGAACTCCTCCACGTGCTCCTTGCTGCTGTTGGCGTCGCCGATCTTGGGCACGTCTTTCAGCGGGTATTTGACGGAGAAGCGGCCTTCGCTCACAAACACCGCGCCCCACAGCTTGTAGAAGTTGTTCGGCTTTTTCTGCACCTCCTTCTTGGTGGGGGGCTCGATGTTGGCCTCCTCGTCGACACTGTCGAACTGTCGGCGCTTCACCGGGTCGAGCAGGATATCGGTGGCTCGCTGAATGCACTTGAAGAACTGATCGCCCTCCTCCCGCCCGCTCGCCGCCTTCTTGTCGGGGTGGTGCTTCAACACCTTCTTGCGGTGCGCACGCTTGATCTGGTCTTCCGTGGCCCGGTAGCGGTACTTGCTGAGGCCGAGCACGGCATAGTGATCCTGCGTCTTCCAGTCCTTGGCCTCGCGGGCAAGCAGAGCCGGGTCCTCGTCCTCGCTGATGTCGCCGGGGTCTTCTTCCTGGGCTTTGGCGACGGTCTGTTGCGCCTGGATGCGCTCGTCTTCGCTGAAGGTGCGCTTGTGTCGCTTGCGGCGGGCGTGGGCGAGGAAGTGCGGTCCCACGGGCTCGATGGCACGGGAGATGGGGGCGGAGAGATGATCGATGGGCTTGAAGTCCTTCTCCGCCGACCAGCCATCTGGCAGGCTCGGCAGGGTGGCCGTCAGTTGGATGGTGGCCATGATTGGTGGATGGGGAATAGTTAGAACGGGAGTGATGAAGGCCTCGAAATAATTTTGAGACTCCGGGAATTCTTGAAATTTCTCGATAGCGAGAGCACGCGGAGCTGGTCCGTGCACGCGCCATCCATCACCTCTTCAATCTGGACAACGTCTCTGGCCTTCCAACACAGTGACCGGCAATGGAACGGCGATAGCATTGACAAGCCGGACCATGCAGTCTTTGCTATACCTCAGCGCCGCCGAAAAAATGGCCAACCGCACCTTCGTCCTGGCGACCTACCGCCACCTGCTGCGTGCCACTCGCATCGCATTTCGAGGTATCTCAGCTTCCGCCCGCCTTGCCCTCTGCGCCCTCGCCCTTACCCTCCCTCACTGACATCGCGTCTAGACGACGAACCGACTCTGACGGCCTCTCGCCATTACGCTCGCGACCAGTTCCGCAAAGATGGCAGACTCGCCTCCGGAAGCACCGAAGCGGGACAATGCGTCGAGCATGCCCAGGACGTGACCAAGATTCTGCGAGAGAATGTAGTTCAGGGCAAGAAAAAGGGAGACAACACGTGAGTCTGGATTGGAGGCGGCGCTTTGGCATACGGCTTGGGCTGACGGGGCACGAAAAGATACAAATTAAACATGCACGAGGACACTCAGCGATTAGACAATCACACCGCCACGACGCTCAAAGGCACGACCAAGACGTTCAAAGACATCAAGAATGCTACATTCTGATGGAACCCTTCGAATCGAGAGAAGGCAGAAGATTTGACGAAAGGAGACACAACCCACGGAGACACTCTACGCCGCCGGTATTGCACATGAAACATCCTCGATCCCTAGCTGGGGTCGAGTACGGCGGAACAGAGGCGAAGCAGCCTAGACAGACGGAGTACCACGTGAGAGCGAGAGGCAAGGTTGATCTGTGCAAGAATCCATGGCAGACCGGACTCGATGGGGAATGCATATACTGTATTCAAAATCTAATTACATATCACCAGGAGTGCTCAGCTCAGCAACGCGAAACGCCATGCTCATGCTCCCAGAAAACGATGGACCTCCCAACTGCAACCACCCCTACTTCCTCTCGGGCTTCTTCCCAATCATCAAATACATTGGCGTGAAAAGCTTCTCCTTGCCCCCGGCAACAAGGCAATCCGCCGCTTTCGCCAGCGAGTCTGCCGTCTTCTGCGTGCCTTGTGGTGCCATCCTGATCATCTCCAGTGCTCCAACGAAGCGATGCACCAACCCGCGGCCCAGATGTGTCATGCGCACCAGCGTCGGGAAATCCCAAACGCTCTGCATGTAGCGCAGGTCGCCGCTGAGCGGGTAGTACCACGGCAGCGGGTCAGGGCGATCGGCCAGATCCTCATGCTGTTCGAGCTTAAAGCCGGCGGCTTTCATTGCAGCGAGCGCCACGTCGATCTTCTCCATATTGGAGATGCCATCTCCCTGTTCGATGCCCAGGCGGATCTCACGATGGTGGGGATTGCTGTTGTCGTAGTCGTCCTTCATCAACCATTCGTACACGCCAAAGGTACCACCGGGCTTGAGAACGCGGAAGATCTCGCTGTAGATGCCCTCCAGACTGGGGGCATGGACGGTGGCCTCGATGGCGTAGACGGCGTCGAAGCTGTTGTCGGGGAAGGACATTTGCATAAAGTCGCCCTTGACGAAGCTGACTTGCTTCTCGAGGCCCTCGCGGATGGCGTGGCGGGTGGCGCGCTCGATCTGGTAGTCGTTGTTGTTGAGGCCGATGATGTTGGCCCCGGTGAACTTGGCAATCTCCCTTGCCGGGCCACCGACACCGCAGCCGACGTCGAGGACGTTCATGCCCTCCTTGATGCCGGTCTGCAGGGCGAGGTAGTGCTCGTGTCGGGCAATGGCCTGCCGGAAGGGCTCGTTCTTGCTGAAGCGGCAGAAGTGGAAGGACTCGCCCCACCCGTACTCGTACAGGTCGGTGGCGAGGTTGTAGTAGTGTCGGGTGAGGGTGGCATACTCCTGTCGTCTGCTCTCGCGAATGGCGTCGGTCTCGTCCGCCGAGGCCTTGTTGTCCCAGTGCTTGAAGTATTCGTCCACCGCTTCTTTCTTGGCCAGATGGTTCTTCTGCATCATGGCGAGGAAGGCGTTGCGCTCGCCGGCGCTTTTGCCGTGCAGCGCCTTTTGGAAGGCTGCATCGCGCTCGACGTCCTGCTTCTCTAGCTTGGCAGCGGGCATGGTGGCGGTGATGTTGGGTCGGAGGATGGAGTAGGGTGTGTGGGGGAAGAAGGATGAGGTACAACGGATGTGCGGACGCTGATATAGTGGAGTGGTGCGGTGGAATATCGTTCGATCTTTTCTCAACCATTCGACCCGGGGGAATCTTCCCTAGGGCTGTAATTTTTTATGAACGGCAATCGACCCATTCTACGCCGCGCATGCAGGCACCCGCTGCTGCCCGAGATTAGCGTCATGGCTCGTCCTTCGGCACGTGATTTGGAGGGCTCGGATGACATAAGCAAGATTGCTGGTTTTCTGGAAGCAGAAAGATTGCAACGATTTGAAAGCCATCCACACTTCCTCCTTCTCCCTTGTCGACCTCCACTCAACGTTTGCCATACGAACGAGAGTCGAGGGCAGAACTGCGGCATCACCATGCCGCCTCAAATCAAACATGATCTCAACCGCAGCGGGTGGGAGAGCACCGACATGCCCTCCGTCTGCGAACGCTGCCTGCCCGACAATCCCTACGTACAAATGCTCAAGGAGGACTACGGCGAGGCCTGCAAGATCTGCACCCGCCCCTTCACCGTCTTCCGCTGGAAAGCCGACCGCACCTCTCGTCAAAAGCGCACCGGCATCTGTCTGACCTGCGCCCGCCTGAAAAACTGCTGCCAGTGTTGTCTGCTCGACCTGGCGTATGGCTTGCCGGTGACCATCAGAGACGCTGCGCTGAAGATGATTGCCCCCGGACCCACGAGCGAAGTCAACCGGGAGTTCTACGCGCAGGAGAACGAGAGGGCTATCGAGGAAGGAAGAGGCTTGGAGGGCTACAACGAACAGGATGAGAAGGCGAGGGATCTGCTGCGAAGACTGGCGAGTAGTGAGCCGTACTACAAAAAGCAGAGACGTCTGGAAGCGGAAGCTGCCAGCGAAGGCGGACAAAAGCTGCTTGAAGGCGGCGAGCAGCTTCACGAGCCCGGGCCGGTGCGCACGAAAGATTCACGCGAGGGCAAATCGGCGTACGGATCACCGTATGCTGCTGCACGACCGGGCAGCTCTGCTGGGGCTCGAAAAGGTGCGCCATCCAAACGGAAACCTGTGTCTGCGCCGACAGCCGAAGACATCCTGCCACCCGCCGACCCCAACATTACCTCTTTGTTCCTCACCGGCGTGGAAGACGATTTGCCAGAGCATGCGCTACGCACCCATTTCGCGCAGTTCGGGCCTCTTAGAAGCGTGGTGTGCAGCCACCGGTCACATTGCGCGTTCATGAATTTCATGAAGCGCGAGGATGCGGAGAAGGCGGCGCAGGCGTGCCAGGGACGGTGCGTGATCCAGGGCGTGCCGCTGAGGGTGCAGTGGGGCCGACCAAAACCCCTCGACAGCTTGGGCAGAGAGGAAAGGCTGGAGAATGCGAGAGCTGGTAGAGAAGGGCAGGCATCGGGATCCGGATCGAAGAGGAAACTGCTCGAGGGCGCTGGGGGAGGGAGCGGAAGCGGCTCGACGCGCGAACCTGACGATCTGGCTCTTGTCGCACCGCCTCCGGGACAGGATGACGTGCAATACGCGGCAATGGCCGGAGAGTAAGGTAATATGGGATTATTTGAGACGGGTTGAAGCGCGGTGTTTGGCGTTCCGCGATAAATGCGGCGTTATATCCTTGATTACTCGCGAAAGCGGTACGAAATGACACGAATCGGATGACGTTTGCCTGACCCCTTAGGCCTACTCTGCCTTTCGCAAAGATGCTGTCTTCCTGGCGACGTGCGAAGGAGATGACGAGGTATGGCTCCCATGCAGAAATCGGCCTGGGCGCCGAGACCTGCTGCCCCTCCACTCCGCGTGGGGCTGGGCGGCAGCTTCACATCCTCCGAGACCCTAACCTACCTCTGACCGCTCTTCAACATCACTGCTTCCTTCTTGCCCCTCTCCGTGGCACCCTCTGCCACGTGCCCCCTCCGCGTCATATGGATCGCCGGGGCACACGTGTTGTCGAGCCATCTCGCACGCCTTGCCATTCGCATTGACCCTCCCCTCCCTCTTCCCCGCCTCGAGCTCGCCAGCAACAACAGCCGTCACCCCATTGAAGAGTCCACGCCGTTCATCATGGCCACTTCGCCCTCTCCACACTCTTCTCCCGCCCTGAAACCCGTCAAGCCCGCCTCTCCTCCCCTCGAACCCCCCAAGAAATCCCCCTTCGTGCCATCCTGGCGCAGACCTACGCTCATTCAGCCCGGCTCAACCGGGGGTCGCCGGCCTTCTGTGCAATTCATCCCGCAGGCCACCACCGATGGTGCCAATAGCCGTCCACAATCCCGCTCCCCCAGTGCCCAACCGAGCGGTAGTCGCGTTGCGAAGCCGCCTCTCGCCGAACCCGGCAACGCAGGAAGACGGCTGAGCAGTCCTCCGCCGCCCGCGCAGTTCCGCAGCAGCGTATCCTTCGACACCTTCAACAACAAAGAGGCGAGCGACTTCAGCTTGACGCTCAACAGAAAGCACCGCGACTACAAATACACCAAGCGCAGTCGCACATTCCTGTGTGGCACGGATACGAACGACTACTCCGACACGGCGCTAGAGTGGCTGATTGATGAGCTGGTCGACGATGGGGATGAGGTGGTATGCCTGCGGGTGGTAGAAAAGGACAGTAAGGAGGCGCTCAAGTGGAGTGGTGGATTGGGAGAGAAGGGATATCGAAACGAGGCGGAGAGGTTCCTTGACGCGATTGAGAAGAAGAATACGGAGGACCGCGCGATCTCGTTGATCTTGGAGTTCTCCATCGGGAGGGTGCAAGAGACGATTCAGCAGATGATCCGCATTTACGAACCGGCCATGCTGGTCGTCGGAACTCGTGGCCGATCGTTGACGGGCTATCAAGGCTTGCTCAGTTCCGGATCGGTCAGCAAGTACTGCCTGCAATACTCGCCCGTCCCCGTCATTGTGGTACGGCCGAGCTCGAAACGTGAGGCGAAGAAGAAGAAGCGCCTCAAGGATCCCGACAGGATGGGTTACCGAGACATCCTGGACAAGAGCGAAGATGCTCAGCGGGGTCGCGGCGGGCATCTGCTGGACGCACAGAATCGACGATCGGTGGTGGGTGCGAATTACGGTGCCCTCGGCGAGTTGGGAAGCGCCGCTGGCGATCCTGACCGCGAAGCACGCATGGTTGCGGAAGCCATTGGCTACCAGGGCCCCCCTCCACGAGCAAGCACGCCCCTGGGCACGCGCAGAGAGAGCAGCCTTTCTCGCGTCACAACGGCCGACAGCGGTCGGAGTCGACGTGAGAGCTCCCTGTCCCGCTCGACCACTGGTGACAGTAATAGAGGCCGGCGCGAGAGCTCCTTGTCGCGTGTGAAATCGGACGACAGTGAGATGGTGGGCGCCCTACTCAAATCGCCGGATTCGCAGACTCTGGACAGCCCGGAGGTGAGCGATGAGGAAGCGGATGAGGGCGATGACGAAGAGTTTGTACGACCGGAAGACGAGGCCGCGAGGTTGGCGTATGAGCGTGCGATACAGACGATGGAGGAAGAACAGGAGGAGGCGGATGCTCGGGCTCAGAGAGACGCGGAAAGGAGCATGAGTCGGGGACGTGCGACGGGGATCAGGGGGAGCAGTCGGAGCCGCAGTGGCGTTAGAGAAGGTCGTGAAGACGGCAGAGGTGCGGCAGTACTGGGCATGCTTGAGCAACTAGACAAGGGTGGGCGATGAGATGGAGCTTATAGCCGCAACGATGCAGCACCAGCTGTAGCCCGCGCGCAATGGTGTGGAACACAGTCAATATACTCGTCTGGTACTCGGCTTTACCCATCGTGCCTTGTCGCACGGATGGTTTGCTATCCATTGCCGTATCTTGGCCGTGTTCCACCCTGCGTGGAAGTGGCGATCGGCATCGCTCCAGCCCCAGGTATAGAACCAGCCCTGAGTCCGATCAAAGTCCGTGAAGCCCGGCTCCTCACGGTGTCCGTAGTGCATCGAGCGAACGAAACGGCAAGCGCGAAGGTGATAGGTCCACTGGAAACAGTTGTCATGCGCTTCGCACGCTTGCTGGCAGTCATCTGCTGATGCATGTGCGCTGCGACCGGCTGCGTTCACTTTATTGGGGGCGCGAAAGCTATCGCGCTCGGCGTTGTTCCAGTGCATCCGCGGCTTGAGATTTGCAAAGTCGTAGTACGACACGGCCAGATCGCGATACAAAAGAGGATGCTGGAGGAGGTCATTGTCAGAGAGGATGGAGCGGTGCCTGACTGTCTCGGAGACTTACATCGAGCTCTCGATTCTCCCACTCCCACGTCCACAAATCGGCCATTTCAGTCATTTGCCCATGGGAATGCATGGACATAACTGGCTGGCACCAATAGCCCTCTTTGTACGTCACTTCGTGGGCGAATTGCGAATGGAACATGGGATGCACGCCGCGGATCGTGATGTTGCTCCACCAAAGAGCCCAGCCAAGCGTGGAGTCGCCGCAGCAGTCTTCATTCAGTACGGCCCAGTGCTCTTCGGTGCGCCGCAGTCCAAAGTCGGGGTCAACATCGACATCCAGGAATTTGCGCATCGCACCACGGCTGAGAATGAAACCCGGCCCGCCGTTAGCCCACCAGGTTCCCTCGTTGCCCGCAGTCGGTGAGCCGAAGTACAGCAGCTGGTCGGGGTCGAAATGGCCGAGAAAGCGAAAGACGTTGTCCCATGCGACGTACGTGTCGTCTTCAAAGAACACGTACCACTTCATGTCGGGACGCATTCGCCATGCTCGGGTGAGCTCGGGCAGGAACTTGAACTTGTCCGCGCCCCAGCCTTCCGGCTCCGTGGCGGTGTCTGCGGCCAGCGCGCCATTGCGCCACGCTTTCAGCGCCTTCGCTTTCCTCGTCAAGTGCTCCGGGAGATCGGCGATGACGTCGATAATGTCGTGGCCCTCGAATGTCTCGGCGCTGTCGGAGAAGATGAGGAGATTCGTCAAACAGGCCGAGATTGTTCGCAAATGTGTGCGGAGACGTGCCTGCACTAGCTATGGGTTGAACGGAGCATGTCAGCAAGGCGACTTGTGCGTGGTTGAGCATGCAGAGGAAAAACAAGGGCCCAGACGCTGGCCGTGTTTGGTGGGGGACGACGATTCGGGGGATGAGCACTTACCGCGTGACCAGTCTTCAGCACCGGCTGGATGTCGTTGAGTAGGTGGGTCGGGAAGGCGGCACACAGTTGTGCGGGCGTCTTGACTGCCGCGCCATACTGTCGGACGGGGTCAAAGGCAGATTGGGTGTCCCATTCATAGGCGCCCGGGCCGTCCGGCTCCAGAAGCACTCCGGGCGGCTTTGATTTGGATCTCAGGGGACACCAGCCCTGCGGAGTGGCACAGGACGATAGCGAGAGGAGAGAAAGGACGACGCAGAGGGTGACGAGCAGTGGCAATGCGCGGTGCAGTGCTGGCTGGCTCAGCAGAGGTCTGGCGCGGAAGCGGCCATTGCGAATGTGCGGGCGAAGGCGCAGCATGTACATGTAAGCATGGAATCGAGCAGCAGGGTGCTGGCATGTGCCATAAGGGAAAGGCGAGCGCGGTCGTCGAGGTCGTGGACCAACTTTCAGCCAAGCTGCGACCTGGAGAGCGACAAGGACCGCAACGAAGCTTTGCGGGGGAGTGACGGCAAGGCTGCGGGAGCGAGCAATCCCATCCGCAAGAGGACGGCGGCGGTGGTGGAAGGCGGGCGATGGGTGTGTGTCGTGCGCCTACGACGCCTCGTTCGTCAGCAAGCTGGCATGTATACGATGATGAGGTGGAGAGGAAAAATCCTCCAATCGCCAAAGCACTAACAAGTCGACGGAGATTCTTCCGGCGGGAGGCCTCGCTTTAGACGGCCTTGGGGAGCTTGGCACCTAGGTTATTAGGCGGCTGAAAGTCCTCGTATTCTATAGTGGAGTATTGCCCGAGATTGCGGACCTGTCCGTTGCCAGGCTTGTAGAACTGTTGCTTCCGACAGGGCGGGGAATCAAAGACGCCGTTACAAATAAAGTCGTCGTCGGCGCTTTCGCGGCGGTGGCGGACCCCGATCTTTGCCCGCCACGTGATCTGCAAGCCGCTGAGGTTGCGGGCAAAGAACGCGATATGCAGCATCCACATCCAGTCGACTAGACATGCAGCTTGTTCCATGTACGTAAGCGCGTGGGGCAGCTGCTGGACGCTTCGAGATCGTCAATGGATGTGCAACGCGCTTTACGCGAGCCCAGGACCGAGTGGCCTGCTTGCCTGCCGGTCTTGCTTCCCGATAGAAGGCACTACAGTCCGCCGTTCTAAACCGTCGCTCGAGCATGTCGCGTGCTGGTCTGCCGTTGGTGTGCGCAGCCTTACGGGTCCAGACTACGCCGGCTCGGGCAACTCCGATCGTCATCACGCATCCAAAGGTTCACAGGGCACAAGTCATCATTACCAAGAATCATTATACGAACAGCTTCATTGTTGTTGCCTAGCTGATACGCGCGGTCTGCTATCGTGAAGGGCCAGAACATCAAGCCAAGCGCTGCTCATGTGTCTCCCAATTGCTGCCCCTTGTCCATCCCACTCACACTCAATACTCATCATCGTCAGCCGCGCCATCCAGGTAAGACTCGGGATTAATGGCCCTTCTATAGTCATCTTCGCCGATATCTTCCCGATCATCCTGCTCGCCAAAGCCCCAACCTCGCGTGGTGCCCGCATCCGAGCCGTAGTCCAGCTCCTCGTCCTGCACGTAATCGTCTTCGTCGCCCTCGGACTCTGCTTCTTCCGCCCCTGCGCTTGCCTGCGTCTGCGTCTGAGGTGGCGAGAGAGGTGCTTGCTGCCCTTTTGCAAGAGACGCCGCTTTGCCATGATTGCCGGGGCCCTGCGTCGCTGGCGGTGTTTGCAAGCGCACCGTCGCGCTTCGAAGCTCCGGTGCGGGACTCGCTGACGGAGTCCTGCCGGAACCCATCTCACTGACACTCGGCGTCTGGCTGCCCGCTCGACTGCCGCTGAAGCTCGACGAACTCGGCTCGTATACTTTGCGCAGCGCCTCGTAATTGATGTACTTCGAGAATGCGGGCGGAGCATGCTTCTCGAGCATCAACAAACTGGCATCGGCAGGCGACTCAATCGGCGTCGTCGCTTCCGCCATGGTCGTTCCATCTCCCATCCTGCCCTTTTTCTTTCGCTTCACGATCCTGTTCTTCTTCTTGCCCTTCTCGTTACGTCCCGACGCCTCTTGGACGGCCAGGCGTAGCTTCTTTTCGTGTTGCAAGCGCAACCAGTCCTCGTTTTCCTTGATCCAGATCCGCTCCTTCACCTGCTGCTCATCAGGAGACAACATACAATTCAACACCTCCGGATCGTCCGCAAACTCCGCATCCAGATCTTCCGCTGTCGGCTCCTGGATCTGATCCATCGTCTTCGCCTCCCACCAGTTGATGCCCTCCGCGCTCCGACGCGACTGACTCTTCTCGGCATCGCTTTTCTTCTCCTGCTCGGCAAGCGTCTTCGCCCTCTCCTCATCCTTTGCCTTTTCCAGCTCATTACGCGAGTCGACCATTTCGTCGTCGTTGAGGACATGTTCAATGTCGTTCTCCAGCTCCGCCTCGGTGATCAATTCCTCCTCGGTGACCACAATCGGTGCGGGCGGTTGCTTTTTGGGCCGACCACGTTTGGGTGTCTCTGCCTCCGGGGTGCCTCCGGTCAGGGTAGGGTCGATGGGGAGAGCGGGGATCAAGAAGCCATCAGCATCACGGCGGGGCTCTTGCTGTGCAGCTGGAGTGCCACTCTGGGGGCCCCCAGAACTTTTGCGGCGCTTGTGTGGCGGACTATCTTGTGCAACTTGGTCTGCGTCTGGGTTTGCCGAAGTCTCGCGGCTGCCGGCATCGGATCCAGCGTCCGAAATGTCAACGCTGTCCCGCGCCTCGCCTGCCTCCCGTCGCTTCCTCTTTTTCTCTTCGAATTTCTGCTTCTTCAGCTCTGACTCGTAGAGCACCGGTGGGTCATGCGTGTCCTTGAGGAGCACCCCGTACTGCCTGAATTCCTGCACGGTGAGGGCGGCACTCTTGGTCCGTCTAAACTCCTCCACGCGCTTGGCCACAGTCATGTCCGCCACCTTGGCTACATACACCACCTCGCGGGTGGAGCGACGGAAGTTGTTCATGCGCGCAGCGAGGATGATGGCGGCTCCGCACAGTCCGGCGGGGTGTCGACCGGTGACCATCCAGTCTCGCTTCATGCGACGGATGATGCGAACAGCATCTTCGGCAACCTGACGAGTGGCCTCGCCGAACTCGAGTCGTTTGCAGTACTTCATAACCAGAGATTCAACCTCGACCAAGTATTGCGTACCGACGCCGCCGACGACACTCTCGTCGAGGTAGAGCTCCGAGATCATGGATTTGTAGACCTCGCCCAGCCGGAAGACATTGAGATGCTGTAGTTCCGCAATGTCGATCAGCAGGATGGCATTGTCCTTCTGACGACGGCAGGCAGCATAGAGGCAGGCGGCAATGACCTCGTCAGTGCGTCGGCCGGCGGCGAAGTTGTGCTGCGCAGCGAGGGAGTAGAGGGCCAGTGCCTGCGTGGCCGTCGTTTCCGGAATACCGAGTTTGGGACACAGAGATCCGAGGGCGCGACGGCCACTGGCTTCGATCTCCTGGAGGGAATTCTTTTCCGAGGCGCCGACTCGACGGAAGGCAGCGGAGCCCAGCGTGCGAGCGTGGCGAGCATTCTCTCCTACGAACCCACCCTGCACGGTTGCTGCACCTCTGGAATCCTCTTGAAAGGTGACGTCGGCAACAATGTTGGATTCACTGACTTGGGTAAAGCAGTTCTGGCAGACCATTCGACCCTCGCCATCGTCTTCGATCTTCGGGTTGTCGCAACATGTCGGAGCACGAGCGGGGGGCTTTTGCGACGCCTTGGATCGATTGGCGAGAGACTTTTTGCTGAGAGAGCCCAGCCTCCGGATCTTTGGTGGAGCCGCTGGAGGCATGGTGTGTGTTGTGAGGCGGGTGAGGGAATCGATGCGACACTGAGTGGTTATGACTCAGCGTGGGTTTTGCACATGGTGTCCGATGGAACAGTGAGCTGGTGAGATCTGGGAGAACGAATGTCAGTTACGCCAGTCCTTCCAAGCGTGGCTTGAATGGCATGGAAATGAGTGGATGGCGGTGGTGATCGACGAGGCTGGGGGAAAGAGAGGTGTAGGTGGGATACAGTCGGAGGGGATTGGGAAAATTCGGAAGATGTGCGGCAAGAGCGAAGCGGAAGTTTGATCGTGCCTGCCCCGCCTCAAAAGTTCACTTCCATGGCTCAAGTACTGCGCACGGGCCGCACCGGCTTTCAGACAGCAAACGCGATTCTGGGTTCGAGTACTGAAGGAGAGATTTTCAACCTCCACTCTACTTTCGTCCTCACGCGTTACGTGATTGTTCATTCATTTTGTTCGTTGATTTCGTCCATCTGCAATCGACTTTGTCCAACGCTCTGGCCAGCGATAGGCTATCCTTTCCATCCCACCGCTCCAAACAAATGCACGCAATACGAGAAAATTCGAGGATCAATTGTACACCAGCCTCCGTTGAGGACTTCCCTGTCCATCAATCTGCCCAAATCCCCCACTCGGCTGCGGCTCGAATAGTCCAGCTGGCGGCGGTTGATGCCACGGGGTACCTCCTGCGTAAAAACTCCCATCTTGTCCACTGAACGTGCGCTGAGGAGTGGGTGGAGGAGGCCCATAACCCCCGGCGGGTTGGAACTCCTGCATCTTGTGTCGGAAGAAGCCAAAGGCCAGGTTGGAGATGGCAAAGCATCCAAACACCAAGATGCACGTAAATGCCATGGCTTTGTAGCTGATGGGCTCGACGAAGTTGTTGAAGATCTGCGCAAACGTCCGCGCAGACACCATCGCCCGCCCGACCTTCTTGGGGTCGCGAGACATGCACCGGTGCCACTCCTCACACGCCGCCTCCACCGCGGGCACCCGCGTCGACCGTTCGCATTTGTTTCGCTCGTAGTCTGCCTTGCACAACGCAATCTCCCTAATCACGTCCGTCATCGCTTCCTTCGACGCCTTGTCCACATCTCCCATCACCGCCGCCAAAAAGGAGTAGGTCATGTAGGCCAGGATGCCCAGCCAGAAGACGTTGAATAGAAACTGTGCATACTGCGACAGTGTGTTGGGGAGGGTGGGATGCTGCGCGACGAAGGAGAAGAGGGACGACACCCAGTATGGTTTCCGGTCATCGAGCTCCTCCGACGATTTGCTGCCCTTGCGAGGACTGCGCGAGGATCCATCGTGGTCGTCTGCAGAGTCCGACATACTATGTCTCCTCCGTTTGGCGACTCTCTGGTCCACGTCACGCTTCCGCCGCCGGGCAACACTCTTCTCTATCGCGCCCGAATGATCTTTTCGCACCAGCTCTCCCCTTCCCGGGCTGTACATTTTGTTCTTGACCTTGGTTGCCAGCTGGAACAACAGGCTGTCCCTCCGTGGGTAAGCTGGCCTGTCCTTGGTCGGACTGCGTCGTCGCTGTGCACCCGCTGTGTCTTGCCGGTTGTTCTGCAGTGAAAGCAATGTACGCGTCCGATTCGTGTTCTCCGGTGTTGCGTCGCTGTCGTCTTTGGGCTCCACGGATTGCGGGGTCTCGCCGGCGGAGGAGTCGTCGAAGTCGTCTCGGGGCTTGCGTGGAGTATTGAAAAGAGTATTGTATGCTGCGGGAAGGGGTGGGAGACGTTTCTCAGGCGAGGATGGCTGGACACCCATCGGTCGGGCTTTGGAAGGCGAATCAAACACGCCGTGGGTTCCTGGACGCTCTGTTGTCAGCAACTTGTGCCCAGCTCTACGACCCGGCACGCGATGCTGCTCACTCTTTTTCGAAGGGCTGCTCTGCGGGAGCCTCTGCGAGTTTGCGGAGACTTGGGCGAAAGGCGAGCGTCCGTCGAGGGGTCCGGTGCCGTTTTGGAATTCAAAGTCCATGGGAGTCTCGCTGGTGTACCTCGACATGTTGACATCCAAGGAGAGAGGGACGGACGGGTATCAAGCGAATGCTGGAGCGAGTGGATGCAAGGCAGGCAAAGGCAAGCATTCAGGGTTCTTGTGAGGGAAGCGAATGTAAATAAGTGCACGGGCCGCCGTGGCTGGTGCAGTTGGCGCGTTGCTACGCCTGCGCCACTGCGCCACACCACTTCACCCGTCCCTTCTCGACAACGCATGCATGCGGAATCTACATACATCCACGCTTGCCAACTTAAATAAACAAGAGACTCGTCAACGACTGACGAATGGTGAATGATCTGGTGTGAATCGTCCATTCATGACACGTGTGGCTGCGGATGTGCGGGCATACCGCACCTTCATCATGCCCTCACTCACTCACGAGACAGCAGGTGAGCAGCCGACAACACTTTCCTCATCAGTCCAACCTCCACTCTCTTGCATTGCTACATACACGTACTCTCGTTCCTCGCATCTCCCTCTTCCGCCCGCCCTCTCCCTTGAAGCTCTCGTTGATCGCGTGCAAGCCACCTGGGATCAACAGCCACCTATCTCATTTTCTCCCCCCTTATCCATTCTACCAACCCCTAAGTTCGAAAATGCAGAATGCTGCTACAGCTGATCACTTGTCTGGCCGCATGCATATGCCTGAGGGAGCTGCTGCGGCCGCCCCCTCCGCCCCCGCGGGTGGTGGTGATTCGAGACCGCCGCCGCTGATATCACCCAGCCCATCCGGGCCCACGCACTGCACAGACCCCATCGCGGATGCATAGTGTGTTTCTCAAAGCGACAACTGCGCATCAAATCTTCCGGGCAGAACTCTAGAAACCGACGAAAGCTCGAGCGCCATTGGCACCAATCCGCCACGGAGAAAGGCTTCACTTGATTCGTATCCTCGGAAGAGCGCCTTAGTATCGTCACCTCACCGCTCCAGCAGAAGAAGAACATCGGACACCACGCAAAGCAAACAAGCGCACTTCGATGATAACGCCGCCTTGGCTCCCGATGACTCGCTTTGCTGCGCGCTTGCACAACCGGCACAGAAGAGGAGGAGGAGAAGCGCGCCGGCAAAAATCTTCACTAGTCTGGTACTCCCCTTGGAAGATGCAACATCCGATTACGACAGCGACGCGGCCCCAGATGAAGAAGTCGAAGCGGCGCTGGCCATCTTCGAGGATGTTATTGAGGAGCTCACGCAAATTGCCGAAGAACATGAAGAAGCAAGGGAGGAAATTGCGGAAGTCGCGTGGGAGGTTGCTGAGGCTATGTCCCACGGCTTCGAGGATGATGACATCGATGATACCTATCTTGGCGATACTGCGAGCGAGGACGACAGTGCCAACGACGATGTGTCGGATGACCGCAGCTCCACAGTCGACTCCGAAGAGCGTGCCCAACGTCTACAGATGTTGTTCCTGGCTGAGCGTGACGAGCTGTGCAACCCGGACATGGGTGGAACTTTAGAGGACGTCGATGTAGAATCTGAAGAGGACGACACAGGATCGGTTGTCTGCAGGAGAATCGGCAACCCCTTGCCGGCACTTCAACGAAGGAGGTCCAGCTCGCAAGGATCGTCCATCATCAGGGATGCTACAACCCCTCGTCGACGAGCATCCACTCCCGACAGCAAAGCATCATCAGCGAGCTGTGTCGTGGCCGCGCCTAGGGCCAAAGACGACCTACCGATGACGGGTAGCGTAACTCCTTTCACGGAAGCTCAAGAGCAGCCGCATCCCAACACGGAGAGGACATTTGACCGGGACGAAGCTGGGTCGTGGCTCACACTAACTGCTCGTCCCTCAAACTACCCCCAAGGATGCAGTCCGATGGACAAAGTCAAGACAAAACTCGCCGCGTGGTCGAGGGCGGGAGGTAATGGCCTGGAAGACGAAGACGCGCAGCTCAAATGGATCCGCCTCTTACCATGTGACGACGACCTACCACATCAAAGCTTGAGCAGCCGAACGTCACGGACCGAGGGACCACTGGCTCCCCCGAATACCGAAAGGCCAAGTGGCGCTTCGTCAGCAAAGCATTCGGCGCCCCAGAGCCCGCTTTGCGAGCGAGACGCTCTCGATCTCTCGGCGGGGGACGTGGAAGACGACAGTCTCCTGGAGCTCCGAGTCCAACCAAGCATGGCCCGGCCGTGGAGGGAGAGGTCTGCAGAGCCTTCCAAGGATAGTACAGAAGGAGTCGCACAAAGAAACCTCAGCTTGCCACCGACGCCGCGAGGAGGAAGAGGAGCCAGGCCCGTTCATTGCCAGCTTTCAAACCTCGCCTTGGAGGATGAGCACTTCAAATCCCATCGCGACTCACTGCTGTTGCTACGAAGTCGAGAACAGGAGGCGAAAACGAACCAACAGCTCTTGGAGGCGAGAGACAGCATCATCCTAACAAAGTCGAAGTTTGGTGCGATATACCCCGAGTCGCCGATGGACTGTTACTCAGCTTGGAGCCACCCGCGCAATCTGTCCACAATCACAGACGACTCCCCGCCGGATTCGCACAGCCTCGTGGCGTCAGGATCGCAATGGAACGAGGACGACGACAACATCAAGCCACAGCCGGAAGAACACAAGAATTGCGCGATTTGTGAGGTTGAAAGGCCGAGATGGTTTGCGGCGCACTGCAAGCAAGGTGCTTTTATGTGAAGGCAGGCCAGCGTACTGAGTTCCATGTTATTCATTCCATCTTGGAAGCGCGACTCGTATCCGCACGGTCCTGACATGCATTTCATCCCATCCCCTAGATAGCTCTTCGCAATGCATCTCCTGTTGACCCTTTCCCTGCGCCCTCCATAACGCCCTGTGCCCGTTGTGCTTAGTCCACCTCGACTCCTTTTGCTTTGAGCTCCGTCCTAGCCTGGTCTATTTGTGCCATGAGCTCTTTGTGGGCCTGGGGGACGTCGTTGAAGGTCAGGACTCCATAGCCCAGTTTGAATAGCAGATAGGCGCCAAAGGAGACAATGGCCCAGAAAGGTAGCTAGATTCATCAGTCGGACCGCTTGCGTCGCATTGAACGGGAGCCGTGGCAAAACGTACGACGGGGATGATGTCTTGCTGGATCTTGGCAGGAAAGGGGACGAAGCCCATGAAGCACGCCAGGTAGATCTGACGCGGTGGAGTTAGTGACGTGAGGCCTGTGGACGGGGCGATTGTTACATACAGATGATAATAGGGCGGCGATGGAAATGTGCTGCTGTGCGCGCGTCATCGTGAGTGAGGGAGTGTGGAGTGCGGAGTGCGGTTCAAGTTGCAGAGCTGCCAATGGAGAGACGTTGCAAGGAGGCGCGGAGACGCGGCGCTGCAGGAGTCGTCAAGTTGCCCAGGGTTGACTGGAGCGGCGATCACGCACAAACGCGCATTCACTGTTTGACATGGAACAACCACTTCAGCTCCCCACAACTTCACTAGCAGAGAACTCGTATGAAGGAGAGCATTGCCACAGATATGACACTACTGCTGCTACTGCTAACGTTGGGTCTCCATCGCATAAACATGTAAGGGACGGCGGTTGTCGAGCACATCCCTTAAAATCAAGTTGATATGCATCAACCCCCCTTTCACGGTATCACCCTCGCTTCTCTCGGCTCTACAAAAGGCGATGCAATGTCGCCGTCATCCACCATTCCGTCCTCCGGCATCCGGACGTCCGGGTCGAAGCAGTATGCCCGGATGCGGCTCCTCCTACGCGCACTGGGCTGTCTCCACCCGGTCTCGACGGTGATCATGAAGGAGTCGTTCATCTGAGAGCCACACTCGGTCCAGTCTTTCGGCGTCCCTGGGTGATATGCTTGGCCTTTCCACAATAAGAAAGCAGGCCCTGCGTCGCCATAAAGCTCATCTGCGCGTGCGCAGCTGTCGATTCCTGCAATCTCGCTCTGCGCCGCGTTGAAACGCACGGCAGCCCTATGGCGATAGCGTTGCCCGCGAGGGAAGGGCCCGTCAATGATGCGGAATTGAATTTTGTCGGGTCGGCCGGTCGAGTGCGGTCGCGTCAGTCTGAGATAGCCTCTGCAAACGGGCTCGGCGTCATCTTCAGACGTCATATCGTATTGGCGCTTAACCCACGTCCCGTCGAAAGCCATGCGTGCGTGTACCAAGGCTCGGTTGGGCTGGCGACCTTGAATATTCGGTATCGTGGCGAGGAAAAAGAGGTGGACGAATCGGCGTTGGCGATCGAGATACAGACTGCATGCATTCAATCTGTGTCCCAAATTGTCGGCGTCGCGCAGCCCAGCATCGGCGTGAACGTCGAATCTCTGAAGCTGGCGTGCTCCAGCGTCGTACAGCAGAATGTTGCCGAACCGGTTCGGGCTACTCCAGCGGTCGCGTTCGATCAGCACTACCATTTCACCGTCGCCCTCTGCCCTGAAGACTTCTGCGGACGGCAGTTGGACTCTGGTGACCTGATCCGGGGTTTCATCGAGGTATGAAAAGTACATGGACCCGTCATACTGGGTGGTCCACGCCACCAGCAACGTCGTGAGTACCAGATTCTCGACCATCTGTGATCGCGCCGGCAGAAGTCTCTTCTCTACACTGACTAGATCGTGGACCACGACAACGCTATCCTGCCCCCTTTCCTCCGATACATAGGCCACTCTTCTGCCTTTACACCGCGTTTTCAGCGAATTGGGAAGTATGTTTCCCCCGTGGTCTCCGCGATTCGCGAGGTCGATGATTTGGCACCATTCGTAATTTTTGGCCTTCATGTTTTGGAAGTGCCGGAGTCTGTGATCGAAACGATTGCGTCCTGTCAGTCTGCGCAAGCCGGCCGAGTCTTCCCGGTCATGTGTATCCCACTGCTCCACGGCAGCATGCATGCATTCGTCCGACGATAGCACATAATTCCACCGTCTGCAAACCCGTCGGAGAGTCCATGTATGAAACAGAGGCAAGTTGTTGAAGATCTGGAGGATGAGCTCGGTGGGCAAGACTATGAAGGGGTCTTGTTGGTACATAACGGACAACGGATGTTCGTCGGCGTTGACTGTCGATATCATACTGTCCTCCAAGTTCTGATACCCGCCAAATCCGTTTGGATGTTTGAGCACCAATGTGAGGTGTCAATTATTGAAGGTGTGAAAGAGGTCCACGTGGACTCATAGGACAGACACCACTAGTCACAGCCGCGCCAGTCGTCCAGCGAAACTGATGGGATTCGGTGTGCGTGCCTGAGGCGCACAAGCTGGCCGTCACTAGAAGTTCCATTTCCACCACTCCGCTGCAATTCAACTTCTGCACCTATTGCATCAACACAGACTAGACTACCCACCAGCCAATGAGCCACAATGGCGGTCAACAGCGACGAATCTTCCAATCTGGAGGACATCGAAGGTGCTTTTCGAAGCTTGTCTCTTCGTTCGGCAGAAGACCCCAACGCCCTCGCGGTGTTGGCACAGGCCAGCCGATCGAATGAAGCGGTGCGTGAGCAGCTCGCAGATCCGAAGATCCTTCGCATCCTCGTCGATACGGTGGAGTGCAGCGTCAACGACGCCGTGGACACTGCAGAGCTGGCCCTCCGGTGCATTGGAAACGCATGCATCGACAACAACGCCGCAAGGGAACAAGTCTGCAAGCTGGGATTCTCTTGGGCGAAGCTGTGTCTTCCAGTCGTCGATGCTGTGGATGGGGCATACGACTCCACACTCGCGGTGTTGACGGCCAAGGTGCTCTACAACATCTGCTCCGACTATGAAGCAGCGCAGCAGCAATGTTTCGAAGAGCACATTCATCACTCTTTAATTCGCCTCTGCTCGTCGCGGGCCGTGGTGGATGGCAGCGAAAAGTCATTGTTCATCGAACTACTCTTCTGGATATGCAGTCACATGCAACCTGATCGAGACACACTGCCTACTAACGTCCTACCCGAACTTGTCGCGCTACCCAACTTGCACAAAGGTACGCTGGACCCGGAAGATTTTGCGTTTCTGGTAGAGACTTGTTTGCTATTCCTCCGCGAACCAGCCGTCAAGCGTGATCTTGTCGCTCACAAGCTGGTTAAGGATGTCTGGCAGATGCTGCAAATGAACGAGGAGACCGTCATCATGCTGCACGACAACGAGGACGATCGACGGCTTCTGGCTCCTCTCACCACCGCTATCATCTGGATTCTGTCGGATCTGGCAGCGAGCACGGAGTTTGCGGCGACGTATCCTGTCGGTGATCAATGGCTGCAGAATGTGGTCGTCGTTACCATCTACGCTGCAGACGTCACCCACGAGGATTTCCAAAGCACTATCAGGCTCGTCGATGCCGCATGTCAAATCATGGGCAACCGTCTCTGGGCAGTCTCTGAGCCCGTCGACACGGACAGCGAACACCAGATCGGAGGCCTCTTCCGACCACTCCTGGCCATATTGACGACTAGCCAAGATGTCGAGCTCCTCCATTCGGCTGCTGGCTTGCTCATTCAGTTGGCACGATTGTATGCTGAAGTACGCGAGTCCGTCGGAGCGGATCCAGAGAGCCAGAGCATCATCCAAAAGCTTTGCAACCATGGCATGCCGCAATTGAAGCAGGATGGCATTGCCCTGCTCAAGGTCCTTGGCAAAAACTCGCCCGGGAATCAGGAGAAGTTGGCGAACCTAGCGCGAGAGATTCTCGAGTCTTCCGCCGAAGCTACTGACAGCGCCATGATCGAAGCGTGAGCTGGAAACATTGATGCTAGACTTTGCCAGCGAATTTGCGGCGTGTCCAAACATCACCGTGCTCGAGATACTCCTGTCTCGTCACCACAAGAGGCGAGAGGGCATCCTTGCTGCGGGCGAGGCGTGCACCTCCGGCCCACACGTTCTTCAACGGATCTTCAGCTTGGGCCACGCGGACGAGATATTCCTCGCTGACCCGCGATTCCATCTCGGATCTCAGCCGCTCCAAAAAACCGGGAAACTTGCTACTTCCGCCAACCACCAAAATGTTGGCCAGGAAGGGCTGCCACAGACCTTGGGGCAGGCTATAGATGGACTGTAAGATTGTCCCGGCAACGCCTTCTTGCTGCATGCCAATGTCGGAGGGTGTGAAGAGCAGCTCTGGCACGGTGAAGCGCTCGTTGGCGATGGTGACGATATGCTCTCGAGGCCCGCCGTGAAGGCCAAGGGCGCGATCTTTGCGACTGACTTTCGTGTCATGCGGCCGAGAGAAACCGCGCTTGATGGCTTCGTAGTCGGGGAGAACGTAGTCCACAACGATGCTAGTGTCGACATCTCTGGGATCTTTGAGTCCGCCTTTCCACACTCGCTCCAGGTCGGAGGAAAAGGACTGCGAGATAAAGCAAACGTCCTCTTTGATCTCTTGGACGATCCAGTCTTCCTTCTGCACCTCTACAGTGCGCGACAGCACCTCCTTGAGCCGATTGGTGAGTGTCTTGCCGCCGATCTCCAATCTGCGACAAGCTGCGTGAAGAGGTCTGCCATGATGCAGCGGCGTTGTTGTGGTATGAGAGTGGCCAACATCGACCACCAGTAGACATTCCGCAGCTGTACCCGACGGAAGTGCCGGGGTGGATGGAAAGGGCGGCGGAACATAGGCATTGAGTACAGGTGCTGTGAGAGTTGGTCAGCAGAGATGCTAGTTGGGGAGCTGCAGGGCGAGGGCGTACAAATGGTGCGATAGTAACTGGCAAACTCAAACTCCTCGAAGACCATCTCGTCCATGTTTCTTTGTAACACAGAGGGCCCATTTGGCGCTTCCGTCAATATCAAGTTCATCTCGTGCGGGTCACACTGCGCATATGTCAGTTGGTGAACGCGACGTATCAGGCAGGTTCGGAAATGGACTTGCCTGCAGAGGGGATCGCTTGTCCAACAGCGTCCTCTCCCAGATTGCCTGCTCGCCCTCCCAATTGACGACAAACCCCTTCTCCACCGGGCGTCGAAAGGCGAGCTCTCCAAAGTCCCAGCATTCCTCTAGCAGCTCCGGGCCGATGTACGTCCGCTTGTCGCGCTGAGATCGTGCGATGCAATTGGCAACAACATGACACTCGGCATCCGCGTGCGGTTCGGAATCTGTGGTGAGTGGTGAGAAGCCGGCCTTGATGGTGTGTGCACCATTGTCGAGGACGAGAGTACGAGAGGCGAGTCTCGCAGGCGCTGCGTCGGCCCCTTTTGATGCCCCCTTTCGTGCCATTGTTGGTTGCGGAGGACTGGCCGATGCCTTGTCGCTGTGTCGCTTGGGTTGTCTGTAAAGACCAGAATTCAACGTCGCCTGGAGAGGCAATTGCCGGTGCTCATCTCAAAATATGCGAAGCGATGCATTTGAGTGCAAGCGAAGGCGCAATTTGATTGATCCTGATCGGTGTAGTGAACACATGAGGTCGTTGTCACATGCCGTGCAGTCAAACAATTCCGGCGCCAAGATTTCGACTTTCGACATTTCATCGGACATTTGCTTCCCTCGATTCTCCCCTCATTCGCAACCGACAACGTCAGGGATGACAAGATGCCTTCGCCGTCGTCTGGAGAGGAAACGCGTGCCCTCGGGGATCTCCTAGCTTCCACTCTTGCGCTGCTCGGCCAGTTCATCGCGGCGCTGAACGCCAACAATGCCACCACTTCCGCAGCGGCAGACACAACACAGCAGCCGCCCGATCCCCTGCGTGTGTGCAGCGACTCAGCCAAGCTGGTGAAAGCACACACGACCAAGCTGAGCCTGCTCGCCATCAACAAGCCCTTTACACCCTCCGCCATTATCAAAGTACTGCGAGAGCTCTCGGCGACATGTCTTCCGGCTATGATGAGCGCAGTGCAGATTTGCGAGCAGCAGAACGCTTCTCAGGGCGGTATCATGGTGAAAGAGGCGCAAGCGAGAGTGAGACGAGTGTTCAAGGAAATGGAGATGCTATTGAACGAGGTTCAGTCCATTTCAGAGGGCAAGGCGGCTGCTACAAGACGTGACAGCCTCAGCTCTACTGGAGTGGTATGGGAGAGCTGCGATGCCGTGATCGAACTGGAACGCCTTGGCCTTGCCGGTCTGGCTCTGCAAAAGGTACAACAATACCGAGATACGATCAAGGATGCCATCGAGGAACTTCGAGACTGGGCGGAGGGCGATGATCTAGACACCGAAGGCCGCGTGGATGGTTTGTTGGACAGTGACGATGAAGGCGTTGCTGGAGACCAGGACAACATTGACGACATTTTCAACGCGGCCAACAGCATGCCTGCAGACCGCCCGGAACTGAAAGAACTGGCAACAACGGTAGAAGGCAAGCTAAAGAAGATTGTCTTGTTGTACAGCGCACTGGAGAAAAGGCGACTTGCCACTTTCAAAACAGGCTCGGGCGAGACCGCGGTCACGCGGCTGGACGAAGTGATGGTTCACCTTCGGAAGATACCACATCAGGTGGATGAGCTCGCCATCTTCCTTTACGATCTAGATGAGCAAGGAGCAAACGACATGCTCGAGAAGTGTGTGAACGAGGCACGCCTTGCCGCACGCTCTATGGAGTCGAACTGGGAAGGGGCTGACGATGTGGCAACGACATGGCTTCAAAAGTGGTACACTGCTGTCAGTTGAAATACATAAAGGAAGCTGGACGGCAAACATCCCAAAAAAGCCCCAGTGTACCATCAGCTGTGATGACTTCACAGCGCGAGCATCGCCAATCCCGCCATTCCGAGCATCGCACCCGGCATTGCGGCATTCGTCGGCGTGGCAGCACTTTTGCTCGTTGCTGACGAGCTGGTCGCAGTCGACTCTGTAGCGCTCGCAGTGCTGCCAGTCTTGCTGGAGCCGGTCGCGAGAGCTTGACAAATGGTGGCCGGATAAGTCTTGCCGACGTATGTTTGGCTGCTCGCCGAAAGCGCCGAGCTGCAAAGATTGTTGGACGCCTTCTCGAGCTCTGAAATCTGCGTCAGCGTGTGCGTTGGAATGAGGAGCCTGCGACGTACGCATCATCTCCGGCTTGCTGCACGTCGAGTTGTGGCAAATGCACGGAATCGCGACGTTCTGGATCTCTTTCGCCCCGCTTGTGCATTGACAGTAGAAGTCGAAGAGGGAGCACGAGGTATCGGCGACGGCGCGGGTGAAGCAGGGGATGGTGCAACTGGGAATGTCTTCGAAACCCTGACCGTGAACCCTCACGATCCCGGCAAGGAGGAGAGGGATGGTGGACAGTAACTTCATCCTGACTGCCGTAGAGGAGTAATGTTGCAGACGGTGGGAGTAACGCGATGCGAAGCAAGTCTGCTGCCCTCTTGAAAGTGAAGAGGAGAAATGCGAGTGCGAATTTTACTGTCGATGTACAGAAGTGATGGTCGCCAGTGACACAGTCCCAGCTTCTTCGTTGACCATGTACGACCGACCATCCCTGGCCCGTCTCACAAGCTATGCGCTGCTGGCCACAGTAACACAGCAGACGGGATCTCACTCCCCATGTACGATGGTCGGATGGGCTCAGCTTCCACATCCGGTTGATGAGCATAAAGTCCTGTGCATGAGTCTATACATATCATATCTATCTACATTCTTAATCCTGAACACCAAACGCTCCACGCTAACAGCGACGCCATCCACTCCTCGGTGGCACACTCTATGCTACAGCATCCCTCAGCTAATGAATCACCGTGCTACCGGCTCGTGGTCGCTGGATGTTCTCGTCCGACTCGTACTTGTCCCAGTTCGCCAAGATGTTGCCAATGCGCGGGGAACTCGTAAGGCGGTAGACGTCTTCGAAGTACTCTTTCGTGAGTTCAAAGGGTTTCGCCGTGACGTTGGGGATGTATTTGCCGACCAGCTTGCTCGGGTCGATGCTGGTCTTGTTGATTTTCTTGAGCAAGAAGGATCGGAAGGGCTTCACGCCGGAGCGCAGGAAGGTGCTGTGGAAGGGCACGTCGATGCCCTTGAGCGGAATGGTGGCGAAGCCACGCTCGAGCTCGATGGGGCTGGGTTTCGCCTCCGTCTGCTTCGCGCATTCCTTGATGATCCCCACCAACTGCTCCTTGACGTCTTCCATGCTCATGGTCTGCATGAGCTGTTGAATGTCAATCTTCTGTGCCTTGAGGTAGTTCAGAACGTTGGTGAGCGTGTCGAGAGCCCGGAGATCGCCAGCACAGACGTATTGCAGGTTGTACACATTGAGGTTGACAATCTCCAGCAGCCAGCTTGTCGTCTCGGCAATATTCTCCACGACGTACTGCAGAGCTTGCTCGTTGAATGTCTTGCTGATGCGCGAGGGATTGACTGCACACATGGCGTAGTTGGAGCGCCCCAATTCGTCACGTTCGACGGCGACTTGCATCGTCAGACCTCGGTAAAACACCACGGAAACCAGGCTCTCTATAGGCATGACTTCTGCCAGGGCTGCAAGAGCGCTGTACTCGCCGAGCGAATGCCCAGCGAAGCTGCTGTCTCTCTGCACGAGGCCCTTCGAGCGCATGTCTTCATAGGATGCCTTCTCCATGAGCGTCAAAGCCGGCTGCGTGAACTGAGTGGCGGACAAAAGGCCAGTCGGCGAGCGGTAAGTGTACGATGTGGTCGTCTCGGTGATCTCCTTGAAAATCTTCTCGGACTTGATGCTGCCGTCGGATGACACGCTCTCGAAAGTCATCGACATATAATTCTGGCGGATTGCCTTGCCTCTCGGCCCACCAAAATGGACCGTGAGCTCCTTTGGATTGTTCTTGACAATGTTCGTAATCGCAAAGCCTGCATATGTTAGTTGAAGTCCTCGGCATCGGACAAGAGTTATTCTTACCATAGTTGTCCATGAAGTGCTTGTCTGCTCTGTCCCAGACCTCTCTCGCAACCTCGCTGCTGTTGTACAGATCCATGCCCATGCCTTGTTCTTGCGAACCTTGGCCGGTAAAGACGTACGCAGACACCGGCTGCTCAACCTCGGCCTCTCCTAACAACACTTTCTCCTCGGTGTCGGGCTTGCTGGCCTCGACCTTGACAATCTTGCGGCCCGCAATCATGCCGACATGCTGCAGGTTGACTTCGATGGTGTCGTCTGGAAGCACCATACCGACCAACGAAGCATGAAAGCTTCGAACACGGCCGGCATTGTTCTCCGCAGCCCAGGTCTCGACCAGGCTACGAACAGCGGCGCTCGAGTACATTCCGTGAGTGATGGTACCAGGTAGGTTCGCATACTTCGAGAACACCCGAGACACGTGGATGGGGTTGTAATCTCCAGACACGCGGGCATACGTCTCATTCGAGGACGGTGCCTTCAAGACGAGCGGGGTCTTGCCGTTGAGGGGGATGGGATTCTCGAAATGCACGGGCTGATCCAAAGCAGAGCCGTGGCGCTCGAGGTAGTCCATGACCGGATTGCCATATGACGTTCCCGCTTCGTACTCCACCGATGCAACCTGGACAATCTCCTTCGACGGCAGCTCCAGCTCGACTTTGCCAAGCGTCTGCACGGACGAAAAGACATCCTTGTTGCGGTACCGCACCAGTGTCTGTAGCTTGAAGACGAGTGTCTGATTCAGCAAGTCGATGTCAGTGTCCTCTAGGTTGAACCATTCCTTGGATTGCAACACAGCCAGGTCCTTGGAGTCTGCAATGTGCACCTGTCGCGGGGTTTCCATCTTGCGTTGGAACGTGTTCTCGTAGTCTTTGTACTCTCCGCGGTACAGGAACTGGCTGGTGACCTCCATTACTGGGACGCCATCACGAGTGATGGTCCCGCAGACCTCAACCATCTTTCCACTTTCCTGGTTAATGACGGCGTTCACCTCTGCCGTCGTGTCCACCACATCGCCCTTCTTCAGTGCGGTGGCTCCAGGGAGCATTCGGAACGCGTTTGACAAGTGAACCAGTCTCAGCAGATCTCCGTCGATGGTACGAGGGAAGATAGGCTTGGTAATAGCCTTCCAACCAACGACAATGGCGAAGTCCATGGGTGCGTAGACTTCCTTCCCGGGTCGATCGACAAAAGCCTCACCCATGTTGCCCACGGCATGGACAAAGTCGTTAATCGCCTCGGCGGTCACGGTTGCACGACCGCCGTCAAAGCGGCTGGTGACGGGCTTGTCGAAGGGGACATCATCCTCACCGAACCAGATGCGATAGTAGAATTGCTTGATCCGGTCGTTACGAGTCTCCATGACCTCTCGAATCGGCGCATAGCCGGTCTCTGGGTGGTATGAGAATCTGAATGGTAGAGCAACAGGCTTGCCAGACGCAGTGCGATGCTCAATCATCATGACGCCAATCTGATTTTTTGAAATCGGGCCAACCTCGAGAGTTTGTACGTAGCCGCTGCCATGCGAGGGCTCCTTTACGCTGATGAGAGTGCGTTTCGGATCGTTGGGATACGAAATCTCGACCATCATCCCTGGCGTTGGCTCAAAGATGCGATGCATGGGATTCGTCTGGTAGCGTTGACCCTGAACGAAGACATCCGCGGTGAAGAAAGCGTGGCGCCAAGTTCGAGCTTTACCGGCAAGCAATTGCAGCCATTTGCCGGCCGAGGGTAGAGCCACGTTGGACGCTGCCGAAAGCCGGTAGATGGTCTTGTTCTCAATCTCGGAAATCGACAGGCCTTCCGCGGTGATGTGATCGCTGGGCTCGATATCAACAAGCTTTCCGCCAAAGTACTCCACAACCGGAATGCGGTTCTCGTCGTTGGCGTACAAGTCACGGGTCAGACTTGCGATATGACCTTGGTGCACGCCATCCAGGATGTCTTTGATGGGTTCGTCAACGATGGTGGAGTACTTGACGGACACTGGGCCTTGGAGAATGGCAACTCTTCCGACATCTTCGTCGACGACGGCCGCTAGGTCCTCAGACTGCCACAAGGAGTCTTTCTTGAAGAAAAACTCAAAGGTGTCGTCCAGGCATGGCACGAATGGCACGGGCTTCTGTCCACGGCGCTGGCAGAGGAGAAGGAAGTGCTGGCAATCTTGGGCGTTGATGAGTTGCTCGTCTGCAGCCGGGAAAGCGTCGACCACCTTTTGTACTGTCGGGAAGGGGTCGTTCAGCTCGCTGTAGTTCTGAATGATGGATCCCTGGCCATCACCAGAGGCGAAGCGTTCCTCAATGCGACGGATAAAGTCACCAGTCAAGCGGGCGAGTGATTTGTCGATCCAGCGCTTCTCCTTCTTGATGAACATCAAGTCGACCATGCGTCGGAGCACTTCGACATACGTCATGTCTTCGAGGTCAATGCTCTCGCCAGCCTTGTTCCTGCCAAACCACGGCTTTTGGAAGTCATCATTCAATTTCTTGATGATGTACTCTCGGTTCTTCTTAAGCTCCGGAATGCGCTTGGCTTTGTCCAGGCTGAAGATCTTCTGATCCATTTCAGACCAAAACTTGACGCCGCGCGTAGCCAACTTGTGGATCGGTTCGCCCATTTCGGAGCGCACAGTGATGACACCACCTGCGGGACCTTTGTACGTCTTCTCCCAGTCGGAGTCGTCCAGACCGGGAGCATCAACGATGGCTTGCTTGGCCTTCAGAGAAGTGTATGCCTCCTTGGCAACCATGCAACGACTACCAAAGAGCACTCCATCGAATGGCATCGGAGGGTACCCGAACTTGCGCGCCCAGATACCGGTCAGGTAGGGATAGGTGTCTTCAGCACCGCCGAATCCAGAACCAGCCACGAGAATAATGTTTGCGCAGCGCCGGATTCTGCCGTACATAGAGAGGATGGGCTGATGGAAATCTTCGAATGAATGATGACCACCTCCTCTGCCGCCAGTCCACTGCATCACCACCGGGAAGGAAGGGTTGGCGTTTGCGATGTTGACGACCTGTTGAATGGCCTCCACAGAGCCAGGTTTGAAACCAATGTGCTTGATACCGAGTGTCGTGATGTATTCGTTGGCAACCTCGATGGACGGGACGCCAGCGCCGATTGTGAGACCCTCGATGGGCACACCTTCGCTGCGCAGCTTGCTGATCATAGGAATCTGCCAAGCCATGCTTCTGGGGGCGACATAGATCAAGTTTAGTGTGATGCCCCGACCAGCCGGAATAACCTTTTCGATCTTCGAAATCGCCTCGGTCATGCTCTTTTCGTTGTAGTAGCCTCCTCCAGCCAGCTCGATTTCGTAGCCAGCTTGCATAGTTGCGGCGACAAAGTCCCAGGGCACGGTGCAAGGTGTCATACCAGCTACCATGACTGGCGGTAGGCCAAACGTGCGGCTCATCTTGGTATCGACGAAGGTCTGGCCGACGGACGTCTTGACAAGCTTCGGGCCGTACTCTTTGACCCAGTCCACCGCATACTTGACGGCGTGCTCGGCATCACGATCAAAGATTTCTGGTTTGTAGCCGACTTCCGGATTTGTCCCGTCCATCGTTCCAGCCAGGATGACTCGGACTCCGGTGCCGTCTTTGTTGCGATTGGTGAGCACGCCGAGGCCGGAAATGCCGCCGGGGCCGAAATCGAGAATGTGGGTCGCATTTGGCATGACAGTCGCCTTCTCCCAGTTGACTGGGTCCTTGCAGATCATTCGCACAATCGACGGGACAATGTCTCGTTCATGCGCGTCGCGAATGTCCTCTCCGGTGTGAGTGTTGTATACCGGAATGCCAAGGTCGTCCGCTCTGATTTGGACATCTTTGAGGTCCTGTTCGAGGTGCTCAATGGCCTCTGCCAAGTACGGGCTATGGAAGGGCGCAGTGATGGGCAAGAATCGGTTGACAAAGCGAACCTTGCGCTCCGTGAAGGGCACGCGAGTCTGATCGAGGCCAGTAGGTGCTCTGAGCTTGCGAAGCTGGAGATTAAGACCGTACAGCGACATGGGAGGGCCAGTCACAACGAAGTTCCGCGCACTGTTCTCCAGCGAGATGCCGATGTGCCGTTCCTTGGGAAGATGCTGATTGGTTGTGTCGATGTGCTTCTGGACCGCTGATCTGGGAAGATCACGAATGGTCAGCATGGGCGTGGGGGCGCCCTCGCCATTGTCATTCGAGTCCTGAAGGACGTTGGGAGCCAGCGAAGTACGGGGATACGCCTGCTGGCTGCGAGCACCGATCCAGAACAGGATGGTGAGCGCGTCACGCGCGGCCTTGTCAAAGGCACCCCAATTACTCGAAGCAGCTATGGCAACGGCGGTCACGACGCCCTGAGAATGACCAGTCGTGCCTGAGAAGCGATCTCTGACGTGACCCGGATGGGTACCCAGGACTCGGCAGGTGACGACGTAGTGTGCAAGCTGGGTCAGGCCAATGAGTGGGAAACTGACGGGCGCGGAGACGAGATAGTCGACGTCCGGCTCGGAATCCGGGTTGTTGAGCCAGCGTAGGACATCGAGGCCCTTGGGGTAGAGCTTCTCCGCCCTCGAATCGCGCGCCAGGATTTGGAGGTGTGCGGCGGCGGTGGAGATGAAGTCCTCGACGAGCGAAGGATAGGTGGTGTAAATCTCCCGAAGCTCATCGAAATATTCCTCGATATTCCCTTGGCCGCCAAAGACGGCGTAAATGTATGCATTCTCGTCGGCAGCCTCTCGCAGCAGAGCCGATTCGTGGGCTCGGATGGGTCGTTGTGATGCCGCACGAGCAGCGTAGTAGGAGCGAACGGTGATGAGCTTCTTCTCCACAATGCCCGGCAGGTTGGCGGCGATGGCGTGCACCTCGTTGCCGCGGAGGAAGGAGCGCTCGAACTCGAGCACGAGAAGCTTGAGCACTTCATCGTATGTGCCGGGTTCGTCGCCCTCCTCTACCTCGCGGGCGACAAAGCCGAGATAGCGGGCGACGAGTTCGGTGACGGAGGAAGGCTCGTCATCTAGCGCAAGCTCGTCGGTGGGCTCTGGGAGGGTTGTAATGAAGGCGTCTTTGAGTTGTGTTGCGTTGAAGTGGAGCGCGGTGGGTATGAGGAAGATGAACTCGAGGGAGCCATGTGTGAGGGCGAGAGGGCGGGAGACGTTGGAGGAGCGCGGGGTGGAGACACCCGTCTGCGCACCGCCAGAGGAGTACATTCTGCTGGGAGTGTTGACGGCGCCGCCTGCCGCGTCAGACTGGAGATTGCTGGTGGTCAGCTGCTGCAGAGGAGGTCGAGAGGTGGGAGCCATGGCCGCTCAATCGCATCCCTCCGGACGAGACAACGCCGGATGGATGATGAGTGGGCGGAGGAAGGGTGAGGAAGGAGGAGCAGGAGGCTGGCAGTGCGGCAGACACTCACGAGATGTTAGAAGGTCACACTGTTTCCAGATGCGCCCATTCGACACTTGTCTCGACGACGGAAGCGGAATTTTGCAGGCTCGATGACCTAAATTTCGTCGAGCTGCCCCGGCTCAATTTAGACTTTGGGCTGCCGAGGATCGTGAGGTGCGGGATGGAAGGAGCAACGGACAACGACGAGGAAGGAGAGAGGAGGAGGAAGGAGGGATGGCGTGGTGTGTGGTTGATTGAGATGTTGGAAGAGGAAGCTTGGATGGTGCTACACTCGATTCATTCGTCACCATACAACAAACAGTACATGGTGACTTGCATGCGTCGCTGGGGTTTGGTTGACGCCGAGCTATGACGGTTGAGGGTTGACATCAACGCCCCTCGTCGCTGCTGGGGACGCTAGCGCTCGGGCCAAGCCTTGCCAGCTTGCAAAAGAAACGGTGAACCTTGCCGGAGTCGCCATTGATGAGGGGATAAGCCGAGCCCGCACGCATCGGACACCTGTGCTGTTGCTCATCGCGTGCACCACGTGTCCAGACATCTTCGTGCCGGGCGGTCACAAACACCAGACGAAGACGGTGTGCATCTGGCCCTCTCGCCCTCCCTTCGTCCACCAGCAACCCTGCACCCTCAACGTTGCGACATCGATCGGCGCGGTGCGGGAGAGCAGTGACGCCGGCCTGCATCCAGCACACCTCGCCCTCTTCCCGCCGGGAAAGTTTCTGTGGGGAAAGTCGGAAGTTTTGAGCTCACTGCTTCTTCTCCCACCACTCCAACTCGACAACCACCCGCCGCCCGGCTCAACCGCCTGCTGCCGCTACCTCACCATCGCCCAATCCCCTCTTGACCCTTTGCGCCCTGACACTCTTACGCGGGAAGGCGGATCTCTTGCCTTCTTCTCCCCTCCCATTGCACGAGGTGCTCAGCCGCCGAAACATTCAACCTCCCTTCCACCCTTACGGCTCGCTGTGATCCTTACATCCACCTACCTCCTCCTCACACCCTTTTCGCACCGTCGCATCGCTCTCCTCACCTCCTCTCCGGCTACGGACCACTCTTAATCCCCCCGCAGCTGGTGCACAGCGACTGTGCGCCGTTCCCCCGCGGGACGAGGAAAAGATGCGTCCCGAAGTTGAGCAAGAGCTCGCTCACACCCTGCTCGTCGAGCTCCTCGCCTACCAATTCGCCTCACCCGTCAGATGGATCGAAACTCAAGATGTCATCCTCGGCGAGAAGACCACCGAGCGCATCGTCGAAATCGGCCCTGCCGACACCCTCGGCGGCATGGCCAAGCGCACTCTGGCCGCGAAATATGAAGCATACGATGCCGCCCGATCTGTCCAACGTCAAATCCTGTGCTACAATAAAGACGCAAAGGATATCTACTACGCCGTCGACCCCGTTGAGGACGAGCCAGAGGCACCCGCAGCGAGCGATGGCGGAGATGCTCCCGCCTCATCTGGAGGCTCCGCGCCAGCCCAGGCTGCTCCCGCCGCTGCTCCTGCGCCTTCCGCGAGCTCGGGGCCAGCCGCTCCTGTTGAGGACGCTCCCGTTGGTGCCGTTGACGTTCTGCGGGCAATGGTGGCCCAAAAGTTGAAGAAGCCGCTTCAGGACATCCCGCTCAGCAAGGCCATCAAAGACTTGGTCGGCGGCAAATCCACTCTGCAGAATGAAATCCTCGGAGATCTCGGCAAAGAATTCGGCTCGACCCCCGAGAAGCCAGAAGACACACCCTTGGACGAGCTAGGAGCTGCCATGCAGGCCACATTCAACGGTCAGCTCGGCAAGCAGTCCTCCTCTCTCATTGCTCGCATGGTCTCCTCGAAGATGCCAGGAGGCTTCAACATCACGGCCGTGAGAAAACACCTCGAGACCAAGTGGGGTCTGGCGTCGGGCCGACAAGATGGTGTGTTGCTGTTGGCCATGACAATGGAGCCCGAGAAGCGTCTTGGATCCGAAAACGATGCAAAGAGTTATCTTGACGACATGGCGCAGAAGTATGCCTCTCAGGCCGGCATTAACCTATCATCCGGCCCCGCTGCCGGAGAAGGTGCGGCTGCGGGAGGCATGATGATGGACCCTGCCGCACTCGAAGCCCTCACCAAAGATCAAAAGGCTCTTTTCAAGCAGCAATTGGAGCTACTTGCCAGATATCTGAAAATGGACTTGCGAGCCGGCGACAAAGCTGCCGTGGCCAGCAAGGAGAACGAAGCTGCCCTCCAAGCACAACTGGATCTCTGGAGTGCGGAGCACGGTGAAGCCTATGCCGCAGGCATCGAGCCCGCCTTCAGCCCACTCAAGGCTCGCGTTTACGACTCTTCGTGGAACTGGGCCCGCCAAGATGCGCTCCGCATGTACTACGACATCATCTTTGGTCGATTGCAAGCCGTGGACCGTGAGATTGTCAGTCGGTGTATCCTCATCATGAACCGATCCAACCCTGCCCTTCTGGACTTCATGCAGTATCACATCGACCACTGCCCCACTGAACGTGGCGAGACCTACCAACTGGCCAAGATGCTCGGCGAGCAACTCATTGACAACTGCAGGGACGTTCTTGGTGAGGCACCAGTATACAAGGACGTCGCCGTGCCTACGGCCCCGCACCTAGACATTGACGCCCGAGGCGACATGAAGTATGAAGAGATCCCCCGTGCCAGCGTCCGCAAACTTGAACACTATGTTCAGGAAATGGCGGAAGGTGGAAAGATCTCGGAGTACGGCAATCGCACGAAGGTCCAGAATGACCTGCAGCGCGTCTACCGACTCATCAAGCAGCAACACAAGCTCTCCAAATCTTCTCAGCTCGAGATCAAGCAGCTTTACAGCAACATTGTTCGCTCTCTGTCCATGAACGAGGGCCAGATCATGCCCATGGAGAATGGCCACGCCAAAACAAATGGCATCAAAGCGAACGGTGTCAAGAAAGCGGGCAGAAATGGCAGAGTGAATGGCGCTACCAAGCAAGGGAAGGTGGAGACCGTCCCCTTCCTACACCTAAAACGAAAAGAGGCGCACGGCTGGGAATACAGCAAGAAGCTCACAGGAGTCTACCTCGATGGCCTAGAGCAAGCCGCTCGAGCCGGCGTTACCTTCCAAAACTCCAACGTGCTTATGACTGGTGCCGGCGCTGGCTCAATCGGTGCTGAAGTGCTGCAAGGCCTCCTCAGTGGTGGTGCTCGAGTTCTTGTTACCACATCGCGTTTCTCTCGCGAAGTTACGGAGTACTACCAAAGCATCTACGCCCGTTACGGAGCTCGTGGCTCTCAGCTCGTCGTTGCCCCGTTCAATCAAGGCAGCCAACAGGATGTCACCGCCCTGGTCGATTACATTTACGACGAAAAGAAAGGTCTGGGATGGGACCTCGACTACATCGTCCCGTTTGCCGCAATTCCTGAAAACGGGCGCGAAATTGACAGCATCGACAGCAAGTCGGAGCTCGCTCACAGAATCATGCTGACGAACTTGCTTCGCATGCTCGGCGCGGTCAAGACCCAGAAGGCCACCCGCGGCTTCGAGACCCGACCGGCCCAGGTCATCCTCCCGCTCTCGCCCAACCATGGAACTTTCGGCAACGATGGCCTTTATTCCGAATCCAAGCTTGCCCTCGAAACCCTGTTCAACAGATGGCACTCCGAGAGCTGGGGCAACTTCCTCACCATTTGTGGTGCCGTCATTGGCTGGACTCGTGGCACGGGTCTCATGGGCGGCAATAATGTCGTTGCAGAGGGTGTCGAGAAATACGGCGTTCGCACCTTCTCGCAACAAGAGATGGCATTCAACATCCTTGGTCTGATGGCTCCTTCCATTGTCAATCTTTGCCAACAAGAGCCAGTATTTGCTGATCTCAATGGAGGTCTCCAATTCTTGCCCAATCTCAAGGACCTCATGACTCGACTGCGGGAAGAGATTACGGAGACATCTGAGATCCGTAAAGCTGTCACCCGTGAAACCAGCTTGGAGAACAAGATCGTGAACGGTGAGGACAGCGAAGCTTTGTACAAGACTGTCAAGGTCGCGAAGCGCGCAAATCTCAAGTACGACTTCCCGGAACTGCCGGACTGGAAGACCGATGTAGAGCCTCTCAACCACGATCTCAAGGGTATGGTTGATCTGGAGAAGGTTGTCGTCGTGACTGGCTTTGCCGAGGTTGGCCCGTGGGGTAACTCACGAACGCGCTGGGAGATGGAAGCCTATGGTGAATTCTCACTAGAGGGCTGCATCGAGATGGCGTGGATGATGGGCCTCATCAAGAACCACAACGGGCCACTCAAAGGCCAGAGCTACTCGGGATGGGTGGATGCGAAGTCTGGTGAGCCGGTGGACGACAAAGACGTCAAGTCGAAGTACGAAAAGCACATTCTCGAGCACTCCGGCATCCGCCTCATCGAGCCTGAATTATTCAAAGGCTACGATCCCAATAACAAACAGCTCCTTCAGGAGATCCAAATTGGCGAAGATCTGGATCCGTTCGAATCCTCGAAAGAGACCGCTATGGAATTCAAGCGGGAGCATGGCGACAATGCTGAAGTATTCGAGCTCGAGTCGGGCGAGTACACAGTCCGGCTGAAGAAAGGAGCGACCTTGTTCCTTCCAAAAGCTCTCCGCTTCGATCGTCTGGTGGCCGGCCAGATCCCGACAGGTTGGGATGCGAAGAGATACGGCATCCCAGACGATATTGTCGATCAGGTCGACCCTGTTACGCTCTACGTCTTGGTTTCGACAGCCGAGTGTCTGATGGCATCTGGCATCACGGACCCATACGAATTTTACAAGTACGTCCACATCTCAGAGGTCGGAAACTGCATTGGATCCGGTATCGGCGGTACCTCCGCTCTGCGCGGTATGTACAAAGATCGTTTCCTGGACAAGCCATTGCAGAAGGACATTCTCCAGGAGTCTTTCATCAACACCATGAGTGCTTGGGTCAACATGCTTTTGATGTCGTCCACCGGACCCATCAGGACGCCCGTCGGAGCCTGTGCTACTGCGGTCGAGTCCATTGATATCGGCTACGATTGTATCGTCGAGGGCAAGGCGCGTGTCTGCTTCGTCGGCGGCTTTGACGACTTCCAAGAGGAAGGCTCGTACGAGTTTGCAAACATGGGAGCCACCAGCAATGCAGTCACCGAGTTCGAGCATGGCCGCACGCCTGGGGAGATGTCGCGGCCGACCACGACCACTCGCGGTGGTTTCATGGAGTCTCAAGGCTGTGGTATGCAACTCATCATGGACGCCAAGCTTGCTCTTGATATGGGTGTCCCCATCTACGGTATCCTTGCGTTCACCGCCACCGCTACTGACAAGATTGGTCGCTCTGTGCCGGCGCCGGGCCAGGGTGTTCTCACCACTGCTCGTGAACAGCCCTCCAAATTCCCATCTCCTTTGCTCGACATCAAGTACAGGAGGCGTCAACTGGAACTGAGGCGCAAGAACATCAAGAACTGGCAAGAGTCCGAAGTCATGTACCTGCAGGAAGAGGTCGCAGCAATGAAGCAGCAAGGCGCTCAGTTCGACGAGACCGAGTACCTGAACGACCGTGCTGCTCATATTGAGCGCGAGGCAAAGCGGCAGGACAAGGACGCGTTGTACAGCCTCGGCAACAACTTCTGGAAGCAAGATTCCCGCATTGCCCCCCTCCGTGGTGCACTCGCCACCTGGGGCTTGACCATCGACGACCTCAGCGTTGCCTCCTTCCACGGCACGTCCACTCAAGCCAACGACAAGAACGAGTCGGACGTCCTGTGTCAACAAATGAAGCATCTCGGCCGCAAGAAGGGCAACGCGCTGATGGGCATTTTCCAGAAATATCTCACGGGCCATCCCAAGGGTGCCGCGGGTGCTTTCATGTTCAACGGGTGTCTGCAGGTGCTGAACAGCGGCCTTGTGCCCGGCAACCGAAACGCGGACAACGTCGACAAGGTGATGGAGAAATTCGACTACATTGTGTACCCCAGTCAAAGCATCCAGACCGATGGTGTCAAGGCTTTCTCCGTCACATCGTTTGGCTTCGGTCAAAAGGGTGCACAAGCGATCGGAATTCATCCCAAGTACCTCTACGCTGCTCTCGACCAGGCGCAATACCAGACGTACAAGCAGAAGGTCACTGCACGACACCGCAAGGCCTACAGGTACTTCCACGACGGCCTGATCAACAACACCATGTTCCGTGCGAAGTCCAAGTCGCCCTACGCCGACAACCAGCAGAGCCAAGTCTTCCTCAACCCGAACGCCCGAGTGTCAGTCGACAAGAAGACCGCCGAGCTCATCTATCCCGAGAAGGCTCCCAAACAAGCGCACTCGCAGAACACCACGGAGATGGTGGAGTCGCTCATGAAGATCAATGCCTCGGCGAATTCGAACCCCGGAGTCGACATTGAAAGCGTGGATGCGATTGACATCCACAACGACACTTTTATTGAGCGCAACTTCACACAGGCAGAGATTGATTACTGCCGACAAGCCCCGAACCCGCAGGCCAGTTTCACTGGAAGGTGGAGCGCGAAGGAAGCGGTGTTCAAGAGCTTGAACGTCGAAAGCAAGGGTGGCGGTGCGCCTTTGAAGGATATTGAGATTACGAACAACAGCAGCGGCGCACCTGGGGTGGTTGTAAGTGTTTCCCCGCCTCTGCGATCTCGAGACTCTGAGCGCATGCTAACCCACGTCCAGCTCCACGGAGATGCCAAAGCCGCGGCCGATAAGGCCGGAGTCAAGTCCACGACTGTCAGCATCAGCCACAGCGACTCGCAAGTCATTGCCGTCGCCATCTCCTCCTTCTGAGAGCTGCCGCGAGAGTCACGAGAGTGTAGAGTGCGTTCAGTCCGGTTGTAGATTAGTTCCGATATGAGGCGTTGGCGAGTTGACCGGCGTCACGCGAGATTGTATGTCGCACGATTCCGTACATAGCGTTTATAGATATCCATTCATCATGTACCTACCGTCGGCATCCCATCCTCAGTGCTTGCGCAACTGCGGCCACGTGACTACGTTCTGGGTTGGTGTCAGGGGCTGGAATTGAGTTTGAGGCGACATGTCCGACGCCAAGCGAGGCAAGTTGTCCAGAAAGATTTCCCATCACGGCTCCGTCGAATGCCCACACATCCGATGCCACCACACCTGCAAAGATGAGGGTCGAGGAGGCGTTGGTCTGCTTGAGTTGTGTAGTCGGTGGGGCATTGGCCGCAAATGCTCCCCGACCGCGAGGCGTGAGCCTCGATTGTAAGTCACGGACTCTCCTTGATCTCTCCCTTCGAAGCTCGCCCAGCTCACCACGTTGCATACAGTTGCCAAATACTACAAAGACACCACCACATTCAGCTGCATATCAAACCCGGCCATTCAATTGCCCTTTGCACGGGTCAACGACGACTACTGCGACTGCCCTGATGGCTCGGACGAGCCAGGCACTTCCGCCTGCGCCCACCTCTCCCCACTGTCTCCTCCGAGCCCCGCTGGTGCCGCTGCCAACGTAGCGTTGGCGCTGCCGGGCTTCTACTGCAAGAACAAGGGGCACATCCCCGCTTACCTCCCCTTCACCAACGTCAACGACGGGATTTGCGACTACGAGCTATGCTGCGATGGCAGCGAGGAGTGGGCGGGCGTGGGAGGCGTCAAGTGTGAGGACCGATGCAAAGAGATCGGCAAGGAGTGGAAGAAGCACGACGAGGCGAGACAGAAGAGCCTGGGCATCGCAGCGCGGAAGCGGAAGGAATTGGTCACTGAAGCTGCGCGTATCCGACAGGAGGTGCAAGATCGCGTGCAGACCCTGAAGACCGAGATCGAAGGGACGGAGTTGAAGGTCAAACAACTCGAGGCTGAGGTGAAAGATGTGGAGCGGAGGGAGCGGGGCAAGGTCGTCAAGACTGCTCCCGGTCAGAAAGGCGGGAAAATGAGCGTGCTCGTTGGATTGGCCAAGTCACGCATGGCCGAATTGCATCAGAGCCTGACGAGAGTGAGGCGGGAGCGGGACGACTACTCGAGTCGGCTACAGGAGCTCGAAAACCTGCTCATGATATTCAAGGCGGAGTACAATCCGAATTTCAACGATGAAGGTGTCAAGCGTGCCGTTCGAGCATGGGAGGAGTATGCTGCTCGCGATAAAGAGCCATTGGTCAATGTGGCGGCGGATATCGATCTCGATGAGATTCTCAAGTCCGACAAAGACAGCGGGCTGGATTGGGATGAATACGAGGGTGGAGAGGACAGCGAAACGGATGCTCGTCAGTCACACTCGGTGGAGGGTAGAGATCAAGCTAACGGGTGCATAGTCTACACTTTTGAGAATTACCTGCCCCCTTCCATACGCAGTTGGCTGGATCAAAAGCTGCGCGACCTCCGAATCAGGCTCATCGAAGCAGGCTTTCTGGCGGACAATTCAGGAGCAAGCACGGAAAGCAAGGCCCTTTCAGATGCTCGCGCCCAACTGGAAAAAGCACAACAGGACTTGGAGAACCACCGCGAAGACCTGGAAACCCGCAATGAAGAGCTGGCCTCGAAAGACTTTGGGCCCGACGATGTCTTCCGCGCCCTGAAGGGCACTTGCGTCTCCACCGACAGCGGTGAGTACACGTACGAAGTCTGCTTCCTCCAACAGACCACGCAGAAGCCGAAGAAGGGTGGCGGCCATACCAACATGGGCAACTTTGTGCGGCTCGAGACGATCGACGTCGACGAAGAGCTGCCTGCCAATGGCAAAGGATTGGGCAGCGGTCGGCGCCTCGTGATGAGGCACGAAGGCGGGCAGCATTGCTGGAACGGACCAGACAGGAGCAGCAGTGTCATCCTGGCGTGCGCAGAGGAGAACGAGATCTGGAAGATTATGGAGGAGGAGAAATGTGTTTATCGGTTGGAGGTTGGCACGCCTGCTGTGTGTGATGAGGGTGGCAGTGGGAGTGGAAGGGCCAATGATGCGTCGGCAAAGGATGAATTGTAGCACAAATTACCTATCTCTATGCGGGCTTTGAGGCGACTAGAGTGTATAGACGTAGATGTGCAAACACCTCCGTCCGTATGCTGACCCCATTCGACCACTGCTCAGTCTAGTCGCTTGGGCACGTGATACTGCAGCGGGCCGGCACTTTGCTGACGGGCCAAGGCTGAGAACGTACGCAAAGGTAAGCGACCAGGGGAAGCTCGAAAAAGCTAGACATCCCCACATGGGCCTGGCACGGTCTCGGCGCCGTGTTTCGGAAAGGGTACAAATGTCGTCTTCGTTTCCTTCAGGAACTGGTATCTTATGTATCTACGCAAGAAAGACGCAAATATTTGCTTTCCCGCACCGGCTTCACGCATAAACACCCCCAAAAGACAGAAAACACCCAAGGAACCCCCAAAACGTCTTCTCTTCTTGGTCCGTCCGAATCGTAGCAATAACATGACATAAGCCCTGGGCCGAATACACTCAACCTTGGAGGTAGCGGGCGCCCTTTCCTGGATCTTGATGTCTCCAAACGCCTCGAGCGAATATTTGTACATTGTTGTACAGGTCGAAATGGAAGGAGCTTGCGCAACCCAGGATCATCACACGGACGAAATCGCTTCACTAGAACATCGCTCCGTCCATGTTGATCGGTGGCACAGGTGACGGACGCTCAACAGGTCTATCCGGTGACCCGTTGGTCGGAGAGTAGCCTGGTCTCGAAGAGGACGAAGGCAAGCCCGTCTTCTGCGGCGACACGGTGGCGCTCCGTTTGCGTGGCATGGCCGATGGCATCTCCAGCTCGGGAGATTTCCGAGAGAATGCGTCCGGAGTCTTTGCGCGGCTGCCGATGCTCGCGCTGTGATCCTGCGACTCCTTTCGTCCCAAATTGAGGATCCTCTTCGTCGCCCGGCGTGCCGGATTGAGGGGCGGCACTGGTGGGGGCTCGTCCATTCCGTTCCTCAATGACGCGCCCTCCGGGAGATCGACCAGGTCGATGTTCGACGTGCTGGAGATCAAGGTCGGCTCGGAGATGTCTCCCTTCGAGATGGTCTTCTTACGCAGCGGGCCACCGGCGCGGCCGTTGGAAGGACGAGCCGTCTGCGTCGGTGCGGAAAAGGCTGACTGCAGCGGCGTACTCGCTCCGGATAACGGGGGCGTCATATTGGATGCATACGCACTCGCTGGAGATCTTGGCATCGGGCTGGTCAACGGGCTGAAATGACCTGTGGGGAGTGCAGGTGTTGACATATTGGCATGGTAGCGGTCTCTCGAGCCGGTATAGAGCGGCTGCAAAGAGTGGGTGTCGAAGTAGCTCGTCATCGCTGCTCGACTTCCACTGCGTGCTCGCGGCGGCTCGAATGGACTCTGGGTCAGGTCTGGCGTTGGATTCGGCGTCAACTCGCGAGGACCGAGATTGGAGAGGTCAGGAACAGAGACTGCGGTCAGCCCCGCCCCGCCTGCCATCCCTTTCTCCAGGCCATCGCGATATGGTCCGCCTCGGCTGCGAGGATGACCGGTAGGGGTAGTAACAGAATTTGCACGGCTGCGCCCATCAACGGATGCGGGTGGGGAGGGATCGGCCGATGGAAAAGGCTCGGTCGCACTGTTTTCCCTTGTGCGCAGTCCGAACATCGGGCGCCGCATTTCCCGCTCAGCTCGCTGCGAGCTACGTGGCTGAATGCTCGGAGGCGAAGACCGTGATCCTGACTCGGCACGTGGGCGGCTGGAGTCAGAACTGTTCGCACCGGCCTGGTATTGAGGGAGCGAGGAAGCACTACCAACACCGGCACCCAGAATCTGCAAGGCCTTTGCGGGGGCGTTCGACGGCATCTCTGGCACTCGGTTGCTGTCCATCGACTCCCTGCTAGGCCCCGATCGAAGCATTCCAAAGGTCTTGAGATTGGCGTTTGAGCTGCGTGTTGGACTGATGCCTCGACTGTTGATCTCACGTTGAGCTCTGCTCTTCCGGATGTTCTCCTGGATGGCATTACGACGAGCCGCCAGCTCATTATCGAATGCTTCGCGATCCTCCTGGGTGGCGTTACTGACGTCGCGAGTATGCTGTGCGTGCGAGTCATTCTGCGCCCCCTCGGTGGCCTCGGCTTCCGCCTCCAACTCTGACACAGCCGAATGGCGATTGATTGCAGAGCTCGAGTCGCCAAAACGCCCACCGAGGTGCTCGCTGCCGATTGGACTCACCAGCGGCCGGCTTGATCGCGGGTCGTCGTGGTTCGAGGCATCGGTTTCGTCCAGATCCCAGGGATTCGAAATCGCGTAGGAACCTACACGTGACTCGGTGCCGCTAGTGCTTTGATCTCTCCGGTTCACAATATCGAGGTTTCGTGGCGTCAACTCGGCGGGCGCTGGAGTCTCAATGGTAGAAGCGGCATCGGAGCGCTGCGTTATCGACGAAACATTACTCTTCTGACGCAGATGGTGCATGAGCCCGTTCAAAGCCACCGTCGGTGCGTCCGCACCAAGGACAGGTGATTCAAGGTCATCGTCTTCAGTTGCGATGGTTGGCGGGTCCAGCGAACGTGAGGCCGAAGGCTCAGTAGCTTGTGCGCTGGAACTTTGTGCTTCTTCTTCATCGGTCTCGGCAAGACTATTCATCGGTTGTTGGGCGCGCAAAGCTGGATGCTCTGAGACTGCCGGGAGGACGGCTGGCTGCCACTTGCTATGTTGGCTACCGAGCATTGGCGATTTGGAAGGCGCCGCATGTTGGCGGTCATCATCTTCCTCGTCTTCGCTCGCGCTGATGTCTCCGAAGAAGGTGCGGTGTGTGTCGGGCACACTCGACGGGTCCGCCTGTGCGGCATCGGAATCTGTATACAGCCGCGCTGCGTGCTGGAAAACATCGTAGGCGCTCGACAACTGGTGCTGTCGGACGCTGGGCTCCATCTTCCGGCTCATTGCATCGATTTCGGGTAATTCCGGGGCAGTCTCCAAAAGCGGTGATCGTGTCGCCTGTGCACCATGAGAGTCTTTTCTCATCGCCGCAGTGGAGGCCGATCGCTGGAGTTGTCGCTGTCGCTCGACGTATTGTTGCTCGTCAAACGACTGCTTGGGTTTATTGAAAGCCCCCATTGCGGTCGCCTTGCCTCGGTCTGCAGGCTCCAAGGCTTGGGACAGTGGGTTGAGGTCGTCGATATCCCCCGCATGCTGCGGTGTCAGGAGGGTGACCGGAAGACTTGCTAACGGAGTTGTTCCGTTGGAACTGGATAGGCCCAATGCTCCAAACAAGCCAAAATTGGGAGTGAGAGAAGGCGAGTCCTGGGCAGGAAGAGCGTAGACGGGCGGTTGGACACGATCGCGCAGATTACCGGCACTCTTAGTGCCGTGCAACAGCATCTGTGGTTGCTTGTTGCTGAAAGTCCGCTGTCGGTGAATGGAGTTCAAGCGGTTCATCGCCGAGCTTTGTTGCTCATGCATGTGTTGATCCAGCCCGTTCTCGTAAAGACGACGCGTCTTGGTGTCTTGACGTTTGAGTGGCTGCATGATGGGTGCTGGCGCCGGCGCCGTGGAAGGGGCTGGGGCAGGAGAAGGAATCGTACAAGGCGTGGTTGCCGCAGAAGCAATCTCAGAGGTCGCCCGGACAGGAGACGAAGAGGTAAAGGTGGCTGGCTGTGAGGCTACTGACGTGGCGGCCGTTGATGATCGCGCGGCCGAATGCCCAGTGGAGTCCGTCGACCGCTTCTTGTCGGAAGACGCGAGTGAAGGCGAGTGTGAGAGGTCCTTGGCCGAGCGCGAGGGTAGGTGCTCATCTTGCTCGCCATCTTCCGAATGTTCGAGTCCGAAGTCGAATCCATGACTGTCCTTTGACTCGCGGACTTCTTCTACGGTCCTTTGGACGCGGTAGCGCTGGAAGGAAGACATTCCAGCATCGAGGGAGTGCGCGACGTCATCTTCGCTCACGACTCGACCGAGACTTCGACTGGACGCACCACCCTTGGGAATCATGTAAATCTTCTGGCGGCCTCCAAACACGACACTCCCTTCGGCGGGACGCGCACGAGTCATGACGCTGACGGAATCGCGCTCGCTAGGGTAGTCGTCTTCGGATGCGAAAGAATGGTGGTGCAGAGAGGGAAGGGGAGGGCGCGATGAACTCCTCAAGGACGACACCTCGGCAATGTCGTCCAGTCCACGTCCTGCCAGTGCCATGTCCATACGGGAGCGCCTTCTCGGCTGAAGCACACTGTCGTCGCTAGCCTTGCCGAGCATCGAGTGCGGGTCGTCTTGCTCCCTAAGCATGCTGAAACGCGCGCTCAATGCTGGCATGAACAAGCTGGTGCGGAAGTCATCGACAGAAGGCAAAGAGAGGTCGACGTTCGCATCCGCCGAGTGGTCGCCATTCTTTTTGCTCTTCTTCCACCTGCTGGTGGACTTCTTCGGCAGTTGCGACGACTCGTGTGGAAGCGGAGGGAGAGGCGGCGGCGCCGGCGCGGATAAGGCGTGGAGGGCGTCTTGGTGTGCCGCGCTGGGCGGCTCTGCCGTTTTCCTCCTGAAGTATTTATTCATCGTGAATCTGAGGCGATTAGCAGGCACTCCCCGAAGGCGCAACAGACGGTCGATGAGCATCGCCATGGCGGCATTGAACGTCGTCGCGGGAAACGAAAGACATACCAAACGAGTGTGGGGGGTGAGGAGGTGCGCGGGTGCGAGTGCGAGTGCGATGGCACCACCGTCAACAAACGCGACGTGCGCGCTCACAATGGGGGTTGTGGAAACGGGGTTTCGGAATGATCGTGGGTTTGCGGTCGACTCATCGCCAACAATGGGCATGAAGCACGGGTCGGCGTGTGGTTGTCGGCGCCGCAAAGTGACTCGGGCTTGAATCGCGTCGCACGTCTACCTCGAGACGAGGGAATTGGAGGGGTGAATGCGATGCGCTGCACGGTCCTGCGCTGCAGATGGCCGTGAGGGAAGCGCAGGTGAATGGGGGTGAATGGCGGCGCGATCTGGCGCGGACGGTCGGCAGACGAGAAAGGCAGAGGGCGTTGATTGGAGAGGACGCGCTCCAGAGTGCGCCGTGGTATGGCACAGCGGGGTCGGTGCAATGGTCGGGGCGGCAGGTGGTGGTCGCGCGAGGCAGAGAAACTCGGGTGAGGGCGAAGGGCGAGAGGTGCGAGAGGGTGCGTGTGCGTTGTGTGTGTGTGTGGCGCGCGCGCGTGTGTATGTGTCGGGAGGGCAGAAAAGCGGGAAGCCTCGACACGCTAAACAGCACCCGTTTTCGCTTTTGACGTGGATGTGGATGGGATGCTTCGGCGCCGTTTGCTTAATTTCCCTTGCTTGACGCGACGTGCAGGATGGGCGAGACGCGCCGCTGATTGGCGGAGACTTGGTTCATGCACAATGTGACACCGTCACCCGTCTTGACTGCAGTGACACCGCTCCACCCTGGTAGCCTGGCCGAGCCGCATCGAGCACTTCAGGGGCTGTTGCTTTTCTGCCTTGCTGCAGGAACCAAAGTCTATCCATCTCGTCAGCAAAAGCTATTGAACGCAAAATGCCGCCGCGACTTCTTACTCGTCCAGGCATGCAGACCCCTGTTGCTGCCTTGCCCCGCTTCCCTGCTAGCGTGCGGTAGTGTGTCTTCCAACTCCCGATGCGATCGTCCGGCGACGAGAACACGGTGTGCAAGTCCAAGAAGGGAAGCTGTCCAGTCCTTCGCCCATCCCGTCCGCAAGTGGTTTTCCGGTCGCGCGCAATCGCTGCCTCGAGGGCAACCCGCTTGAAACAAAAGCCACGGGGTCGCTGGGACTACACGGCGCATTGCATGCCGTGCAATCATCATCAAACCGGGTTTCGGGTTGGAAGCCGATTCGGGACGCCACATGTCGCGGGAGAGCTGATTCATCGCCCGCACACCAATCGTTGGGCAAAAAAGGCAATGTGGTTGTTACATCCCTGCCCCCCGCTGATCTCCTGCAGCACGCATGAGAGGTCTCCTGGAGAGTGTATGGTGCATACGGTCGGCCTACGCGCCAGCGCCCACTGACATATAGACGCTTTATTGCAGACTTCTTTCCTCCTCTATCAATCTGCTGCGCGCGCATGCTCATGACACCGTGAGCACCTCCCGACCCTTCGTGGCTGGTGCAGGGATTCACGTCACGGTGCATGCACCACATGCACGAGCGTCATGGCTCAGGCGGCCCAACGGCCGCTGTCCCTCAGCTAATGTACACCAGACGTCCTCCCGAACGGTTTGCACCGGGGCTGAGGGATCCACCACACAGCCTTGCCCACGTAGCGCGACAGAGTGAGACAACGTCGTGTACTGGCGTGTTTTCACGCGTCGCATTTGACTTCTTGCAAATGATGAAAAGCCTCTGCTGACCCCACTGCATCTCGATTCCTGGGCATCTGGCATCAATCAATCTGACGGCCCTGACGGCTGCAAATGATGTTCGGAAATTGCCTGCATGGAATATCGAGTACACTGTGACCGGGCTGGCTGGTGAGTGCAATAGCACATCAACCCTTGACAATCTGAAGCCAGCGTGCTACTATACATCTCCGGCCGGATATGCAACACGTGAGCAGCGGCTCGACTTGCCATTCCTTGACCACTCCTCACCCGATTGCAATTTCTGCATCGTCGCGTCTGGCGTCATCTCCCTCCACTCTGTGCGCCTCACGAGGGCCAGGCCTTTGTCAGCCTCTCTTCCATATATCTCATCAAAACCGGTGGCACCGCCTCATCTGTCGCGCGAATGGTCAATCGGTACATCTGCCGCGACGTTAGTAGGCTGCATACACTTCTTCCCGAGACGTGGCTTACCTTGTTCTCACTGTTGGGCTCCAATCGGAGCAGACAGCCCGACTTTCCAGCGCTAGTATGCAGCACCGTTGCCCCCACGAAGTTTTTCGGGTTTGCATCAACTCCCTCCAGGATGCCCCATTTGAAGCCCTGCAGCATCTGCCGCGTGTACTCGGGCGAGATATCGTAGCTCTGGAAGATCTGCTGCGATTCTCTCGGTGCACTGCCAATCTGCTTCCACCGCTTGAAGAACTCCTCAGCACTGAGCACCGCGCCATCCATGTACTTGTGCAGTGCGACGGGAAGTTTCAGCGTCAAGGCTTGTAGCGAGCCGGCCATGTAGGACACCCGAATTGTCGGGGATTCCGTGAAGACCGTCTTTGCTTCGAAAATGATCATTTGCTGCGTTTGTGTGCCCGAGTGGACGGTGGTGTTGGGTAGGCTCCTCGTTTCCGTCTTCAGCTGTTCCGCTGATGCGTCGCCCAGAGTCGTGGTAAAGGACTGGATCGCCACTGACGATTTGTTGGTGAAGTAGAGGATGATGCAGCCGACCTCTCCGCGATACTCCGATCGGAGCCCGATTTGGATCTGCGTGTCTTCGTACAAGATCCCCTCGGGTTTCAACAACAATCGATTGTACCCAGGCTCCCAGTCTGGCGACAAGTGCACAGCACTCGCCAAGTTCGGCGTCACGCCAGCCGACAAGTCCAACCCCGCCAGCTCTTCTATCGGCGTTTTCGCGACGCCATTGGTGCCGTTTGCGCCGGAAGAGCCGTTTGCCAAGGTGGCTGACGGACCACTAGAGAAGGTGCGACGAAGTGTTCCGCCGCGTTCTACACCAGGCATGCCATCTTTGCCGGCCACAGACCACGTTCTCTTGTCGCCCATAGGGCCTTGTCTCTTGTCCAGACGCGAAAGGAGGGCCGACGCTCGCTCAGGGAAGGGAGGCATTTCGTCACACACCGTGCGCAACAGGTCGTCTGACGGCATCGTTGCCAACGCCAGATATTCGCATGCCCGCTGCTGCAATTCAGAGTCCAGGGTGTGGCTGTACGTCTGGAACGCCTGGAGCAGTTGGGGCTTGATCTCAGGGAAGAGATTGATAAATTTGACGAATGCGGACAAGATCATGGCTCTTGTGTTGGGTGAGCAGGAATTGAACTTGGCCTGCAGAGCCATGAACTGCTCGATCGGGCTGCAGCCTTCGTGATCCGCGATTAAATGCCCGAATTCGCCGAGGATGTAGCTGCCGATTTTGACCAGCGTTTCGTGGCAATGATCCGCCTTGCAATATTGCAAGGTATTTTGAGCTGCGTAGACTTGGAGCTCATCGTTATTGGTGACAATTTGGATGATGCGTTGCCAGACCTCGTCGCTGACGTGGTCGCCGGCCATGGCTATCAGTCGCATGGATATGTCAACATACCACTTGACATCGGTTGCGTACTTTTCCGTCAAGATGGCAATCTTCAGCACCATCTCCTCCCGGATCGCATAGTCCGCACTCTGCAAATACTTCAACAACTCGTGCACAATCTTCTGCGAGTTCGAAGAGTCGCACATGCTGTACAAGAGATCCAGACCCTGCCGCCTGACGGTGATGTCGCGATCTCGTAATGAACCAATGATCAGGTCCTGGTGTTTTTTGATCGGGTCGAGGGTGTCTGCCATCACGGCCAGATGCGTCATGGCCGCCAGCCCGAGATATCTCACGTTTGTCTCCCGCGAGCCAATGAACTTGCCGAGTCGAGTGGAAATCTGGACCATCAATTCGCGCTCGGTTTCCAAATGGATGATGAGGTTGATCGCTTCGAAGAGGACTGCATTCTGGGCGTTGTTTTGCTGGACATTCTTCGGTGTTTCCATCGCGGTGTCCAGTATGGCTTGTAATGAATCGCGTATGAGTTGTCGGATGTGCGTGTCTTGCGATGGCGGGAAATACTGAAGCAATCTGAGGAGCTTCACCTGCAACCATGGGCAGGGGACGTTGTAATACACATAATCTCCGGAGTAGTCTTGATCGTTGATGAGATTTCGTAACTTTTGCGCCGCCTTGACATAGCTTCCTTTGTAGGTTTCTGGATCGTCCTGTGCAAGTGTCATGACCAGTGATGTCACGGACAATGCCACCCCCATGTCGGGATCGTCCATGATGGCCACGATGCGCTCATTCCACTCCGGCTGGACGATATTGGGGACTTTGCGGTAGAGTCGCAATAGGGTGAGGGCAGCCTTCTTCTTCACAAAGGGCTTCGAGGCGGGGGATACCAGTAATCTGTGCACATCGCCACACAGCGCCTCGGCCATCTCCTTGCTACCGACATTGGCAATCGCGTGCAGCGCTAGGCAGTTGTTGAGCTCGTTGTGGTCGGCCAGGTCTTTTCTGATGCTGTTCACTACCAGGTGTAGCACTTCGTGTTGCTCATGCAGGAACAAGGTGACGGCGAGGTAGCCGATCTGCTTCTCCGAGTATTTGTTGGCCGAGATCAGGTTCACCGCCTCCAGATGCCCAAAGTCGACGTTCCAGCCTAAGATGTAGATGTAGAGCAGTTTGCACACATACTTCTTCTTGTCGTAGCCTGTCAAGTTGCCCTGCTTGAACTTGCCCCGAATGTTTGCCAGCTCTTTGTTGATACGCTTCTCTTCCAACTCTCGTGCACGGGCGTTTCGAAGATCTGCAATGAAGGAGACCAGGCCCCTCATGCTGTTGTCTTTGCTCCCGCCCGAGCTGCGGCTGAACATGCCTGTAACTGCGGCCGACATGGTCGCGGTGATGCAGCGGTATCAGGGCCAAATCAGGAGGCGCAGAGCGCAGGCGTGCAGCAACGGAAGCGTGACCGCGCGCGGAGTCGAGGGCTCGCAATTCATGGATACATGCTCGTTTCAGAGCTCCCGTGTATGCTGAGGCAGGGGAGAGAGGCCGGGCGCAATACAGCCTTTGTGATGGTGTGAGAGAAATGGCCGATGGGCGCGCAAGAGTTTTCGATCGGGGAAATCAACAATGATGTCTCTCGACATACTGTGCAGAGGGGGAGGTAAGTTAAGCCGGGAGGGACGGGGTTATGTAAGACGCTAGTCACGTGTTTATCTGCATATCATGTCGGGTGCCGCAGATGCATTCTCTTGAACGAGCTTCGGTGTGTTCTTCACGCTACGACGTATATATCTTACTGTAGCACTTGAGGAGCCACTCGACCGTCATCCTAACCCTCCTATCATCCACCATGGCCGTAATCAATATCAGGCAACGCTCTGGTACAGATAGCTTCACGCCCCAGACGCTCTGGTGGTGAAATCCGTCTCGAGGTTCGACGCGTTGCCCACTTCGGTGCCTCCACAGGTGCAAGAGCCTGGGGAGAGATGCGGTTAGCGATGGCGCTCTGTCAACGACGAGAGAAGAGACTCACTTTGGGAGCGTTTGCCACAGGCACAAGTAGCACCGGTCGGCGTAGTGTTTTCAGATGCAGCACGCGAACAAGTACAGTTGCCGGCCGGTCGTTGATCTGTCTTACGTATTAGTGATGATCATCAAGAAGTCTTTGCGGGAGACAAACTGCATGAGCAACGGGCTCCGGCCGTCACATTCTCGGTTGCTGCTTTCTCACAAGTGCAGTGCATGGCTGCCTTTTGGCCGCAGGAACAAGTGGCCTCTTTGGCGCAGATGCATCCACCCTCACGACCACAGCAGGTGGCTGGAACGGCGGCAGTGGCAGACATGTTGTTTCTGGGGGAAGTCTGGAGATTGTTCGTGGAAGATGGGTTATTGGTGGATGGCGAGGAGTAATCTCGTTCACAGTGTCGAGGGGGTGGATGGAAGTGAGAGGGGATGCAGAGGAAGGTGAGGAAGTCGAGACGGACTGGGGGATTCTTATAGCCACGACATTTATCTGATCTAGATCATGCACTGGTTCGCGAGGAGAAATAGGGCTGTCATCCGATTTGCATTTGCTCTGATTGGCCAGAAATTCAAGGCCAAAAGTGGTCGCCTCCGGCGGCCGCCCCCTCCATTCATTCATCTCGGAACTTCGAACAACTGGGTACTGTGGCCGCGAGGGTCGTACCTGGACTGCGACGTCTACTGCTTCCCTCGCAGCGTGTGTGTCGTGCCTGCATACATGTAACGCTGGACCTTTTTTCAATCAATCCGGCCGTCCAGATCCGACGCTGCAGCCTGCACTGCGCTGAACAAAACCCACCCTCTTGCCATGGAGGAGGGGTTTGAGGCGCCATGGTCAAAGTCGACAATCCCGCCGTAGGCGGTCCTTCCACTGATCTTCGCACGCAACTCGAACTTACGGAGAAGGATGAAGATCCGATGCCTTCTCATCAACCCAGGCAATCTCATGCCTCTGGTCTGGCCAACCCTCGCCGCCATATCCGCTTGGTACCTCGCCGCCAAACCCCTCGCCGCCCGAAGAAGCATTCCGATGTTGTTCACCCTGCGCAAGATACCAGCTAAGGAGCTAATCTCAGAGTGTGAATCAGTCGCTCTGCCAGCGGTAGTTGAATGCTGTAAGACACCGGGAAGCTGCGCCTGCAATGACGGTCTGCTGGGACGAAGGAAGAACGAGGTCATATCGGACGGACGATGTCAGGAGCACGGCCAATTTGCTTTCGACATGCGCTGTGAACCGTCAGTGTTGTACTTTGAACAATCGCTTACATGTGAAGTACTGACAGAAAAGCAGAGGTGTCTGACATCTTGATCCCGCCGAAGAAAGGCGAGAAGCGTGCGCCGATACCGAGATGGGACGAACTGCCTGCGTAGACGTGTCAATGGCGAAATGCTGGCGCCTAGCATGTCTCGCCCACATTGGCAAAAGTAGCGATCTGGGTGAATGCAACAAAGTCGTTAGTGGTGGTGCTGCCGTTTGATGCATCGTCCCGTGGTTTCGGCAGGGGTCCATGTTTGTCACGAGCTCCCGACTTATTCACAGCATGTGTTCATTCAAGATTGTGGCTTGTTGTGACACACTTCCATTCACTTGTCTTCTTCCCCATCTTCTTCCACGTTCCTGCACCTCTCATACTTTCTTCCCTCTCTTCCTTTCCACCGTGCTTCCACCCTCCTCTCCATCCTCCTTCCCATCCTCCTCACACCCTCCTTCCACCCTGAAGTGTCAACTACTCGATCTGCAACAATACAATTTCCTCCACAAAGCCGCTTGCTGCTGCTTGTCCGGCGTAAGACCACCTCCACCAAAGCCAACAGGCGAGCATCGAATCATCACCACATCTCAACGGCAATGAAGCTGCCATCGGTGTTTCTCTGAAGACTCAGTCGCTGCAAACAATCATTCAGCTTCTGGCCTACGTCAGCGACGCCATCCAACATGCCTGGAGCCAATCCGCCAACGACCCATCCCGATGATGGCTGGCCGTTCCGCGCAACCAACAACTGGTCTCGTGACAAGAGCGTGGTGGGATCCGTTGACTTACACGCTCACGACACTGGCAAGATCATTCGTCACAGCGGCCAAGGATGGGTGGAAGTGAGCATCCCACGCCGCAGAATCGGCCGTGGCGTGGTGCCGAAGTCCTACATCGAAGTTGGTACGGACAACAAATGGGGCGAGTGGAAAGTCAATGTCACCGTCACTCTCACGGTTCCAAAGCCACCGTCTGTGAATTTGCCAACCGGCTCGGTCCTGTACAAGACAGTCTATGCATTACTCCACGACATTCGCGCCAGCAGTGCGAATCTCGAGGAGCTGTCTGGGAGGTCCAAGAGCCTTCTGGGTGAGCACGGTGGCAGCAATGATCCCATCAAGAGGATCGCGGGGGCTCTTTGCGAGGGAGCTCAGAAAGCAGGCACGTTCAACGTTTTGAACAAACCCAACTTCACGGAACGCGACCTCTTTTCGCAAGCGAAGCTCGTTGGGGCCATAGACAAGAGAGCAAAGCAGATTGGAGGCATATACGCTTGGAGACACTCCGGTTTCAAAGACGTCACGCACAAACCTGCGATAGCTGTGGGGTCCACGATTGACTTCCCCCAACGAAAAGGGGGACATGCTACCCAGTCGAAGACTGACACCGCCCCACAATACAGGGCTTGGCGAGCTTCCACGGTACATCAGATGTATGCGTTGATTGAGCTGTCGATTGGGCGCGACGATCGCGAAGAGATGTATTGGATTGAGCTGGTGATGTTTCTCCTGCTGGACTCTTACCACCCTGGACTCTTCGCTATGTCGATCGAAGAGAAGATGCGTGAGAAGTACACTACCGAAGAGGAAGACGGTTCTGGGAATGCTCCTCGCAATGAAGATGATCCTCCGGGCACGACAACTGAGAAGGTCATATCAGCTGTCACATGGGCAATCATAGCCAAGAAGCTTCGTGCGATCATGGATGGTGTGAGACAACGCACGGGATGGCAGAGAAGAGGGTATCTTGGTACTACTGGTCTCAACTGGGCATCACCGTGCGTGTCGAGCGATTCCTTCGAGTGTGCGCCTTGGTACAAAACGTCCATTCCAGGGGTGGTGGACCTGTATCGAAAAGAGGCCTCCAAATCAATGCAACGTTACACAACCAAGAGCGGCGGCGCGGCGTATACTATCCAAGACTTGCTGCCGAGAGGACCAACTGGTGATGGCTGCCACCTCGGGATTCCATCCACCTATGATCCAGAAACCCTGGGTCTGACACCCGAAACTAAAGTGACCCTTACCGTGGAAGTGATGAAATCTGGGCGCCACCCGGTGCCTTACGCCAGATTGCCGGAAGTGTATCATTACGAACACGCAGAACTACTCAATCGTGTGGGCGTTCGGCTCGAATGGATGGACAGCGCAGGGGTCTGGCACCGACTCTATCTTCAATGTGCATCGCAATCGGGAGATCTCAACCCACATTCTGACGGACCTTGCCATGCATATCGAAGGACTATGGCTCTGCTTCTCTGCCTGCAGCGCGAGGAAGTCAGCCCAGCACCGTCGTGGCTTCCGCGATACGGGTTTCCCTCCATGAGAGAGCTTCACTTTGACGACTTCCGACAGGTCCTCAGCATCCGCGAGCTACGATCTGGGCGCACTCTCGCACCTCCGGGAGTGGTACCGGCCCACCACCGTGAAGCGGAGCTCATGCAACGTGGGGCTCTCCATTTCGATGAGCCGAGGAAATCACACGTTGGCCACATTACGCTTTCGGAGGGCGGTTTTCCTGCCAGACGTAAGTGTGATGCGTGCAGCATGATGGCTACGACAGAGGAGGGTGAGTATGTCAAGCAAGATTTAGCTTGTACCGAGTCGGAAGAAATGCCAGGAAATTGCAAATCCTGTGTGGACTATATGGGTGGGCTGCACTGTTCTTGGACTCCGGGAGAGTCCATTACAGAAGACTACAGGCGCGCAATCATGCCGCGGCTCGCAAAGCCAATCCTTGACTGCCATGCTACGTTTACCGGCCCGGAAACCATCACGCTTCCCAGCACTGGCCTGGTCGCACTTTCTGAAAGTGGGCAGAGGGATTCGCAAGCTCCTATCGCCACAGGTGGAGAACGCTCCTCAGACTCGAGCGACAAGCGGTTCTCTGCTCCCTCTGGTCAGCGCCAAACTGGCGGAGACGGAGATCGCGGAGCCACTTCAAGCAGCCATCGATTCTCAGCTCCCTCCGCCTCCCTCCCGCGATTCTCTGGTTCTTTCGACCAGCAATTGCGTCTCTCTGGTTCTCCCCGCCAGCATCAATCGAATGTTTCAACGACTGTCTCTGCACAGCAGCTCGATGCGTGGATCACCTCTGAGAACATCAACCTGCACGAACAAGCCGGCTTGATTGTGATCGCCAAAGTTGACTTGCATCGAGATCTTTCGACGGACCAAGGCGCTGAGGCGCGTGCGACCTTGATGAAATTGCTGAAGAGAGCGCGGCACCATGCAGAAACAAACGACACAAATCAAAGGCGATATGAGAAACTCAAAGCGGATCTGAAAGCTGCTGATCAGAAAGCTGGCAAACAGTTCGAAATCGATGCTGGCTTCATCGACCTCACCACCCGCGGAAGAATCTCGAACAGAGTTCCGAACTTGATGGAGGTCAATGACTTCGTGTTGCGCAACTTACGAGGCAAGAATGATGGCTTGCGAAGTCTACGCACCTATCTCCGCAATTTGGGCATTTCCATTGAAGCCAATGTGAAAAGACAGTGCGAATACCTGGACGACATTCTCGTGGAATGGGATCCCAGCAGGATCGACAGGCGCGGCGACGTCGAGGCTGTTCTGCTTGTGTCCTACCGTGTCTCCACCTTTACGGACCCTCGCACGCTGAACGGAAGCCAAGCCCGCCAGGCGGTAGCTAAGTTACAAAAGAGACTTCGTGATCGCGTCACTGCAGCGAATGTTGCAGACTTGAAGAATCAAACGAACACCTCGAAGATCTTCAAAGACCTGCTTGACGTGCTCCGCAGGGCCGAGGAGAGCGCTGACAATATTGAAGCCCGGAAGAGCAAGAAATAGGGGAGTGATCTGGATTCGGCTGGTGGTATTTGCGAAACGATCAATTCTTCAACAGAAAGCAACGATCGTACAGCGCTGGGGAATGCCGAAGCAGGGCGGACGTGGGATTTTGGAGGTGCATTGCTCCGAATGGGTTGGGGTGCATTTTCAGGCTCAGTCGTTCTGTCAAATGGACGTACGATTTGGCCTTCATCAGAGAGGAAGTAGGTTCGAAGGGGAGAAAGATGCAAAGGCAGATATCGGTGACAGTGAAACTACCCAGCACTTTCTAAACAGCTCTGCATAGCAGTATCAGCTGTCGTTATGCAGACCCTTCGTCAAAACCTGCAGTCCTAGTGTATAGCAGCTCGTCCCGCAGGCCCAACGGCGGAGATTGATGGGGTGATCAGGAACTGCTTTCTTCCGCTCTCTTCGCAGTCTGCGCGGTCAGATATGAGCTGTTTGCTCACGATTTGCAGACCTACGAAAACGATTGTGTGAGAGAAGAGTAAGCGTAGTAGCCGCCAAACACCCGTCCCGATGTTCATGTTGCAATACTGTGTGTATCATCGCCCGCACCGCGGAAGGGTTGCTGTCAAGTATCATGCACGATGATGTAACTAAGCCAAGTCCTGCGATGTCGCCGTTCAAGCGCGATAGGTAATAATCAATAAAGCCTGCAAGAAGGGTCATCAGTATTGTAGACTTTGAACAACGGGTGTAACCAGGCCTGGGCGGTTCGCACCGTGACTTCCACCGCATCCGGCGCATCGCTTGTGTCGTGCCTGCGCTCCCTGTGCAACGTTCGATCTTTTCCCGTACACAAAACAATTTGGCCATCCAGATCCGACGCCCAGATCCGACGCTGCAGCCTGCACCCTCTCAAAACAACTCAGCCTTTTGGCATGACGGGGTTTGCAGCGTCATGGCCAAAGTCGACAGCGCTGCTATAGGCGGACCACCGACCGACCTCCATTCGCAAGACATGGCCAACACCTCGCCGCCATATCCGCTTGACACCTCGCCATCCAACACCTCGCCGCCCAACATCCCGCCACTCAACACCTCGACACTCAACACCCCGACACTCAACACCCCGACACTCAATACCTCGTCGCCCGAAGAAGTACTCCGATGTTGTTCAAAATGTGCGAGACACCAGCCAATTAGCGAGTTCTGGAATGCCAAGGGCACTGCAATCCTGGCTAATTGCTTCCGCTGTCGGGTGAGATCGTAAGGCGTCAAACAAGCCGATGAATCGCAGATTGACTTCGAATAGCAAAGCCGACGTCCATACATTCGCCGACGTGACGAAGCAAAGCCACCGTCTCAGTCGATCGATCCAGTTCCAGGGACCACGCACATGCTGGCGCAACCACAAACGCCGATAGTCTTCGATACAGGCGTGCACCACACCGTCCCGGGAGACTTCACGTACCGCAATGGACAGACCACGCTGGCCCCAAACCTTTCCAGTCGATCGCTTGCTTCTGGAATCCTCCTTCCACCCGCTGATTCACCAGCAAGGCCGTCCATATCGAGCGTCAACGCGCAGCGCCGACGTGCCCGCTTCGAAACGTCCACTGGCCGATTGCTTGACATTACGGAGTCTGTGGATCTTTCGAGTGCTGAAGATCCATCACGCTGATTTTCATGCTGACGTCTGGGAAGAGTCAACAGTTGTTCTCGCAGAAATGAAGGCTGAGCTTACCATTGTGGCACCATGAGTCAACCCAAATGCTCTGCTCTCATCAAATCCCCTCCGGGCCCCAGTGTCACCACCAGGTCATCCAGTTTTGGAGTTCTGCTACCGTTCGATGTACGCTAAGTGTCGTCGGTCGAGTTGGTCCAATGTTTGGTTGTTATTCAAGTATGGTCGGATGATCCGCAAGTCTTGTGGGTGAGATCGACTTCGTGCGGAACCCGATGGGGATTTTTTTTTTTGGGTTTTTCCTTTTCTTCCAAAAGAGAGCAAGAGCATTGCAAAACGGTTTATGCGAATGCGGGAGTCGGCCGCATGCCAGCAAAGAGCACAGGTGCTTTACGAGCCCGCGAAGGCCGCGCAGAGCTCACGCCTTCCGGCGCCAGATTCTCCTTCTCCACCTCCATCTCCTCGTCTTCATCATCATCATCATCGTCGTCGTCGTCGTCTTCTTCTTCTTCTTCTTCTTCTTCTTCCTCTTCTTCATCCTCCTCTTCATCGTCATCGTCATCATCGTCATCGTCATCCTCTTCCATCCTCGCCTTCTTCTCCGCCACCGCACGACGCTCCGTCTTCTTCATCTTCGTCTTCGTCGTCTTCGTCGTCTTCGTCTTCGTCTTCGTCGTCTTCGTCTTCTTCGTCATCGTCATCGTCTTCTTCTTCTTCTTCTTCTCCATCTTCTTCTTAAACCTCGTCTCCTCCCTCTTCCTCTTGAACCTCCTTTTGAAGACCGGCAGAGAGAAATCGGCGGGCAGAGAGCTAGTCAAGGGCCAGAAAGGCCCAGAGGCAGCGGCAGGGGGGAGGGGAGGAGCGGGTGGTGGCGGGGGTGGAGGAGGGGGTGCCGCTTTTGTCGGCGAGGGGAATGGTTCCCCCTCATCTAGCTGGGGAGGGAGGAGGAAGCGCGCAACGAAGCCATCACGGCTTTCGTAGCCGATTGCGAAGGTGATTTGACTCCTATCGACTGTTAGCAACCTCAAACTCACCTATCCCACTTTGCAGGGCGGGTTCGTACATCTTGGGGGCGCTATCATCCCTCAACAGAGGAGATGAAGTTGACTTACGCATTTGGGCTGGTTGGGACATCACGTGTTTATGTCTGCTAAACCGCTTTCGGCCCATCACTTTTGGCTTCTCCTACAACGATGTAAATCGACGTTGAGACGACTCTCCATCGATCTTCGTTGCTCGCTAATTCTCGTCAGGAACAGGTTCGCCATCCCTCCAACGACCTTGGGCCCCCGGACTTCTTCTTCGAGTACCTCAAACTAAGCGTACGTGCAGTCAGTCTCCTCAGAAGATGGCAAAGATTCCGCCGAGTGATGATTACAGCGAAATCTGCGCTCGCTAACATTATATAGCCATGGACTACTTTGAAAAGATCTCACGCGAACGGATAGGCATGGTCTCTTTCTTCATGAAGCAGAACGAACTCATCGAGAACGGGACAATATCTCATCGCGGAGCACATTACCTCCATCTGGACACACTCGGCATCGTCAATGGCTGCATTGACTCCGAGTCTCAAACTCTGAGCTATGCGACGTTTCCTCACAACAATACATATGGGTTGCAAGCATTGAATGAGTCGCAGTACCATTCTGCAATGTATGAAATGACGAGGCCTGGGGGGATCGCGGACATGATCAAGGAGTGCCATCGATTGCAGCGCAAGCTCGATCCCGGTGACCACGGCGATTCAAAGCGGGTAGCGGATTACTGCCGAATGGTGGGAGCAACCATCGAGGAGAAGATGAACCAGCCTTACCGTCAGACAGGCGCGAGCGGCTGGTACGATATCACACACCCCTCGCAAGACCCGTTTCCTCCAATGTATGGGGCCGGTTTCCTCAATCAGCATTGGGTTCAGCGAGCTCTAGGGACGCCGGTAAATCACACCATGGGTTCGTCATCGGTTGGGGAGGGCTTCGGAATGACGGGCGACATGTCGAGAGGGGGTCAGCTTGAGGATATTGGCTACATTCTCGATCACGGGGTCCGCGTAGCCTTGATGTACGGCGACCGAGACTATGCCTGCAACTGGGTGGGCGGAGAAGCGGCGTCATTGAGCGTCCCGTACGCTCACCAGGACGACTTCGCCTCTGCCGGCTACATTCCGCTCGTCATCTCACCAGTCCATTCTGGGGGACTCACGAGACAATTCGGCAATTTCTCCTTTACCCGAGTATACCAAGCTGGGCACATGGTGCCTTCGTACCAGCCCGAGGTGGCGTATGAGATCTTCATGCGCGCAATCACAGGCAGGGATATTGCTACGGGGAAGGTATCACTTGAAGAGGTCGCGGCACACGGGGAGCAGTATTCGTCGAAGGGCACACCAGACGCCTGGTGGATGAAGAGCGAAATCCTGCCCTCACCACCGAGCGAGTGCTACTTGTTCGACACCGGCCGATGTAGTGAGGAAGAGCTGAAGTGGATTCAGGATGGCACGGCAATTGTAAAGGACTGGATTGTGGTAGGTCGAGAGCCAGCGAAAGACTTGGAGTGGGCCGCTGGCGAATTCCACCAGCAGGTCCTTGGGACGTAGAATACGCAGAGACTGTGGCTAGCCAGTGCTCGCAGTGCGCCTCAAAAGGAATGCAGGGCTCTTGGTCAG